AATGTTGCTCTCAGTTTTCCATCATATTTCAATGTTTTGACAACGCCAGGTGACTGTTTCTAGAACGACATGGTCGAACTTACCGTCGCACACGTTTCGGGTATCATCGCTGCCGTTGTCTTTATAGGTACTGTGCATCTTTCTTCTGGTAGAAGTCTGCTGACGAGGTCCAGCACGGCTATGGAGTCCCAATACCATCACCCTGATCATCGCGGGGATTGTCGGAGACCACAATAGCGCTTCCACCTGGTAGGTCGACCACGATGGACCGGTTCGATTGCTGACTGTCACCAGGACAGTGTCTGGGCGGGTGTTCCAACAGTCTCTCTGGCCGGATCTGCTGCAGACAGACAGTGCCCGCTCGTACGGCGCTCGAGGCGATGTAACGAATTTGTCGCGGCTGATCACGGGCATGGCGCTGCTGATATCGATCGCTGGTATCGTTACCCCGTTGGGACTGTATGAAGCTGTTGTTCCTGGACCGCGAACGCAGGCCTCGTTTCAGTATATGCCCGATGCATCGCCCTTTGGATATGGTACCCCCCCTCGCAGCAGCCTGCCTTTCTCCCGGATCTGCCAGAGCTCGATCTACACGGCCTGCCCCTTCTCCGACACGGTGATGGAGATGACCGAACAGGATGGACGTGTCAAGGCCCAGTATCCCTACAAGTACAATACCTCCATTCCATCGGTCGTCTCCGACATCTATTCTAGCGGGACAGACAGCCACACCACCGTGTCCAACTTTTTCGATATCCAATGGAGACGGTATGCCACACAGACCAGTCCGAACGGATTCTTCAACAACGGATCCTCCTACCTGGTGGGTGACTTTCGTCCGTTGCAGAGTATCCTCTTGAACAACGCCATCGAGCCCGTGGAGGGTCTCATCGTCGACAGTGTCAACGGGGGCATCGGCTTCCGCAATCATACCGTGCCGCCTGGTTTCCCCTTGGGCGTGGAATGGACGGAAGATCTGCTGTTCATCGAGCCGGAAACCGAATGCGTAGACACCAATCTCACCATCGACTTCTCCATCAGCTTGAGCCAGAACAGCTCCGTCTTCGTCGACAATGTGGTCCTGACGGATCGGGGAGGGTTTGCCAACCTGAACCACACCTTTTGGACCCCGGATCAAGGGGATCCCCAGGCCAACGCGCACTTGAGGGACCGCGCATACACGGCCGCCATGGTCAGTAATAGCTATACGATGTTTTTCTACAATGTATCCAACCCCGCACACCAGCCTGAAAAAGGGATGGAGGCCTTTGCCTACGTGGACTCGCACATCGGCAAGACATTCCCCGTGCAGCCTTTGACCGGGTCATCCGTCTCGAGTGCCTATGACGCGCTCTCGATTGACATGACGTTTGAGAACTATTTCGACTCGATCCTGAACAACTCATATGATATACCTGGGATTCCCAAGAGCACAGCATCGAATCCGTTCAAGATCGATCCGACATGGTGGGGTGATATCAGTGAGTTCTTCCCCCTCTCCGATAAATCGAGTGCTAACGGTATCAAGGCGATATGTGCCAAAAGTACCTCGGAGATGCCGACACCAATATCAACAATATACTAATTTCATGTGGATACATGTATGGTGCTCCGCAGCGACGAGACGGCGGATCTCCCACCGTGTTTGATAGTGGAAGCCAATGGTCCAAGCCGCTGCATGTGTGCGCAACCGCCACCAAAGCCGTGATCAAGACCGCCACGCTCAACTACAATGGCACCAAAGGGCTGAAAAGCCTGACGGTCAGCGACCTCCACGACAAGATCTATTCCAGCCCGGCGGAATGGCCTCTCTGGGGCGTCGAAGATGTGGGCAACATCTCCACCTCCATCGGGTCAGCTCCCGTCTGGGGTCTCATCTCCGCCGACAACCAGGCCCACCCGAATGTCTCTGCAGTCCGGCAAGAGTCGCTCTATCTTACTGGTCGACATGGCGCTTTAGACAGCGTATTCATGGCCCAGCAAACCGATAACCTCCCTGCGGCTGAGTTCTTGAATCTGGCCATGTCTGGTGCATATGGCGTGGGTTACTTTCCATCCACTGGGGCGAGTGAATCATCACCCCTCGTCGACTATAGCGGTAGCACGCAGATGGCCATGTGGGCTCGCTGGCAGAGTCTGTCTGAATCCGCGCTCTCGGCATCCAAAATCATTAATCTGATCTGGACGGACTTTGCTGCGTCAGCGGTGGTGGGCAGAAAGGGCGTTCTGGGGCCGGGCAACACGGCGACAACCAACACCATCGCCGTCGTGCCATTTGAGCGGCGTGTTCAATACAATCTCCCCTATGCCATTCCAGCCATCATAACGGGTGTCTTCCTCCTGGCCATCTCCGTGGCCGCAGTGGTAATTTGCGTCATTGCCCGAGTATCCATCGCGCTCATCCGGAAGCAAATGAATCGAGCATCCAGTGGTCGGATTCTTACCACTTTCATGTATCCCGGCGAGAGCGAAATGGACACTGCCAGTAAAGATTGGAGCAACAAGATGGGCAAAACAATGATTGCCCTTCCGGAAGAAGCAGTGGCCACGACAGAGCTGAGCCATAATGTGAAAACGCCAGATCCACATCCGGTGGAGGACCCATATGCAGAGGAAAGCGAGCTCCTCGCAACGCCGCAGAAGATCGGTCCCTGATCTCACTTCTTTTAGCCGCAAACGTTCAGACGGCAGCCTTGTCGTACTTCTGTCCTGTCGGAAGACGCTTAGCATTCCTGAAGAGCAAACCGATAGTCTAGCCTGCAGTGATAAAATAGACATCTTCGACCAGAAAATCTGGGCCAACTGAGTCACCTCGAATGATTGACCTACGATGTCAGTCTGGATGGAATAAAAGTCCAGGGCCAGCTTCAGCTGAAGAGCGGCAGAAGCGGATCGGTGCTTACTTCCCTTTCCTCGGCGGCACTCAGAACCGTTGAAAAAGAATCCTTGATCATGGATCTTCCGAGTTGATAAATACAGTCTTCCAGCCCTACAGTCTGTTAAGTCCCTCTACTGGGACATGCAGTTGGGAGTGAGTGGAGGGGAAAAGTGACAAGCAACAGTTGGAGGCTATCGAAGGATTCAGAAATTGATAGTAGAGGGCATATCGAGGTGTTGGGACAGTAGATGGACGATGAGGTGTGAAGATGTGGGAAAAGTCCAGATGTTTTATTCTGGTGATTTGAACGGCATTATCAGATGTCATACCTGAGTCAATGTCTAAGATTGGATAGTTGCAGTGATTCATTATTATATGTGATGCACAGCTTTGCTTAGCAGTATATAATGAGTTCATCTGAAAGATATTCTATGGCTTTATGAATAGTATAGTGAGATAGATGAACGGCTTTGTATATACAAAGACATACTTTATTATGTGCTACAATATACATGTGATTATCTGTCATTAACAAAAATCCTTTATTCTACTAGCCACTTATCAATGCCTCCTCACTCTATAAATATGTCCACCGAACCTCAATATAATGTGCTAGATAAGCCTCATTCGCTTCACCTCATCATTCTCCAATTTAACCATATCATAAGCTATTATTACTAACAACTACAACATATAATTATAAAACCCTAGGCAGTAAAATTATCCAGCCCCACTCTATTAGGCTTATCGTACACTCCTGATATCTGAAAACTACTCCTAGTACCTCCGAGAGCAACTCATATCCGATCAGAGAATGCATTATAAACACCCTCAACTTCCCTAGCCAAACAGCCCACTCTATCAAACACCTCGCCCCTTTTCAGCGCCGCCACCAACGCTTCAATCCCATTCTGCAGCTCCTCACACACCCTCTCCACATCCTGCTTCTCCGTCTCGGGTCGCGGATCACCCAACAGAAACCGAATCGACATACAATCCCCCGAGAACGAACACCCACGCACCCTCTGCAGCAGCATCATCAGCACGCACACGCTCTCCACCTCACAGCACACCGTATACGGCAGGGGTCCTGGCCGTCCACGTCCACGCCGGCGAGCGTACGCTGCCGGCACTAGGAACTCGCTGTCTGAGTAGGAGGGGTTCGGTGGTGGGAGGTGTCGGAAGATGCGGGATATTGTCAAAGATGACTTGAGACATGTTGTTGTGGATTCTTGCTCGGTGAAGGGAAAGACGGCCTCGATCTCTGCTATGCGGGTGGAGGAGAGGCGTGGCGAGGGGCGCAGGGACATGTCGTCGGACAAGATGGGGTTGTGATAGTCGTCTAGGAACGGATGGCAGAGAAAGGCTCGTAGGCGGTGCAGCTTGATGCGAGATCTAGTTGATATTAGCTGGTTCTACCCTATACAGGAGCAGATACTTACGTATGGATGAATGCCCGAGCAATCACCCACATGGCTCTAGTCGCAGACGCTTCGGCGCCCTGCTGGTTTGTCACACACTGGCAGGAATCAGATTCTGCTGTCAGGGCAACCAGGTGAGTGTCCAGTTCGCGGATCCGGTCGCGAAGGAGAATCGATAGCCTGGCGTTGCTTTCTTCGCTGAGTTCCCGTACTATACAGGAGGATTTGTAGAGAGCATCTTGTGCTTTCACGAGCAGTGGCCACGGCTGCAACTATTTAGTATGACGCCAGAGCAGGACTGGGAAGATGCATACCTCTAAGCAGCAACGGAATTCCGTCAACGGAGTCGTTATACGGGGATCATCCGCGAGTATTATGGGCGCCTAATTACCGTCTTATTAGAGATGTAGGACAGGATATATGCCAGCTGACTTACTACACTGTTGGATATAGATGACTGATAGACCAAGAAGATCTGATCTGATTAGCCTCATCCTTTATTTCCCTCAGAGCAAGACTTACTGTAGCCCACCACGCCCGTCGTTTAGCATTCAAGCTCTCTGCTGCTTCCGGACTCACCGTATGAAGCGACATATCCATGGCAGTTGTTAATGCCAGATTAGCACGAGACCGCATCTTAGCCCTGCTCCCACAGTGACAATATTCGTACAGGCTCAGTAATAATAAAGCAAGGACAGACTCTAGCCCCAGAGGGACATTTGAATGCAGAGAACTGTGCAGACTAGCCGCATGGTGATTTGGATCTTCGACAAACTCCTGAATGCTCTTCAAGGCTGCCCGTGCAAATGTCTCGGCATATGACCGACGAAGACGGACAGCCTGTTCTCTCATGGGATGGGGATCTTCCAGGACGGGGATTAAAGCGAGTATCGCCATCAGTGCCAGACCAAGTGGAGTGGTTGGCCAGAATGGGAGCTGGGAAATGTCAGGTTCGGTGGATTGTGTGGAAATGGGCACGGGATTGTCCTGATACTGCGGGATGGCAGGCTGGGGAAGCATTGGGAAATAAGGATGGATGTAGATATAGTAAGCATTGGCCCTGCCATCCAATCTGTCAGCATTATCTACTGTCAAACATCTATCGACCTACAAGTCCTCTTCACACCGATAGGCCCTGACAACCAACGAGTCATGGCTGCCTGAGGTCTCTGCGGTATCCTGCTGGTCAATTGGCGTTTGTCTGGCTTCTGCAGTCTCAGGCCCTCTATCCAGGCCATCCATGTCCGAAACATCAGGCAAGATGCTGAACGGCGACATAGGGCTGATCAGGCCCCCCAGAATAGCGTCTACCATGTTAGTTAGATTGAATTGGTTGTTCACTTTACAAGTCCTACCAGTAATCTCAGTCGACTGATGGGATGAAGAGGGCGTTGAAGCAGCGGCACGATCATCACGTCGTGAGGCATTCTCATAGCGGACTCCCCTTCGCGCGCCTCCCCGGCGACTGGCGCGATAATGGCATTGTCGCTGATTGGAAATGCACTGCTATCGAGTTAGTCAATCGTTCAGATAGATTGCTCAATCCTGCTTACGCTGGCACAGGGATCCCGTCCGTCGCAGCGAATTTTGGATGCGCGGCTAGAAAGAGTTGATATTAGCAGACAGATTCGCTGGAAAGAGGACGCACCAGGCCAGACAGGCAAGTTTCACTTGGGCTCTCATTTTGCCTGAGTAACAGCGGCTGCAGGGCAAGACAGCATATGCAGGAAGTGGCACGTCATATATAAAATCTATCTTTGCAGAGGTATATTCTGCCTGGCTCATGGGCAGGTTATATTGAATATTAAGTCATTACTGCCTCAGGCTCAGTAGTCATGTGATCACCGTCGTGCAGGTATATTAGTGGCTCTCGGAGTTTGAAGCCCTATATAAGCGGGGTTTGATTATTCAAACACCGAGGTCAACTGATTGGCTGGTTTACAGTATGCAATGCTCCTCGTATAAGTCCATAAATCATTCAAAAAAACATCCACTACGAACAACACTCATTCATCACCCCCAACCGACAAAAGCACGATGACCTGATATCCACATCCGCCACCGCCACCGCCAGATCCAACTGCTGCTTGACAATCCTCGCCTCTGCCTCCCGTCCCAAGCGCACCAAACACTCATGATACCCATGCAGCGCCCACACATTATTCGGATGCTGATGCGCGCGGGTTAACCCCCCATCCAGACCCAAGTCCTCCGCATACGCCATCGCAGCCTGCTCGATCAGTCCCTGCTCCAGTGACAGCGCTGCATACGCATGGCGGATAGGCAGCATCCACCCCCAGGGTTCTGTATACATGAGCGAATCATCGTGGTGGATAGCCTCGCGGAGGTGATCGAATGCGCGGGCGAAGTTGCGTTTCCGATACTCGATTTCCCCGTCCAGCATGGCGGTTGAGACTTTGAGGATGTTGATTATGAGGTTGGGGTGGTCTTTGCGGGTGGGTGGGACGCGGTTTGCGGCGGCGTGGTATAGGTCTCGCTGGGTTTCTGCGTTGAGGATGTCGTTTGTTGCGGCGTAGGCGATGGCTTTGCCGTAGTGCGTCATTGCGGTTGTTACGCAGTAGAGGTCTTGATCGTGTGGGAGGGGGAGGGTTTTAAGGTCCTCCCATCGTCCGAAGCGGGTATAGACGTGTACACGCAGGGATTTGAAGAATTCCAGCCAGTCCGCTAGCGGGGGCGATTTGACTTGCAGGACCTCGTCTGTGATGGACATCTCCATGCGGTCGATTGCGCGGAGGGCGACCTTTGACTGACCCGACAGCATGGCCGCATATACCAGCGAGTGGTAGTTATGCAGCCGGTAGAAACTATACATATTCTTAGCGCCGTTAAGTGCGAGATATTTCTCATCGGCCCGCACAGCAGCCGAGTTGGAGTCGATCGAGCGGCGATAATCACCCACCAGGACGTCCAGATGGGTTGGCATATGGTGGATGTGGCCTGCGTCTGGGACGAGATGGCGCAGACGATCTGCCGCCGGGAGCGCAACGGCCGGTGTGGCTGACATTTCCCAGAAGTGGATGGAGAAATGGATCAGACCGGGGTGATACTCGCCGGCTGGATGTTGCAGACCGAAGTGGAAGAGGCGCTTGACCTCTTCGACTGGCGATGATGCGATGGGCAGGCCGGTCTGGGCGTGGAACATCTTGCGCTGGCTGGTGTGCATCCGGGCGTCGACGTATAGAGTCACGACGTCCATGTCGGTATCTCCGAACTGGTCGTAGACTTTCTGCATGGCGTTGGCGTAGGCATGGTCCCAGGCTGAGAAATCGTCAACGGGGTGGTCGACGGGGAAGCGCGCCTGCATCGCCTCGATCAGGGCATGCTCGATGGGGGTTGTTGGGTTGGTTTGAGATAGGCTGAGGGCGAGTCGTGCGGCGTCATGGCATGTCTTGATGCTCTGTTCGAGGTCGACTGGATCGAACATCCGCCAGGATTTGTTGTAGTTGGGTCCAGCTGCGTAGGCAAGTCCCCAGTAGGCCATGGCACAGGAGCGGTCGTGAACGATGGCCTGCTGGAAACATCGGTAGGCCTCGACATGATTGAAGGAATAACTCCAGATGAGTCCGCGATTGAACCAGGTTTGCGCTGCTTTGGTGTTGCAGGTGATTGGACGGCTGTATTCACCCAGGTCGTAGTATTCCTCCGCTGGGGAGATGGGAAGCAAAGACTCAGGGATGAGGGACATTTTGGAGAATGATTGAATGGATATTGAAATGGTAATGTTCAGTGTATTTATAGTCCAGTCTAAGGCCATTGGAAATTGTTCAAACACCGATTTAGATCAGCCGGAGTTTGAACGATCCATGCTTTAGCGAGATAGTCAAGATCAAGCTTGCCTTGACCCATTATATCCACTCGATTGTTTATTTAGACTCTAACTTTTGGTCCAAGACCTGTGCTTTTCCATGTCTCTGTCAGTCTCATTTTAATTGATGTGAATGTATGTCATCGGGAAACAGAGATGGCTGTTGCCTAAACTGATTCACTGCCGGAACATCGAAATGAAACTGGCACCTTCTTTTCAACCTTCAACTTCTTGATATGCTCATCAAGCCAACCATGGCTTCTCCCCTTGATATCGCCCAGTTTCGTCAAGTCATGGAAGCAGCCGCCGACCAGCACGCCCGGTCCTACAGCAGCTCCCTGGCTGTCTTTCAGGTGGGAGGGCGATATCACCAACCCTACAAGAGACACAGGAAACTTCCAGAACATCCTCCAGGCGTTCAGCCTGCCCAAGGCAGAGGAACTGGTGATCGCAGAATCGGACAGAATGCCGGGGTTGGCTATACGGGATAAGCTAGACAACATGCTCACGACAGCGGTTTCCAGCAGCGGTCGCACCCTGGTTCTTGTACACTACGCCGGGCATGGTGAGGATATTGAAGGCGAATTACATTTTGTCGGGCCTCCAGGCCATTCGCGCAGGGAGCGAACGATCAGGGCCAATCGCTGGATATTTGCCGAGGTTGACATGGATGATTCTTTTCTCGGGCCGGCTGACCTCGTCGATGCCATCTTCTTTTTCGACTCGTGCTATTCGCACTTGACTACGCGATCGCCCGTCCGCAGCCGTGTCGTCGAGGTTCTGGCTGCTGTGGATGCAAGTGACCCTTTCGCTTTTCCGCCGAGGACCAGACCATCCTTTACCGCGGAGGTTGCAAACGAGATTGCTTTTCGAAAAGCACGAGGAGATCGAGTTGTTGAATTTGCAGAGCTGGTTCAATTTCTTCGAGCCAGTTCTGAGGTGAAACCAATCTATGCCATGCGAGTTGGGTTCAACTCGACTCGATTGACATTCCCTGATATTCTCACTCAAAGCACACCTCAATTCCCTTCCTTACAGGCTGTATTTTCATTCCATGTATACAATGCCTCGTCCGATGATATTGCAGAGTATGTAGTATGGACACAAACACTACCACCGGATATTGGGCTGTCATCAGAGAATACCTATGCAACGAATTGTGATGGCGTTTGTCTGATTCTGCGGTCTTCGTATGCTTTTTATACTAAGCTGGCTGGACTGCCCGGGGTGCAGCTGGTGTGTGAGACCAGGTAATCTAGCTGTCTGTCAATGGAGGGATACTTGAATTGCTACTTCAACCCGTATCTAATTATAAAATTGTTGATGTTCATTTCCGGATATCCGCCCGGCGTGGAGTCCGCGGAGTCCGCGGAAGCCACGGAATGCACGGAGTGCGTATACAGATAATATAAAACTCATAAAGACGATGAACAGGATAGTTTCCAAGTGGCAGTGACATGAACACCGTCAAAATGTCTTCAAAAGGGTAAGCTGCCATCCACGCACAATGTGCTGTACTAACAAATCAGCCACAAAACCAAATCCAACAGCAAACCACCATCCACCCACGATGAATTCGAATTCGGCGGCGCTCTCGGCGTCAGTGCCATCATGATCGGTTTCCCCCTTCTCATGTACTACATGTTCATTGGGGCGACCCTCTATGACGGCCATCTACCTCTCCCGGAAGACAACCAGTCCATTCCCGACTTTCTCTCGCATCTCGTCCATCTAGCCTACACGCATGCGTATCCCACGGCTCGCGCATGGAAGATATACTGGACATTCTTCATTCTCGAAGGCGTGGCATATCTCTATCTCCCTGGTGTATACGGGAAGGGGAAACGACTTCCTCATCTGAACGGGCAACAACTCGACTATTACTGTTCTGCAGTCTGGTCGTGGTATGTGACCATCATTGCCGCCTTGACACTCCATTTCACGGGGATATTCAAATTATACACTCTCGTCGATGAATTCGGCCCTCTCATGTCTGTCGGTATATGCACCGGCATCCTCATCTCGGTCATCGCATACATCTCCGCCATTCTACGAGGCGCGCAACACCGCATGACCGGCTCACTCATCTACGACTTCTTCATGGGCGCGGAACTCAACCCGCGGTTATTCGGATTACTCGATTTCAAAATGTTCTTCGAAGTCCGCATCCCTTGGTTCATTCTCTTCCTGCTCACCCTGGGCACTGCATTGAAGCAGATTGAAGTGTATGGATATGTCTCCGGCGAAGTGGGCTTCTTGTTAATGGCGCATTTCCTATACGCAAATGCATGCGCAAAGGGCGAAGAATTAATCATCACCAGCTGGTACGCCTTCACCTTCTATTCTATATCGTATACTTACTAATGAGGATAGGGACATGTACTACGAAAAATGGGGCTTCATGCTCATCTTCTGGAACCTCGCCGGCGTGCCCATGTCCTACTGCCACTGCACGCTGTACCTCGCCTCTCACGATCCATCCACCTACAAATGGAACCCGATCGCCCTGACAGCTCTCTACATTCTCTACCTCTTCGCATACTGGGTCTGGGACACGGGCAACAGCCAGAAGAATTTCTTCCGCGCCCAGGAACGCGGGGTGCCGGTGCACCGGAAGTCGTTTCCGCAGCTGCCGTGGAAATACGTGAAAGAGCCGGTTTCGATTCGCACCGAGACGGGGGATTCGATTTTGTGTTCGGGGTGGTGTGAGTATTCTCTATCTTTGTAGATGGTTGGGTGCTAATGCGTGCTTAGATGGAATGGCGAGAAAAGTGCACTATACGTGTGACTTTTTCTTCGCCATGTCGTGGGGTTTGATTACTGGGTTCAACTCGCCGTTTCCGTGGTTCTATTTTGTCTTCTTTAGTATTATGATTGTTCATCGCGCGAGGAGGGATATCCACCGCTGTCGAGAGAGATACGGGGCTGCGTGGGCCGAGTATGAGCGGCGAGTGCCGTACTTGTTTATTCCGGTATGCTTTCTTGACTTGAACTTATTGAAATATGCTGACTGAATAGTACATTTTCTAATTGATCATCCCTCCCACTCATTCAACAAATCCATAACCGACCGGTTCGCACCGAGAAAGTCATTCAAGAAAAACGATATATCCGCGCTATTCATCCCAAATTCGCCCTGCACTTCTGGAAGAACTATATTCGTCTGTCCGTCCAATGCAGACGGGAGACTGAGCGATCCATCATCGTGTCGTTCTAGTCCTGTCAGTGTCTGCTGCGACTCGATGAGTACTTGTGCTGTATTCAAGAATGCGCGGCAGATTTCATAAAGATGCGAAGACCCCCGCGAGAGTGGTTTGAGGAGGTGTAGCGATTGAACGGTTTCTTGGAGGAGAAGGAGGTCGGATTGGTTTGTTGTTGCGATTGCGTGGGTGAAGATTACTATGAAGGGGGTGAAGGAGGGATATAATAATATCCTGTTTATTATTAGTTTGTCTTGTATATATAATGGAAGTGCTGGGAATACCAATTGACGTATTCGGCTTGTTTGTGTGTTTTTCGATTTTTGAATTGTGCAAAGCATTTGAGATGGCTTTGTAGGGCGAGTGTAGCTGCCTCGAGGCATCGCGTGCTGATCGACATGGCGTTTGACGGCAGCGTTTGGGCTCGATAGATGACCGTCAAGACGGAGTAGGCGATGAAATCCGCGCAGGCTGCCATGCCATGGAGGGACTCTGAATAGAGACCCGTACTCACGTCGATCTATAGCCAGGAAGTCAGTATACATCAATCAAATTTCTGCAAGGAAACATACCGATAATAACTCATCCCGAACAGTAACCAAATCTCCAGACAAAACCTCAATAGCGGCTCCCTTCTCCTCAGACGACATCTTTCCTCCAGACACCGCATACAACCGATCGTATATTCTCCCTTGGATGGCAGAGAACTTTATGATCGTCAACGCCATCAAATCCCACGGCCTCTGCTTCGGATCCGTCGACGGAGTGAAAAAATCAGCGTCGATATCGTGGTCTTGGAAATGCGAGGTGAGACCGATGTTCAGCGAGAGATTCTTGTCGATCATATACAATGACCAGAAGACGTGCCGTTTTGCTTCTGCGATTGGCGTAGGGTCGTTCTTGACGGTCGAGCTGCGATGAAGACCCATTGTTTGGCAGAGGTTAAAGGCGATGGAGAGAAAAGACCAGCATTGTTGGAGGTTGGAGTCTTCTTGGGCTTTGATGACCTTTTTTCATTAGCCACCCTCCACCAAGAACAGAAAGAGAAATACCCCTAAGAATAAAGCCTGGATTTTCTCCAAAGTAGGATTAACCGTCATCTCATAACTCTTCAGTCCAGCCGTAAACCGACGCTCACAAAGCGCAGCATAAGATTCGCAATCCGGCAGATCCGAGTCTTTTTCATGCATATAATCGCGAATAACAATATACAGCAACCCATGCAGCAGCGTCAAGGATCCCGCCGGTATCGGCTCAGACGGAAAGTAAATCTTCTGACACAGCGATTCAATCTGCAGATAATCTCGCCAGGAATGGCTGACAAGAGAAAAAGGAGGTTGTACTATCACAGTTAGAAATAAACGTTTACTTTGTAGAATGACATACCCTTGATCTTCTTAACAACAGCAACGACAAAGCCCACCGGCGGGAGATCAGTATCAGACTGGCCAAAAGTAGCTGCTTCGTTGACCTGCTCCTGTGCCGAGGCAGGATAATGCTGGTCAAGACTGCTTTTCAAAGACATCAATGCAGAAGACACGCTTTCGTCGACTTTATTCTGCGGTAGTGTCGCAACAGCCGAATATGCAGCATCTCGGGCAAGCAGACTCTCGTTGTTGAATGATGACTGCCCTTCAAATGCTGGAGTTGCAGAAGCGGAGATCTGCGTGGATGGCAGTGGCAATGTAGATGGGGATGGGGATGGTTTTGAAGAGACATTTTGTGACAGGTCTTGAATGCTCTTCTGGAGTGCAGAGATTTGCTCTTGGAGGGAGTCGATTTTTTGTTCGCTGTTTACGTTAGATGGGCACTTTTATCTTATGTTAACTTACTATTCATTCGATGCAGTCGGTACATTCGGTACAGTCAATCGAGGCTCAGCACTGGGAGTGCCGCCCCTACATGAAATGCCCAGTGTTCGACAGCTGGAGCAGGGAATGACTTTGTCACATCGTATCTGTCCAGGTTAACACCTGTCTTCTAGGAAGAAAGACGGACTACCTTTCTGACGCGGCAATTGTCGCACTGGAGAAGTCAGCATCTGCATTGATATTAAGGAAGATAGCATACCGCACGAGAGCGAAACGAATTTCGGACTCCTGAATTGATTCTCTCTGTCATTGGAGACTGGCTATCGTCGACTTGGTGTGTTGTTGGTGGATGGAAGTTGGCGTTGGAAGTGCCATCTTATCCGTGCATAATGAGTCAGCATTTGTGCATGCATAATCCATACATAACTATGGCACATCAACGTTCTACAATGTCACTTCAACACATATCGAGGACCATTGATACATATAATTATAGAGTGTACATATAATAAGTCGGACGTATTCATACAGATTATGTACATCTTGTTCGACAGTCACGCAGAAAGCAATACAGAAGGCCTTGCTTCATCGGGACAGCCTATAGAGATATGTATAAGACCACGGAGAAGAATAAAGTAAGATGCAAGTAAAATGAGGGTCGGATAGACTATGTGAGAACGAGTTGCGTTCTGGTAGTTATTGGAAGTTATGTGCACTGCTATCTATATTTGCCAATGCGTATCGACATTTGAACGGGAACAAAGACATTAATTCTATAATCTAATGATTCTATTTAACCATCGACTGTACATACAAAGATGGAGACGATGGTAGAGAGCTTTAGTCTTACTCTTCCCCTTGTAATACGACTACTCGCTGAGCCCCTCGCTGCGCTCATAATCATACACCGGCTCCAAGTCAATGCAATCGCTGCACCCAAATGTCAAGCCGGTAACCTGGCAGTCCTCACACCACTCCTGAGCCCAGTCTTCGCAATAAACAAGACCGGGCCAAGTGTTGAAGCTCTTCCTCCACATGTTGCTCACCCAGTGCTGTACGGCACCAAGGAACTCCACAAAACGCGAGGATAGCTCGCTGGGATCGAGGGGTTTATCACTAATGTACCCCTGCTCCACCAGATCAGGCATGGACAATGGTGGAATCCCGTTGGGAAATCGCTGGTACCAACGTTTCTGGTTCCAAGTATGGCGGAGTGATAGCTCGTCGTCACAGATATCCTCATGCATTCGGAGTAGGATCTCGTGTCGATTAAATAGGTTGTAAAGGAATATATCGCGTCGTCTGACTATCTCGGGATAATGCCGAAGAATCCCAAGAATGAACTGCATGTATGGCGATTCGCCTTTGTCTCCGTCCACGAAATATTTAGCGAAACGCTTCAGCCGAAGTTTGTTGGCCGTGGGCCCAGGCACGTCGTCAAGGTGGACGTCGAGGGAAAAGTTGAGGTCTGCAGCTAGGGCATCAATGTCGTCGAAGGCACACACTTCATACTCGTACTCGGGGTCGCTGTTGTACATCGTATGGTTTCCTTTGCTGTATCCATTGTTGCGAATAAACTCGCATCCGTAGTTGAGGAATCCCCAGTCGATGGCCTTTTCCATCTCGTGGGATGATGGGGTGATGTCAAACTCCTCGACATGTGCCAGTAGACAAAAAGGCATGAAAACAATATCGTGATCTGGTAAGCCTCCTCGGATGTGTTCAATGCTCTTGGTTGACTCTCCATCTGTCTGCCAGTCGATGTCATGGCTCTTCTCGAAAACGAGATCGATGCTCTTGAACGGTGAGCGAGACTTCCAAAGAACTTCGACTAGCACATTAACCTTCTTCCACAGCAAGATGAGTTGGCCTGGATCTTCGGGATGAGGGGCTTCTATATGGACTGCCAGGTTAATCTTGTGGAATGGGATGCTTTTGAAGACGGCGCATCGCCAGTCATTCTCTCCATCGATGGTCCACTCTGCCTGCAACTGTCTGGAGCGAATGACGATCCATGGTCTGAGAGATGGAGAGATATGTATATCGAATGTGTCGTATAGTTGATTGGTGATTTCGTCGTAGATGCTTTTGTTGGTTCGCAGGATAGCCAGATGGTCTGACATATACAGGGCTGGGAGTAGCTGTTTCCAGATCTGGAGTCGCAGTTCGTACGGCAGGCGACCGAAAGCACCGAGTTTCAAAGCGGGAGTCGCCATGATGGATGAAGATGTCGGATAATTGAATGGAGGTCGAATGTAGAGTGTATGGGGGGGGGGGGATAGCGAAGGATAGCTGAGATATGGCCACTAGGGAACAAGAATAGGCATCGATGATCAGTGAGGATGGTGACGTAGAAGTTGTCGGATGGATAGGCAGACACAGAGCGTACGAGGAAACAAGACGGGAATGAGAGTTCTAAAGATGAACCACAATGCGTACGTCCAGTACGGGAGGCTTTTGATGCAAAGAATATATAGTAGCGAGGGATAGTCTGGGTGTTCTCGATCAGTCGTTGAAGTGTAAATACTGCTGTGGATAGATCTTTCTGTTTACCGTCACACTTTCAAGTAAATATGGAAGACAAAGCTGTAGTGCAACTGGATTAATCCCATGTCTGAAGTCGCACTTCGTGTGGCAATTTCGAAACACGAATCTGCAGTGGAATTAAAATGCAAGAGGTTTCCTGGTGAAAGTTCTCAGCAAATGCAACCAGTCAGACACATACCCAAGGCTTATGCCTAGATGGGTATTATTACTTGGATAGGGGTGTAAACATACCCCAATCAGATGCATAAATGTCTATTTCGACAATCAATCGGAGAATATATCCCCACTGACCAGTAGGAATCCCTGTCAGCTGCAGGGATTAGATCCTCAAGGCCTTGTGTCTGGCCAGCTCTGGAGTATATACATGACACGTTAACTGGATAGCCATTGGACCATGGAATGCCTAATGAATCAGTCTTGTGGCATAGTGCAATATATACACCCCGTCTAATAGGTGTAACCGCCGTGCTATACACGCAACTAATCTCTAGCGTAGCACTATCATAACCGAATTTTCGCGGAAGCAACCCCGCTCGAGGAATATAAATTGGTTCCCCTCACTCGTAGAATGCGTAGACTGCTAGACTGCTAGACTGAACTGAGTATCCATTGTCAACCATGGCATCTCTGTGGGCATACTTGGCCATTGCAGGAATTGTCTCCCATCTCGCCTACTTCAAACATGACGAGCATCACATGTACAGCATTCGCTATGTCCAAGCCGCCACTGCCATTCTCGCTGCTGGGTCAATCTTTATCCAGAAGACGCAACAAAAAACCTGGATAGATGCGGTCACTCAAACCTCCACGCTGTCTGCCTACTACCTCACCGGCCTCTTCTCCAGCCTCCTCATCTACCGCGTGCTCTTCCATCCACTACGCAAATTCCCCGGTCCATTCTTCGCTCGAACTTCTGCCCTCTGGTTCGCATCCAAACTCAGCGCCCGCGATGCCCATAAACACCTCCTCGCCCTGCACAACAAGTACGGCCCCATCCTCCGCATCGGCCCATCCGACCTGTCCATCATCAACCCCTCCGCCGTCACCACAATCTACGGCCCTGCATCCCGCTGCCAAAAAGGACCATGGTACGACCTCGCGGACCCAGACTACTCCCTCCAAACCTTTCGCGATAGACCATCCCACGATAAAAGCCGTCGCGCATGGAGCACCGCATTCAGCGATAAGACGCTGCGGGGGTACGAAGAGCGCATCCGTGTCTACCGCCGGCGACTCGTCGACTCCCTCACCTCGATGCAGGGCGAGTCTGTGAATGTCACGAAATGGTTCGGCCTGTACAACTTCGACGTCATGGGCGATCTCGCATTCGGCGAGGGCTTCCAGTGTCTCGAGAACGGCGAGGAGCATTGGTCGATCAAAATGCTGCTGGGGGTGCTGGCGCAGTTGGGACTGTATTTTCCGGCGTGGGTGTGGACGCTGCTGAAAGGGATTCCGATGGCGTCGAGGGATTTGTTTGGGTTTTTGGATTTTTGTGGGGAGAGGTTGGAGGCTAGGATGCAGGTTGGCTTTCACTTTCTGGTATATATATGGATCAGATGAATGCTGACGATGATAGAATAAACCAGACATTCCGGATATCAGTGCTGCGTTGATTGCACCGCAGAAAGGAAGGAAACCGACGGCGGAAGAGCGGCATATTCTGCGTGGGGATTCACGGTTGATTATCATTGCAGGAAGGTGAGTATCTCATCTTATAGATGAATGTATATCTAATAGAATAGCGACACATCGGCCGCGACTCTTGCAGCCATATTCTACGAACTCATGCGACACCCAGATGAGGTGGTGAAACTACGCGCAGAACTCGCTCCACACATGGATGATAATGGCGAGTTCTCGCATACGAAAATCAGCACTCTCGACCATTTGAATGGCGTTATTAATGAAGCGCTGCGTCTGCATCCCCCTGTTCCTGGGGCTGTTCATCGCAAGACACCGCCCGAGGGGATTGAGGTGGATGGCGTGCATATACCGGGGAATACGGATGTATCCTGTCCGCAATATGTGATTGGACGATGTAAGATAAGATGTCTAAATAAAGTACCTCTGAAGAAATGCTAACTCAACAGCCGAACTGACATACGCCCGACCCAATGAGTTCCTCCCGCAGCGGTGGTACTCGGAGCCCAATCTGGTTAAAGATAAGTCCGCATTTGCGCCGTTCAACATTGGTACTATTTATACTCGGCCTATCTTTATTATATCCGGTGCTAACTGAATAGGTCCGTATGGCTGCATCGGCAAACCCCTAGCGCTGCTGAATATCCGGGCGACCGTTGCGCAGATTCTCATGACGTTTGATGTGAGCTTTGCACCGGGGGAGAAGGGAGACAGGTTTGTGGGACAGGCCAAGGATAATTTTGTCATGTATATGGGCGATTTGGATTTGGTGTTTCGACGGCGGTGATCGACCAGTACTTTATTGCTTATTGCTTATTCTGCTAAGCTTCGGAATGGGCGGATCTGCAATGATTGGTCCAGCACATATCATAGGTACCAGTACCTACATTAAATCAATTGACACAAGGTATCATACATACTCTAAATCATCTCTATATCAATCTATCATCCTACATCTATCTCTACATTTATTTTATACTCTTTATATCTCTGAATACTCCAGCCAAGCCTATTTATATCTACTCCGCCCCGCCCCACTGTGTGCGTAAACACCATTGGCCAATGACGTTGTCAGGCACAAACTCTCCAGCCACCAATCAATCCGTCTCTTGTGTGTCATGAGCCAATGATATCTATCTGTTACCCCCACTCGGTGATCCATGGACAAATCACCAGGAACTTCGTCGGCCGCGTGGAAGGCGGAAAACCAGCAGGAAAATGTCTTACCATCGATCTTTTATACCATCACATGGCCCCATTTCTTCTTTTCTTCTTCTTCTTCCTTCCTCAACAATCCGATTATGCAGGACCGCCTTCTCTTCCACCCCATCTACCTATAACATACCTATACCCATAACCACACGAAAATCAACATGGCCAACCTCTCCAACTCCGCCATCATCGTCATCGTCATCGTCTGCTGCCTGGCCGTCGTTTGTATCGGTGCCGCGCTTTTCCGCCAGTACAGTCCCGCCGAACACGACACCCCGTCCGCCTACCAGCCCCAGCACGACCAGCAGCACTACATGCGCAGTGTGCGGATGCGCAATTTCGGGTTTCTACAGGGTGAATCGGTTCGTCCGAAGGATGTCGAGTCGCATTGTAGGTGAATCTCCTGATGATGAGAGGGCGAAGCTGACCGGCAGATGCGCATACCGAGTCATCGGCGTACTGATCCGACACCGACCGCCGACCGGCCGACCGTAGCGATCGGAAGAGTCGGTCGGCGTCAATTTTTTGACTGATTGATGGATTGAAAAGTTTCGGGTGATTGTATGATTATGATGGATTATGATTTCGTTCTTGCGTGGAGTTTGGGTTTATATACGATTGGCTCTGAGAGCCGCGTTTTTATTTATTTATTATTTATTTATCAGGAGTTGATGGAACCCGGTTGAACTGGGATGAGGATGTTTATATGGCACAGTTATATACGGATTATATTGATATTGTTATCTTGAATATTTCATCCTCTCGATAAATGACATCATATCGTGCTTGGCACTTGGCTTCATCTATTGTGGATCTCCAGATCAAATCAATCGTTTCTGATACTCCATCACATCCGCATGTTTCACGCCCCCTACTCTTACTCGACTCAAATCCATCTCCACCCCCTCTTCGACATCCGGATACGGTCCCATCGGCGTGATGGCCAGTGGATTAATATCGCCATGACTCTTCGTATACTGCTCCAGTCAGTTCACCCGTAGTATGATGTATCCACAGTGGATGCAAGCACGTACATTTTCCTTGATATGCTTAAAATCCGTCGTCGCCCGCGCGGCCTCCACATTCCAATACATGTATTTCAACCAGTTATTCAGCACGGGGTAATCGTGTCGGATCGTGCCGAGGTTACACTTGAAATGCTGCACGTAGACGGTGTCGAAGCGGATGAGGGTCGCGTATAACCGGACGTCCAGCTCGGTCATGTCGGTGCCCAGCACGAACGGCCCGTTATTGCTGGAAACGATCTCCTCGAGGCGGTTGAGGGCGCCGAAGACCGGGATGATGTTTTTGTCATAGTCGTCTTGGGTTTTGGCGAAGCCGGCTTTGTACACGCCGATGTTGAGGTCGGATTGCATCCATGACGCTATTTGGTCGATGCGGGAGCGGTGTTGCGGTGGGTAGAGGGTTATTCTTGCTAGATCGTCAGGGAGGAGCGAGTTGAATGCGTCTGGGAGCCAGCGGAGGAGCTCAGCACTTTCCTACTCATCATCAGCATCCATATATCAACCCAGGATGGATAATAGCATACGTTATTAACAATCGTCCCCTCCTTCTCATCCCACAAAACCGGCACCGAATACCGCCCTTTATACCCCGGATCAGACCGAAAGTACACCTCATGTAGATAAGCACTCCCAAACAGCTTATCCACCGTCGCGTTCGGATACTCGTCATCCGATTTGGGGAATCGCCAGCCCGGCCATCCTTTTTCGTCGCCTTTGGGGTACGGATACACGACTGAGATAGGGATTATGTTTGTGAGGCCTTTGAGGTGGCGGATGAAGTTTACGCGGTGGGCGAAGGGGCAGAAGAGGCCTGTATCTGTTAATAAGAGGTTGTATGAGGGGGAAAGGGGGGGATACCGATGTAGAGGTGGTAGCGGTCTTTGGAGGGGGGATGTTGGCTGGTTGGGGAGATGATGCCGTGCCAGCCGTCGGAGGTGTTTGGCTCGTGGGTCATTTTGTTATTATTATTTACTTGTGATATTGTAAATATTTGAATGCTGTTGTTAGGTTGCTGTTGAGGTTGAGTGATGGTGATGATGCAGGAATGCGGGGTAGTTATGTCAGGCATCAACACAGCCAGCTTTGCTTATTGATTGTGCTGTTTGATTAAGCTTTATCCTAGAATATTGACCTCAAACTGTAATCAGTAGTTCTATGTGGGTCATAAGACTATTTATTTAGGTCCTTCTTCCACTCCTCGTATCCCTCCTTGATTGGGATTGGCACCCGTTCAGCCTCCTCCAGCTTCGCTGCAAGGTCCTTTGCTATCTGGTTATTTGCGAAGAGTGCGTCTTTAAAAGTCAGTTCCCTCGAAAGCCTCTTTTCATGACACGCAACGTAGTGGATAATCAGCTCGCGCATTTCGTCGTATCTGTGCCGATAGATGGCAAACAGCACATTGACGACCTTCCGTATATTATCCCTCCTCAGCGTGTAATTGCACAGATCCCGGTGCAGCGACTTGAGACACTGCTGCGCTAGTCCGTGAATACGATAGTAGCTCGCAAAATCGTACAACTCGAAATGGAACATAAGACGCGGGTTTTCCACCGGCAAGGCTGCACTCCCATCGTACTTGAGACTTCGGAAGCTCTCCCGCAGCCGGTCTCTGGCATCTGTTCGTTCCATCAGGTCGATCCCGCGGCCGAGACGATCCGTCTCGTCTTCAACATTCGGAATATACGGGTGCCCGTCATCGGGGGTTTGGTAGGTGCCTGTATACCCGTATTCGGAAAATGCGAGAAAGATGTTCGGCTCGACGTCGTCGAGATAAACCTGTGGACCGTCTGGATCTGGCATGCTATCATACATCAATTCTGTCATTGGGTCGGAAAGGCCCTCGACTATTGCTGTGTGGATATTGAGGGGCCATTGATCTTTGCCGACGAGAAAGATGGCGGTTGGGGATTGAATGATTTTAGTGTGTTATTAGCTGAGTATAGAGATAGTATTTGGGATTTACCGTTTGTAGTCGGGCATCTTGGATGGTCTTGATCTTCGACTTTTGTTTGGGTTGTTCGAGGTCGATTGAATATTTCACCTAGATGAGGGGCTGTGCATGTGTGAGTTGGCAATGATGATTCATCCCACTCGAAGCACTTGGAATAAACTCGAATGCAGATATCATATCAATGGTGTCAATGTCCTATCGACAATATTGTTGACGAGGCTGCATTAGCGCTGACCTTCAGCTGAATGTGATGTGACGTGTTACCCCGCCCTGCGCAGCCTCGTCAGTACGGGTGCTATATTAGTGGAACATTATCTCACGTTCCAATTTAATGCTGACAGTAATTAAGAGCATCGTGATAATTTCAACGCAAATATGGGTTCTCGACAACTCACCCATGACGCCTACAGCGTGGGGTGGGTGTGCGTGCTCGACACGGAGATGGACGCAGCAAGAGCACTTCTTGACGAAGAAGACGAATCGCTTGATCCAGGGGCAGGCGACGATAATAGCTACACCCTTGGTCGAATGGGGAGACACAACGTTGTCATTGTCGCACCGGACTCGTACGGAACCAATCCCGCCGCTCAGACGGTCACAAATATGCTGCGGACATTTCCGAAGATTCGATTTGGGTTGATGGTTGGGGTTGGAGGGGGCGCACCAAAAGAACCGGATCTAGAAGATACCAGAAAAGATATTCGATTGGGAGATGTGGTTGTTAGTGAGCCTCGGGGTAGTCATGGTAGGTTTTATGATACTTGATTCCTTCGGGTTGAGCTGATGTTTTAGGGGGTGTTCTTCAATATGACATGGGAAAATGGAAAGACGATCAGATAAAAATCGAGTCTCATCTGAATAAACCACCTGGAATTCTCCTCAAGGCAATGAAGAAATTGCGAGCCGACCATCGGTTTAAGAAAGGGAAGATGCAGGAATACATACGGGACTTTGCAGAGATAGCGAAGGATCTACCAGAACTGGCAGGATGCCAATTTCCTGGCCGGGAAAGCGACCTACTATTTGAAGCAGGCTATGCTCACCTTCCTGGCACAGATTGCAGCAATTGCGATGCTGAACATATTATGAAGCGACTTCCTCGAGAGAGCTATGTTGTTCACTACGGTCTCATCGCATCTGGAAACGCTGTCATCAGATCTGCACAGCGCAGGGATGAACTACGAGATGCGTGGGACGTCCTTTGCTTTGAAATGGAAGCAGCAGGTCTCATGAACAGCTTTCCCTGCATTGTCATCCGCGGAATATGCGACTATTCCGACGGCCACAAGAACAAACGGTGGCAACCGTATGCGGCTGTCGTGGCTGCAGCATATGCAAAAGATCTCCTTCGAGTGGTTCTCCCTCAACAGATTGAAGAAACAGATACTGCGGCTAGAATTATCGGGAACTGTGAGTGTATCTCAAGATTCTAGGAGTGACTGTACTAACCAGCAAAGAAAGTCACTGACGCCATTTGCAGAATGGAACAAGGCATATCGACAATAGAGACAAGAGCAATGGATGGAAAGAGAGATGAAATTCTCAACTGGCTTACCCCCGTTGACTACGAACTCGAGCAAAGCAACATATTCAGCAGGCATGAACCAGGCACGGGACGGTGGTTGCTAGATTCAGAAGAATATCAAGCCTGGGCCAGTCAAACAATGCAGACCTTATTTTGTCCAGGAATTCCTGGTGCAGGCAAAACTGTCCTCTCTTCCATAATCATCAGCCATCTCGATTCCCAGTTCGGAAATGACTCGGATGTCGGAATAGCGTTTGTGTATTGCAGCTATCGAACAGGGTCGCAACATAAGCCTGCTGATGTACTGCTGGGTATCTTGGGACAGCTTGCAAGGAAGCGACAGACAATCCCTGAAGACATCGTGGGTGTTTATGAGAACTATAAAAGAAAAGGGACCCGCCCGACGACGGAAAAGATCGCAGGCATGCTTGAGTCCATTTCCAATTTGTACACCAAAGTCTTCATCATTGTCGATGCTCTGGACGAATACTACCATCTCAATATGGAGGGATTCAGTCAGCTCTTATCCCAACTCTTCCGTCTCCAAGCGAAAACATCGTTTAATCTCCTTGCGACATCACGATTTATCAATGAAATTACGTCTAGGTTTGATGGCTGCATATGGAAAGAAATCCTCGCGCAAGATAGCGATATCCTATGCTTTCTGAATGCTCGCATACCAAAGCTCCTCCAATCGCAGATATCGAAACATCTCGACGTTCAAGAGAAAATCAGAAGCAATATATTGAAATCAGCCAACGGGATGTATGTATCATCTCCTCCCTCCTGCATGCCTTCTGCCAACTAACAAGTCCCAGGTTTCTTCTTGTACGTCTTCATATTGACTCTCTTTCAGGCGAGGTCACTGTCGGAGACCTTGAAATCGCGTCCGCAAAACTGCCTCGGGGAGAGAGACGACTTGACGAAACTTATCGCCAAGCCATGAGAAGAATTCGGAATCAGCCAGAAGGTCACCAGCAGTTCGCCAGCGAAATTCTATCCTGGTTAACCTACAGCAAGAGAGCGCTTTCGCTTACTGAAATACAACATGCTCTTGCTGTCAGGCCGGAAATGGCAGAGTTGGACTCGAGATTCATCCCTGATTCTGGAATTCTTGGTTCCATTTGTGCTGGATTGGTCACAATGAACCAGAATAGTGCTACAATTCACCTGGTTCATTATACCGTAAAGGAATACTTCGAGCGAACAGCCCAATTCCCCGATGCTGAAGATACAATCTCGAAAACTTGTATCAGGTATCTTTCATTCCAAATCTTTGATACCGGATTTTGCTCAACAGACGATGAATTTGAGATACGACTACGGAACAATTCACTTTACGCTTATTCTGCACAATACTGGGGATACCACAAAAGCACAAGTCACGAAACGGATTTGTTGGCAGTTCAACTCCTTGAAAATAAGCCAAAAGTAGCTGCTGCCATCCAGGCTATGTTTGTGTCCGAACAAGACCTCAAGCCCCCAACATACAGCCAGAAAGTCCCGAAAAACGCGACGGGAATGCACCTGGCGGCATATTTTGGACGAATCGATTTGATGGAGATGTTGTTACTACAAAGGAACGACCCGGACCTTAAAGACAGCAAATGGCGAACTCCATTGTCATGGGCCGCGGATAATGGCCACATCACAGCAGTTAAGTTCCTTCTTACCTCGGAGGGTGTTAACCCAAATTCTATGGATACAAGTGGATATACACCACTCGCACGGGCAACTTTGCACGGCTACAGAGATGCCGTAGAGGCCTTACTTTGGGACAATCGTGTCAACCCTGATCCGAAGGACAGCTTTGGCAGGACGCCACTTTCGAGAGCTGCAGAGAAAGGCCACGAAGATATAGTGCAGCTGCTTGTCGCAAAAAGCAATGTGAACGCAGGCTCAGAAGACAGATTTGGTCAGACCCCACTTTGGTGGGCTTTAAGGATGGGGCGACGAAGTATCGTCAATATATTGCTCGCCTTACATACCAAAAAATCAAGTGATGTTGAGATACACCTGTGGATGGCCTTGCAGCGAAATTCCAAACTGGCACTGAAAGCGCTCCTTGACAGCGAACATGTCAATTTGAACTGCCCAGGGGTAAATGGACTGACACCACTTTGGTGGTCGCTCAAAAATGGCTATTTGGATATCATGGAGATGCTCCTCTCACGGAGTCGAGTGGATGTCAACAGTCGGGATTTGCATGGAAATACGCCGTTGTCATGGGCTGTTTCGAGTGGAAACATCACAACAGTCGAGTTGCTGCTGGCTGTGGACAATATCGACATCTATGCTGAAGATTGGGTCGGTTCAAGTCCCCTTTCGATAGCAGTCAAGAATCGATATGACAAAATTGTCGAGCTTCTTCTTCAAAAGAGTGATGATCTAGACTCCCAATATGTGGAAAATCTACTTTCAGTTGCCGCTAAGAATCTCCATAAGAATGTTATCAGGCTTCTTCTTGAAAGGGCTGCTGATAAAGAATGTGGAGATCTATCTGAAGAAAACCTACCAGCAGCTGCAGTCAGGAATAGCGATGTGAAAATAGTCAAGGCTCTTCTTGAGAAATTCGGTGATACAAACGTCCGATCTCTGCTTTCAGTTGTAGTTGATAATGGCCATGAGGGTATTTCCAGCCTTCTTCTCGAGAAGACTAGTAATATATACCCTATCTTCAGCCAGAAATTCCTCATAGCTGCAGTGGGGAATGATCACGAGGGTATAGTCAGAGCGTTTCTCAACAATGGCGTTGAAATAGACTCTGAGGACAGCCAGAACTTACTCTCCATTGCTATTGATAATGGATATACTGAGATTGTAAGAGTTATTATTGGAAGCGACATTGATATAGGCCCTGAATTCGGCCAAACATTGTTGTCGTCTGCCGTTAACAATGCCCATGAGGGTATCCTTCGACTTCTTCTTGGGAGGATCGTTGGTATAGACTCTCGGTTCAGCCAATTTTTGTTGTCAACTGCAATTAGAAATGGCCACGAAGATATTGTCAGGCTTCTCCTGGATAAGGGCTGTGACATATACTCGGAGGATCACTTTGGGGAGAATCCACTTTCAGTTGCAGTGGCAAAAGGCTATGAGAGTATTATCGTTCTCATGTTAGAGAGTGCTGAGCTTGATTCCGACAATGAACTCGATCACGCTACACATTTCAACGACCTACTCATTAACCAAAGCATTGACCTCAACACCTGGAGTCAGCATGGCCAACCTTTGCTATCATTCGCAGCGCGGAAGGGCGATCAACGAATGTTCAAGATCTTATTGAATATGGGTGCCATGTTTGACTCTCGGGATCAACACAACCAAGCGCTATTATTAATGGCAATACATAACGACAATGAAGCGGAGATCGGGGCTTTATTGAAGAAATGTGTCGACCTGACCTTCACCGATGATCATGATACGACATTACTATCCATAACAGCAAGAAGAGGATATGAAGAAATAGTCAAGCTTTTACTCAAAAAGGGCATGGATCCAAATATCGATACCAAAGGCAAATTCGAATTCGAATTTCAGATGTCCCCAAAACGGAACATGATATTAAAGATGTTATTCGAGTACGGGGCCCATCCTAATGTTCGTTGGATGGGGAATTTACTCCGCCAGGCAGCAATAAGGGAAGGTATAGAAACTGTGCAGATTTTGGCATAGAATGGCGTCTGTCTAAAGAGCGGCCTGGGCTTCATGAAACAGCGTCTACTAGCATCGGCCGCCAGGCGCGGTTGCAAGGCGTTTGTCAGATCGCTGTTAGATGCCGGCGCGGATCCAAACTACCAGGGTCGATTCAGCCCATCCCCACTGAAACAGGCACTGAAGGAGGGACATGGTGAGATAGTGGAACTTTTGCTGGAGATGGGTGCTTGTCGAGAGGTTGAGGTTGAGGTTGCATCGATTTCAGATCTATCTTTGAGATAGAAGAGGAACAAGTGTGATTCTTGATTTTGAGGGGCCTTCTACGAGAAAGAATTCCACTCCGGGTATCAAAGATCCAAGGTGATGCCTATCCAAACTCCCAGCTTGATATCATCTCTTAGTCAGTTGTGAGTTATGGATGCATGCCTGCGTTACTACTTTAGGTAACAAGTCCATCTCTTACTTCACCTCCAGTTTACTTTGATATCATAGAAGGAGTGAGAGAAAGCAATCGGCGCTAATTCAGACTCGCCCAACTATTTATACAACATCTACACTCTCCATCTCTTCTTCTCTCTTCCTCCTACCCATTCCACTCCGCATACCCTGAACACCTCGACATTCCACCCCTGAGCCTACAACAAAATGGCACCCACAACATCCCATCTAGCCTTTTTGACCGAAATGGGCGACACCGACGTATATAACGATCTTGCATTAGTCTGCGGAGATGAGAGGTTCTATGTCCACAAGGTCATTGTGTGTAGCCAGTCGCCTGTTCTGGCGGAATCGTGCAGCAATAACCTCCAACTTGACTTCGAGGTAAGACTGAACAATAAATGAGTACTGGGGGGAGACAAGCTGATTGGAAAAGACGGGAGCTACGAACGATGAAATTGACGTCGAAGGATTCGACCCCATAACAGTGCGGTGCATGATAGATTATATGTACCGAGGGGAATACGAGATCCCAAAAGAAAAGAGACCCGAGTCCCAAAAAGAAACAATGGCCGAGATTCTGCTTCCCCATGTTGAGGTGCATTCTATTGCTGAATGCTACAAAATCTCTAGACTTCGTGAGTATGCCACGGATTACATCAGAGACATTCTTGGTGATAGTCTGTGCGTGGAGGGTTTGATGGAGGTGGTTAGCACAGTCTACAACACGACAGAGGATGCTGCTTTGCGTCAGGTGATGATTGACGAAGTAGCTTTCTTCATCGAAAAACTTGTTGACCGAGATGATTTTGCCCAACTTGGTTTACTGAACGAGTTCAGTCTTGATGTCATTCGAAAGCTGCAGAAGCAGATTCAGAAGCTGGGATCTCATCAAGGCCGTGTTTCGTTGTTCTCAGCAGTGGCTGCTCAGCAGACCTAGTGGTATATGTTACACCATCTTTCTGAGGGATTTGTCTTTTCGGATTCGAATTGGATTTGGGCATTCGTTTGATTCTGTCACTACATTGAATTTATCTCTCCATGTGGCATTATCCTGAAGATAGAATCAATGCAAGCATAGCTAGTGCGATGCTCAATCTTAGCACTGTTATTGCCATGTTATGTATTTAGAGCCCAGGTTGCTGAAGTTCTTCTATGATACCTAGTATCAACAAGTCATATTTTCATTGTTCATGGGATATTTTCTCTAGAAATGTAGACAAATCTGCATCCGCATCTTTAAGGGCTGCGTCTGGTAGAGGTAAATAGTAATGGCCTATACCAGGGTGCTCGGAATGTAACCAGTGCAGGGTTGTCATAGAGATGCCGATATCGACTGAATTTCCAAAGATGATCTGGTCAAAGTAGGAGGTGGGGACTATGTAGGAGAATATTAATAAAGATACATTCTGCGAGAGAGCAGGAGCCATAGTCGATGATGTCAATGGAAGGGGTTTGGAGAGAGGGGAATAATTGCAGACTCTTGAGGGCAGCTTGACGCTGCATGGGAGAGCTGTTGTTGTAGTCGGGTGAGGCTGTGGATGCCATTACGATTTATATCTAATATTACATCATTTTCAGTGTATTTTATTATTTTCCCATGTTTGAGACAACGGAGGTCTTGAACTACGTATGTAGCAACTAAACATACATAGTATAAACATATCACTCCAGTCCATCCGCATAATGCAAAGCAGCAACATACACAATCGTCAGTCCTATCCACAACGCAAGAGTCAAATCCCCACAATTCGAGCACTCCGTCAGTGAGCAGGAATAGCGGACGAGGAATGAGAGAAGTAAAAAGGTATAATGGACTGTCGGGTCAGATATGTCGATGCTATGAAAGAGGAGGTACGTACGTCCGGTTACTGCGTGCGATAGCTTTGATTATCCTAGATAACCGAGATGTGGAGGTCGTGGATGGTTGGGATTTTTCCATGCTGGGTGTGTGATATGAAGACATATGAAGAGATGAAAAGTGTAGTTTTGGCACCCAGAAGTTAGTCTAGAATGACTCAGCCTTATGAAACACATTTGGAGCTTATTAATCCAGTCTTTCAATAATATAGATTATACTCGTTAACATGCATTGCCATCTACATCCTATGGATGCTCTTCGAGAAACTTATCCCAGTTCTGGCAGTCCATCATCTCCAACCTCTGCTGCGCATTGTGATACTCAAACACAACATCCACCCCTTCCATATGCACATCCAAATCCCTCTCCTCTGTCGATTCTGTACAAAATGATACATACACATTCTTCAAATTTCCATGCCTCTTCGCCTCCGCCAGCTTCTTCAGATGCGGCACGATCTTCGCATTCGCATACAGAATCGTCAACCTTTCCAGCGACTCGGGCAGCACATCCACCAGATCCGGTACAGGGACATTCTTCGGCTCGAGAGGATAATCCTCGTCGCGGAAGTTCTCATCTGGCTGGGCGTGAAGTATACCAAGCAGAGACTGCATGCCCGTGCGGAGGGTTTTGAGGTTGTGGAATTGAGCGAGTGTTGTCCCCATGTGCAGGATTTGGTCGTCATCCCAGTACGCTCTGTCCCAGTCTTCGTCGAGGGAGATGGTGAGATCCTCGAGTGTGGATTTGTGTTTGAGGAGAGCGGTGATGATGATGTTTCCTGTGAGATGGGGCTCGAAGAAGGGGATTCGAGTGAGGCTGTAGTGGAATGTGGTGAGGGTTTTGCAGCTGTCGATCATGGCTTCGTAGAACTCTTTGCAGAGGGCGCCTTGGACGAGAGTTATACTCTCGACTGAGGATGTGTCTGGGGAGAATATGTTCGTTTGATAGTAGTCCCGATGCGGCATGTTGGCCTTGAATGTCTTGAGGGACGCAATGTTGAACGCAGCAGAATACTGCTCTGTCATCGAATTCCCCCCGTCGACATCTTTCGTATCGGTGATAAAATGCTTGACATTCGACAAGCCTGAAAAATCGACCTCCGAATCAAACGATGCATATTCCAGAATTGTCAGGGTGAGTTCCGGCTCGTCCACATCATCAAGAATCAGCGTCTCCAGATTCGGCAGAAGACACAATATCAAAGTACTCTCTGCATCGAGAATCCCAATCGTAAGACCATGATTCAACTTTTCAATAAACTCATCTGGCAGCTTAAGTTTAGAAGTCGCTTCTAGGAATAATTTCAGATCGTCAACTGTTGGTTCAAACTGCCATCCTTCTTCGTCAGGCTGTGGGAATGCGCGAAAGGCTTGTACATGGCGAGCTAGCTCTGGCCTGTTCAGTATAGCTCGCAGAAAGGATTTGTAGGTATATTCGTTGCCATTATAGACAGGTTCAACGGTTGTGTAGAGAAAAGGTTCGGCGAGATTGTGGAATTGCTTGGAGACGAGAGAGAGATTGTAGAGGGAGGGTCTGTCAAGGAAGGAAAGGATGGATTTGAGAGATGCTGGAGGGAGAGTAGAGAGAGGCATTGTGATATTGGTTGAATATACTCAATGTTGATTAAAATGAAGATGATGGAGATGTCTTTAAATGGAGACAGCGTGGCAGTGTTTTGGCCCCATCTCAGCCTTGCTGATGCCTAGATTGACAAGGCAGAAGTTGAATACAACTAGGCAATAGCCTTGTACCAGCATAACCCATCCAGAAGCTGCGTTACTTAACAGGAATATCAAAATTATATCTAACTAGAAAATTTATGAAGGTGATTCCAGCAGAATTCAATGTAGAAATAGAAATATACTCTATCTCAGTTTTTGCGTCATACAAATGTAAAATGGATAAATGTTAAGATGATGTAACTACACACAACACCAACTCATCTATTTCAAGATAGCAATAACAATGACTATCAATTTATCATCTATCTATTCAGAAAATAAAAAGAGACATAGAATGGCATCCTGGCGCCCCCTTTCATCTCACCTCCGCCCATCAGCATCAACACTAGCATATACCAGAACCCTCTCCAGCAAACCACACATTCAGCAAAAGCTCCCCCACGTCCCATCGAACAAACTAAACTCACGGTTCCGAGAATTCGACCTCCAAGGTAAAGTCTTCGCCGTAACGGGTGGAGCAAGAGGGTTAGGGCTTGCTATGGCTGAGGCTTTGGTGGAGGCTGGCGGGAAGGGTAACCCTCTTACTCTTACTGTCACTGTTGTTTCTTTCATATACTAATGCTGACACTGACCGATGATAGTATACTGCCTAGACAGACTCCCCAAACCAGACGATGAATTGCACACAGCCCAGAAACGCGCGAATCCTGATTTCGGTGGCTCACTGCACTATCGCCGGATGGACGTTCAAGATCGCGAAAATACGAAACAGACAATGGCAGAAATCGCAAACGAGAACAACCGTCTCGATGGACTCGTCGCAGCAGCGGGCGTTAACCACGTTGAAACTGCAATCGACTATTCCCCCGCTGATATCGATCGTGTTGTAGGCATTAACTATATTGGTATCTTTACCTCCGCGACTGCAGCCGCTACACAGATGCTCGAGAAGAAATGCCGGGGCTCGATTCTGCTCGTCGCGAGTATGAGCGGTCTCGTCGCGAACAAAGGCATGATGTCGTCTGTGTATAACTCATCCAAAGCGGCCGTGATACAGCTCGCGCGGAGTCTGGCGATGGAGTGGGCGCGTGTCGATAGAGATGGAAAGGGAGGTATTAGAGTAAATTGCTTATGCCCGGGCCATGTGATGACGCCGATGGCTAGGATGGCGATTGATAAATCGCCCGAGACGAAGAGGTTATGGGAGTCGGAGAATATGCTGGGACGGTTGGCGAGGGTGGAGGAGTTTCGGGGGACGACGTTGTTGTTGTTGAGTGATGCGAGCAGCTTTATGACGGGGAGTACGATTGTGTTGGATGGGGGGCATACGGCTTGGTAGTTTATTTTTAGTAATGTCATTTGACAACACATGAATTGGAGATCGATGAAGACGGCTATTCCTTAAAACGAGAATCCTCCACTTCAAGTACGTCACCCTTCTCTGAATCAACGGATGCGTCCACCGAGTTAAGAGGTCTCTTTGAAGCAGCCACGATTTGGCGGATACTCATATCCCCAGCGAACAATCTGTCGAGATCTTCTAGGCTCCGACCCATGGTTTCTGGGTATAAGAAGTATACTGAGACAGGAATGCAAGCCCCGATAACAGCATAGACGATATAGTAACGACTTCCGATATTATTGATCGCGACAGGGGTGATCATCGTAACGACAAAGTTCCTATTCTTGTCAGTATACGAAGATGATAAGATCTCTGCGTAACGTACCAAAGCCAGTGGTTGGCGGTCGAGATAGAAGCCATGGCTACTCGGAGTCGAAGGGGTGCCACCTCGGTACAGTATAGAAAGTTCGCACCCAAGAACCCAATTGGGATGAAAAAATTGAAAAGGAAGATGAAGAAAGCCGACGCAATTGATGCAGATTGGTTTCCATGCGGAAAGCTCGTAGCGATAGCCAAAGCAACCATGCACAACGCCATTCCTGCGCCGCTCACCATGAAAACCACCCGACGGCCAAATCGATCGATGCAGAAGAATGCAACGAAGCATGAAAGGAATTTCCAGGCTAGTGTGGCAGCGGCAAGAATACGAGACATCATGCTGGTCATTTGAAGGTTCTCTTGGAAGATGATCGGGGCGTACACCGAGATGAGGTTACCTAGATGGTGTCAATACAGATTTATCAATTAACTAATCCAAAAGATTTCTTACCACCAGACATCTGTTGGTAGAATTGCAGCAAAATGCAAAGCCCAAAACGGTAAAGCAGTTTCTCGTCATTCGGACGAACAATATCGAGAATTGAAACGCCCTGCGAAACCTCTTCTAGCGAGAATTGAATTGCAGAAATATCCCGCTGGATTTGATCAGATGCAATAGGGGCGCCTTTGAGATTGGATAGTGTTTCTCGAGCTTGATCAATCCGACCAGTGCGGACCAGCCAACGAGGTGATTCTGGCAGAAAGAAAATGGACGCCAGAGGAACTAGCGAAATCACGCCTGGTATAGCCAAAGGCAGTCTCCACGGGACTGAACCAGTCTTAATCTGGTAGAAGCCCAGATTCACCCAGGAAGTAATTGCATAGCCGGCACTGATGAACAAGCCATCCAAGACAACATGCTTTCCTCGATTGTGTGCAGACGAGCATTCAGACTGCCAGACGGGTACAGTGGCGCTGAGAAGTCCAATTCCTCCACCGATCACAGTGCGTCCGACAACAAACTGAGCGAGTCCGTAAGAAGAGCAACAAAGTATCTCCCCGATCAACGTCGCAAGGGTTCCGAGAAAGATGACTTTGCGCCGTCCTAGGATATCTCCAATAAAGGAGCACGACAAGGCACCGACAAGGGCGCCAAGAGTAAATGTTGAAATAACGACACCCTGAATAGTGGAATTATGGCTCTTGGTTGCGCCCGACGTATGAGATGTATCGATCTGAGGAAAGGTCTTGGTCCAGTCTTCAACTGAAACCAGACCTCCAATACCGGCCTGGTTATAACCAAAAAGAACAAAAGCCGGGCATACCACAAGAAACAGCTGAGCGAGGGACAAATAATTGCCACGGAGAAACATTTTGAAACGTCAATTGTAACAGTTCTGATGATCAGAAAAATTCATCCCAGTCGAGATGACAGCTTTTATACTGACAGCCCTGCGACTGACAGCCTGTCAGACAAGCACGGCCGGCATTGCACACGCGTGGGCCCCCACAAACAATCTGGGGAAAGAATGTACCCCAGAATCGCCAAGATGCGGTCTTAATCCGGCATTGCGGGGGTGGAATAGTCGTCCGATAGGGTTAGACTCTCGGGATAAGGCCTATTCCGTCGGGATAGCCCCGCGACGCGCTCGGGATAGCACACGGCGCATACAGTCGGGCTCCTCGGCAAGCCAACGTCATATAATAAAAGAGACAAATCGTCAGTTGGCAGGCCAGTCCGATTGTCTCCTCACTTTCAATTAACGCCTCTTGGAGTATTTCACCATGTCAGTCAGCCCGCTCGATTCTCGCATTTTTCGCAACCTCTTTGGCACAGAAGATATCCGCGGCATCTTCTCGGATGAAGCATACATAAAATGCCTTATTGAAGTTGAAATCGGGCTGGCGCAAGCCGAGTCCAAAGTGGGTGTAATTCCGCAGGAAGCCGCGGATGCCATTGCGCATACCGCAAAGTACGAGAACCTCAAGTAAGTCACGTACCACCGAAAGATGACAGTCAACTAACAATTGCTAGTCTTGATCGCATGGCTGCTGACACAGAGAACGTCGGTTATCCTGTGTTGCCATTGGTATGGCAATTGTCCGAGATGGTGGATCCGGAACAGGCAAAGTACATTCACTGGGGCGCCACCACTCAAGACATCATGGACTGCGCTTCGATGCTACAGATTCGCAGAGGACTGGTTGTTCTCCGCAACAGACTCGCCGAACTCAATGACTCCCTAACTCAGTTGTCCGACAGATATGCCAACACGTAAGTATTCTGCGATGGTTTTCAAGAACTCACTAATGGGGAAAAGACCAATGGCAGGCAGAACTCATCTCCAACACGCCCTTCCAGTCACCTTTGGATACAAATGTGCTATTTACTTATCCGGTATCCAACGTCACTTGCAGCGTCTGAACGAAATTGAAAGTCGATGTCTCCTCGTCCAATTCGGAGGTGCAGCAGGAACATTGGCCTCGCTTGGCTCCGACGACACTGGCATCAAAGTCCGCAAGCAGCTTGCCATCGAACTCGGCTTAAAAGATCCCTCTATTACCTGGCATGTGGCTCGTGATCACGTCGCAGAAATCGTCAGCTTTCTCGCTCTAATCGGAGGATCACTTGGAAAGATTGCTCTGGATGTTATCATCATGTCATCAAACGAAGTTGGTGAAGTCGCCGAACCCTTTGTGCTTCACCGAGGAGCCTCCTCCACCATGCCCCAGAAACGAAACCCCATCTCGAGCGAAGTCATTCTTGCCGCATCAAAGCTCCTCCGCTCCCATGCATCCCTAGCCATGGATTCCATGGTATCCGACTTTGAACGAGCGTCGGGCCCTTGGCACCTCGAGTGGAGCTGCATTCCAGAGTCATTTGTAGTATGCTGCGGTGCGCTTCACCAAGCCAACTTTGTCATGAGCGGCCTTGTCGTGAATACAGACGCAATGAGCAACAATCTCAACATGACCCGCGGTCTTATCGTCGCTGAGGCTGTCATGATGGGAATCGCGCCGGAATTAGGCCGTCAAAAGGCTCATGATGTGGTTTATGAAGCCTGCAAAAAGTCTATTGAGACCAACCAGCCATTAGTAGATGTTCTGCTCCAGGACGAGCAAGTTACGGGTCAAACCAGTACCGAGAAACTGAGGTCACTTTGTGATCCATGCCAGTATTTGGGTTGTTCTGCACAAATGATCAAGGATGTGGTGGGCCGTACATAGAATATAGATCTGTGAACTAATAGAAATGTTATGAATGTAAATGTCAAATGAATCCCACGATTCAACCTCAATGATCTGAAATAAGTCAGTGAAGCCATAAAAGATTCCTCTTGTGTCTGAAAATAAATAAAAACAATTGATGGTGGGCTTCATCGCCTTTAACCCGCTAGTCCCGATCGGGAAAGGCACGTGGCATCCCCAGTGTTGGTCCAGCTTCATCTTGTCTTTTTCTTTTCGCGGCTTTCTCATCTCCGCTGCATCGGCAGCAACACGCATTATGGTATATAATTAGGGCTTCAACGGCTGTTAAATTGCTATGGACGCCATGGAGTCACCTACCATCGGGACGTCGCTGGAATTCCTTGCACAGCCGGGAAACGACTCGACCGTCTCTCCACAACCGGCAGAGCTGCAAGTCTCATCGCAAGTATGGTAAGTTGTATTCGGTATAGGCAAGGAATACAAATTTGAACTAATTCCCATCTACAGTGACCGTTGTCGTATGTAAGTCGCTTTCGTTTTTGTCTGGTGAGACAGTCAGACTGACTCTGGCAGCAAAAAAATCGGCTGCGATGGACTTCTACCAACCGTGAGTGTACCCCATAAAGAAGGTGATCATAGCTAATGCAATCTGGCTTTCAGTGCAGTTGCTGTCAAACAGCCAATGCTACATGTACATTTTCGAAGAAACTCAAGAGGAGAACTAAGCCTCGAAGGTAAGCTGTTCGAGATTATTGAATGAATTCCAGTCTGACTTGATCAGACACGTCGAACAGCAAGACAAGATCATCGAGAACCTCAAAATCCAGAATGAAAAACTGAAGCAACAACTGGAACAAGTCATTGCCATCAATTCAAAACCGGGAAACCCCGGCGGTTCAACCCTAGGGGCAAATGTACCGCGTTCTCCCCACTTTGCGCAAGCTCAGTTGTTACCTTTTACGCTTGGGTCGGGCACATCAGACACACTGCAGGAATCTGAGCAACCCATCATCAAACATCTGGGTCGTTTAGTCTCATCAAGCTCTGGTACGCAGCGGTTTGCGGGCTCCACTACGGGAATCCATTTCATACATTCGGCCGAGAAGGTATATAAAACATGCTTCAATACGGCAGAAGAATTTCCTGAACCCGTATATCGGCTTCACTGTCTTGGTCCCCTAACTCGACCACATCAAACTGAGCCACATGTCAATCAATCGGAATTACAACAGCCATACTTTGTCTTGGATGGACCGAGGACATCGTATTTGCCGAAACTCACGAGATTCTTCAAAAGATGGTCATCCATTTGGCCAGTTCTTATGCAGACGCAATTCTTTCAGGCTTTCCATCTGATATTCGATAGTGTCGAAATCAACGCGAGTTTCTCAGATATGGATCTGGCCGGTCTGAGACAAGTGTACCTGGTTTTGGCAATCGATGCCTGGGATAGCAACGGCTCCTCACTTAATCATTCTAATGAATGCCATATATATTACGAGAAAGCTTGTCAATTAGCTCGCTTGGGATTGAAAAGGGGGGATCTTACTGAGCTTCAGTCAGTTATACTAACATGCCTGTACCTTCAAATCACCCGGCACCATTCAACATGGATCCAAACAAGTGGGCAGGCTGTTCGGCTAGCTCAGTCATTGGGCTTGCATCGTCATGCCCGTCGCTTCACATTCTGCCGTGGAGATGTAGAACTGAGGAAGCGTGTGTGGTGGTGTGTGTATGCTGTGGATATGTAAGTCTCACTGAACCCTGTATTCTCGATCTACTAACATCATTTAGTGCCAGCAGTATTGTGCATGGGCTGCCCAAGGTGATTCAGGATGACGATGTTGACAATGACCTTCCTGTCGATGCAGACCTGGAGGATTGTACGGCCACCGAAATTCCGCTTCCCCTACCAGGCGAATCTACCAATTTTGGGATCTTCATCACATATATAAAGCTACTTCGGATCATGTCCACCTGTTTGAAAACTTTATATACAACGACTAAGCGGCGGAATGGAGTCGCGAAAATCACCGCACTCGACCAGGAACTATCCGTTTGGAGAAACAGCATTGGCAATTTCAAAGATCGAGACACTGCTTCTGAGCATGAAAAAGGGATAGTCGAAGATGTCTATGCAAACTCAAGTTACCACGCATTCGAAATACCTTTTCTTCATCTTCTCAGCAATGTATGCATGCTTCTTATCCATCTGCCCGCATTGACGTTCGAACCGGCACATCCTCAATTTGCAAAGAGCCTGGGTAGCTCTGTTCGTGCGGGATTGAATATCCTGATTATCCTAAGTCGTAACCACAGCAACAGGCGGGTAGACTGTCTTCTGCCAAACAGAGAATCGTTGGCTTTTCAGTCCGCCTTGGTATGTTTCTACCATCAATGGGTCTCTCGTGTGTCTTCCTTACCATCCATGCTTGACATCAATATCTCGCTGGAGAAGGTGACGGGGGCAGCAATTGAGCTTTTGAATGCTCAAAAGACAGAACTCGTGCAAATGGATACAAGCCCGGCTCGGGAAATCGACCATACTACACTCTCAACAACGATTGAGTTTATCGAGTCATTGTGCAGTCGTACGAAGCAGCTCTTTCACGACTATACACCGACGCCAATTCCACCAACACAGCAACAAGCGCCGTCTTTCCTTCAAGAGCAGTTCAACCCTTTCTCCGACTTTGGTAATGAAGCAGATGATATAGCGGGCTTGGGCGCTTTAGGCGAACTGAATCAACTTGAATTTGCGTGGGATGACGGTTTATTTAATTTCGAGACGGAATAATCGTTAATCAAAAATGACTATCACATGCAAGTTCAAATAAAAAGGCTTATAAACATTCCGATCGACCCCGCAACTGCTTCCGAAGACCCTGCAAATCCTCCTCATCCAGGAAGGCCCGCACAGCAGGCCGAGCAACACATCTCTCCCACCAAGCCTTGACATTCTCCCGACTCATGAATAAATCCTCAAACCCACACGCCATCAATCGTTCCACGCAGGGAATATAGTAAATATCAACAAGACTGAACGAAGAGCCAGCCATATACTCCTGCCCAGCCAGGATTCTGGAATCAGCAACATCTAAAAACTCCCCTACTTTCTTCCTCGTAGCCTCCACCACTGAGCGATCAGTCGTACCCCCGAAACGCGGCTTAATCATCATTTCAATCGACACGCTAGTAGCAAGTTCTGAGAAATGCAACGCTTCGATCGACTGCGCCTGCTCGAATAACGCCGTGGCATTGATATCCTCCGCAGCAGGAAGAAGGGGAATGTTATACCTCGCCGCTAGATATTTGCATATGGGGCGGGATTCGTAGAGAGTCAGGCCATCATTTGTGACGATGACGGGCGCTTTACCCCATGGGTTGTGGGCGAGGTATTCGGGTTTCTGATGTTTTCAGGTTTTTTCCCCCATTTAATATGATTGAGTCATACCTTGTGGTCACCATTTTTTAAGTCGATGATACTGAACTCATAGTCTGTGAATCCTGCCTCGGCCAGGGTGAGCCGGACTCGGGATGTGGCTGTTGATGTGGGCGCGCCGTAGAGGGTGAGTTCAGGCATTTTGTTTAATGTAGTTCAGCTGATGATTCAAAGAATAGAGTGATGGGGGAACGGGTTTATTTATCTCGTATTCCAGAATGAACTAAAATGAAGCCAAGAGAGTGATGTGCATGTAAGAAATTAGCCCCAATAGTCGGGTTTTGGATTTATGGGGCGGGTTTTGCAGGGCGGATATGTCTTTGGTCATGTCAATTCTTAAATCTAGAGTCCAGTAGTGCTGTCTCATAAAATAAGAACCTGATAAGCATATCAAAGCAATAACTAACGCATATACAAACTACCAAAAAAAGATAAAGGTGGTCTGTCCATCATGAATCTGATTGGCCAATCCTGGTCTCTGCCTATAGTGGGTCTTAGTGCTGCCTCTCAATAAATCAAATATAAGAATTCCTGAGCTGCCATGTAACTGTCACCATTATAACCATATCATGTCTCAATCTTCCTGGTTTCTCCCTACCGTTGAATTTCCGGCCGGCGGTAACAAAGCATTCATCAGATGGATCTTGTACAATGGCTAACAAGTAAGAGGGAGGAACGGGGCTTCAGTCTTGGAAATTTACTTCCAAATGCACTTGACTATAGTGATATCACCAGGGTCTTTATGGAGTATGTACATTTGTAGCTATTCTGTATAGTGATAACTAACAAAACAGCAACCTAACACCCTACCGAGAAATTCTCATGATGCGCGCGATGAGCTCCATCACTGACAAACTATACTAGGAGCACAAGGTCTTTGATGAAGAGATTATCACGAAATGGAGGAAAGAAATTGTCCAAAGTGGGCAGGGTTTTACACCAAGAATGATGGGCTACATGATTAAAGAAGCACAGTGGACGGTGGAAGAGCATAGAAAGACGGGGATCGTGAATGTGTTTGATGTGGGCGTTGTGGAATCAGATACCATCATTTCCGAGGAAGAAAAGGAGGCGCTAAAATCGGCTGTTTGGCCGCTTGAAGATATTCCCGAAGAGCTTATGCGGGTGGATCGTGGCATGTCGAGGGACAGTTAGTATGATTCCTGTCATTCTGTGTTTGCTAATGATCTAGAATGAGCCAATCTGCGCAGCAGCAATCTAATACTAAGCCAGCAAAAATATCATATCTAGCTCTCTCTCCTTCCGCCAACGACAGAGACTCCATGAGAGACATCAGCTATCCCCAAAATGAACACGGCTTCATGTAAGCCGTCTACGTGTTTGACCATGAAATCAGCAGCCAAAATGAAACGCAATTCACCCAAGATCTAGCAGTGCTTAAAAGCACAAAGGGCGATTTCTTGCATTTTCCAATACTATACAGCATCAAGTCTCGCCGTTTTCACTCGCTGACCGCACGCAATCAGGCCATCGCAAGATTCTCGCTTTATTCTTGGTAGATCCGAACATGAGGGTGATTTCGTCAGCGAATATGCCTCCCCAGCGGGAGGACTGGTAGGGAGATAGGCAAGATGTTCTGGATGAGGTGCTGGGGAAGAAACTGCCTGTAGAACTGCAGGATATGGTGGTTGATGGGGGCGAAGAGTCACCGATGACGATGGATGAGGCGAAGCAGTATCGGTTGGAGTTTATGGAGGATAGGGGGATTCAAGAGGAGCAGAAGAAGCGATGTGAGACTGATTCTTTTAGTTTGTGTGAGTATTAATAGTAGACATTGGTAAGTTTCAGTTGACGACCCAGAGTATCTTGTCTTTTTTTCTTTCTTATTTCCTGTGCAGCCCATGCAGCTCTGCATTTCTCGGGTAAAAACTGTCTCATTCGCTGTTGGCAGATAGTAGTTGGCCTTCGCCATAGCCACATCCACATCCACCACACTCGAAGCGAGCTGCATCCCGTCGTCACCATCTACGCTAAAAAGCTTGTAATTGTATCCATTGCGCCGGTGGCTTGGCGTGCGTTGGCGGGAGGGAGTTCGCTTGGGCCGTTCATGTTGGGTAATTTGGGGGCGAGATGGCAAGACGCGTTGCCATGCATGAGGCTGAGATGGCATCCACTGAGGGATTTGTTGTTCCATTTGGTTGTTGGGTGAGTGAAGGACTTAGAATGGTTTGTGTATTATAGCTAGTTCTCGATAGAGGTATTCACTTCTAAATGATGTCAAATGAAGATTGGTTCTATATTATATTGTATAATGACTTCATCAGTTCAAATGGAGATCTACTACACTGCCGAACACTGCCCTGCCTGCCAGTTGGGCCGATTTTGCGATATCTGCCCCACGTGGGCTAATCCGATTGGACAGAAATTGTCCATCAAAAAGCTTAGTGCTGATTCTTATTTTAGACCCATGGCGCTAACCTGATTGGGCGCATGTTGCGATGGAGTTGGATCTGTTCAATCGAGATTTGTTCGCGCTGCATACCTCTTTAGCTATGTTTACATACTGTGCAGATGCTGTATATGATTAGAACTCATCGCTAGTATATAATATCCGTTCATTCCTCTAGTTTTTTCATCCTCAGCATCCTCATCACCTCTCTAAACATCCATCTACTCTTTGGAGTATCTCAAAATGCATCTCCCTCTTATCCTCTCTCTTTCCACCCTCTCCCTCGCCCTCCCAACCAACCCAGTCACTGCCATTCCTGGCTCCTCTTCCCTCTTCACCACCTATCCGGGCAAACAAACCCCCCTCGCCTCCAACTACACCAAAGTAATCCCCGCAACCAAGACCGGTCCCCCCGGCCAAGACGACCTTCTCTTCCAGAACCTCCTCGCCGCAGAATGGTCCATCTACACCTTCTACCAACAAGGCGTGGAAGCCTTTTCCGCCTCCAACTTTACCGACATCGGCTTTCCAAACACAACATACGAGCGTCTCACCCAAGTCCGAGATAACGAGGCAGGCCATGTCCGCATCTTCCAGGACCAAATCTCCGACACCTCCCTCAAGCCCGGCCCCTGCAGATACAACTACAACTTCAACAACAACCCAATCACATACCTCGCTCTGCAGGAGTATCTCGAGGTATCCAGCATGGCATTCTTGACCGGCCTCGCCCGCCAGGCGAACCTCAACGCCTCCAAGTCCGCCCTCATGGCCATCGGCCAGGTCGAATCGCGCCACAACACCTGGTCTCTCATTGAGAATTGGAAAACATCCCCCTTCTCCGGCCCCTCGGACACAGTCTACCCACACGCAAACCACATCCTCGAGCTAACCAGGAACTTCATCATCCCCGGATCCTGCCCTTCCCAGAACCCAGTCTATCCCAACCCCCAGCCAAAGTTGATCACGATGGGCTACGACAAGAACAGCACGACCGCACGTCCCGGATCGCGGATTCGCTTTACCTTCTCGGAAACGCCCAAGTTCGAGTCTGGCAAGGATTACTATGCGGTTTTCTTTCACGGGGTGGAGCCGGTTAGTGTGCCGTTTAATGTGAAGGACTGGACTGTTACGATTCCCAAGTTCGATGCGACGAGTATTATTATTGCAGTTATCGCGGATGAGAAGGGGGCTGTTAATGAGGACAGTGTGATTGCTGGGCCGTTGATTCTATTGGAGCAGCCGGCGAGTTTGACGCTGAGTTTTTAGGATTTTTATTATAATGATGTCCTGTTCGTGTTTTCTTATTCTTAATATGAGTTATTTTTATCAATGCAAGGCTGAGGTATTCATGATGAGTTAAGTAAAGATCTACCGTTCACTCGTGCAGTATTGGAAATGCGCTCGGATGTCACCGAGTATCTCAACACCACCTGCTTTCGAGCTGATAATTACCACATCGAGAAAAGAAACTACACCATAACTCTATCAAATAAGACAGCAGTATGGTCTATCGAAGATACGATTGACAGCCAATTCATAAACGCCTCTCCAGTATATGACCAGCCATCAGTCAAGATATACAAAATGCAACCCTCCCCCTTATCCAATTCATCCTGCCCGTTGGGTCCGACAGCCTTGGTCTTGGACACATCCCTAATCCTAACAGCTCCACCAAATGGCAAGCAGCAGAATGCAGCCTCGGGCCTATCGTGCGCAGCTTTCGCGCCACTGTTCAAGACCGCATCCTCCCCGAAGAAACACTCGACATCTGGACACAGATCGAAGACATAGAGGAATACGGATCCCTCACCCTCCTACCCATCTGGGGCAGCGAGAAAGGTGTCCATCGCAATCCATTCTTTGTGATTGGGCCGTTTTCCACACTCGCCATTTACACGTTCCTGTCTAGCCTTTTCAAAGGCCATGTAAGTGTGGAGTTTGTGGATGCGAAACTTGTCCCCACGGGTCCGTTTGTCGATAGATACGCTAGCTATGATGCACTATACGCTCTTACCACTGGTGAAATAGCTAGTTGTGATACCGAGACGGTGGATAAGTTATCGTGTAGCATGGACAATGTGGCTGCTGCGATGTCCAAAACGTTCCGTGGTGCGCCGTATGTCGCGCCAGATTTCTATTGGAGCAATGCAACCATGGCTGAGGGACGGGCTTTTTCAAAAAAGATGTATACGATGGTGCACTGGCAGTGGATTGTCTTTCCTTTTTGTTTTTGGGTGATAGGGATGGTGACGTATATTGGGATGTGGAAGGGTCGACAGGATAAGGTGGCTTGGGATGTTATTGTCGAGTGAGGAGGACTATATAGGAGAGGAAGGATTCTAGAGCATCTCTATATTTTATTGATAGATGGTTGGTTGGTATCACATCTAAAAATATCAGTCCAGACCGTCTAAATATATGCTGATATAAATAGTCTCTCACGTGGGTAGATCATTATACTATTGATCTTCAATCAGTAGTTGATATCATATTTAGATGTGGGGATACATTCATAAAGATGGGTCACAAAGGTGAAAATGATGAAGTGACGATATCTTCATGCTCATCAGTGCTTCCACTTGCCGACGGTTCGAGTTGCCTGTGCTTATTCTTACCATATAGAGAACCCCGCACCATTATAAATACACCAAATCTACAATTTATTCTTTACATTCCAGCATTTATCATTTATCATTCACATTCAGTAAAATGGACAATAAATCTCTCGTCATCCGCACCCAAAACGGGCAGCCCACTCTCGTCACAGAGAGCCTTCCTCTTCCCCAGCCTGGATCGCACCAGGCTGTTGTTAAAGTGTCGCATGTTGCGCAGAATCCAACTGATGGTATTTCTATCATGTACAATTATACTCAATAATCTATAATCTAATATTTACAGTACAATCCTTCGTTATCAATGCCTTTGGCGATGGAAGTGTTCTAGGATGCGACTTTGTGGGCCAAGTCGTCAAGCTTGGTGATGCTGTCACCAGACTGAAAGAGGGCGATACTGTTGCTGGACTTATCTGGGGAGGTATTATCATTATTTATTTTATGAGAATTAAGCTAAGCTAGAAACAGGTGAATTCAAAGGACTCGGGGCGTATAGTGAATACACCCTCGTCGATGAGAATGTCTGCTTCAAACCCCCGTCTGGCATCAAACCAGAACAGGCTGCGACGGTTCCTCTGGCTGCTGCGACTGCTTGGTTGGCATCATTTTCGCCTGACTGTTTGAATATCGATCGAAGGAGAGGATCGGATGTGACTGTTCTCATCTGGGGTGGTAGCTGTACGTCGTCCTCCATATTATCTATATAGTACTGACAGTGTAGCCTCCGTCGGCCTGTATGCCATCCAAATCGCCTCGCTATACAACTTCCAGATCATCACCACCTGCCGCCCCAAACACTTTGACCTCGTCCGTTCCCTCGGGGCCCAGCATGTCTACGACTACCGCGACGAGTCCATCGTCGATAAGATCCAACAACACCCCAATCTGACCTCCATCTTCGACACCATCGGCTCACCTTCTTCCTCAGTGACAGCCTCACAAACCCTCACCCAGCACGGCACCCTCTGCACCGTCCGCCCAGGCAAGGCACATACACAAAACGTCACCACCAACACCACCGTCACCGACGTCCTGGTGTGGACGGCATTCCTCAAAGACCATCGCTACGGCGACTTTTACTGGCCGGTATGTATTTATTTCTTATCATCTACCAGCCTTATGGCTAGGCTGTCAGCTGTCTAGACATATGTCATGTCCAAATATCCCGATGACTGTATTTTATGCGTGAGTGTCATGTGCATGTAGATGCTGACTACATCAGGCTTCAAAAACCGACCACAGCCTCGCGATTGAACTCTTCAACAACCTCCCTGAATGGCTCGCAACAGGCAAGATCCAGCCTTCCAAAGCGGAGCTTCTTGGCAAACTCAACACGGATACGATCTCGCGCGGGTTCCGAATCCATCGCGAGGGAGGAATTTCCGGATTCAAGATTGTGTATTCTGTATGAGTGGAATGAATTAATTATGAAGCTAGTGTGTGTGTGCGATCCATTTGCCTGTTTCAGAATAGTAAAGTTGGTGAGACAGAAATGCACAAATAAGAATAAGAATACGAGGGGCCAAAAGAGTAAAACCAACAGGTGCGATAACAGGCACCAAAAATAAGTGGCAGAAATTAAGCTTGAATCCGCCTTATAGGAACAAAGGAACGGATGAAAAGTAAAATTAGAAATGACAAGGCGCCGTTCCTTTGCGGGCAGAAAAAAAAAAGGGGGGGTGGAGCCCGCTATATTTACGAATACGAGTATGCCAATGTAGATATAAGCCTGTGTCATCGTCAGATTTCAGCTGATATTTACGCTGATATTTATCAACATTCATATTGCTATTATATTATATTGTATTATATCGATATTCATTCATTCATCATGTCGGACTCAGCGAGCAGTCACAGGTAATCTCACCACCACCCCCATACTACTGTATACAATACTAATAATATATAGAAGCATCACATCCCACCAAAAACGAACAAGAACAATCTTCCCCCTCGCCCATCCTCCCCCCAAATCAGCCCAAAAACTACGCCTCAACCCCAAACTCCTCCTCCAAATCCAGCAGCTCTCGCCATCAAACAGACCAGTCGCGATCCTCGAAGTATGGCAGCCGTCGATATTCACCGGGCGGGTTGCGAAGGAGTTTCCGAATCAGCCGCGCGTACGGTCGGGGGATGTATACGTTACGCAGAGTGAGGGGTATACGAATCTACAACATGCTCGGAATGAGAGCGAAGAGGGGGATGAGGAAGGAGGGAGCGGGGAGAAGGATTTGGTGGGCGTTATTGGGAAAGGAGGGGAGGCGTCGGAGATATATGCTTCCTCTGGGAGGGTGTGGGAGGCGAAGAATGTGGAGAGCGGGTATCGGTTTGAGGTGAAGGATGGGGACGAAGTGAGGGTGTTGGAGTGGGAGAGGAAGAGGGGGTCCAAGGCGAAAGAGTCGGAGATGTTTGTGCTCTGTATAGCGGATGAGAAGGGATTGCGCAGGCCGTGGATTGCAGAGATGAGTCGAGTGTGTATTGAAGTGAAAGGGTGGGATCGAGCTGTTAGAGATCATCTGAGTGACTGGGTGGGCAGGGACGATGAGCATTGGGATGCGGGGTTTTATACGCTGATTTTGATGTTTGGTGTTTATGCTGCGTCACAAGAGGGCTGGTTTTCATGACAATATACCCATTCGTATTCATCTATATCCACTGTATATGGTAATCACTGGGCGAGTCCCTCCTCCACGGCCTTGATCTGCAACGCCAGCATGCGCGAAAAGTACCGACACAGCGCCAGATTACCGCCCATGAACCAGAATCCAGGGTGTCCGCTGCGGCGCCAGATAGTCCGCATCTCGCCCTCTTCATCCCATCCCCAGATATTGTTGATGCGATCGGCAACTTCATCGCCGAAGATGGTCCGTGCCTCGGATCGCATGTTCTGGTATCCGGTCGCAAGGATGATCTCGTCGGCCTCCAATTCGGATCCGTCGGCGAACCGGATCCCGTGGGCGAGGATCTCCGAGATCTCCTGTCCATGCTTGACCTTGACCTTGCCGTCGATGATGAGCTGGCTGGCGCCGACGTTGATGTAGTAGCCTCCGCCGCGTTGGAGGTACTTGATGAGGAGGCCGGCGTCGTTGGGACCCCGGTCGACCTTGAAGCCGGCCTTTTCCAGCCCTTCTAGAACGGCCGCGTCGTGCTGGGTGCACGCTGTGGCTACCTTGAATTGCTGGGCTTTGAACATTTCGGAGGGAATACTCCACAGGTAAAGATCAGCGTCTGCGGACGGGGGTGCATCCTCGTCGTACAGCCCCTTTAGTCCAATGTTGACGATAGCATCAGACGAAACGATACAGGTCGAACTGCGCTGTACCATGGTAACCTCGTACCCCTTTTCGTGGTAATCCTGGGCGATATCATGTCCCGAGTTACACGATCCGACGACAACCGCCTTCTTACCCTTGGAAGCCGGGTTGGCACCAGGGAACTCGGAGCTATGGCAGATCCGGTCTCCTTGAAAGTCACTCATTCCCTTGATGGCGGGGAGGTTCTTCTTGCCGGAGTGGCCGGTCGCCTGGATGACATGGCGAGGGTGGAGGGTGCGAGTTTCCACCGTTCCATCTGCCTGCTGGCGCTCAAGCACGACAGTCCACTGTTTCTTCTCGTCGCTCCAAGACGACGAGGTCAGTGTGGTCTTGGTCCAGACATTCAGCTCGAGCAGCTTGACGTAGCATTCGAAGAACTCGGCCAGTTTGTCTTTGGGAGTAAACTCGGGCCAGTGGGCCGGGAATGGGACATAGGGCATGTGGTCGAACCAGACAGGATCATGCAGAACCAGCTGCTGATATCTCCTCCTCCAGCTGTCGCCGACCTGCTCTTCCTTGTCGATGATGAGAGTGTCGACATTAAGCATCTTAAGACGGGCAGCCGCCGTAAGACCAGCCTGTCCAGCACCTGAACGTGTCAGCCAGGCATCAAATAACAAACATGATAGTAAACATACCAACAACAAGAACAGCCGGGTCCTTGCCCTCATAGTTAACATCCGCAGTGCGCTTCTCCTGCCAATTCCTCCTATCCTTCTGCTCTCCATGCTGCACCCCCTTTGGCCGACGATGTCTCACCCCCTCCTCATGCCCCTTCAACTCCACCAACGACGTGAAAAACGTATAAATCTTCCACTCTCCATCCTTCTCCGCCAGCCTTACAATGCCGTCACCTCGTCCCGTCTGCGTAGTAACATTGATAAAGAACTGTATGCCAGTGACGTCACCAAACGCATCGATCGGCGCAACGGCAGGCGAGCGAAACGCAGACGACCGGTCAATCTCAACGTGCGTCAACTGGCCGCTCGCGCTGAGGAAGTTGGCAATGTTCTCTCTGCCCTTGATGGTGCGCAGATCCCAAGTCACGCAGAGGTGGTCGCGCCAGAAGCCGTCTTCGAGGAACAGCGCGGTCAACGCGTTGTAGTCATTGTTGGAGAGGGCGGTGTTGACGCTCGAGACGATTTGGGAGGCAATGGCCTCGTGGTCGATGGAAGTGGAGGTGGCTGTTGCTGGGAATTTGCCGATGGGGATGTTGAAGGAGCCGGATTCGATCCGGTCTTTGGAGGGGAGGGTGGTCATGTTGGGTATTTGGTATGACAGTGGTAGGATGAATGAGTTGGAGGTGGTGTAAGAAACATGGAGGAGAGAAAGCAGGGAATGGAATTAAGCAACTGTTTGGAAAAAGAAAGCATGCGTCAAACTCAGCAGAGCTGAAGATTACCCCGCTTCAATGCACATAGTGGAGTTGGTGCATCCCCATCGCCCATCACAATCAAGCTGAAGCATCTGCCTGTCGCACAGTCTGGCTAGGCCAATCTACGAATTGATTGTTTTCTGTGTAAGCAAAAGTATCACCAATTGGTTTAATCGCTCGGCACTTTTACCCATAATCCATAGTCCATATCTACTTAGCCCGCTACGCTGAAGAATCAATGACATAGCGTAAATGGTCAGCGGAAAAACTTTTCCTTGTTGATCTCCACTCCAGGTCCAATTTATGTGACAGTGATGCATTAGTATGGAGACAAAAAGTGACACAAGCGCATTTGAGCGAATCGCATCAAGAGTGCGTGATATTTCCGCGACGTGGCAGTGGAGGGGTTCCTCGTATTGCAGGGTTATCTGGCAGCCTTGCTCTTATTGGATGGTTAAAAAGACAAACATGATAAACATTTAGCGTGGGGAAATAGAAAAAAGAAAAAGAAAAAAGAAGTGCTCACACGCGGATTTGAACCGCGGACCTCATGATTACTAGTCATGCGCTCTACCAACTGAGCTATACGAGCTGGTTGTTGTTAGGCAGCAGCAAGTAGTGCACTAAGTAGCTTAGTCATTGCTAAAATAATGAATTCACCTTCTACAGAAGCGACATCCAAATTGTAGATAAACTTCCTGCGATAGCTTTACTTATTAATTATTAGCAGTAACTTCACATTGAATTGATATCTGTATAATGACTTCAAATGTTACCTTCTTTCAGATTGAAGAAGTCCTCCTTCGACGACAATATATATTTACCGGCAAGGTTAATCTGTCAGCAGAGTCCACAGTACACTCATAGCTTAATATATTCAGCCATCGATAGTACCTAGTCTTTCTATACCAATACCCAATTATTACCGCCAAGGCAGTTCGGTGGCTCCCGCAAGCCTCGTCACGGTGTACCTGACAGGCAGACAAGTTCTATCCCAATCCAGAAACATAACAAAGCTGGGCAAACGGCTAAATCCAATGCATGACCTCATATCTCTTGGACAACCAATTCCTCAGTTCCTGGGCAATGGGCAAAGTCCCCTTCGGCCCCCGATCTCGGTAATTGAGATAGATCTATGTCGGGTAAACTTCGCATCGGCAAGATTCCGGGTTCTCCAGCCCCGCAAAGTTGGTGAATGACGAGGATGTACCCCGCATTTCTGTATCCGAGGATTGTTAATATGGTTTTTGATGATGGGGAATAGATTTTCTGTAGACGTTGGGATTTGCATTTATATAGTGTGGTTCCAGTTTGAGTTTGTTAAAGATATCGCAATTCCCAACGAACTCTCGTTCTATCGGGCAGGGGCCAATTCAACCAGGCGGGATAGATCAGATTTTTTGTGTAACACTGATTAATATTCCTTGCCAGGTGCCCTTATTCTTGTTTTATCTGTTATTCTATCTCCTCATTAGTTGAAATGATTCCCCAGAAGTTTTTGTCGGTGGTTTCCACCACAGCTGCTCTGTTCGCCACTCCCTTTGCAGCTGCAACTTGTTCTTCTAGCATCGCGCATCCAAAAGTGCCCCAAGGAAAAGTCCTCGATCTCACAGCAGCCTCAGTCACCAATTACCAGAGTGGCGATTCGACTTTGAGCTTCTGCAATGTGACAGTCACCTACACCCATCCAGGCTGGAATGATACAATCCACGTCACAGTCTGGTTACCTCTGTCAAATTGGAATGAACGACTCCAAGGCTCAGGTGGTGGTGGTTATGCGATGCGAAGCGACGACGACACCTTGGCTGAAGCAGTTGGTTTGAATTACGCAGTGGTTGCCACGGATGGTGGACATACACCGGTATCCCCCAACTCCGAGTCATGGTCTCTCGATGCATCGGGTAATGTCAACATGCCTTTGTTGAAAGACTTTGCGTACGTTGCGTTGAACGACGCCGCTATTATTGGCAAGAACGTCACCAACTCTTTCTACGGCCATGGTCCGCGATACTCGTATTGGAATGGGTGCTCGACGGGGGGACGGCAGGGATTGATGCTGGCGCAGCGATATCCCACTGCGTATAACGGTATCATGGCCGCCGCACCGGCGATTAACTGGCCTAGTTTTATTGTCGCCGAGTACTGGCCTCAGTTCGTTATGAATCAGCTCAACACATACCCTTCTGCTTGTGTTCTGGATAGTATCACCAATGCCACTATCAAGGCGTGTGATGAAATCGACGGGGTGAAAGATGGTGTTATTTCCGCACCGGATCTGTGTCAGTTCGATCCCCTCACGACCGTGGGACAGAAAGTGGACTGCAATGGATCTTCTGTGTCAATCACCAAAAACGACGCCTTGGTTATAAAGAAGACATGGGAGGGACTGCGATCCACAAACGGATCATTTTTGTGGTATGGACTGGACAAGGGCGCGCCTCTGTCAGGCCTAGCTGGCACAACCTGTTCCTCGCCGTCAAACTGCACCGGGTCTCCATTCAGCATCTCCGCAGACTGGATTAGTCGATTCATCCTGCAAGACCCCTCGGTGGATCTGACTCGCCTAAGCCACGAAGACCTGATCAAGATCTTCACTGAGTTAAAAATATGCTATAGCTCTATCATCGGCATAGATAACCCCGACCTGTCTGCATTCAAGCAAGCTGGAGGAAAAATGATCACCTGGCACGGGCTAGCCGATCAGTTGATCTTCCCCAATGGAACGATGCAGTATTATAACAGGGTGGAAGATAAGGACTCTTCGGTGCGCGACTTTTACCGCTTCTTCGAGGCTCCTGGTGTCGAGCACTGTCGGGGTGGGAATGGCTATGTTCCTGTTGATCCTCTAGACTCGGTGGTGTCTTGGGTGGAAGAGGGGACAGCGCCAGAGACGATTGCTGCGGCCACGACGGATGGAGCGAAACATCGCAATTTATGTCCTTATCCTTTGGTTTCGGTGTATAAGGGGGGTGATGAGAAGGAGGCGTCGTCTTATGAGTGTCGGAAGAGTTATTCATAGTCGAATAATCAATTATCAGCTGCATACCACAGGCAGGACAGCACGTGGAAACCGTGCGATCAAGTTAAGCAAACCCTTGGTTTAAGGAAGTCAATTGGTGCCAGTTTTCCAATAAGAAGCATCATTGGTCTAGTGGTAGAATTCATCGTTGCCATCGATGAGGCCCGTGTTCGATTCACGGATGATGCATTTCTTTTTGCATTTTTTTTTGTTCTTCATCTTATCCAAACTACTAGTTTAAACCCAGCCAGTTCAATTGACTATTTTACCATTATCATTCATCAGGGTATTATTGAGGGTAGTATTTATTGACCGGTCAATGTGCAGGCCGATGACGTGTGCCCTTATCTTATCGCATACTCAGTCAACAAAGAGAATCGTTCTTCTTTCAGACATCCAACCCACCACCACCACCGCAGGGTAATCCCAGAGATACTCATCATGTCTCTCGCAGAGGGAAACGACCAGGCCTTCGTCAAGGCTTTTAACGAACTCCCTCGTCCTCAAACCAGCCCCGATGGCAAACCCAATCACTGGCACATCACCATCCAGACCCTCCCACTCGACCCTGACGATGACCTCGTCTTCCTCGTCCGCCCAAGCACCGGCAACATCCACCTAGAAGGCAAGACGAAGATAAAACCTCTTCCAAGCCCCACAACCAAGGCCAAGGTGATCGCCCCGCTTCTTCTAGAGTCTTTCGTTGTGGGCATGAACTCTGGTCGTCACGGTGAGCCTATCCCGGGCGTCTCTAGGACGGCGCCGCGGAGCTGGGGCACTAGGGACAGAAAACTCGCCAAGGCATTGGAGGAGTACATGAAGAAGATTGGGGTGCGGAAGGAACTTTGCACCGTGCAGGCTGGAAGCGAAGCGGATGAGAAGCTCGCCCAGAAGAAATGGGATACTTGGTCAGAGGAGTTGGTGATGGAGGCGTTCAAGCACCCGATCGTATTGGCGATTATGGCGGGACAGAGCAAGTCGCGAGACGACGATGCATTTGAAGATTACAATCGCGTTGCGAAGATGGTGCCGGCGGCGAAGGACTTGGCCGAGTCGGTTAATCTGAACCTGCAATGGCCTGATGATGCCAGACAGGGTATTTTGTAGGCGAGACTGTTATTTCTAGTAAGAAAGAGGCTAACGAAATCACAGCCACCCCATTCGTCGCCTCGTCATTACTGGAAAAGATACAGATGAGAACATGAGTCTACTGTTCGGCCCTCATTGGAGAGAAATCGCCGGTCCTATGCACATTAATGCTCGCCAGGAGGTTCTCCTGCAGCCCTCGCCAGGATCCCCGCAGTATGTCTTATATTCGCGCTGGGACAAGAATAGGCCGTACTGGTCACCACGCCCACCCACCGAACAGGAGAGGATACTGATGGATATATGTCAGCAGAGGTATCATGCTAACCACTCGCATGAAGATCATGAGTTTGGATTGGATTGATTGAATTATTTGGAATGATCTTTCAATGTATTATGATTATCTCATGTAATGCCGAATGGAACCGATGTACATTAAGCATCAGCCTACATCTCGGGGTATACTGATATACTGATACTCTGAAGTGCGTAATAAGAAATGTCTCCCAGAATTCATCAAGCATAAAAAGATTATCGTCCTCTCGTAAATAATAACAGTCACCATGGAATTCGTTAAAAAAAGCTTTCTTCAGAACATGTGCTCACCTAGTGAAAAAAAAGAATAATTACTAGTATTGTTTGATCTATTATACCGAACATATCCCAGGAAACATGGAATCAAACCATCCTAAGATCAATCCGTCTCATATTTCTGTGTGCTGAACAAAAACCAGCATTTCATTTTTCAGAGATTTCTCCATCAAAGAATAATGCCTTGAATGCCTGCTTTGTTGTCGAATTCGAATACTTGCTAAGACGGCCTTCATAACGACCAACCGCAATTGCCAGGAAGCTGTTAAAAGAGACGTTCGAAATTCCCAAGTGGGTTGGCGATTTCAAATTTGTAGAATTATTTGGCGTTCGATATTGGTCGAACGCCAGATGACAGATTGTGAGGATCTCGGTTGATCGTTTGGAGCCAGAAGAATACTGGCATATAGCCATCAAGAAGTAGATAAAGAACAGATGTGAAGGACTCCTTATGCATGAAAGTATCAGATAGATAGTGTTCAGATCCCACACCGTGATTTTTGACTTTTTGTGCTTCGTCTGCGAAGGAATGTTAAGAAGGAACTTTCCCATTCAATCAAACGTCCCATGAGGTATTGCTCAAAACCAACAAAAACACACAAACCCTGCCCTCCCCGTCTTGAGAGGCTATGTCTGGGATATAGAGTCCCGAAAGTCAAGTATATCTCCGGGCCGTCCTGAGAGGCCTGGAAGATCTAAGCACATATCTTAATGCTGGATTGTACAAAGCTTGTCTCGTAGGCATCAAAGCCAGCAACATCGAGTGAACATAGGGCAAAGGTTTTTCATAGAGGAAGACAGGATGTGTTCGCAATTGATTCATCAAATCAGAAGGAACCAACAAATGCGGCTCCAAGCAAAGAAGCGGAGGTTGAATCACGAACTGGGCCAATATTGTATCCAATATGATAGAAGCAGTCCCTAATAAAGAATACCGTTCCATGTCACACAGCTGTAGGCATGCCCACAGTGACACACCGAGGTTCCATCGGTAGTCTAATGATCTAGGATTCCACAATGTGGGCTTCATCAAACAAAAGGCCTTTGGGGGGTGCACTTTCGAATGTAGACCACCCAAGACGGATAGGTCTTCCAGCTCCGTGAAACTGTTGGGGATAACTCGATGATATTGACTTGTAGAGTTGATAAGTCGTTAAGACATGTTACGGCAGACATGCATTGCTGCATCGGCGAGTTCGAGGTGTAGTGTATCACCGGCCAGATAAAGAAGCGTTAGGTATCCACAGAGTAAATATCACGAACATAATGATATTCCGAGGGTCAACGTGCACCCAATCTTTTTCGCATTCGACTTTCGGCATGACGAGGACCAGAAACCAGGCCTGATCAAAATTGGTCCACGAGAATAGAACTTGTTCGCAGTCTATAGACAGGTTAGTATGGGGCTCTTCGATGGGGTGCTTGGATGATAATGACAAACCTGCATTAGGGATCATCTCTGTTGCCCCGTGATCAACCGCCACGTCGACTGCGCGGTTCTTTAAGGGGAGGGGGATATCGGGAAGAGTCGAAAACGTCAACTGGAAGTCTCTTCCAGCACAGCACTTGCTATGAAGAATGGATTCGAAAGATCTTTTGTCCTGCTTTCGAGGATATCATTTAGTTTCCACAATAAAGTTGTTGAGTCGAAGGAAGTATCGAAGATGGGATTATCGTAGATGATATATTCGCAGGAATCATTGTGGAACATGACACTGTCGAAAGACAAGCCGATATAAATATCCTGGTGATGTCAAAGTCCTATACTGAAGTCGATGTTAGCTTATATATGTCAAGATGATACAGCACATACCGGAGAGCAATGATTTTTTGATTATTGGTAGCGATTCCCGATTTCTTCCAAATTTGCCAGTTCAACCATTATTCCATAACTTGACGAGTTAGCATCGATTATAAAAAAAGATAGTATACTCACATCCGCGAATCGCTGTCATCATGATCTGCTGTCGCTGGGTAATGTATGATGCCTAGACATCGAATCTTAGCAATCAATCAGATGAAAATGGAACGTATGGCTTACCATGTAGCCCAGGCACTGTGCGACGCCTTGACTGGCTTCCCGCCTTTCTTCTTGGCCTTGCACACCACTAGGTGGGTATCGATGGACTCCTTGAGACACACACGGGCTCAGATGAATTCAGATAGCCCCGAATGGTCTCTGTCGAACAGAGCTGTTAGTATTTGCATGGATGTAGTGGAGGGTGGGATCTTACTTCCGAAAAGCATGGATTGGTGTCTAGTTAACGACTAGTATCGCAGGTCAATGTAGTTTCGACAAACATGAGGCATGTTTGGATTATTGAAGTCATGCAAATTGAAGGTCCATCCAGATGATCGTTTGATTCGGAGAGATGATGATAGAGAGAAGAAAGGAAGAAGGAAGAGAAAAGAGAAAGGAGTATAAATAATCCCATTATCCGTGAATGATGGAATATAATGCATTCAATATATACAAATTCCAGTCACTGACCTGTACAAGTGACCGCTCTATACAAATTAATTCTATTCTATAAGCTATAAACAACATCATTCACAATCCTACTGGCCCTACTCCTCGGCCTAACATTAACAGCATACCGACTCCTCCCCCCCATCCTCCCAACCGCCAACGTCTCCAAACTCTCCGGCTTCCCACCCCACAGCTTCCCCTTTCCATCTCGCCCGCGCTGCACAGACGGAATCCAGAAATGCGTTACTGCTGCTCCCAGAATCATGCACGCGCTGAAGATGATTAGAATCCAGCCGTGCCGGATGGTAGGTTCGTTGCCAGGGCCAGTGCCGAAGCGGTAGTAGGCGGAGAAGATCTGGACGAGGACGGAGCCGAGTTTGCCAGCTGCGGCGCTGATGCCGTGGCAGGTTGCGCGGTAGCGGGTGGGGAAGACTTCGGCGGGGATCATGTAGGTTGTTGCGTTGGGGCCTGTATATATTAGTATAGATGGTGATAGTAGATTATAGATGGGACATACCAAAGTTGAATAGCGTCTGCCCAAGAATATACAGCACAACAGCAACAGGCCCTTCTCGCTGGGTGGTGATAAACATCGTCCCAAGCGCAATAAAATGCGCTGCCAACGCCAGAAATCCCCATTTCTGCAACCCAACCCGGTCCAGCCGATGTACGACGAAAATGAGCAACAGCCCGCCCACAAAACTGCCACTGTTCAAAATCACCAGTGCATAGGTAGAGCTGTGCATGAACATCTGATACACGTCCGCGTTGGGATCATCGTTGGTCATCCATACCGGCGCCTGGCCGTGGATGTTTAACGAGCCCCAGGTTTTGGCGAGGAATTGCGGGCTTGACAGGCCGATGCCGTAGAAGCCGAAATCCAGTAAAAGCCAGGCGAGGGATGTTCCTGCCAGTGTGCGCCAGTTTCCTTCTGTCCAGAAATAGCGGATGATGTCTTCCTTGCTGAGATGCCAGTTTGAGTTGAGGGTTGCTGGGTGCAGGATCTCTGTTTGCGAGGATGATCTGTCTCCATTGATGGATTGGCTTGCGACGGACATGGCGGGGAGGGGAATATTACACCAGCTCGACGCAGAATCAAACGTAGGGCTTGACGGTGCTTCACTGAAAAGCGTGGTGGCGTCGAATTCGGCCTTGACGGGATCGTCTTCGATATCGAGTAGAAAGCGAGGCGTTTCGGGGATCGCAAACCGGAAGAGAGCAGCAATGGCGCCGGGGACGACTCCCACGCCAATCACCCATCGCCACATGGTGTCGACGATCCGAGTGAGGTCGTCTGTGCCTTGGGTGCGACTGATGGCGATGACGATGAGCGAGACGATGTTTCCTGCGATCTGGCCGAGGGGCTGCATGAAGAAGACGGTAGCCATCATCCGGGCTCGATGTTTTGTCGGTGCAAACCTAACAAGTCAGTTTCCACCATGATCATATCCATATGAGGCACATACTCAGAAGTAATCACCGCACTCAACGGATAATCCGCCCCAACGCCAATGCCCACCACAATCCTCCACCAAAGCAGCCACGCAAACACACTCATACTGCCCTCCACTCCCTGCGACGACATGACAACACCCAACGTCGACGTGATCAGCAACATCAACTCAACACCGTACATCTTCTTCCGCCCATTCCGATCAGCCAGGTATCCGAACGCGACCTGGCCGAGCATCGTGCCTGCCAGCGTGGCGATGTTGATATACGTGAGGTTCTTCGAATGGGTTTCGTGTTGCCAGTATACGTAGCTGAGCATGGGGAAGGCCATGTTACTTGCGAAGAGCTGAAGGATTAGCCCTTCTTTCTCTGGGTGATTGACAAGTAGGGACTTACAGTATATCCATCTAGGAAGAACCCAACGCCAGAAACCAGAACGACAACCCATTGGAAGGATTGGCGGTCGATGGTTTCGTATATCTGTCGCATGCGAACATGGCGGTCCTATCTTGTTAGCTGTGAATATTGATTGCTGCAAGGTAGGCAGTACCTGCTCATGCTCGAAATCGCGAGCCCGATCAGTTTTGTATAACCGAGTGCGAAAACCGCCCATGATGAATCCCACTTGTCCAACTTGACATGATATCAACTGGAAAGTAGAAGAAGAGAGAGAAGATGCGTAACAATGCTGATCAAGGAAAGACAGTGGAAGTGGGAGAAAAGCGAAATGAACTGGAATGACTTCGGGAGGGGCACCGTGCAGTAGCGGGAAGTTTAAACCGCAGCTGAATCCTCTGATTGGACGCACGTCAGCCTTGACGATTTTAGCTCCCGGAAGTGGATCTCCAGTTCCAAGCTGTTTTTGTCCCACGTGCACGATACTGCGCTGTGAGTGGATGATGCCGCCCCACTTGTCACGGCGCAAGCTTGGGTGCTGTTGTTGTCTGATGGATAACGGGTGGAAGTGGAGCGAATGGGAAGCAGCAAAGGCCATGCACGTGGGCGTCATAATCATATTGATAATCACATTGATATTACAGTCTATCCAGTCTATCCAGTTTCCAATCCAAAAGGGTATTATCTCCGCCAACGCCTTGCAGTAAAGAACCAAAAATCAATCAGCCAATATTTTGATCAGCCAGGAACTGGCAGAACCGTATGCGATCTGTATGGTTAGTGACACGTAGGAGATATTGTAGGAGACTGTAGGAGCATACCTGAGTCATCCAGAAACTGAATGTGCAGCACTTTCAGCTGCGCCAGAATATCAAAATTGGGCTGCAGCTGCAGAACCACCGGTCGACCGGCTTTCTTGCCCGGAGTGACCTTTCCAATGCAGTTCACTACACCATCAGCCTGGCTCATCTGAAACCCACGGGCTCACTCACATGGAATCGACACGTAACGCTTCTGCTCTTTCCGCTGCGAATTCGCAAAAAACAGCATCACCAGTTTCCCATTATGGCCCTGCAGAATCCGGATATTCTGGCTGATGCATTCCTCTCCGCGGCCTTTGGATTTGGCCTCCGCGATGCCTGCGATGAAGACGAGCTTCGAGGCGAGGATGAGTTCCTGGAACTGGATGCAGTCTGGACTGTCAGCTAGAACTGTAGATGTGTTGTAGTGACTAGTGACATACCCCTCCAGTCTTCGAATGTGTATGAGAGCTGTGTGGTGAAGACGGTGTGGGCGGTTTGGACGGTTTGTTCGTCGAGAAAGGAGATTCGGAGCGAGGGTTCGTCGGGGAGTTTGGGATGTTCGACGTGTGGGACGGGGAGTTTGGTATTGTGGACTGTCGTTATTAGCTTTAAACTGAATATCTGGATATGAAGCTACTCACAAGTATGGAGAAAGGCCGTCTGCTGGCCAACGCCCCCTCCCAGCTCTAGACACTTGAGTGCCCCAGCAGCATCTTTACAAATATCAATATGCGTATATCGCAACTTAAACAGCTTATGATTCCTCAAAAACGAAATCGTCACCGACGAATTCATCTGCATCCGCACAATCTCATCGTGAAGCGAATAAAATGACGGCTTCCTCGAACCGGGACTCGACGTGCCCGGACTCAACGGCGGCGGAAACACGAAACTGGCCGACTCGGACGACCTCGTCGACGACGAAAAACTGCTCCCCCGGCGTGGATTGGGGAGAGGCCAATCGCCCGAGTCATAGACAGGGTGGGAGTTCATGGCAGTCGAGGAGAGGGAGGAGTGGACATGGAGAGAAAAGGCCGGAGCTGGGAGAACGACGATCGGGGCGATCGGCGAGAGAAGATGGCCAGAAGAGGAAAGGAAGCGGATTTCATCATTGGGAAGAGAGACAGAGAAATGAACGACAAGAAAAAGTGGGCTGTGGGCGGTGGTTTTAAAGGAGGGAAGCAGGGCGGATACAGCAATAAAGATCGGCGCAACGTGGGCGGACCAGTGGACGAGAGGGTTTGGGTGACATGCAGCTGCGATGGACCTCTGCCAGTCTTGCTGCCACGTTTTATAACCATGTGGAAGGTTTCAATGAACCAGAGGAGATGATATTAATAAAGAAAAGAAGACAGTTTAGAGAAGAATGGTAGCCGTCATATCCGGGACAGGCACAACTATTGAATTCTAGATTCGACATGGACGATCGTAAAACTTTGACCAAAGTCTATCTTATATTCTCATATATTGTTTCATATTATTATGTATATTATTTTATGCTATATATATCGACAGTTATTCTCTCCACACAAACACTTCTTCTCCAGCTCCTCCCAATATCCATCCGAATAGTCCACCGTCACTTCGCTCCCCGCACTCACTCCCCGCGACACCACAATAATCCTCTCTTTCCCCCGCCAACAGAACCTTTCAAACTGGCTATTCGGTCGACACGAATGATTGATGAATCGAGTGAAATTGCCCATCTCCCCTTGGAAGATCTGGTATCCTTGACCGACCATCACGTCGCGTCCTTTAATGCCGGCTGTGATGAACCCGATGAATTCTCCGATGGCGGTTCCGCGATCAAAGTCCTTCCTATCTGTCAGTTATCCTAATTATATTTGATGCAGGATACATACACTTCGGGCAATAATGCCGTTATTCTTCCCAGCCGTGCGCACTAATTGAACTGCAACTGGTGCTTTGACCCCCCCAAACACCGTGGGGAAACAGACACACTGGTTGGCTTCAACCTCGTCTGCCTGCCTCCCGCGGCAAACCCGGCAGATATCCTTATCCAAGCCTGGCATCATGCGTGGGTCTTTCTCAAACACAGTCGAGTCAATCACACATTCGTCCAGAAAGCGATAGTGAAACCCATCCGGCAGAGAGAGATGGCCATACGTCGACCCCAGCGGAACCGCCGGCCCTGTAGTAACCGTCACCCACTCATGCGGATGGCCATGATATCGCCGAGGCTCAGCCTGACCGATGACATGTAGAAGCTCCCTCCATTCCGGATGCAGGGTATCAGCGGCAACTTCAAAGGCAGACTGGAGCTGACGCAGTCTCGTAGCGAAATTGCCATTAAACCCGCTGCGGTATTTGCAGAATCTGTATACACCCGAACTGGCGAAGATGAGACTGGCCCAGCCGCCTGCGTCTTTGATTTCTTTGTATCCGCGCCAGATGGCTCTATCTTGGTTGGCTGAAATAGATATAGACATAGATATGGGCTATGACTTACATTCGATTTCGCAGATCCTTTTCTTTCCAGTTCAAGACAGCGCATGCTTCTTTCAGCGCCATCATTCGTGCTTCTGTCATGGGACAGTTGGGATTCTCTAGTCGGAGGACCGCAATCCTGGCTTCGTAACAATCAATCCAGTATGCCTGGACAATCATCTCCAGGGCTCGTGATGAGTGGCTGTGGTTGTAGTATTTCACACAGAGAGTATTGACAGCGCGAAAGACTTCGCCACTCACTCCAGTGCGGATGTTGATGCCAGGTTCGATGATCTACTCATTAGCTTGTTCAGAAATAATAGGCAGTAGACATACCGGACAGGATTGACTTAATTTTACAGATGAAAACAGCTGCCGCCATATCCCGGCGATGAGCTTGTCGGTGGATGTCGGCTCCAACACAATCCCATCTGTTTCTGGTTTCTTACGCTGGGGAAAGCGAGTGTCACTGTGGACCTGACGGGTATGAGGGTGAGTAGGATCATGATGCTTGGCTGATTCTATTGGTATCGACCCAGAAAAACTGCTCGTCTTGCGACGTTTGTTGGGATGGTTGGATTCAATTGACTGAGGTGTTGGAGGGATGTCATCCTGGGATGTTCCTACACCTGAAGTTGGAGTTGGAGTTTGATTTGATACAAGCTGTCCACTGTGAAGGTCGATATAGCCCTATACAATCAGAGTCTGTATACTCATCGACTTCATCGTGATGAACATACCAGTAGAAATGTGCGTGAGTCATCGGTGAGAGAAGCGTCAATGCGGAGATACGCTCGATGCTGTGTGGATTTGGAAATGGAGGATACCTGAGAGGGGAAGTCTGGGTTATTGAAGATATCTGATAATTGCGATATTAGAGACATTTTGATTGATGTGGATGTTTGATGCTGAGTGGAAAGCTGTATAGGTACAAATTCTGCCCGGGCAGAAGCTGAGTCATCGTCTACACAACTGGAATATCTTCCATTCAGAAACGAATTGATAATTATTCGATATTGATATATTCGAACTGGTAAAACTATTAGTATATAGAACTCTATAGGAATATTCTGATATTAATCATTGTGATTACTTTGTGGTGTTGTTCTATCTTATAATTCCTGAATCCACTCGCTCGCTTAGTCTTCACTATATAAACCCATTCTACCATTCCATCCTCTATCCTTCTTCTTTCTCGATTCAATCTTTAGTCTTCCTCAATTTTACAAATGCATCAAAATTCCTATAACTCCCATGGATGGAAACATCCACGCATCGGCCGTGGAATGTTTCACGACGTTCGACGTCGTCTTCCCTATTACTGGAGCGACATCAAGGACGCCTGGTCATACCGGACTATTGCTTGTACCATTCGGATATATTTTATCAAGTCAGTTCTATCCTATCCTATCATACCCATCTATACTAACTGAACAGTATTCTCCCCGCTATAGCATACACCCTCGACATGTACCGTCGAACAGGCCACTTCTTCGGCATAAACGAAGCATTGTTCTCCTCTGCCCTCGCCGCAATGGTGTTTAGCATCTTCAGTGCCCAGCCATTGACGATTGTCGGCATAACGGGACTGATATCCCTGTTCAACTATACCATCTTCGACATCATCGCCCTCCACGATCCATCTATCTATCCAACCTTTATGTGCTGGACGGCGATCTGGGCTGCTATCTTTCACTGGATTGTTGCGTTTTGCAATCTGTGTGATTATATGCGTTACGTGACTGACTTTTCGGCTGAGTCGTTTGGGATGTACGTTGGGATTATCTATATCAGTGAGTTTGTTATGTCTCTTTACGGGTGATGGAAAACTGACTTGAATAGTCAAAGGAGTCGAGGAACTCGTGAATGGGTTTGGCCAAGGCAATGCAGCTGGGTTTATGGGGTGCATGGTTGCCATTCTATACTTTGCCACTGTGTACGGATTGGAAAGGTTGGGCATGACTGTCCGTTTTCTAGCTGACTATGCCTACGTAGTAAGTACCCCATCCATCCACATCTATCCTATAAACTATACTGATTGATAGATTGCAACCATCTTTTGGACAGGATTCTCACATATCCCCGGTCCTCTCAACGACACGCCCCTTTCTGCCATCCCCACCAGCCTCGCCTTTCATCCCACACAGCCTAGAAATTGGCTTCTTCCATTCTGGGAGTTGCCGCTGAAATGGATCTTTATTGCCCTCCCGTTTGGGTTTCTCGTTATGCTCCTGTTTTATTACGACCATGTTTGTTTCCCAGTTAATAACATCTACATAAAATATGGATGCTGACTTGGATAGAATGTAAGCAGTCTCACAGCCCAGGCAAGGCGGTTTCCTCTGAAGAAGCCAGCGGGTTTCCATTGGGATTTCTTCCTGCTGGGATGTACGGCATTTGTGGCTGGGATATTGGGAATTCCGATGCCGAATGGCTTGGTTCCTCAGGTATGACCTATCTATATACTCTTCACTGCTATACCTAGTGTCTGATAAATAAAGGCCCCGGTCCACACCGACTCTCTCACCACAGAAAACGAAGACAATGACAATATCGTCATCGAACAGCGCATTTCGCATTTCATCATGGGCCTCGCCATCATAGTAACCATGACACCACCCTTTCTAACAGTCTTGCATACAATCCCCGCCCCCATCTTCGGTGGCGTCTTCCTCATCGTCGGCTGGGGGTCGATTGAATCAAACGGTATCCTCCGCAGAACCGTTTTTCTGATAACAGAGAACAGGTTTCTACGTGATGAAGAGCTGTTGTTGACTATCCGAAAAAGAAAGATTATCCTGTATCTCGTCTGTCAGATTCTTTCGGTGGCTGCGTGTGTGGGTATTTCGCAGACTATCGCTGCTATTGGTATTTCCTTCTCATCTTACGTCTATGCATGCATAGATAGCTTACTATATATACAGCTTTTCCGGTGCTTATCATAGCAATGATCCCATTCCGAGTCTGGCTGATCCCCAGATGGTTCGACCAGAGTGAACTCGACGTGTTGGATGCTTTTACGGCGGATAATGAGGCTGTTTTGGGTAGTTTGGGTGGCTTGCTGGGATAATAAAGATGCCGCAAAAGCATCTACAATATTTTATGCCTGATATACCTACATGGTGGTTCTGCAGGACAACGCAGTGGTTATTTTACATGCTGGTGTTGCTTTTCAAGAGACTTGTAAAAGCGTTTGAGGGAGCATGCATTTTATTGCCTATTGAGAAAACTGTTTGCCATACCAGAGAGCAGTAGGAATATCAACATCTTTCTATTTCTTCTCTCTATTCCTTTCCAGGATTTTAGATTTCTGGCTCTGATAGTGAGCGGTCAAGGAGTGAGGATACTTACAAAGCCTCATGTTTGCGGATAGTCGTTATGAAGCCATGGATCCTGCAGTAGCTCCTTCGCTGTACTTCGCTCGTCGGGGTTCCATTTGATCATCCGCTCGACGAAGTTAACAAACATCCTCTTCTCTTCCCCATGAAACTTGGAGAGGGTGCTTTCGAAGCTAAAGTTACTAGGGACCAGGTCTTCATTTTTGAGTGTTCCTGAAATGCAGTGTTAGTTGCATATAAAGATATTCCAATCGAGAGACTTCTTTACCAGCAGCCGTATAGAACATCGATGTTCTCTTACCGCGGCCAACGACATATTTGGGGGCAGGGCCTAAAAGCGATGTTATATACGCAAGGTGCGTTTCGTCATCGTATTCTCCAACGATGCGGGGATCAACTGATTCAAACAGTGTTCGTCCTTCTAGAAAATCCCATAGCTTCATGGAATTGTTAGCCGTCTGCGCTATATAGGGAAGACACTGTGTACCATAACTCCCAGGCTCCATATATCAGCACTATACGTGTACCCTCTGTCAAGTATAACCTCAGGTGCACGATATACCTCGGCCTGGATACAACCATCCTGTGGAACATCACCTTGGACTGCGAGGTCAAAGTCGACGACTTCAACCAGACTGAGGATGTCCTTCAGCGGCCCATAGTCCTTACGAGACAAATAGATGATGCGTCCGTCATCGCAATGCTTCTGGGGTAGTGGGTTTTCAAACTCATCTCGAGCATCCTGGGCCAGGAGCTGACGATCTTCCAGTCGTACCATGATATTATCCGGCTTCAAGTCTGTTATCTATGAATGAGAACCACATCGGTGACCAGCACAACGGAGGATCCTTACCAGTATGGATGATATGACATTCGGTGTGGAGATAATCAAGCGCCTGGAGGATTTCTTGGAGGATTATCTTGAAAATCTCCGGTGGTATCACACCATCTTGCCATCGTTTGCAATACTTTCCCAGCGACTCCCGTAAAGGCTCGAAGACGAGACATACGTGACTCCCTGAGATTCCTTGAACGGAGAATGAGTCAAGTAATTTTCGAACGATCTGCCAGCCTTCATGTTGACGGTTTTTTTTCGTGATATGTTGTAGAATCTCCAGCTCAACGCCACCAGCAGCTTTCCGTGCATGGGAATTATTGGAGTTGATTTTAAGAGCTACATAGCGCTCTTTCGACCAGCGCCACCTGAATCGTCAATATGTACCTTACCTTACAATGTGATGGGGGCCAATACGAACTGGTTAAGGTCCCTTGCAAGCCACACACTCGATCTGCTTCCATGGCCAAGCTTGGTCGCAATTTGATATCTATCATTCAGGATTTCACCGATCCGCACCGGATAAAAATAGGCTGCCTCATAGTAGGGAGAGTTTTCCTCTTCAACCAGCAAGGACGGGTTAATTCGGGGTGGAATGGCGGGCGGAGATGCCCAGGGCGACTGGCGAAACGCCTTGAAGGGATGGATGAGGATAGTAGGGAGATGCCGCGTCATGATTCTGCACGAGGCTAAGAAGACTGGTACTGGTTCATATGGCCTTTATGGGAGAAGCGTGTATCCTACTTTGAGCCGCGAATGAAGCTTGTTTGGGATCCCGTAGCCGCGCCCCGCAAGTGGGGATGCCACCGCGCGAATCAATGAATCATATCACTCAAATGGTGGATAAGGTACAGCACAAGGAGATATTCAGCGCTAGGTACTATATTATAAAAGCTTTGACGTCGTCGCTTCACAACCTGATCAGCCCTGCTATTGGCGTCTTCTATGGCGGCCTCGGCTACCTAGTCTTATTATAGCTAACTTCAAAACTATTTAATACCGAAAGTGGAATACGAATCAATTTGACTAACCGAACATAGTAAGAATATAAAGCTAAAGGAACGTCACTTAATATCGAAAAGAGCGGACTCTGCATAGATGCTGCAGAAATAAGGCCTACCACTGCATCCTGTATACTACTGCTGAGAGGTAGTAATCTATCATTCACATATAGTTATATCACGGTACTGCTAAACATCGCGTGAATTTGGCATGGTCCACATGGAGATCCGGTTAATGAGGTGAATGAAGGGCAGAGCTGGAAAACAGTTTCTCCATATAATCGACTCGAGGGATCGGATGTCCCAATGGAATTTTAGCACTGTCAAAAGCCCATTGAGCGTGACTGTGTGAACTGATAAAGTACTGATAGAGCAGCTGTATATCCTTCTATTAATTGCCATGTAGCGGTAGGTTCAATCAGAGCAAACTCGACATATTACACAATTAACAGATCAGGAGAATACACATAGTATCCACAGTATTTGTATCTGATATATATATGCATGCAGATATATTCCTCGTATGAATCATCTAGATTTTCACATGAAAGATGTTGGTCAATAAAGGGTGAGGCTGAATACGAGGGATCTTCATAGACCCTCTTGACGATCCATCAATCAGACGCCGCTTATTATTAACGACTACTAGTCTCTAGGCTTCAGTGATTTTAATATTGTATTTAAACGCTGCTTGTACAATCTGCCACTTTATCTTCATCTTCAATCAATCAGTACACAATGGACAAAGTCAAAAAACTCATCTCCACCCGCCTCTCCAACGGCGAACCTCAAAACACCACAAATGCAGATACATATCAACCCCGCCCACTCAACATTCTTCCCCCACCTCAACCACCCCCATCTAAAGACCCTCCCCGTCTCATCCTCGTCGGTGCAGGGTCGCGCGGTACATCACTCGCCCGGGCAGTCGTGCACGCGACAAACGGACACCTTGCCGCTGTCGCAGACCCAAATCCCTACCGCAGAAGACAGCTAGGTCGGCAGTATATCTGGGGCGTGGAGAGTGCGAAAGAAGGCGAGGAATTCACCGACTGGGTTGAGTTTCGGGAATGGGAGGTTGAACGGAGGAAGAGGGAGAGTGCAGGGGAGAATGTAGGTAAGGGAGTAGACGGAGTGGTGGTTTGCGTGATGGATAGCTTGCATAGGGAGGTATTGGAGGGGTTGGCGCCGTTGGGGTTGCATGTTATGTGTGAGAAGCCGCTGGCGACGTCGTTGGATGATTGTGTGGGGATTTATGAGTCGGTTTTGGGGGAAAAGTCTGTTTTGTTTGCCATTGGGCATGTGATGCGGTATTCGCCGCAGAATATGTTATTGAAGAAGTTGGTGGAGGATGAGGCTGTTGGGGATGTGGTTTCGATTGAGCATACGGAGAATGTGGGGTGGTGGCATTTTGCGCATAGTTATGTGAGGTGAGTTATCTTTCTATCTATGGTTGTCGATTGACTTTGCTGATTAGAACAGAGGAAACTGGCGCAAAACATCAACGTCCGGGCCGACGTTGCTGACCAAGTCGTGTCATGATATCGACTTTCTCATGTGGTTGATGTGCAATTCACAGAGGAATAAGCAGCCTCATCTTCCATCCACTGTCGCCTCATTTGGATCGCTGAGACAATTCAGGCGAGCTCGAAAACCGGTCGAAGCAGGGAATGCAACCAATTGTATGTCTTGCCCAATTGAGAATTCATGCCATTACTCTGCGCAGAAGATCTATTGGGAGCAGGGTATTATGGCTGGACTTGGTGGATGGCCTGTGGATGTGGTTGTGCCCGATATCGAAGATCTCTTGGATGAAGGAGGTTTGAAGGGAGCGAGAGAAGGGTTGAATCGCAAACTCGCTGAGGATTATACAGAAGACACACCGGCTGCAGAGGTTGAAGGACGACAATGGTATGGTCGGTGTGTATTCGAATCGGATAATGATGTCTGCGATGACCAGACGGTCAACATCAACTGGGATGATGATCCTTTACCAAACGCTGGTCTGAAAGGCAGAGGCATGAAGAGTGCAACTTTCCACATGACTGCCTTTACACAGGGCGTTTGCACCAAGAGAACCCGGGTATTTGGCACTAAAGGCGAAATCGAAGCCAGTGGGAAATCAGTCAAAGTCCACGATTTCATCTCAGGAGAGACAAAAGAACATCCTCCTATGTTGACGGCCGGTGGTCACAGCGGGGGTGATCACGGACTGATGGCGCAGTTTGTCCTGGCGATTGATGCCATCAAAAATAAATCGATGAGCATTGAAGAAGCGCAGAATCAGTATATTGGATGCACTCCGGCTGATATCTTTCGGAGCCACGCCATGGTGTTTGCGGCAGAGGACGCGCGGACCACGAGGAGGATTGTGGACTGGAACGAGTGGTGGAAGGATAATGTCAAGTCTGAGAGTCTGAGATAATTCATTATAACCACTCTGGCTCGAAACATCGATTCTCCTTCTGGTCTTGGGCGATCTTGTTCAACCTCCATCCTGACTTGTATGTAACCCCGTCGTCATGAGGCAATTCCCTCTGTCCTAACCGGTAGGAAAAGGAAAATCCACAGGTCTGCTGAGAGTAAACATACTGAAAGCACTTGGGATGTTCTTCACACGCCATTCCGCATTTCTCAAACGACTGATGCGCTTCCTTTTCGACATCTGTCATGTCTTCTGCGGATTTCTGGCGACTTCCCTCGACCCCCGGGGCTCTGAACATCAGATCGTCGGAAAGGTTATACCAATCATCCAGTTCAGCAGGCAGATTCCGGCCCATGAAATGCTCGTATATTTCAGCCATCAGAAGCGGCTTCTTCACATCCGGTCTCTGCTGCTCAAGCTGCCAGATAGCATTGACATCTTCGGGCGTAACCCCATGCATGGTGACCAACGGCTGGCACCAATGTCTAACTCCATTCCCCGGTCCAGGACCAAAAGGAAGCGAGTTCTGCTTCTTCCCCTGCATCATCGGCCAGCTTTTCTCCAGTGCAATGCCCTTTTCTTCCAGCGCTTTCATCAGCACATAATCGCCATAGTACTCTTTCTGCAGGCGCACATCATATCGCTCTGTGATATCCTCATCGTCACTCAAAACCTTCTCCATCGCCGCCCTGGAAAGAATAATTCCACTTCCTCCATGGGCGAATGCCTCTCCATTGAGATACGTCGGCGAGCCCAAATACTGCGGCTGCGAAGGATCCCGTCGATCCAACCACATTACCAAATTACTCCAGATCAAATACGTATCCGCCTCGACAAAAACATACCAGTCACGATTAGGACGCAGCGTCCACGCCTTGACGAGCATGTGGATGAATTTGTACTTGTCCAGTCGCCAGGCAACACTTTTCGACGAATCCCGCAGAGACCGCACATCCTGCCCGTATTTTTGGTATTCCTGCAGCGTGCGGTAGTATTCGAACTCCGGGGAGGAGGCTTTGATGGTCTCGTTGACATGCTCGAGGACGTCGTGGACGTGGAGGGGGCCGAATTCCTGCTGCAGATCGGAGAAGATGAGGGGCTGGGGAGGGCAGCGTAGGGCTGTCAGCAGTTGGAGGGGAAGTTTGTCGTAGATGACATTGGCGCCTGTTTTGACGATTACTTGGATGTTGGCATTTGAAAAGGGCTCGCATCGGTCTGTTTGTGGTTTTATCTGTGGGTGAGACAGCGATGGATATTCGGAAGAGGTGGGATAGAGAGAGAAGAGGGAAAAGAGAAGGAAAAGCGCGACGACAAGAGAGGCGAAAAAGCGACCGTTGGGGAAGCCAAGCAGAGCGCCCATTTTGAAGATAGTATTGAGATAAAGACAATCAGATTGTCAATTGAGAGAGTGCAGAATGAATAAATAACAGGCGAAAACAAGAAATGCACTAGACGCCACTAAAGCGGCTATTCCGGATTCTGGCACAGACAAGAATAGCCAGGAATTCCCTGAACGATCATCGGATATGATGCTATCGGTGTCATTATTGCCTGCTAGTGCCGGGGATGTCTTAGGCGCCGCCCAATCAAAAGCAGCAATACGACAGGTCTGATGCTATAAGTGTCATGGACTGTTTGATCTTTGTCGATCTGAAGACTTTTTCTTCGACGAGTCTTGATTTAATTTATATTAGCTATATTTATAGTATATCCACTGGTTGCAATTATCAATTATCAAGACCCTTTCTCCACACTTGACCCTGTTTGCCGTCGTCGATATTGGCGGCAGCGGTGAAGCATCTTGCATTACTTGCAGCTGCATTCTACTGCATAAGAAGACGTTATGCAGTACAAAGACTCGGTCTGAAATGCATTCAGACCGTTTTTATAAATTCCATGTCTTCGAATTCAGGGACTGGTCCAGGATGGTCACGTGTTCGATACATGCGGGGTAATTATAGCCATGGAATGCACAATGCCATGTGGCATTATATTAAAGATATATTTTATTTTATAGAGTTATCAACTGTCTATGTTTAAATTCGATCTTCAATTATATGTTTACTTGTTGAAATCCAGTTCGGATGGTGATGAAGATGCCAAGGGGATGGATCTACTTCCGGATCGTGTCAACGATGCAACTATTGTCTTTCAGAACGGCCGGGCTCAGCGTGGTAAGGAGATTGTCAGCGAGTCGAATACGGAAGAAGAACCAGAAAGACCAGTGTCAGCATGAACAGCAGTGTCAGAGGAATCAGACAGAATTGAGGTCGGATTTGGATCAGTCAAGACCTTCGAATTGGTTTATTAATACGCAGCGGGATATCATGTACCATGGAGCCAGGCATTAGTCTTGACTACAAGTCTAAATTTATAACTTATATGGCTAACATATACTGCTTCATCGTCCAAATACCCCGTTTTTCTTCCTATGAGCAATGGTCTAGGAGCACTGCCAAATCATACAGCCACCCTTTGAATGAGCTTTTAAACAGACAGTTTGTGGCTGCTCTACATCATTCCCCACACAAAGCCCCCAACATAGATTACGCCTGTCATTATAACCTTATCAAACGTGGTATAACTCTATTTATAACTCCGGGGTGGCATCGGAGTAAAATATCTATTCAGCAAATTCTCTATTGGCTCTAATGAATGGCCAAGAGTTGTCATCGTTCGTGATTTAATAGTTCATATAGCTATCTTTATATCCCAACTTCAACTCCCTCACGTCAGTTTCTTCCATTTACTGGAGCTGGCCACAGTCGGCAATTGTGACCTTCCTCTTGGGAGTACCGGAGCCACTTCCAAGAGACTCAATCTGCTTGACCAGTTGCATGTTGTCGATAACGCGTCCAAAGACAACGTGGGCTCCATCGAGCCAGTCAGTGACAACGGTGGTGATGAAGAACTGAGAGCCGTTTCTAGATTCCATATTAGCATCAATCAGAGTTTTAATAAAATGATATCCAATCAACTTACGTGCCAGGACCAGCATTGGCCATGGAGAGAAGACCGGGGACCTCGTGCTTCAAGGCGAAGTTCTCATCGGGGAATGTTTCACCGTAGATGGAGCGGCCACCGGTGCCCTTGAATATGTTAATGACGATTTATTGGACAGGAATGGATGATTCTTACATCTCCACGGGTGAAGTCACCACCCTGCAGCATGAACTGGGGGATCACACGGTGGAAGCCGCTTCCCTTGTAGCCGAACCCCCTCTCACCAGTGCACAGAGCACGGAAGTTCTCAGCGGTGCGGGGGACGACATTCGCGAAGAGCTCGAAAACGATGCGGCCCGCGGGGGCTGCAATGAGGGGTAATCAGTAAAAGTCCGTCGAGCGGGGCAGTCCTGTCATGATTCTTACCGTTGTCGACGGCGATGTCGAAAAAGACGATAGGGTTAGACATGGTTGATGATGGATGGATGAGTTGATGGTTTATTTTATTCGACAATAAATACAAACGCAGGATCGTGTTTATCAAAGTTGATTTTTATATGTCGGCGTGGGCTAGTGGGATCAGCTGAGGAGATGACGTAAATGGGTTGATTTTCGCGTAGACGGCAGAGACAGCTGTGATTGGCCAGTATTTATTTTCCGGATCCACTCATTTTATAGGAATAGAATTCAGTCAAGCTGATAAATAAACAGCCATATAATCACAGATGGACTTCTAACACTGGCTGATGATACCAAGTAAGTGTGCTATCATAAATTTGAAAGTTGTAGTTGAATAGAGACCCAGTACCTTGACCAATAACGAAAGACTTTGGCGTATTGACCATTTATCTTGTTCCGATATGTTCAGCTGTTTCAAGCTCAGTCTGTGATGCTACATATACAGACAAAGACATATGAAGCTCGAGCTTCTGAATCCAGTAAAAATCCGGTCTCACAATTGTCGGCGTGAATTATTCGGGTCTGCCATCATAGCTCTAGGCGATTTTCAGGTTATACAATTGTCCTTGAAGTAGACTTTATATCCTCATTCAGCTTGCTGCTTGAATTCAAGCCCACGGAAACGGTACTGGGGTACCTGAACCGCATGCAAACGACCCAAGCGGACCTGACCAAATACGGCGCTGTGCCTTGGTACGACGTCTTCCGGTACCTGGACTGTCCAGCGGAGGGGGTCATTTCGGATATTATCGAATCGCTGAATTTTGACTGGATTCCAGGACTTGGGGCGTTGGCTTCGGGGCACAACCTTTTCAGGAATATGCACGTGGCGGAAACACATGTGCGGCCCAAGATTGGGCTTCTTGTCTGTGCTGGTTCTGGTGGCGTAGATGGCAGTCAAATCATCCTGTGTTTGCATGGAGCGCTGGCGAATTGATCCACGCAGTGGGTATCCCGAGTGGCAGAAGAGTTGAAGAGGGTCTGTATTTGGTTGGCAGAGGAGGAATCTCGGGGCAGGCCGGTGGGGGGTTTATGGAGCCTCTGTGAAGGAGGAAGATCGTGTCGCTGTTGATGTTTCTAATCAAATGGGGTGAGATGGTAAGAGGTTAGGTGATGAGGGTGAGTAGCTTTTCTACATAAATCGCTTACTTGTCTGGTTGATTCTTTTATCGACCCTTATTCCTTCTCTTGTCCTTCTTAATTTCCTTTCTACCCTGTGTTTCAGTAGACTACTTCAATACTAATGATATGATAGATTATAAAGTTAAGTAGAGATTGGATTGGCGCTAGGCCTTGTAGTGACATTGCGCATGCAGTATCCATGCTCCAATAAAATATCCCAGTTGATCAGCATGAGAACCCCGGGGGATAACAGGTACTTTATCAAGACATTGCCTCTAGACATCCTCCTCGCCCTCCCGAAAGTCACATTCACCCCTCGCACATCGGAAAACATAGGAAGAACGTCGCTCGACCTGTCCGCGAGAGAGATGGTCGCAATCGCACAGGGGGGTTCCATCCCTAATGCCCTCCCAGTCATCAAAGATCATGCGACGGCAGCCTACGCTGCATGTATAATACCATCTCCTGATATTTCCCTTGCTATTGGACTGCGTTTGTCGTCTATTCATCTCCACATCGCAACAATGGGGCGGATGGTCGAAAAGTCGAGGAACTCGGTCTGCCATCTTGTGTTTGTTTGTTGGTTATCGAAGGAAGGGGCTGCCCAGGAATATGGTTAGAATCATAAGTGTGCTTGCTCTTAGCGAATATACTTACAGTATGTTGTTTGGTATAAGGCCAGGAAAAGCGTGGGAGGTGAAGAAGTGATGGAAGCAAGAGAATTGAGGAAAGTAGAGAAGGTTCTTATATGTTTATTTTCATCAGGATAGACATCATCTCTGGGTTTCTGTCCGATTCCCTTATACAATGCTTCTACAGTAGCTACCAAGGAAAAAAATGAGCTATTACGTGTTTGGGTCATTATAAAAATGAGCCAAAGCCTCAGTCAATTCAGTCATACGATAACCTCCACTAGGGATACCTGCAATTTTCCTTGGCGAGATTGAGGCTGTTCAAGATATGCTCGGTTTATCACATTTGCCTAAGGCTGACTACTCTTGGATCCCAATGATCCTGGTCATAAGCGAGTCAGTTATATCCAATCAGCGCAGCGGCGTTCCGATGTTGTCTTCGCACGTCATGGACGCTTTGACCGCTGCAGGTAGCCTCACTGTTTGTTCCCAATGAAAAACTGCGCTTTCATGGCTGTGAATACTGCCTAGGTACAGGCCATTCCAAATATTGTTCTAGCAGGTTCTAAAGAACCAGGATAAATAGGGCCAGTCTTCCCTCGATATTTCCACCATCCATTATCCTGATTCCTTTTCCAAACCTCCTGGCAAGCCTTGACTTTTTTTTGTTTTCACACCTTCTGTTCAAGTTGACTTTTCGACATCTTACACTATGAACCCCCAGTCGTCTTTTGATACAGGCTGCGATAATCAGGACGCCCTAGCATTATATCTCTTCTCTGGGCAGGAGTTTTTGCTCCATGTAGCAGATTCGTGAGTGACTCTATAAACTGAGATTCATATACTAGACATACTAGATAATCCGATACCGTCCCCGACCAAAGTAGGTATACAGACTACAAACGCGCCGACGAAAACTCTCAATCTTCCCACCAGGTCGCAGCGTACTGGAGGCAGCTGGGTGTAATGCCCCAGACTGTAAATGTCCTACTCGGAGAAGTCGAAAAAAAAAAAAAAAAAAAAAAAGAAAGAAAGAAAAAGAAAAAGAAACGTCGGCAAAAGGACAACGAGGCTAGCGTGCAAAGTCGGGGAGAAAGCTACATACCTAGGGAAGGAAACTGGTATGGTTTTATGGACAGGACGAGAGACTTCTCCGAGAATACATGACTTGTGTCACTATCACGCATTTTATTAGCCTTATGCACAATGTGCTTAATCTCCACCCGTCCTGTGACTTTTTACAGCCAGAAAAGCTTCTCCCCGCCAGGAATATCTTTTAGAATTCCTGTTGGACGTGACCCCGACGTGATTTACTCGCCGGGGTGACAATAGGTAGCTAACGTTGAGGATGGTCAGGGGTGAAGCTCAGACTGGGCTCGAATATAACGGCGGCGACTTTAACAACCAGATACACAATACGTCGACCACGACTTCATGGGACTTGCCCCCCGATATCCACGCGATCCCAAGTAACCAATACGTTCTCTATCCAGCCAATCCTCTCAATAACGTGGGATTTGTCGACAATTCGTGGAGCGTCTACGGTAAGCCTGATACCGAAACTGGCTCGCAAAAGAAGAAATCACTAACTCGGTCAACGTAGACGGTTTCGAATCACCATGGACACAGGAATTGTGGCCTTCCCCCTCAGCTCCATTCCCCACAATGGAACCTGGGTATCCTGGATCTCCGTGGTTCCCTTCGCTGCAGAGCTCAAGTTCCTCATTCCGGTCTCCAGCCAATGGTTTTGACGATATGAAGCAAAGCGATGAGCTATTGTATGACTGAGGAAATCAACGAAATTTTCTTTTTAGTTTCAGCGTTAACCATATTTCTAGGCACCCCCGACAACCACAACGAGCATCGCCAGAGTCTTTTTCAACTGTTCGCGCGCAGAGATTCCCGTGTGGGTATTGTCCGAAGACATATAAAAAGAGCAATGGTCGAAACAGACATGAAAAGCGCAATCACGGTTGCGGTCCCAAACGCCCAGGTCGGCCGAGAAAGTCACAAAGGGCATGAAACTGCTCTGGAGTAAATAGGGAAGATATTAACCTGTATGGGCGCCCTCAAGAAGGGTCTAATCCAATTTCATTAAGCTTGCGTGCATCTTGTTCATTGCTCTTAGACTTGCCGGCATCTGATTATATAGCAAGGATTTCTCAATTTCTACACGGATCACTACAGGAATAACAACGTCCCAGTTGGAAGCTTTCCATATATTATCAACATAACTGCAGTATAACTATTCAATCACCACTAAATATTAATTACATAGAGCCTAAGGTAATCTAGTCACTGCAAGAAGCACCAGAAGGAACATTCTTGCACTTGGAGCTCTTCTTTCCACCTTTGACATCAACACCGCTCCAGGTCCAGTTCTCACAGCTTCCAGAACCACAGAGGATGTAGATATCAGTCGCAGAGCTCTTGACGGTACCAGTGACCTTCTTAAAAGTGATATCATCGACCTTGACTCCGTTGGTGGGCTTGCCAGTAGGGCTGCCGTTCTTGTAATCCTGCTGAACGACAATGCCGTACTTGGTGATTCCAGACAGGGTGATGTCCTCGAACTTGACGCCGGTCACGGAGCCGGTAGCGCCGTAGACGGTCTTGATGCGGGCGCCGTTCTGGGAGTTGACGATCTTGGAGTTGGAGATGGTGACGTCGTTGACGGTGTTGTCCTTGCGGCCGCCGACAGAACCGATGGAGAGGCCGTGGCCTCCGTCGCAGTAGCCGTTGGTAAAGGTGATGTGCTATTTTGTCAGTGAGATACAATAACTAAACTCATAGATGGACCTACCTCGCCAGAGTTCACAGCCAAGCAATCATCCTGGTTGTACACGGTAGCACCATCGATGGTGATATAGGTACTGGACCCAATATCAAAGGCATCGGTGTTGTGGCCCTTGCTCGTGCCAGCAGAGTTATCAATCGTCACGTCAGTGATAGTCAAATGGTCCGACTGGATGCTGAAGCCCTGCACGGGAGTATTGTACACCTTGAGACCGGTGATGGAGGACTTGTTCAGCTTGTGGGCCTTGAAGAACTTGGGCTTCTTCTTGCCGCCGTTGCCACCCTTTCCATCCCACCAGCGAGATCCATCACAGTTGATCTTTGCACCGGAGGACTGCTTCACGGTGATGGAAGTTCCGGACATGGAAATCAGAGGGCCCTTCCATTCTTTGTATCCGAAGGTTGTTTCGCCTTCGAAGATGACCTTTCACAGTTAAATTGGGTTATTTTGGTTAAAAAGAAGAGCTTACGGTAGCGCCGGTCTTGAGGCCAGTCAGGTCGAGGGTCTCACCGGCCGGGACGGCGATGTTGTCGAGGACAATGGTGGAGCAGGAACTCTTGCCCGACTTGGCCGCAGAGGCAGAGGTAAAAGTACACGAGGAACGAGTGTCGAGCTCAGAAGCAGGGGCAGCAGCGACCAGCGCAGCGCCCATAAGAGCAAGAAGAGGCTGAATATACATCTTGAAGAACAAATAAAGAGTGACGGTAATGAAAGGAAAGACAAAAAGAAAGTAGTGGGTGAAGACAAACACTCCCAGGCCCAAAGCCGTATTTATAGGTTAGCCAGTACAGGCAGACATATAGTACGTATAATGAGACAATCAAAAGAAATTATTAGACCCTACATACAATTAATCTAATAGATTAAAGACTAACTGGTTCGTTGCTAGTGTTAGGGCTGACCAGTCCCACTTCGGCCACTTCCGAGGAACTTGACGATCTCGACTTGGCGATTCTTCATTTGCTTCTTCTAGCGTGTTTGATCTTGTCTTGCATCGGAGGCCATCGGATATATGATAAGAGGATAAATTAGATTTCACATATGATATCTGTTAAAAGTAAGACAATGATACCCCGAGCGGGAATTGATTAATCTTGCTTATTAATTAGACATAAATTCTTTTCAATATAATCCTAGACAGCGGCAGCTCAAACTCCATAAGTCTGATTACTAGAATGGCTTTGCTTTATAGTGGAATATTGATATGTCCAGCTATGGAAGCGAGTGTGAGAATATCAAACGGTATCCATCATCTGATATCTGATGGTGTATCATGGGCTGAAGCTGTAGCTGTCTTCAGGTAGTAGCATATAAAAGATGGTGATGGATTTAAGGGTTATTTTTAGGTTGAGCTGAGAATATCTTCCTATATAATCCCCCAATCTATTATATCTAGTACATACGACCACAGGGTGTGGAGAACAGGGCTTCCCGTCCGCTCAGCCGTACTTAAGCCACACGCCGGCAGGTTAGTAGTTGGGTGGGTGACCACCAGCGAATCCCTGCTGTTGTATGTTTTTAAAGTTTTTTATATAATTAGAAATCTTGTTTTATCTGATTGTCTTGATAAATGTGGTTGGGGATGAAGACCAACTATTGTCTTCCCTCAACGCGTAGAGTCGAAATAATCAGCTATCTTACAGACTCTCTTGATACTTTTTGGGACATACCTCTTCCCGGGACATGCCCGTGGACCGACGGAGAATGGCTGCAGGACATCCTTTTTGTCATTTCTCCACCGGGTACTGTGTCGAGCCACCGTTCGGGGAGAAATCACTGCGGATCTGTAAAGTTGAATGCTCGACCGGACGGTGTCATGGAGTCTCTCGATGAATTTGTCCACAAACGGCTGCAGGACTTTCTCATGGTCTCTCACGGCCGATTTCTGGCGGCCGTGAATCCCATCCGGAGCGATCACCACACTTGGGGGCCTTTTTGTTGGGGGTGTTGTAGAATTGCATGTCCTTGGAAAGGTTGCTCGAGTGGCCGTGGACCTCCTTCCATGCCTCCTCATTCGAGTAGCTCAACTCGTCTGGAGAAGTCTAGACGACATGGCCGTACTGGTTGTGTAAATCTCACACAAAGATGTGCAGATTGCCTTGTATAAAGGCGACTGAATACGGTATTCTCGTGGCAGAGGCGAAGAATGGCTCTGGGTAGCTACTAAAAGGATGGAGATGTCGATTGAAGATGACCCTCCAAGTCGCGTACAAGAGAACCTAATTTTGATTAATACCTCACGACCAGCAGCTAAGATCGATCTTACCAAAAGGCCGATCCAAGGAAAGGCGTGGAGAAGGTCAAACATGATCGCTGACCTGGCCAAACTATGACGGATGGGGCTCTCATCTAGCTGGCGTGCACAGAATGATCAATCGCTTGCCCCGCGAGTATGAGTAAGAACTCGGACCTGGCATAAGTCAGGACGTAAATTGCAATTCTGCAGGCTATGATCATATTGGCGGAGCAGAAGCCCTTGAAGCTGAGAGGTTGCTAGGTAGTACGGAGTACTGTAGGCATGTGATGGGGGTCTGGGTGCATGCATCACAAACAAGGAGTGAAGGGAATCCATCTGACCTGCAGCTTTTTGTCTGTTAAATTAGCTTTTGTGCGAAGTAGCTATTAGCGGTGGAAGTGTGACACAACAGAACCCAACAGCTGACTGGGTGGTTCATATATAAGCTTGTTTCCCTGGTAGTCTGTGCTAGACTCCCTATATCATATTCCCCTACACTGTTCAGAACCCTCATACTCATATGACCATCATGGAACTGATCGCAACCCTTTTGGTAGACCTTTCAATCTTCATGCGTCTATCACTGCGCCACAAGCTGAAGACCCCAAACTCCTCGATTCCACTGCAGAGACTCATGTAGTCTTCGCCCTGGATGGGATACGAGGTGAGCAAGCTCACCCAAAAAGAATGCTTTGCACAGCTCATCGATCTATACGGTATCCAGACAGACGAGCTGGCCAAGACTGTTGCTGAGTACCGCAGCACAATCAACTATGACCGCGATATCGCATCTATATTCAGCAGGCTTAAAACAACCTCTCAGACAAAAATCATCTTAACATCAAACATCCCAAAGCCAGACCGTGCAGGCTCTCCGAGGCTGGCCGGGGAAGCATTATTATTCTTGATTGATTGGTGAGGATGGTTGGTAATTTAAAGAAAAATTCACAAAATAGTCAGCCTACATAATATCACTAGCTGAATGAAAACAAGGGGGGATAACTGGGAGGTAAGATATAATAAAAAGGTTTGCACTTGAAACAATCATGATATAATCATAATAACATCATGTCTGCTAGAGCTAATTCAGATCATCTAGATGTAGGCTCCACACAGGATGCATGTGAGCTGTAAAAATGACGATCAACCCCACTAAGAAAGCCAAAGGGAAGAAGATAAATACCTGCCCCTTGCCCCTACCCCGCCAGTTCGTCTTCCTAGATGAACTTTCTTCTCATACTATACCCCTTTAATTTCTACTCCAGCCACATCAACTCATCAACTCCTCCAAAATGGCCTACAATGTCCAAGACAAGTCGCTCGATAAGTGTGGCAAATGACTGACATGATTTTTGAACATAGGTCCAGATGCTGAAGGCATCATTACTAGTAAACCTGAGCATGATTTTTACGTGTGCGTACACCCAAGCTGATTGAAACTACCTATCTATAATCTGTATGGTTCTTGTTAGTAATATATAACCTGTACATTAGACATATTGCTAGTGGTGCATCTGTGACTGTGCGCGAGCATGTAATTACAGAGTCTGATAATTATTTACTGATTATATCATATGTATATCTCTGAAATCTAATACATCTTCATATAAAGAATATACCTTTATAGTTCCATCGTATTCAAACCTCCTTTGACTGACCAACTAGCCTTTTTGAGCTTGTTCAGCTGCAATCCGATCCCTCTTCCATGTATTGACTGGCTGAATATGTACAGCCCTTAGGCCTATTTGTTAAGATTCCTAAGAAAAGCGCAGTCCACACGTCCGGGAAGGGAGAATTCAGATATATGCCAGCGTTTGGTATAGGTGGAAGATTGATATCTTATCCTCATAGTTTACAGTCATGAATACATACAGATAAGCAGTTAATCTAGATTTATGCTTATTTAAGGTGGCAAGGGCACAAGTCCGAGCCCCTAAGTTTACTACGGGAAAAATTCGGAAGATATCCCCGTGGGGCTGTCTACAAGACATCTTGTTGTTGTATGTAGAGATTAGTCAGCTCCGCTGCCCGCCGATCAACCGCAGCATCGACCACTTAGCTGCCGCAGAGTTTTCACCCCCTCAATCAACTCCATCATATAGATTGGTTCCGTACGTAGCCATAAGAAACATCTCCAACAGAGTCTACTGATGACAGGGGCTCTTAGAGGGGCTCTAATCCGGGTCTGAGCGTAATGAATATCGCACAAGGAGAGGGAATATGGGACGCCATTTACTCCAAAGGCCTTTACGTGTTCGTGGCCATCTACGGAACCTCCCGTTGTTTCATATGGCCCGACCACCACCTCCGGCTACCCCGGCTAGTGGGGGGTCGGACCAGCCACAAATATTGTGCCATGGGCAGTTAGGACAAAGAAAAGAGATTAAGCAGCAAAAGGGGCGCAGCCTTGTGTCAGGTGGGTCGGTGTGGGCGGAGGAGGTATCCCGTATGGCCAGGTTAGCGCCACTATGAGGTTAGCTCTGTTGACGGTTTATCTCCCGTCAGGCGAACTCAACTTCTCAAATTCTCGTCTTTTCCCTTTGGCTTCTGTCACCACAATGACCACGATTCCAAGCTGAATGCCTCAATGCCAGCATGTGGAATATCAGAACAACCCCGTTCAGTCGGAATGGCGTGGTGAAACAACTGGCTCTTATCCTCCTCTTCACCACCCTCCTCCTCTGGCATCAAGATAAACTCTCCAGCCCATCAGCCCGCCTACGACTTCCAGATCGTCAAGATCAGCTGAGAGATCGTCTTTCTTTGCTAAGAGAGCATGAGCCAAAATGCCCAGGTCCTGCACTCAGCAGCGCAGCAGGTCTGCAAAGGTTCGATGAAGAGTTTGTCGCATCCAACGAACCTGTGCGAATCGACCATGTTGAGAATTCCGAGGAAATCCTGCAGCCCATGCAAACAGCGCATGATGGCTTTGTGCAAGCGATTCAAAGCCTCAAGATTGATCTTCCCTATGTCGCTCGGTCAGAGGGAATCGTTTCATCCGCTGGAGGAACATATCTACCGACATTCTTGGTGACCTTGCGTCTCCTTCGACGGACGGGATCGACACTACCTGTGGAGCTGTTTGTCCGGGATTGGGAAGAATATGAGCCATATGTCTGTGAGGTTGTTCTCCCTCCACTGAATGCAAAGTGTGTGGTTCTGTCGACGCTTCTGTCAGGTCCGAACGGGAGAGGACTTGGTAGCATTGAGCACTTCCAAATCAAGTCTTTTGCGATCCTTTTCTCGTCCTTTGAGAAGGCCATCTGGCTGGATGCGGATTGCGTCCCCCTTTATGACCCCTCAATACTATTACACTCTAAGCCCTTTACATCAACGGGTCTTGTCACCTGGCCTGACTTCTGGGCCAGTACTGTTTCTCCCGTCTATTACAACATCTCGCGCCAGCCAGAGACACCTCCTAATCTGCGGCAAGCGACAGAGGCCGGGGTCATTCTAGTCTCTAAAAAAAGCCATTCCTATACGTTGCTTTTAGCCACATATTACAACTACTACGGCCCATCCCATTACTATGGCCTACTCGACCAAGGCGCACCAGGAGAGGGTGACAAGGACACCTTTATTCAAGCTGCAGCTGCGATGGGCGAGAAATTCCACACTGTCAGCGAACCAGTCATGGATGTTGGTCGCTGGGGCATCCGTGTAGGGGATATGCGGGGGGCAGCCATGCTTCAGGCTGATCCTATGCAAGATTACAAACTCACCAGTAAAGGGAAATGGCGAGTGAAAGACCCATCCGTGGCCAAACCTGTGCGTGGTTTCTTCCTACACGCATACAATCCCGAGTTCAATCCCGGAGAAGACTTATTGGGTGAGAGATCGCATAATGATGACGGGAGCCCTAGCAGAGTATGGACTGCTTCTGAAGATGCGCTGAAACGCTTTGGATATGACATTGAGAGAGGCTTCTGGGAAGAGACCAAGACTGTTGCCTGTTCTTTGGAACATGCCTTTGACACGTGGAAATCTCGAACTGGGCTGTGTGAAAATGTCGAAAAGCATTGGAAGGCGGTTTTTGAGAATCCATCTGCAGAGACTTTGAAATTTACGGATGACTGATTTACTTGGATATATGATGTACATAGATTGAATATGATCAGCTGTTAATTGTATATCCGATGATATCTACACAAGGCAGCCTCATCTAGTCCAACCCGGGCAACAAGGCTGACTTGGCCCCATCTCTTGGCATTATCCCTCCCACTTCTTTGTCACACAAACTCAACGTTTCACCCTCAACAACAAGCACAGCATGTCTACTCTTTTTCCAGATCTCAAGTTCGACGTCGCAGCGCCGCCCGGTTGGGCATACGCAGCCGGCGACACCATCATCGGCAATATAGTCCGCTACACACCGGTCGTCACACCCGAAGCCACACTAAAGCTGGTGCTGACAGGCCGCACCATGGTCAAGATCACCGAGTCCAACGGTGACAGCAACATCACCTATAGCGATCAATACGAGCTTCTGAGTCACACTCCGGACATTATCTTCCGCGGGCCGCTGCATCTCCCTGAAGATAGTCAAGAGCCGGTCAGCTGGCCGTTTGCCGTGAAGATCCCAGATGAGCCCTCTGCATCGTGCAGAAAGTACCATATCCAGCCTGCGAGCTTTCTGCCGTTGAATGAAGACCATCCTGCGCACCATGTGTTTCCGGGGTCGTTCTCCTCGTCGAGCGGGTTGATTGGTAGTACCTCCAACTGCAGAGTCGAGTATACGCTCAAGGCGACGCTGCGATATAAATTCGGGAGCTGGAAAGAGCATGAAGCCACTTTTCATATTAAGATGCGGCACACGGTGGTGCATACTGGTCAACTCCGCGAGGCGAAGACAATGGAAAGTATGCGAATGGTGCAGACTCAGCGGTTGCTGCCGGGGATGGAAAACGCACATCTATCATTCAGTGAAAAGGCGTTGAAATTCTTCGGCTCGTCCAAAGTCCCTCAGTTTGTGTATAAGGTCAACCTCACCGTCCCTTTGGTGATGCAATTGGACAATCCAGAGCCTCTTCAGATTGTCTTGAAGATCGATCCACTGCCGCACCGAACCAGCGACAACATCAAAGACCATACGCAGCAGATCCGAGTAAACTGGATCAAGCTATCCATTCAGAACTACACCGCCGTCCGCGCACCAGGCAATTTTACACACAGCTGCCACAGCCACAGCTATGGATTTTCGACAGACGTGGGTCTGGAAAGTGTGTTTCGCAAGTTGGAGTCTCCGCTGGTGATTTCAACAGGAAAGGGCAACGAGCCGGTTCATATCGGGAATATGTTCCAGCTTGCTCTCAGCTCGGGTGGTTTGACGGCTGGGAAACGACGCCTTACTCCTATTCCTCAGATACAGCCTAGTTTCACTACGTATAACATCAAACACAGTCACCAACAGAAGTGGAAGGTCTCTGTTACTGTTGCCGGAGAAGAGCAGACGCACGAGTTTCTCGCGCTGTTGAATGTTGTCGCGTCTTGAGGTGTTTTATATTACTTTTGAATGACCGTTACGTTATGATTCTAGAATGATCAAGCATGGTATCTTTATTGTGTATTATTTCGGGTTCTTGTCATATATTTGTTGATATCTATATATTTCTTGATGAGGATTAGTCTCAGACCCTACTAACCAGGATCTGTTCAAACTCCCACCACTGCTTCAGTTACGGCATTTTTTTAATAAATGCATGAATACCTTATCCAGGTATCATATTAGGGTTAGAACTCGAGTAGATGATGCTCCCATTCACATCCATGAATGCCGTCAAGTGGATACAATCCTTTTGATCGACCAATCATAGCATGACTCACCATTACTCATAATGGCGCATGGTGATTGGTTTGTCTATTCGGGGATATCCACAATTTGGTGTATATAGAGCAGCAGCACCGCAGAGTTGCGAGTTCAATCAACGCTTCTTCAGAGCACATGCTTGCATCAGATATTCCTTCTACTTCTACTTCCACCATGGCATACCCCCTCCCCGCAGGGATGCACCCCATCCCCTCCTCGCTCCTCGACCTACGCCCCGACGCAGACATCGACATTGACCTCCTCCACCCCCCACCAGTAACAAGCGCCAAGAACATCTGGTTCTTCTGGCATTCAGGCTACGCACACATGCACCCATACACGCAACGCACCGTCCGCGCCTGGCACCGCCGCTTCACCAAACAGGGCTGGACAATCCGCGTCCTAGACCGACACCCAGCGTCGCCGGCAAACGTGTCCAATTTCCTAGACGTGACTGATGAGACGCTGTTCCCGCGTGCGTTCATCGAGCAGACCATCTCGGGGACGTACGCGCTCCAGCATACATCGGACCTCGTGCGCTGGCCGCTCCTCCTGCGGTACGGTGGTGTCTATGCGGACGTGGGGATGATGCAGATAGGCGACTTGGATGCGCTGTGGAATGAGACAATTGCGAATGTGCACTCGCCGTATGAGGTCCTCTCGTATAGCGCTGGCGGGAACGAGATGTACAGTCTATGTAACTACTTCCTAGCCGCGCTGCCGGGGAACGCGCTCTTCGCGCGCTGCCACAAACTGCTTCTTGCGCTTTGGGGCGCTGATGGCGGGAAGACGAGTAGCGAGGGGATGCATGCTAGTCCACTACTCCGCGGGATACCACTCATGGGGGGCACGTTCACCATCACCGACGACGATGGAACATTCATCGGACCCGACGAGACGAGCCGCTTGTTAACCGACTACATCATCCAGGGCCAGGCGATTACGGCGGTAATGGGGCTTGTGGATGCCGAGGATAACTGGGACGGGCCGGCGTATAGCGTGGTGCATGTATACGCGCTCAACTTCATGGAAGGATCGCAGCTCGTCAACGAATTCACGGCTTGGGATGGACGGAGAGCGTTTGAGCTCATGTCACTGCGTATGCCGGGAGAGGGGGAAGGGGAGTCCGAGGAGCAGGGGAAGGCCAGGGAGATTGTTGAGGCGTGTCTGTCGCGGAGTTTCGGGTTTAAGTTGGCGCATGGGCTTATTCTGCGCGTTAACAAGGTGACGCTTGGTTCGTTGTGGCGGGATAATCCGGGTTCTGATGTTGTGGATGGCACGTATGCTGCGTGGCTTCGATATGGAATGGTCTATTGGTGTCAGGATACGGTGCCGGGTCGAGTGGAACTTCCATTGATTGCTCCGTCAAAGGTTGGGCGGTTGCTTGAGGCCGAGTAGATCAAACATCGGCCAAATTACATTGTTACACCTGAAATGATAGAGTAATGGGATTGAGTAGATACAAATCATAATCAAATGGGTTGAATGGCAATATACTATTCGAGAAGAGTGTAGCTACTGTAAAGTTTTATTCAACGAAATCATCTCCTATAGCCAGTGACTACTACTTAGCCTACATATCTCGCGTATCTTGTCCATTCTTCATCCACTTCTAATCGCTCCCAATCCTCATCTCGCACACAGAGTGCAACTGCCAATTCACCCTCTGGAGACCTAGGCATGATATACATCAAACTCTCAACTGGCACGAAAACCGGTCGACGCACCGTCTCCGGCCTCCCAAACCCAAGACTAAAACCTAGATCATAAAGATTGACCTTAGCCCACGAACTCAGCATAATACCCGCCGAAGGATCCACCGACGCTGTAATAAGGATCTTGGCCTTGTCTGTGCAGCGATGGAGGAATGTGGCGAGGGCGCGGGTCTTGTAGGCTAGATCTTGGTCTAGTTCCTTGCGGAGGTTGGATGCAATAATTCCCAGAGGTTGTTGAGCTAGGCTGTCAATCGAATCCGTGTTGTATGTCATGTTCGATAGTGCCCCTGGGTATGTGGCAGGGACTCCCATGTACCGTCGGGCATCGATTGCACGGGCAAACGTTGACGGTGTCTTAGGCTCGAGTCGGCATGCACGAACTCGAGAAAGGCATTTCCAGATGAAAGCGCTGACCGTGTCGTCGGTTGAGATAAAGTCAGTCTGGGGATCTTTTGTTTGTATTGCTTGAGATTTCAGTGCCTCCAACGAGGCCGCAGAGAAGGTGACATAACCCCAAGTGGACTTTGACCGCGGTTGTGTGTTTTGTGGTAGAGGCTTTGCCATCTGATGATCGAGTTGAGAGCCAGGTTGCCAATCGTCGTCTAGTAGGGGGATAATTTTGCTCTTGTCCATGTTCCCAATCGACAGCTCTTCTTCAGAGAATGGCTGAGTGGAACACGTTTTCGATAACAAGTTGATGATACTTGCTTGCCCGGTCATGTCCATGGTGTTGTGTTGCCCAGCAAAAGTGAGTATAAGACCGCCATCGATGAAGTTGGCCTGAACGGCAAACACCGGCCCGGTATCGCCAACAAGCCCAATTGCGGTGCCTGGTGGATTGATTGTCATGCAAGGTGCGATGAGCTGTTCATCAAGCATGGTAAAAGGATATCGAGCCTCTCGCAGGGCATCCATGGTTGGCGCCGTAGGGACCCGTCGGAGATCTTTGACGACGAGCGGGATCTCGTCGGACGGGATGATCCGGAAGGTTCCAGTGATGTCTTTGTCTGCGCCTTGGTTGAGGACATGTCCTGCGAGCCAGGGGAATGCCTCTGCCAGTCTGTCCAGTCCGGTTCTTAGGGTGTTGGTAACATGGTCGTGGACAGATGGGTCGGGGATGGGATATACACAGCATATTTGGGTGTATAACTTGTGCAGCGAAGGCTGATGCCCTAGAACGTCGAGAAGGTCGTTTTCTAGAATTTTATGTCTGCCGTATTTGATGATATTTTGAAAGAAAAGGCATTCTATTTGAATACACACATTTTCTCGATGATCTGGGTCTACCGCAAACGGAGTGTGGAGACTGTGGGTCCTATCATCATGAATCATCGTGAGTAACCACCAATCATCGTGTAAGACTCATTGTGGGGTTGATGACTCGGAGAAATCCCCAACCCCCATATAAAAGTCAGTGAACTGACTCTATCAGCACATTCAATTGCGCCATTCATCTATCATCCTCTCCATATCATCTATATTTACAAGCAAAAATAACCTCATCTCTATCTCACCTCACAATGACAACCTCCACTCCCTCCAGCCCGATCGTCTTTTACGACATCGCCATGCGCCCCCCAGTCACAGAGACATATAGCGCTCCAAACCCCTCCAAAACCCGATTCGCGCTCAACTTCAAGAAAATCCCATACAAAACCTCATGGGTGCCCCTACCAGATGTCTCCAAAGTCCGCCGCAGCCTCGACATCCCCGCCTGTCGCCAATTCGCCGACGGCACGGAGTTCAACACCCTCCCCATCATCCACGACCCCGCCACCAACTCCATAATCGGCGACTCATTCGATATCGCCGTCTACCTGCAACGCACCTATCCCGACTCAGGTGCGGGTGATTTATTGCCGCCCCAGAAACTCGACTATGTGCTCCCGCAGGAATTCGCGATTCTCGTGCCGCTGACGGAGCGTAGTGGGGGTGAGTTTCCCGAGTATGCGCGTTTCAACAATAACGTCGATGCGGCGTTTACTGCGCACGCGCAGCTTATGGTCGGGGGTATGCCGCTTGACCCGGCGACCGCTGACCAAACCAAGGCTGAATTCGTCCGGCGGGCTGGCGTTTCGTCGTGGGATGATTTTGCCTTGACTAGCGAGGCGCGAGAGAAGCTGATGGTTTCGTTCCGTGATACGCTGGGGGGTCTGGCGAAGCTGTTTTTGAGAGATACGAGTGGGCCTTTCCTGCTCGGGAAGCAGGCTAGTTATGCGGATATCATTGTTGGGGGGTGGTTAAGGATGGCGCGGGTGAATCTGCCACAGGGTGAGTGGGAGGAGGTGAGGAGCTGGCATAGTGGGGTATTTGGGGGATTGTATGATGCGCTAGAGGTTTATATGGAGGCAAAATAGTTTAATGATGGGTTACTATTGAGTAGAGGCTCTAACTATCTTGAATCTATGCTGGTAACATGGTTTATCCGTTCAAATGCTAGACATACAGCTAGCTCGAATACACCCATCAACTGAGACCATCAACTCATTTCACATCCATTCCCCGCTGAAGAGATGACTCCAAATCATGGCCACCATGGGCGGCAAGCACTTCTAGTGTCTGGGGCTCCTCTTGTTTCCAGTCATGATATTGTGTCTCGGGGATAGGGGCGGGAAGACTATCTTCCCGATGCACCGTGGCCTGGACCTGCCATTGGCGTCCGACGACGTCACGGAATTGTACCACCTCACCATAGATGATGTCGCGTATCTCCGACTCATCCTGCACAGCGTCAAATTGGAAGTCAAATGGGATTGGGCAGTCAGGTTCGCTTGATGGATCATGCCAGGTCTGGAAGTACGGGTGCTCCAAAGCCTGCATAGCGGAGACACGCGACGTTGGGTTAAATTTCAGCATTTTCGTGAGCAAGTCGACAGCAAGCGGGTTAGCATTAGGGAATATAGGACTGAATGGGATCCTAGACTTAGTGGGTAGGCTGCGTATATATTCCTGGGCGTATGGGGAGCTAACAGAGGCCAGGGTCTGTTCCTCAGGCGTACCAAGATAGTGTAAAATCTGCTGAAGCTGATCAACATTATCACGACCCTTGAATAGGGGTTTACCCCCAAGGAGCTCGGCAAGAATGCAGCCAACAGACCACACATCAACTACCCATTAATTAGTGAAAGGCTTAAGGTAATAGGGAGTAAGAGGAATGTACCAGCTTGAGTATAGCCCCCAAGGTTAAGCGTGATCTCTGGAGCACGGTACCATCTTGAGGCAATGTACTCGGTCTTGTAGCCTGCGTTCTCCGCTGGGTTGATCGAGAAACCACGGGCTAAACCAAAGTCACAGATCTTGAGCTCACAGTCCGCATTGATAAGGAGGTTACTGGGCTTCAAATCTCGGTGCAACACATTTGCCGAATGAATGTACTTCAGTCCACACAGAGTCTGGTAAATAAAGTACTGGAAGTGGGCATCGGTCATTGACTGCCCAGAGCGAATAATGACGCCAAGATCACACTCCATCAAATCTAAATGGACTGGTTAGCCATGGTAGTTCACAAGACATAAGATCAAGCAGTCTTTACCTTGGTATAGATATACCTCATTGAAATCATACGGTTGTGGGATGTCCACGTCGTATAAACAAGTGATCTGCGTCACCGAGTCAGCCTACCAGCCTTGTGCGGAAATCGACGTGCATACATTGCGGTGACCTCGGAAATGCTGCAACAGCTTGATTTCTTTCAACACGCGCTTGGCGAGGATCCCTTTGCCGAGAATATTTGTAACCTTCTTGATGGCGACTTTCTCGCCAGTCTGGGGGTTGGCAGCGGCACTGGGTAGATAAACAACAATTAGTTGCAGTCAGAATGAGTGAGTGTTGATCAAACAGTCATCGATTTGTATCTTTCTCTCCTCAAATCATGCGTATATGCAAATATACGCAGTCCGGCAAGAAAATAGCGACTTGAGACAGAATGCGAGGCAATTAACAGATTAAATGAGAGTTCACCTACCAAATAATGCTGCAGGAACCCTGGACAAGCTCCTTGGTCACATTATAACGTTCATCTACGACGAAGTCTTGGTTAAAGGCCTCAAAGACCTGGCAACCTTCCATATTAGACATGACTATAACGACGAAATTAGTATCGTAAGCTAATTAATCTGAGGGTTATGATAGGAAACTGAGAGAATGAGGGGGAAAGCAAGTCAAGTGTCGCTCAAACACGAGGTCAGGTCGTAGGTAACAATGGACAACAATGGAAGGGTCTTGAGCTCACTGAAGAAGCGACGATTGTATTCTTTCTCCTTTCTTGGGGGATGCAATGAGTCTATAGGTCATTTAAAAAGAGAATAATGAGAGAGAAGAAAAGGAAAAGAGAAGAGGGGGAAAGAGAGAGAAAAATAGGCTCGGCTCAGCTCAGTTCAGCTCAGCTCAGGTGGGCACGGGCACTGCGGGGCACTTCAGACATCGTCCGCGAATGGCGTAGAAGACTCGGGTTGAGGCGGGGAAATTTTTTAAAAAATAAAAGAGAGAGAGAAAGAGAGAGAAAGAAAAGAAAATTGAGAAGAAAGTCTTTGTTTTTTGCCGCGTCGATGCTAAGCTTCTGATAGGATTAATGTCGGAATTGGAGGTGTGGTCTTCTAGAACAGTCGCCTCCACTCTGAGGACAATTTTGGCTCATAGCCTTGCCAGACACTGCTTGCCGTTGACTGGTGCGCTCTGACGCATGGGTGATGGATTTCTGGTTTCTAAGTCTCTTTACATAATTTCTGGATATTGTAGATGCATTCCTGTTATAGCCCCTCTATAGTTGCCGTTTTATGTGATTTCTCAGTGATATAGTGAGATATTAACTTGGAATTCAGTTATAGTTTACATTTCAGATTTAAATTCTTATAAGTCTTCGAGGTCTAAACATTATTGAGCTATTTTACCTAGATATATGTGTTAGAAAATCTAGTATTGTGCAGATATAGTGTTAGCGGCTTTGATAAGTCACTTGAGGAGGTGGTTGATAAAGCAAATTGGTGGTAGCGAGCGATTCGACTACTAATCGCCGTATATTTGAAAACGAGTAGATCAACTAGCTCCACAAATAATACATATTCAATTGAGAAAGACAGTACTTGATATTCTAACTACATTAAATTGAAGTCATCTTCATATACAGGTCCTATTTGTCATTGATAGCTATCCTCCCCTTCCCTGCAGGGGTCTCGTCTCTTTACTCTATTTAGATCGATCATAACTCCTATACCTCTTGAATAGCCCCTTAAAAACACTGCTAGTTAAACTGGGCTGGTCCCTCTAGAAATAGAGTTAGATTGAGCTCTAAAAGCTTCTTCTTTAAGATATTCCAGACATGCTTAATTAGGCTTAAATTAGGTGAATAAGGTGGCTAATCTATAACCCAGATCCTATATATTTTAAATCACTCCTTTATATCCCTAGATAGATAGATTCTGGTGTTATCTTACTAGAATATAGTGCTAGGCCTATAGACTGGTATAAGGCTATCTTTAAGGTATTTTAGATAGGATCTGGTAGAGTATTCTCCCCTTAGTACATCTAGATCCTGTGCTATAATCACTATCTTTAAATTTTCACTAATCTAGGTGGAACCCTATATTTTTTAAGATATATCCTTACTATGGTTTATAAATTCATAAAATCATGTTAGTAAGTGTCATTTATAAATTAGAAGATAAATATGGTAGAATTATTAGACTTTCATTAAATAGAGTATTTATCAGATAAGATAACTTTATTCTAATAAGGAAGATTCAACTATATATAAGTAAAAGCCAGTTGTTTTTTAGTATTCTCAGGCCTTAGAGGAATCCTATTTTTACCCTTCCACTTCCTAAAGTTATATTTCTTTAATATGCGTTGAATAGTTGACTTAGAGACTGTCTAAGGTATGCCAGTAATAAGAGCTCTCTAGTTAGGCCTCTGACAAACTGACTGATATATATATATCTTTTAGCTAATTAGCTAAGCTTTGGAAGACGACCACTTTAAGGCTTTAATTTAAAGTCATTTGCATTCAAGAAACCGCTTTTTTTTTATATATAAATTATCTAGCGACCGATGTCAAATTCTTTAGCTAATTAAGTTGGCAGTTTCTTCTTTTCCAGGCCATATATGATAACGGCGCGAACTTCAGGAGAAAGCTCAGTATTTGGCCTTCTATTTCCACTAATTGGAGTGCCGAAAGCCCAGTGGTGTTTTGAAGAAGTCGGGATTTTTTGACGCATCGGCGGAGCGGGACGGGGCAGGGTAGGTTAAATACAGGTATTCTAATTACTTATATTTAATTCACAGTATTATTCAATATATTCATATATTCATATATAATATATATATTTACTAAGCAGATATATGGCTAGTGGGTTTCCCTAACCTGCAGACCCATACTAACCCACCCCAATGGGTTCCCTGCAACCCGCGCAGGTTTTTATTGGCTTCAACTCGGCGAGTGAACATTCAGCAACAGGGATGTCAACTCGAAGGATTTGGGCAGAAGCAGGGGCCCTCATCCGTTCAAAGGTCGGTCTTGACCAACTTTTGAATGTAACTTGCAGGGATTCAATGGTCAAAGATCGTCGCTGTGCTATGTGCGGATTGGATCACAGGGCAGGATCCCAGGGGCTTCGTTGGGCCGTTCAATGGGGATGTGAGAGGCTGGGGCATTTGGCTATACCGCTAGCTATCTTTTCAAGTCTGGAAGTTGTATACATCGCGAGGGTCTAGATCTCTATGCAAAACTGTTGCAGCTCCAGGCACATGTCCATATCGCGCTGCTGTTGGTTGTCTGTTAGTCAGCTACACATTGCTGCACCTCCGATCACACGCTTGTGTGGTTCCCCAGTGGAGCTGCCGGATGACGGAGATACTTTGAATCTAGCCTGCTAGAGTTCGTAGAACACTGATCGCTATTTCGAACCGCTTGGTTGTTGGCCATACCACTTAGCCCCCGAAGCTCCACCTCCAATCACACAAAACCCAATCACGCCAACATTGTATCTTCATCCTCACTCGCCCGTTGTTGATCGGGGCCGCGCTCGCGTTGCAGTTCGAGCATCCTCGGCGGTTCAATAGTTCTCTTCGCAATGACATAAAAATCCTTCGGAGGATGGTCATTAGCCTAGGCAACCAATTGACAAGAACCATGTCCGCGATGCTGGCGTCGGTGAGCACGGGGGAAGCACTAGTGAGGCACGATCAATTCCTTCAAAAATGCTTTGCCGGCCATTTCTCTTCGTTACTCCGACGCATCCATTTTTTTTAATTGTAACAATCACAGATACATTTCCGTCAATTACAACGCCCCTAGCTTGGAGCTATACAGAATTCAATGCCAAGGAACCTCAAGATCGAAGTCCGTCCGGTCGGCCTCGAAATCCACGCGCAATGATCCAAGGCCAACATCACCTCCCGAATATTATCATGAATGAGGGCTTCCCAGGCGGTACCTGTTACAAAAGCGCCATCAATAGCTCAGACAATATATCGATCACCATAATTGCTTTCTATCAGCTCTTTAAAAACTATTACTGATTGATATTAATTAGCTAGTTGGTAATTCTAGTTAGTTTTTGTGGTCTGAAGTTCTAAAGTTCTATAATCGGAGTTGGGTCCTCAAAAGCAAAAGGGAGAATATCAAACTCGTTTCTATCCCTCAATGTCAATATTTTCAGATGCCATCCGATATCCACAAATATTCATTCAGGATCTGACCGACCCAATCATAAAAGAACAAAAACACGTATTAGATATGTGGCTCTCATCGATGCGGCAACGGACTTTCCCACTCCTTCGGCGGCGTCGTCGACGCACCATGCCCATCCTCTCCGAACCACGGCTCACTCTGCACGACAGTCTCTGAGACAACCGTAATATCATTAGAAGAAGGGCTAGGCCCAGGGAGTATATGTTCGTTACTGCCCCATGCGGAAACTTGCGTATGCGACGGCCCCGCAGCGTCTATCTTACTCTTCTTGGTGCTGTGCTCACCACGGTTTGTCAGGGTCTGTCGAACCCGGCTGGAGAGCGAGTACGACTGTGAATGTTTGCCCGAGGAACCGAAGGGTTGGGAAAGGCCGATCTTCTTGAAGCCCTTGCGGATCAGAGGTTGGATGATGGGCAGGTTGGACACGACGACTGAGACAAAGGTTTCGCGACAAGCCCATTTAGAGCCGGCCAGGGCCCCTTCGGCGCCGGACTGTAGTATGAGTTAGATACCTGGTGTGCATATAGGGGGTGTGTGTGTGTGTTGCTGTTTAGGGATAGGATAGAATTCTTGCATTGGGCATACACTGAGAATCATCACGGCTCGAATAATCGCGGCGGTAATGACAAATGCAGCGCCAGAAAATAGGGCCATGAGTGGGAGCTTTCGTTTCAGGCCGATCTTGACCGCCCAGAGGAGGGGAAGCGGTATTGAGAGGAGGTAAATATCTGTGACAACGTTAAGGGTCACGACGACGAGAACATATATCCGGGAGTTGGCTGGATGGCAGACATCTGTGCAGAAATAGTTATATAGGATGATTCTTATATATCATGGTAGTGGTACTCACTGCCGGGGTCGGGGTAAATTTGCCAGAACGCATGGAAGGGCCGGCATGATAGTAGGATGGACAACTCTGTTGCCAGGTATGTCACAGCTAGGATGATATATGCCAATCTAACCCGGGCTGGGAGGTTTTGGAGGCCAGTCCTGCGTTGTGTTTAGCATCTGTTCATTATATCCAAGCTGATAGTTGAAGCGCACGTCAATCGAGAATAGAAGACTGTCAGAGCAAACTTGACCAGCCAGAGAATAGCAACATATAACGACCATCCAATTACTAGGACCTTAGAGCCGTCAACACGGTGAGACCACTCAGTCGAGGTCGGCGAAAGCGTTGCTCGCTGCTCAGGTGTCATGTAACTGTTGTTTAGGCCTTCGAATTTGGCACTGACGAGGTAAGCCGCTACCGTCTCAAGGGTGAAGAAGATCTGTCAGAGAGGTTCACATTAGTTAGGCCCTTTCATTAGCGTTCACCAGATAGGTGAGACAACGTACCCCCGCCAATGGCATGAGATAATCATCGAGTTGGAATTTGGCCGGCCCAACGAGCTTCCATCTTACAAAGATACGCACGAAGATTGTGGCCAGAGCCAGGGACAACAACGTCCATGCCTCGGCGTTACCCGCCATTCCTGCAAGTGCTCAATGATCCACAAAGCAAAGGTAAGTAACTGAATATAAGGATAGGAGTTGGAGGTTATTAAAAGAAAGGGCTCCGGACCGGCCTACTGGGAAACTCACGAGACTCACGCCTGTGGCGAATGTAATCAAAAGCCTATAAGAGGATCGACAGATTATACGTTTGGTTACATGCCCCCAAAAGGCCTGCCAGCTTTTGAGTTGCTCCACATAACTTGACATGATTCCCCAGCGAGCCGCGCACCGCGAAGAACACGGTAAATGCAGACGCTATTTTAACGACCAAAAGCTCTTTTCGCTATATTATTGTTTTCTAGCGCTTGTTGGTATCATGAATCACATAGGTCACTACGAAGTTTATTTGGTTGTAATATTTTCTAGCGCTGCCACAAACGATGTTGACATGAATCGACGCAGTATATACATTTCCTTGTCGCCTGGCATACAAATGGTTATAGGCCTTGTTATGTAAGGAGCACTAGCCTGCAATCAATATCAAATACAAGTATTTCATTTTTGTAGCGCTATTATTAGATTATATTTTGTTCTGTTATGTGCTTTAGGGTGCGGCAAGCTTCTTAGCCTTGACGGCGGGTACAGAAAGTTACCTGCGACCCTTAGATTCTCCTGAGTCGAAGTGCTGTACGCGTGGCATGCACTGACAAGCACGGTGTATATGGCCCGCTCCGAGAAGCGGAGTTTTAGGCGACGATCTCATTTGATTGAGTTTTAGTGCGGTCAGACATCAGGACCCTCGTTCGATGCTTACTTTCAATCAGTTGTTTCCCCTATTGTCTTCTCCACTATCCCGCCAAAATCCTGCATAAATTTCTCTTCCTATCAGTAATTGGACCTCAAATCTAACTACTTATTATTGTTCTTTGTTCTCTATCCGACATCCGCAACCCTAGAACGCTCACCGGGTCAATACGCACCGTATCTATCTTCAACTTCATCATCGTCGGCAGTGAGTAATCTTTATTCGATCCCTAACTTTGTTACCCCAATGCGGGTCCAATTCTCAATAATCGAACCTAATCCTCTAATCCCCTAAGCCCTAGTTAGTGTACGCTCGACAAGCTCGACCTAGATGGAGCTTGCGGCTTTAGTGTACATAGTCGGTGGAGCACTGTAGTTGATAGAAGCTTCTTTGGGGAAATAGATTCAGCGCCACTTACATCATTACCTGTCAGATTAGCCATTCAGAAGCTGTGATAACCAGTTGGTTCTAAGTGGATGGCTGTTTTTTCCCAGCTGTGGAGCCTGGCACTTCCCTCTCCATTTAGAAACAGGGTGCGAAACCTAAGGGCATTCCGTAAATCCCGCGATGCCCGTGGAGTAAGTCGCCTTCGGCCCCCAGACGAGTGGGGCTCGCTGATTGTTTGCGTCTTGACTGGCCCAGGCGCCGTCAGCTACTGTGCTCCTGGAGACATCAACCACCTGCTCCGGGGATAGTCATGCTGCACTGTCACCCGGAAATATATCGTGCGGTAGCCGAATCCCAGCCAGGATCACCCTGGACGGGCGACATAAGACTTGCATTATTCCTCCTGTTTAAAGTTCTCCGTCAACTATCGTGCTGCCTGCCTTCACCATGACCATCCAAACGCTCGCCATCGCCGTGGTCACGGTTGTTTACTTTCTCATCCGTTATCTCAATCGCACCGACATCCCCAAGATCAAGGGCATCCCGGAGATCCCCGGCGTACCCATCTTCGGAAACTTGTTACAACTCGGAGACCAGCATGCAACAGTCGCGGGCAAATGGGCGAAGAAGTTCGGCCCGGTTTTCCAAGTACGCATGGGCAACAAGCGCATTGTGTTCGCCAACAGCTTCGACTCGGTGCGCCAGCTGTGGATCAAAGACCAGTCAGCGCTGATCTCTCGCCCCACCTTCCACACCTTTCACAGCGTCGTTTCGACCTCGCAGGGATTCACCATCGGCACCTCTCCGTGGGATGAGTCCTGTAAGCGGCGCCGCAAGGCCGCAGCCACGGCGCTGAATCGCCCCGCGGTGCAATCCTATATGCCCATCGTCGATCTTGAAGCCAACTCCAGCATCAAGGAATTGTACAAGAACAGCAAGAATGGTACCGTGGACATCAATCCCACTGTATATTTCCAGCGGTTTGCACTCAACACTAGTTTGACCCTTAATTATGGGTTCCGCATTGAGGGTAACGTGGATGACGAACTCCTTAATGAAATCTGCGATGTTGAGCGTGGAGTGTCAAACTTCCGTAGTACTTCAAACAACTGGCAGGATTACGTTCCATTGCTGCGCATCTTACCCAAGATGAATAACGATGCACAGAAGTTCCGGGCCCGACGTGACAAGTACTTGACCTTCCTACTGGATATGCTGAAGGATCGCATCTCCAAGGGTACCGACAAGCCCTGCATCACTGGAAACATTCTGAAAGACCCCGAAGCTAAGCTGAATGACGGTAAGCTTCTTATAAATGGAGAATAAAAAGCAGAATTTCTAACGATTGGACAAGATGAGATTAAATCGATCTGCTTGACCATGGTATCTGCTGGTCTTGATACCGTTCCGGGTAATTTGATCATGGGAATCGCTTATCTCGCCTCCGAGGATGGTCAACGGATCCAGAAGAAGGCATATGAGGAGATCATGGAGGTTTACCCTAATGGGGAGGCTTGGGAGAAATGCCTGGTCGAGGAAAAGGTGCCTTACGTGACCGCCTTGGTCAAGGAGATCTTGCGATTCTGGACCGTGATCCCTATCTGCCTGCCCCGAGAGAGCACCAAGGAGATTGAATGGAATGGTGCGAAGATCCCGGCTGGTACAACATTCTTTATGGTTCGTAGCTTGTTCACCTGGTCCTTTGTACGTGTGCTGACTGTTCTAGAATGCCTGGGCTGCCGACTATGACGAGGACCATTTCAAGCAGGCGGATAAATTTATCCCTGAGCGCTACCTTGAGCTCAACGAGGGCTCTGGAACCCCTCATTATGGTTATGGAGCGGGATCTCGAATGTGTGCTGGCTCCCATCTCGCAAACCGGGAGCTGTATACCGCATTCATCCGTCTGATTACCGCGTTCACAATGCACCCATCCAAGAAGCAGGAGGACCGACCGATCCTGAATGCAATTGAGTGTAATGCTATTCCTACAGCGCTCACCACCGATCCGAAGCCGTTCAAGGTGGGGTTTACCGCCCGGGATCCTGAGATGCTGGCGCAGTGGATTGCGGAGAGTGACGAGAGAACCAAGGACTTGTGAGAAATGTCTCTATCAACGGCGCAAGAACGAGCAATAAGAACAATATGCAGTTTATTGGACCAATTGAGAGAGACAGAAAGAAGAAGAGAGGAGAGAGAGGCAGGAAAACTATCTACAACTAGGCAGGCCTTCATACCTCAGGCAACACATCATTAACGTATTTAGATGTAGTCTAGAAAACCATCTACAAAGAGGCTCTGATCTGTGAGACAGCATTCCCACAGGCCCCAGAGGATAGCCAAACAACAGCTTTAGGCTATTTTCCATTGCTTATTGAGGTCTTGAGGCTAGATGGATTAGTAGAGACCATGTATATCCTGCAAGAGACACTGCCGCATCTTGACCCTTGTCTCCCATCAAAGAGATATAGCGTCAAGCGGGAGTAGGATCTGTTCAAATCATACTTAATATGTGTTGTTCATCACGCAAAGAATAGATCATACCTTTTCAATATATCGTACAGCAACCAACACGCTGTCTTCATCCTCAAACTCACTTTGATCTCCAACGTTGTCCAGGCAAATGAGGCAGTTGAACGCGATTTGTGCGTACTTTCTCCCCACCTTCTTCGGCAGGGCGTCTTTCGCCAAAGCTGCAAGGCTGTTCTTTATTCTAACAGGTTCCTTGGGGTTTAGATTTACTCCGTATCCTGCAAATGCTGACGAAGGCGTTGCGACTCGATCGCTACCGTACGCGATAAGAGATTCCCACAGGCCGATCTCCAAAAGACAAGCCCCAATGCTGTAGATATCATGTTGCATCCTGTAATACTACTTCAGGGACTCGCCCTGTCGTTCAGGATGTCTGTATACGTTGGTTTCCCAGCAAGAGTCCCCGGATAGCAAGGTTCGTCCATCAGCCGTACGGAACATCTCGAACCCAACCAGGAAAATAGAGCCCAGCGCTGATTGGTTGTTTTTAAAGATCAATGCTGTTTCAGGGCGGATGTTCTTGTGGACGAATCCATATGTGTGAATGCAACTCACGGATTTGCCCAGTTGCTTCGCAGTAATATAGGTATGTATCTCTATAAATCTGTTATATTCTTTATTAGTAAAGGTATAGTATATTAAGCCTTAACTAGCTTAGATATTATAAGTAGGTGTACTCGTTATCACGATTAATAGCTGGCCGCTCAGAGGTAAAACTTAGCAGATAGTGGTGGCGTAGCCAATGGCAGTGGCACTGGTGGCACGGAAGCTACTCTCATAGTTCATGGTTATTCAGTCGAAAGTTTTACCAATATGTCAGTCTCTTCTGTGCAAGTTATGTATAAGTTTACACTCTATCTAAATCAAGCATTATTTGCACAGGAAAAGCTAGCACTGGCAGGGTTATCATGTATCCCTTTGCCAGACACATACAGGCCCAGCCCACATATGCACGCCGCAATTCCAAGTAAAGCGACATTGATGATGGTCAGCAGAATCTTCGACCAGGACTTTGTATAGAGACCTTTGTTCATATACAGCCAGCAAAATCCAGCCAGGCCGAACGAGTACCAGCTCGCGAACAGGGAACTTATGAGATTGAGCAGGCTGCTGAAAACGGGAATTGCCTCGGCGATGACCCAGGCAATGATCCACACACCCGCTACAATTCCAGTCCAGGAGCCGATTGCAACAAGGTCTCGCTTGTGGACACGGTCTGTGCCGCTGAAGACCCGCGTGTATATTCCCTTTGCCGCAACATGGCCACAGACAACTCCGGAAATCAAAATCTGCGCAAGGTTAGCTTACTACCTATCACATATCATTTGGACCACTTACAGCAGGCAGAGCTATTCCATAAGCCACCTTGGCTACAACAGGGGATGCCGAGCCTAAGGCGGGCGAGGCAACGTCAGCGCCAGCATAGTAATAGAGAACAACACCAGCCACAATATATAGAACCATCTCCACTGCCTGCATCATGCACAGAGCCTTGGGATAGTCACGAGGGTCTCTCAGCTCGGCCATGAAGCTAAAAAAGGCGACATGCCCAGCTAGGTACCATTAACAATCGTTCATCAACAATAATCAGCTGGAACATACCGTATGAAAAGATAATGTTCAGCACGGCCGAGAATGCACTCTCTAAGCTGGTATCAACAGCAGCCTCGACGACCCCGGTGTTTGGCCTCTCGATGCCCACACCAATTATGGTAATGAAGACGGCAGATATGATACTTGCAAATGCTGGGCCAGTCAGTAAATGCAGCATCGAACATGAGTTTTCAAACTTACATATCATTGAAAACCACGAGATGTTGGCGAGCGTTCGAGGCAAAGAGCAAGCAAACGCAATCACAAGGCCAACAACTCCAAAGACAATAGAGCAAGTGCCATGATTGGTCAGGGTGTTCAATGCCACCGAAAAGGTCAAGAGATGACTGCCCATAATGAAGATAAAGAACAGCAGCTGCCCAATTCCCAGGATCTCGCGGCCAGCTTGTCCCATCAATACCTGTCCTGCATCTGCCATGTTGCAAACTTGAGGAAACCTCCATTTAAATTGCCCAAGAACATATCCAGTATACGTCGCGATAACTCCGAGGCCGATAATGAGGATGATAGCTCTATATCAAAAAAGTTAGAACAGCCATGTGTAAGAATGTCTTTTTAAACTCACGGTGCCAAACCTAATGCAGCAACTGCAGCGGGCAGGGACAAAACTCCTAACGAAACATTTTCCGCAATCATAACTGGCACCTTGTCAGTGTTGAAGCTATCCGAAGGAACAGTCATAGCATACGTAAACCGCACTGCCTTCAGGTCATTGTCAGTCATCAATCAACTAAGTAATACAATAGAGCTTACCACCACGTAAGAACTTTGTACTTGATCTCTGCATTTGTTTCATCACCAAACGCATCGACTGCAAAATTCTTCTCCTCTCCATCCTTCTCCACGCCGTGCAAATAGGGACGATGCTCCATATCCTTGACGCTATCGACATCTGTACAAACAGGTGCAGAATCCATGATTGGTCCTTAATCGGCTCCAAGGGCATCAGAAGACCTGGATAGAGTACTCAACACATGAGGTCCTAAGCAAATCAAGTCTTTAACATTGCTCTGACAAATCTGCGCATTTCGTAAGAGACCCATCTGTTAAGAAAAAAAAAATGATGATTCAGACCCAGGCTGGCCGATGTCGGTCTAGCTGTCGCAGTCCCTGGGCTGATCCTCACGGATATCTCCACTTTAATCGGCTGAATACCGGAGGCAATGTAGAATATTGAGCCAATGATATCTCGCGTATTCGTACTCCATGCTAGCTTCTTAGCATTAGGTAAGAACTTCCTCGAGTTCTAGAACAAACCACCCGCCACAATAAACTACTCGAAAATATCGAAATTTAGCTGATCCGATGCTTTCAAACACCTTATTGACAAAGAATGGGCTGCATGTAATCCACATACTCCTGCGGCCTGCGCCTTTCGGGGGAGGCAAATTTTGAATTGACAGAATTTGGTGCTGCATGAAAAACCAGCGCCCCACTGCACTCCTGTCTGGCGTTCTCCACATGTTTCCGTGGCTGGGCGACTGCAGTTGAGCTTGTTCGGACTCCATACTGGAAACCGGACCGTGGCCGTCTTGGCATCGATTTAAGAATGCTGTCAGAGTAATGATAGTATTTGCAGGTTGCAGTGTAAGGTGTAATGATGAAAGGGTTTATATCACTCGTCTACAAATGTGGTGATTCAAGTTGCATGGATTACTTCCCCCAGTCAAAATTACATTAGTACATGCATAGTATAGAACGATATTAATTTACTTTTTTTTGTCACATCTATAACGGACAAGCAAGCATGAAATATATATACAAGAAAATATGCCACAGAAATTTCACTCAAATATACCTCAGATAGATGTTATCATAAAGTACATGCTATATCGCCCATATGTACCTTACTCAAATATGGATGCACTTTGATTATGCGAACTCCACAGCTTCTGCATACTCAGTTAGCTGAACAGTGTGTTGCCTGAAAAGCAGTATTCATCTTCGCATATTTTACTTTCCCATACGGACCTTGCGTCGATCATATACTTGCTCTCACTAGCCTACGAATAGATCAGGTCGATAGGCACTTTAAGAGTGGTCGCAGGGTTGGAGATAGGATCATACAGAATGTCATATGAAAGAGAAAGATGAATGCTACACATTCAGGAGATCAAACATGAGTGAAAGGTCGAAATAAGGGAACCGGACCGCAGCAGGAAGTTGATAGGGACTGCAATAGAGGCTGTAGAGTATGTGTTTCTGGAGTGGAGCGAGTGCTTCCCCCACTTCAACGGCTGTATAAAGGATAATGCAAGGATCTCCGTTCCAGCCGTGGCCCAATTTCGACTTGCAGAATAAAGCTGCGGGATGCTGTAAGATGCAAGATTGTGTAAAGGAGTGGTCCCATAGAATGTTGAAGCTAGTATTTTGGCAGGCATGGCTTTGGGTTGCGGAGGTTCAAAGTCACCGAATCCGAAGCTGGATTGAATCGTAGATGCATCTTGATAACAGTGCTTGGACGGTGTACTTCGATCCTTCCCGTGGGGCGTAATTGTATAGGACTTGGTTTGGCAGCGCTGACTTCCATGCTGCCCATTCCGCCTGATACCAGACATCTTTTGAGGCTGTATTTTACTCGTTTAACCGTGAATGTCTCGTCGTTCGTAACTTTTCTTCAGGACGTTGCATAACTATTACACCCCTTGAAACATTCGCCAAAGATTCCGATCTTTGCGTTTTTGGACTTATCCTTGAAACGACGGCCCTAACCGCGTACGAGACTCGATATGAGACACCCGGCGAGTTGAGAAGTAGATTGCATGACTTCCGGTGTGCAGGCCATTCAACGTAGGGGGTACTTAAATATGAAGCACTTGACTTCGTCGTTTTCGGTGGGATGTTTGCAACATTGGGGAAGTAGCCGCGGTGGAATTAAGAAGGTGAACCGCAGTCGATAGACCTGCCTGGGACAGAGTGCGTGGGAGCCGGGATAGGAGTTTGGTTGTGTGAGCTTAGCATTGCACCCAAACTCAATCTGCATAGCAATATCATGCTAGGCCAGTTCTATTAAAGCCCAACTTGCTTCAAGGTTGTGGATCCCGGATGTCCCTCCCCACTTGGATCCATTCAGCAAAGACCCAGTTATTTCCGACAGTGACCGATTATTTCCTTCCACCTATGGATTTCATATCATCAACGCATATAGAAATACGAGACCCAATAATACTTATGAAAGATTTTTAAAATTTTTGGTTTTGGTAGTGGCCACATTTTCTTTAGTAGAACTACATTTAGGGAAAATAAAGAAAATAATGTTGGCTCATATTAGCATTTTCCAAATGCCCTTCAAAGGCGAATATACGCCCTCAGCCTATGAGTATTGAATAACGTCGTTCGGGTACCATGATTCGAACCCGGGCCCTGGAAGGGTTTCCTTCTGCACGGCCCGACAGGAATCGGGAAGTTTTGGAAGTGGCCGTGGCCGACATCGGCATAGCCGATGGTAGCCGACATCATGTGAACATAATACCCTTAGGAACAAGAAGAGGAAAAGTAGAGGAAAAGTAGGGGCTAGGGGTTTATCTTCCCAGTACTCGGCTGCCAGTTAAGCCAACTGGCGCTCAAGTCAAATAGTTAATAGATAAGACTACTCCTTATTTATTATAATTTCTTTACTATGTACCCCACTTAGCTTCTCCATAAATAGTATATATAAAGTATATCCCTATAGAATGGATAAGGATCTCTGGAGGTCTAGCTATCACTCCAACCAGTGAGAATATAGAATCTGATTTGTATTTCCAACTCCAACTTGAATTATAAGGCAGCTGAAAGAACTCATTAAGCAGAGACTGCAGTTGACTGGTCTAGACATGCATGTAGCTCCAATACACCCATTAACTGAAAGCTAGATCATCAGTATTGAGTGAACTCTCGACTGTCTATTAACATACTCTTGCATATTGAGGCATTTCTGCAAAAACTTTCATCTGTGACGCATTTGACAAAAGCCGGTGGACATGCCAAGGGATATGAAGCTTGGAGTGTTGTGTTACACTATTCATTAAGATATCTAGTAATTTCAAGTTCTATTTATGGTGTGATATCCCTAGTTCATCCATCATTCGCCTTCTTTTGTATATCTCGGTGCTTTCTTCCTCAAGTTGTCGTTTTGTTACACCGTCCAATTTAGTTAAGCGCTTGTGTGAAGACGAGGTCAGAGCAACTAACTCAGCTGTGAGCCGGTCAGCAAAAGTATTGTAGGGCTTATACAAAATCTGTTTTCGCCTGATCGTGGGCCACGGTCGATATGCCGTGGCTGTCTTGGGGCTGTTGAGCGCCTCCAGGAGCTGACCGGAAATTCTGAACTCGCTTTCTGGGAATCTAAACTGTCGCATCGCAGTCGGCAAGATCTGGTCGCATTGAAAAGAAACTACGCCACGGTGCTAAATGCCTTGGACAAATTGCTGCCTTTCCCTGGTCTTCGGGAACCTTTCAATTTTTTTCTTCCTTCGACAGCTGACCGAAATCAGTTGTCCCAATCTCCTTAAGTCTCATTCTACCCTGTCCTGCTGTCAGAATTGGCTCACGGTATTCATGCATGGCTAATGCCAAAGCACGAGCGTCGTGCATTGTCGACCATGTGGAATCAGAGTCCGATTCGCCCTTCAATGACATCCTGTATTTTTAGTCGTAACTTTATTCTTTGCTTTTTAATTCCATTTTGTTTTGTTATTTATTTCCTTTTTTCCGCCTCATTGCAATTTTTAGTAGTTGGTTATTGAATGGTAGATCAGTAATCCTTTAGTGCCAGACCTCGGTGTATTTCAACTTGCTCCGATAAGATTATACTCGACTCGTTTATTTATTTACTTATTTATTTATTTATGCGATAAGGGTCCATTGAGCTGGCTTTTGGCCCAGGCATCTAAATGTATTTTAATTATATTTACTTACAGATAGCTGATGACTTCATCTCGTAGGTTTCTCTGGATCAGCATTGTTCGGGCTTTTATACATCTACAGTAACACTGACTTGTTCACGATACTGTCACGTGCGTCCAATAATCCATGACCAGCCCGAACCGGCAAAGCCGAGGTATACCACACATTTCTGGCTCGCAAATTTGCCAGCCCGTCAGTCTTCTTCCCAACAGCCCATTCACTGCAAAGACAGTGGCTACAAAGTCTCAACGGGGTGTGGAGACTGCCCCAACGGGCTGATGGTAGCTTGGTAAATAGTGGATTTTTTCTACTTTCTTCGCATCTTAGGCTCCAGCTAAACAGCATTTAATTTACTCCGCACAGAGTATAAAGAGAGAAGAAAGAAGCCTTGATCAGCAGAAATTGTAATAATTGATCATTTATTGCTACAGGCAAGGCAACAAAAAAAAAATTTCCACACGCATCAACATCACCAATTCAACCTTTAGGCCGACAGAGAAAAAAACAGTGCCCCGCGATAGGTCTCCCACAACACACAATGCCACAAAAATCAGCCCCATTCCCGGGCTTCACCCCGTTATCAGACCGAATATATCTCCGCAATGGCAACGACACTAGCAAACCCGCACCCCCCGACCACCCTACAACAATCATCATCTTCGGCTGGGGCGACGGCATGCCAAAACACGTCTCCAAATATGCGGACGGCTTCCACAGCCTCTACCCCTTCAGTCGCATCCTAGTCGCCATTTCCAAGACCCTCCAAGCCTCCAGCCAACCCCTATATGAGCGCATCCAAGCCATGATGCCCATAATCGATACCGTCTTCCCCACGCCAACAGGCGACGGCGGTGACGGCGCAGAAGAGCGCGTCTTGCTCCACGCCATGTCCAACACTGGCGGTATCTTCGTCGCAGCAGCGATGGTGGCGTATCAAGAGCGGCACGGCAAAGATAAGCAAATGCCACATGAACTGCTCGTTTGTGACTCCACGCCTGGTGGCCTTGTTTTCTCCGCTCAGGTGGGCCGGTGGTCGCACGCGATGGCGGTGGGAACGGCGAAATCGTTTCCGTGGCCGTTTATCGTTACGCAGGCATTGTGGTGGGTGTTTTTGTGGGGGACCTATCTTTTGGAGAGGCTACGTGGCGCAGAGCCCTCGGGGGTCTGGGCAAACCGAGTGATGAATGAGGCTGATGTGACGAGCCGGAAGACTAGTAGGCTGTATTTGTACTCGAAGGAGGATGAGATTATTTGGTACGAAGACCTTGAGGAGAATGTTGCGGGGGTGAAGACGCTTGGTTATCGGGCTGTTGATACGGAGTTGTTTGAGGGCTCGCCGCATGTTGGACATATGCGCATGCACTTCAAGCAGTATTGGAATAGAATTTCCGATTGTTGGAAGGCCGCACTAGCTATGAATCGAGGGTAGGGGCTTGTGTGAAAACAAACAAGCTGCATCAGCCTTACTGATAGAAATGGGAATTTACATGGCTTCAGACGGACTGATCGCTTGATGAGAAGAACGAGTCGACGCGCAACACTATCCCTGGGCATGCTTTGAAATCCTTCTACTGGCCCTCCATCTGTTCGCCATGTTTGTGGCTACTGGTGACATGATCCTGTCTATTTGAATTCCCTAGTCCACTTGTTACTCTAAACCTTAGATCCTCGTCATATAATCGACCTTACTGCCAGTCACCGAATAGAAGTAACGGAAGACTTCTTTGTACAGCAGTTTGTTGTAGAGACGCGTAATCAACAAGGAAGATGGGATTGACATTGACGCAGCTTATATCGATTAGCTGGAAAAGCAAGCAATGACTAACTTAGTTAACGAATTATGAATGCTGGTCTAAGCTAGGACTTCATGGGAGATTGCATAAGTATGGGATAAGAAAGTCTAGCCCCGCCAGATAACTAATCAGAGATGAATTCATAATCACCATCCTCAGTTGGCCTCTTCTGTTTGCGCTGCTTGAGCCATTTCTTGGTATCATTGATGAATCTGTAGACGGCCCTAAATTTCACGCCCTCCTGAACGACCAACTCGGGCGGCGCTAAGCGGACGGAAAGCTCTGTTCTCCACACCCTGTGGTTGTATTAGTAGAAAAGTAATAAGAGGGAGTGGTATAGAAAGCAATTAAAAAATACTATGTGCACGAAGCGCCCTGGAATAGATATCTAATTGCAGTAGACAGATTGTCAGTATACTAGCTCAGTGATGCTCCAAATCAAGGATGAAGGAATTGTGCTTGGTATACTGGCTTATACCCATTGTAGAGATACATTCTTCAACCATCTAAAAATAGCAGAGCATCATGGGTATTCTAGGTTTATTGAAGCTGCCCGCCTTATCCTGCTTACGATATGCGTGCACAAACAGCGATCCTATCGCCACGTCGATCGCGATCCAAGGCTGCGGAATGGCAGCTTTGCTCAGGGGCTGATCTAATGCAGGTGATCATGAACTATTCTGTGTGTTGGGACAGGCCAATGCAGTCTGTCAATAGAGCTACCCACTTTTAATATGCATTGCATCCCTGCGTGCTGTCATTGGTGTACACAAAGTATATCCCTGTAGAATTGATGGTGATCGGCTAGCGCTGCAACCAGTGAGAACGCGGAATCCGATTTGTAGTTCCATCTCAGCTGGAATTATGGGGCAGCTGAAAGAGCTGGGTTTGATCCAATCAGGTTGCTTATTCGCGTTGCTTTTTCCTCATCATTTATTAAGCTCCCCCCAGATGTAGGATTTCCATCTCAACATACTTTCATCATCAATTATTATCATCCATCATGACTGCCATTGATGGCCCAGATGAGGAATCCCCTCTTCTCCAGCCCAGAGCAGCTCAATCGCAAAAAGGAGCGCGCTCCAACCTCTTCATCATCTACGCGACATTCTTTGGTAGCTCCCTCTTCCCGAGCTAGATCCGTACGGGCAGCTAAATGAAGCAGGTGTTTTCATAGCCAGTGTCGATGAATCCCTCGTTATCTCGACCTACAGCACCATCGCATCGCAATTCCACCTCCTCTCCCAGGGCTCCTGGTTGCTCGTTGCGTATAACTTTGGATACTGCATTTCTCTGCCGGTGGTATGTTATCCATCTGATGAGTGGGTGTCGCTGACAGGAATAGTATGGGGCGTTGAGTGTTTCCTACGGCCGGAAAAATGTACTGGTCATGGCATATATACTGTTCACCTTTGGGTGTTTCGCATGGTGAGACCTGGTTTTGAGCTGCTAGATGATTCTGGATTAATGGATTGGATATAGTGGTGCAAGTGCCTCTTTGGCTCAGCTTGTTTTGGCAAGAGTGCTTGCTGGCGTGAGTGGTGCTGGGATGGTATCATTGGTATCCATCATTATCATGGGTATGTCTGCTCTTGACAGGTTTTGATTTCATCATCTTAACAAGCTGCAGATCTCGTCCCTTCTAATGAAGTCACCATCTATCGCAGCTATGAAAACACCATCAATGTGATTGGTCGTAGTGTGGGAGCGCCTCTGGGAGGTCTCCTCTCAGATACAATAGGATGGAGATGGTAAGTAAACCAGATGAACAATACAGTATATAGGGATGCTAACAATTCCAGGTCATTCTTCGGCCAAATGCCCCTGATCATGTTCTGCACTCTCGTCGCCGTGTACGGATTACCAGCCTCTCTGAACGAGAGCGACCAAAAGCCGAGCCAGAAGACATCTCGCCGCTCGCGTCTCAAGGAACTGGACTTTGCTGGAATCGTTACCCTCGCTGTGGCCATTATTTGCCTACTGTTTATCCTTCAAACCGCAGGGACTAAAGAGGATGACATGATTGTGCCAACCTGGGCATTGGGCATAGCCTTTACCATTGCTTTGACGGTGTTTGTCTTGACAGAGGTCTTCTGGGCCAGCAAGCCGCTGATCCCGATGCATTTGCTGGTTCGCGAGTTTGGAGCCTACTGCATGATGCAGATTCTCTTATTCTCCGGTCGTTCTGCTGTATGTTCACTACCTGCCAACACTTTTATTCTTATTATTCGTGCTAACTATCTGCAGCTCATCAGCAACGTCGTCCCCTACTTTACGCGCGTGCAAGGCACAAGCGACTTCTTCTCCGCCATAATGTACGTCCAAGTTGCCGTGGGCGTCACAATCGGAGGCGTGATATCCGGCTTCATCATCAAGCGAACAAGACGCTACAAGACCATGAGCGTCATCTCGATCTGTATCCTTATTCTAGCCTATCTTTTCATCTTTCTCATCTGGCGTAATGGCTGCAATGTCTGGGAATCGCTTTTGCTGTTCGGGGTTGGATTTGCCCCGGGCATCCTCTTCTCGACTATGTTTATCGGCATGTCGTACAGCGCGCCTAAGGAGTCGCTGTCTGTCTGTATCAGTGTTTATTTCCTCTTTCAGCAGTTGGGGATGATCATTGGGCCTGCTGTTGGTGCGGCCTTGTTGCAGGGGGTTTTTAAGGATAATCTTGTGCAGCGCATTGGGGAGATTGCTGATAATAAGATGGTATGTTATATACATGTTATGAAGACAACAGCACTAACCATAATACAGATCATCAAAAATGTCCTCAACAATCTCCGCTTCGCAGAGTCGTTACCGGAACCGTTGCAGGAGATTGTCCGGTCGAGCTACTTGAACGCTTTCCAGTTTCTGCCTGGTAAGTCTGCGTTCTGCTCTCTTATGGTGTCAACTAACGGGTTCAGTTCTCGGTTTGGTCTGCTGCGGTCCTATCCTGCCTTGGTTGGTTTATCTGAAGGAGGAAAGGGTGGATTAAACATGATATATTTAATGTACAGTATGTAATATGATCATAATGTTGATAACCGGTAACTGTTTTCTGTCTACCACTTTAATTATGACCACCATGATGGCCGCGTTGTCTGTATGTGACGGACCCGTGGAGGAATGTGGTGGAGATGTTAAGTACTAGTTTTGAGCGGTTGGCTGGTGTTATTGCTGTGTAGATATAACATATATATACATATATATATATATATATAGTGTGTTATACTGGTTGACGTAAGGGCTCGCACAATCAATGTACGTAGCAGATGCGAATCGAGAGAAATAATAAACAGTCGTCACTGGGGAAGAAGCATCTCCGGGGGCAGGTTGAACAAGGATGACAGCATGGGATCGCTATGCCATGGATCATAGCCTAGAAGACCGTTGAAGACCCCAGCGTCGGGGTTGGACGTGATCATCGACCTTAATCCAGGTGGCTCACCTTGGGCCATGGCGAGGCTATTATTCTGCTCATCTTCGTTCTGGGCCGGCGGTTTCTCAAACAGACGCGAGGAGAGGTTGTCAAACAGCTGCATGATCCACGGACTGGGATCCCACGACTCACACGAGTCACGCAAAAACATTTGGCAGTTGGCCAATTCCGACCGGCCCAGTCGGGCGAGAAGCTTGTTGGTGCTTCTGAGCTGGGTATAGAAGACGGCTTGGGCCAGGAAGATGCCATGGAGTAGTTCGTGGGGCATTTGAAGTACAGAGGACTTGGTGACCACCGTACTAGCCACGGCGGAGATATCGTGGGCCGCCGAGGCGGTGATGTTGCTCTGCTGATACTCTTCATTCTGGCTGTTTGGACCGTGGTTGGGCACATGGCCGAGGTAGATCAGGATGAGATGATGGTTGTATTGTACAGAGAGCGTCATGGAGTATGCATGGAGGGGATCAACGCATCCGTCACTCCACGCCAGCGCGGGAGACAGCTGGTCTCTCCAATTTTTCAGCCGTGCGTGGAGCTCCTCGGGGTGAACCTGGGGGCTTCCTGGATAGAATCGGCTGATGACGATATCGCGCACAATCAGCGACAGCCTCGCAATCTCGATCTGATACAGGGCAAAGGCCTGGTGGGCCGGCGTGCCCACCGAACCGGGATCGGCGGAATCGTGTGCAAAATCGTGGGCCGTCAACATCTCCGTGTCGGACTGGTTCATGTCGATGCGAAATGGTCGCCCAACAAGGGAGCTGCACGCGCTGTCTCGCACCACCAGGATCCACCAAAGGCGTCGCAGGAGACTCTTGTCCTGGGGCTTCATGTTGGTGGTTGCGGTGGACCGGTGGATGCCCACGGCTTCTGCAACAGTCACCGCCGTGCTGATCCATGAGTAAAAATTCCAGTAGTTGTTGGGCCCCCCGCCCCAGAAGGACATGAGAATGGCAGTTTGGAGAATGACGATCTTGTTGATCTCGTATCCCGAGTCGAACAGCACCTTGACCTTGCGGTAATAGGAAAAGCGAGCCTCTCGGCGAGAGGGAAACCCAGCCTGGTAGAGGAGAGGGAGCGGGCAGAATGTCGCTGCAATGAAGCATATAGAATGCAGCAGAATCAGCGGAATCTCTCCCTGGGCATGCTGCTGGACAATCTCCAGCCGATTCACAATCGGATACATGGGATAGACTTGTTCTAGAAAGACGGCGATCAACGCGTCCAGGTGCGGCTGCAGAGGGAAGTCAAAGACGCCCTTCACCTGGAGATACTCCAGATCCTCCGGCAAGAGATGGGCGGGCTGCATCCTGTTGGGCGATCCTGCCTGGTGCTCTCCCTCGGGAAATGGCGGCCCTGGATGGTGCAGTTTAGGCCGACCACCCTCTTTCAGATCCTCCAGGACGATGGCTAGCGGGAACGACTCCCCCAGATAGGTGATGGAGCATTTGTCCACGAACTCTTTGGTGTTCTTGCGCGTGTTGAGGAAATGGTCAAACATGTTCGACCAAGACAGGTCGCGATAGGATGAGGCATTGCCTTCTGGACTCACGGACGGCTGTTGGCCAGGAGACTCGAGGGTTCCCAAAGCCACGAGGGGAGAGTCCGCATCATCGGAGGCATTGGGAAGCTCTCGTGGGTTGGCTATATGGTCCGGATAGGCGGGCGACAAAGGTTGGCCATCCCGACTCGCTGGCTGTGTGCTGTGGTCCATACCCGGCCGTGCTACATTTTCAGCCTCGTCCATATAATCACCGTCGACGGCTCGTGATTTTTCTGAGCCAGGTGAAGGCCGTCCAGACGCGGCTGTTGAGCCCTGTTGCATGTTTCGAGCATACGTGCCTCTCTTGGACTGGCGCAGGACACAGTCTGCATTCCCACTGCGCACACAGTTACGACAGGGCGTCTGGAGCATCGCATCGCATTTGATGCGCTTTTGATTGCATCGCCTACACGCCTTTCCCGCTCGAATCCGGGGTTGGGCCAGTTTGTTCGACCGGGTGGGCATTTTGATTGCTCATTTACTATAATTCTGTATATCCAGCTAGTAGACCTTGTTGTGGGTGTTTGATCGGGCAATATGCGTCGGATGGTTGTTTGGCCGGTAAAAGTCCCCGCATTCTACTAAGCGGGTGGGTCTGCGGGGTGCCTGTCGATATAGCAATAGTTTTTGTCTGCAAGAGGAATGATAAATAGTACCTATAAAGACAATTCCCAGTGCCTCCTTGGCAGATGATGCTATTCGATGAAGTTGTATTGAATGGTGGAAAAATGCATCGAGACAGGAAGACTGGCTCATATAGCCGGGGCTGGTCCGTGTATGCATATAGCCGGCCCAATAGAAATTGAATGCAATTTTCTACAAAGTAGATGTATATAAAGTATAACTACTAAAACTGGAGTAGAGAATGCACAAGTAACAGTATTCTAGCTTCACTTACTCAAGATATCTCATACAAATCATGACACCCCCACAGCCACTCATCATGGGCCTGCGGTACTATGGGGCTCCATGCAGGATGAGGATGAATTGTAATTCAGTTATTTGAGCATATAACCGATTGTATCTCATACAGCCGAAGTTGTTGTAAGATGAATAATATACGAATATAAGAGCATATGTCAGCCTGAGAAGAATATCAGGTCTTTGATTACGCACAGGTATGGTCTTGTAGAAGTCTCCACAGCGTTGGATCTTACTCTATCCCAACCAGAGGATCTGATTAAATGTGTTATCACTGCATAGTGTACTATAATTCTTATTCCAGGATAAACATATATATACAGTCTTATCTCCCTTGTATGTGTGGAAATATCAATTCCATGAACATTAACTACTTCCTTCCAATGACAATTGACATTGTGAATATGGCCAGTACTGATATCTACAAACCAAGCCTGGCAGCCTCTGAGCAGATGATATCGGGAATCTCCTCATCCAGACTTCTCTCCTCAGCCTTCCACCCCAGCGCCTGATGGGCCCGTAGAGCCCTGCCTCTGGAATTCCAACCCCAGCTGGCAGCCTCAAAGCCAGCAGGCGATTTCACAGCCTCGTCCAGAGACCATGCCTTGTGCTGAGGTGCCTCTGCAAGATATCCCTGCTGGAGTGCCTGCTGACCAATGAATTTTGCCAAATCCCCCCAGACATGCTCACCATTCTCACACAAAAAGTAGCCCTTTCCACCCCAGATCTCAGCGTCATCGACTCTCGCGGGGTCGAGGGCGGCCTGCACAAGTGCCTCGAAGAGTCTGCTCAAATCCCAGACGTGCACATTATTCCACCGGGCCAGCCCCTTCCCAATCTGCGGCGTGTACTTTTGCTTCAGAATGAACGAGACCAACTCGTACACCTGTCGTCCACGGCCGGAGACAGGACCCCGACCTGGCCCGTAGATGGTGGGAGGGCAGACAATCACCGTCTTGACCCTGTCGGCATGCTCGACACCGGTCTTCAGCACGATCTCGTCCACATTCCGATGGAAGGCCGCAGGAGGGAGGTTCACTAGTTCGTCTACCCTGTCTCCGTCGTTGAAGACCTTGTCGTCCGGCTCCCCGGCGACTTTGCGCACGTCCGAGTCGAAATAGGTCAGGATGCCTGTGCCGCCCGTGTGCAGCCAGTATCCCGGCCGCTGCGGACTGTGGCCCTGCACCATTCCTTGGGCGATTGCATTGGCCGCCACAACATGATCTGATGAATCAGCCGTATCTGTATCGTGTTAGTCCAAAAGAGTATTATCATTATCATTACTGTTGGGGGTGCTCATACGAATGACAATGTCTGCCCAGGCGGCCTCCTTGGCAATCGTTTCAGCATCGTCGAGCTCGCCAATCACAACTCGTAATTTCGGATACTGCACCTGGACCTTGCGGGCCTTTTCTTCAGTTCGAATCAGGGTGGAGTATTCAAGATCAGGGTGTTTCTCGTGGACGTGGTACAGGGCATCGCCACCGATGTAGCCGGTCGCTCCGGTCACAAACACTTTGGTAGACATGGTAGTTGTTGGCTAGAGGGAAGAGGATTGATAATGACTATAGGGGCAAGCAGTAATTAATGGTGATGATTCTAAATTTATAACTTGGAAGTTGATGACTTCATTGATATGATTTCATTGGCAACCCGGCTATATGGTCGGTGATTGATAATCTAAATGTTCCGTAACCGATGTCAAGCTATAACCGGGAATGTCTCATTGATAATAAAGGTCAAGTTCGGTAGATACGATAATAGGGCAGAAATTTGCATTTAATATTAATTGTGAGGTCATTTACTGCAGTTAATAAGACCAATTTATTTTGCGTGAGCTATCGTTGTTCACACTGTAAATAATAGAGGATATGTTCGTATTCTTCTGGTCAAATAGCTCAGTCCAGAATATACAGAATACGACAATAGAAGCAAATATAGTCGTTTATGCCATACAGTGTATAGATTATCTCATAATATGAAGACTAGGCCCCTACTCAGGGACAAAAAAGTCCAACACCTGCACACCGCCAAGTAGAGGCCCCAGACCCTGTGCAAACTGGGCATGGTAGGGGTCCTCTCGCACATAGTAATCCCGGTCTGCTACGCTCTCAAACTCTGCAACAAATGCATGCGTGAATGAATTCTGATCGGCAAATTGTAAGCAGGGCTTTCTGCCCATGGACAATAGGTATGCATTTACCTGGCGTCCTTCAATTGAGATATCCTGGCCACCTGAAATAGACTTGATGTATGGCTTCTGGGTTGTAGGAAGAAGGCAATCCGTTTTGAGGGTGAGCAATTGTCGGAACGCCTTGGTTGGCTTTGTTAGCTGGACTGTTGGATATCTAAAAGGATGAACGTGGACTTGCCTCGTCGATAGTGGCGGAGGGAACGCCAGGCTTGAATTGGAGGTGTACGATGTGTTTGACAGGCATTTTTGAGTATGCGTTGGTTTTTTCATATATGGGACTATCGTCCACAATATATGAGTTTATATAACTATTCTCAACCGACACTGCATATAGCCGGGTCTTGGCCTAATGAAGAATCACGGCACAATCAGTGCATGGGGACTGACTATGGATATATGCCGTATTCGCCTATTGCTTTACATGAAGACTGCCGTCCATAACCGCTTCGAGCTTTAATCGCTCCATTGCCCCTAAAACGGATTATTTGAGACATCATCATTCCACATTTTACTAAAATTCACTACAACTGTTACAATGGCCAACCTCCTCCGCAACAAGGTCATTCTTGTGACCGGAAGCTCCTCCGGCATTGGAAGAGCAATTGCAGCCCAGTGCGCTCAACAAGGCGCCGCTGTAGTCCTGCACCATCGCGGCGACTCCCACAGTCGTCACGATGCCGAGACACTCCGCGATGAGCTCACCCAGACAGGCCCCGTCATGCTCAACGACCAAAAGGCCTCTCACCTTGTTGTCGGGGCCGATCTCACCACTGAAGGAGCCAGCAGCAGCGTGGTCAGTCAGACCGTCTCCGCATTCGGACGCATCGATGGTCTAGTCAATAATGCGGGCATCTGCCAGTTTGCGCCCGCCAGCTCCGTCACGAAACCATTGTTGATCAACCACATGAATGTCAATTTCATGGCGGCTTATCTCCTCACCCAAGCGGCTACGCAGCAGATGATCCGCCAGGGTCACGGAGGGAGCATCGTTTCCATATCATCAATCACTGCGAAGCTAGGGTCGTCAAACCTTACGCATTATGCGCCTACGAAAGCGGCGCTGCTCGCCATGTCCGCTTCATTCGCTGTGGAATTCGGCAAGCATAATATCCGATACAACTGCATCCTGCCTGGGACGATCCAGACTGCCATGAACAAGAAGGACCTGGCGAACAATGGAAAGGGGGAGTGGATGGCAGGCAGAGTTCCGTTGAAAAGGCTGGGGTGTCCGGACGACATCGCGAGATCAGTTCTCTTCTTTGCCAGCGACCTCTCTGCATACGTGACTGGTCAGCAAATGATCGTTGATGGGGGAGCATCAATAAATTATCAATGAGGCTCTGAGGCAATCCTGGCATGTTCTTACTTTTATCTAGTGGATTAGCAGTATGTCAAGGTTTTTGCAATTGAAACTGGGGGAATACTTCACACAGCTTTTATGGACTTTATCTCTTCTTACGCATAGAATAAACACTAAAAGCAGCAAAAAGCAGCAAAAAACATACAACAGCAGGGATTCGCTGGTGGTCACCCACCCAACTACTAACCTGCCGGCGTGTGGCTTAAGTACGGCTGAGCGGACGGGAAGCCCTGTTCTCCACACCCTGTGGTCGTATGTATTGGGATAGACATAAGCGGGGATTATATAGAAATGATGAATAAAGAGTGGATAGGAGGAACTAGCATAGTCATTCAATATCCCCCGCCCATTAAGCTCCTTCCCTGACCTCAACCAAGTCATCAGTATCAGGACCTTGAATTGCTCTCCAACGTTTACAGCAACCACATTCAACAGTACAATGTGAAGGCCCAGTCCGTTCAACGCTCATTCTCCTTCTCTGGTTTGCAGGACATCGACGAGGTGTTTCGCAACACCCACAACGACGGGCACAGCAGCCCAAGCGGTCAGAACACTCCTTTTGATGTAGCCTCCACCTCTCAAGCTCCGACAGTCTAGCATATTGCTTGACCAAAATACCGCCGGGGTTTTGTGAACGTAGTTCGGCGAATTGTTGTGCATTCTCGAATAGACGCGGTTTCATCTCCTTCAGTTCATCATCTATCATGCAAACTCTTTCATTTCGCTCGTCGCTAGGGCCCTCGTCATGAATAAAATCTCGTAGTTTAACTCTCTGCTCGAGGAGGAAGATCTCGCGCTGTACAATCTCATCGAACTGCCACGTAAGGGAATGCCATTGCTTTAGGTATTCCCGCTGTCGCTGTGCCTGTTTATCCGAGGTGAAGAGTCTGATGAATCCTCGGATCAGACTGGACAAGGACATACAGGAGTTGCGTCCAAAAAAAATCTCAATCCCCATGCTATACGGCCTCCATTTACCTGGGTAACTATGGCCATGAACAGGATGATGGTTCCAAGGACAGCGAGACCTGCCAGTATCATGTTCATGTTCATATTCACGTTCTTATCAGGGTTCAAATATTTTGTTCTTGATCTGTAGGGCTTCAGTGACTATGAGTTTGATGGTTGCAGTAAGGAAGAGGTCAGTAACAAGCCCTTGAAGTATGGCATACATATATATTCAACAGTGGCCGCCTGTATCTATGGCTGCCTGGAAATATCTATCATTTACATCATTTACCTATATTGTCGTCCGCTTCCTGGCATCACGTGCCATGGCTGCCCTAAACTGCTTCTTATACAAAATAAAGAAATCCATGTCTTCTGTGCTTATCCTGAACCACATCGGCTTGAGATGAATGCTTGTGCATTCTGACTATTCTATTCTTAGTCCGTTTAAGATAATATAAAAGTCCATTTGGTATGTCACAACTCAGAAAGTTTCAAGGCTTTTCCAGCCTTAAGTTAGTAGAGTTTTAATAACAGTGGACTGGAGCCTCAACTTGTATGATACCAAGCATGCTGTCTGAGAGATAGCAGACTGGGTAATTTTTCAAATGTCACGTAATATATTACGTTCGCTATTCTGCCATGCTACCTAATGCCATGACTGCGTAATATACTAACTGCCTACTCAAAAAGCGATTTTCCTATACTATATTCTACTAGGTAAGGGAATACTTCCTCTTATAGATAAAGCTATTTTTGATACTACTACTTGAATGTTTTGAAATTATGAAACAGCAATGATATTCCTGTCCTAAATAATTTTGCAACACGCAAAGCCAATATAAACATACCCCCTACCTAGACCACTCACCCATGAGTCCTAATCTTCTCCAAACAAGCCTCAATAATCGACGCATCACGAATAACATGCAACCGGCCGCGCGGAACACACCCATACATCTGCATCAGCCCCGGAGGCCCATGCAAAACAAACCTCACATACTCACCAACCACAACCGCCCCAAAGACAACCCTAGTGCCCAGCGTATTCTCCGATGCGGCAGCAAGTGCATCCTTGATGATAGTGAACTCGTATTCCCAGATTGACTCGATAGTTTCGAAACCTGAATCATCGCGGGAAGTCAGTGTGAGGAGGAGCTCGTTCCGGTAAGGCCCGGTAGCGTTGAATAGGTTTATGGAGACGGCGGCGTCTTCGTCGTCGACTTCGATTGGGGCGAAAATGTAGTCGACCTGGCTGGAGAAGACGAACCGGATGATTTTGGCCCAGATGCCGGAGAGTTGGATTTTGTTTGCCCTGTCGGGGGGGTATTGCTGGAGGAGTGTGGAGATGTCGGGGTTGGTGAGATACTGTTTTGTTATATTAGCTTGGCTTGTTGATGGAGATGGGAGTGTACTTACAGCCATTTTGGTAGTTGCGAGATGGATGAGTTGAGTTGAGTTAAGTTGGTGTGTAGTTGCAATGAGCTTGCAGGTGTTGATGGAATGGACGTTGAGATACTTGCTGCTTTAAAGACAGATCATCTCGAGGTCTTGGAAGGATACAAAGCATTCGGCTCTTTGTTTGGCTGGCTCAAAGATGCTTCTTGTGTCATTGTCTGTGGGGTACTCCATTGTTGGTTTGATGAAACAAACAAAGACTTGTGTTGGGTAGTTATTGCTGTCTTCAGAGCAAAGAATCATGAAAGGAACCCTCTGGTGTAAGAAATTTTTATTAGGTTTTAATATCATAATGAATGCAAATGATAATGGTAAACCACCTATTGGACAGAGTGGATCATCTAGACTATGCATCTGAGCAAACCATGCTATTGAGACGTGAATTCCCCACATACCTCAATGCCATCTCACACATGCTATAAAGAACGAAGGGTGGCTTTATCATAGATAGGCTGGTACAGATCGCATCGAGGGTCAATCTCCTTGTCCGACACAGCCTTCAACGCATGTTTGCCCTCACTGCTCATGCGAGCCTTGACGCCATCCCCAAACACCCCAATAGCAGGAACCTGCTCCCACCCCGGTCCTTTCATAGGATCTTTGGCAAAGTCCGCCCACGCTTTCTGCATTGCCTGGCTGACTTGATGCTCGAATTCCGTCGCGCCTGTTTGCGGATACGTTCCAAAGACAAAGGGGATTTCGGCCGCATGGTATGCCCCGCTGCCCGGAAATAACTCGTAGTTGGGGAAGCTGGCGTTGAAGTAGTATCGCCAGGTGGGGATGCCTGCTTTAATGCTATCGTCAGCTAGGAGCTTGATGGGACATTGCACACCGACGTCAGTGGCGATTAGGGATAGTCGGTCTGTTTCTGTCGTCGCTCCTGGTGCGCCAAGGGGGTAACGGTGGAGAATGGTGTTCGTCATGTTCTTGTCTAGGCCGAGAGTGAGGAGGGCGTTTCGGGTGTTGTTTGGCAGGGCTTTGACGAAGGGCTTGGCTTCATCGGCGTTGCTGCCGATGAGGATGGGCACGCGGGCGATGGAGGAGCCCTGCTGGGTGGAGTTGAGACGATCTAGACGAGGAGTAGTGGAATAAGTTCGACCACCGTCTGGAATAGTCCCCCAAGACATGGAGTTGTTGACGGCCAGTTCTTTGAGGGAAAAGGCAGAGCGAGTGCGCAGACAGTCCAGGGCGCCGTTTGTTGGACATCCAGCCAGCCTGGTGAGGTTCTGCCATGACTCAGCGTAGGCTTTGGCCGGACTGCCAAATGGATCTGGGATGCTCGACTGGCCGGATTGCATGATGGCAGCGTGGAAGGGGAGCGGATCTGGAGGGGAGATCAGCAGCGCATCGACACTGTTGCCCCCGGAGGATTCGCCCATGAGTGTGATCTTGAACGGGTTGCCCCCGAGGGCTGCGATGTTGCGTGTGACCCAGTCCAGCGCCAGTCGTTGGTCCAAGAGTCTGGTACTGAATTAGATCTCGTTCTTCTGGTTGAGTGTTTGCTTACCCTAGGTTTCGCTCCTCCAGTGGAATGCTGCTGTCCGCGGGGAAACCAAAGAGATTCGTGCGGTAGTTGACTGTAACTACAACGACATCCTGATTGGCAGCAAAGCTAGATCCATCATACATGGGCACTGCTGACGCTCCGTTCAGAAAGGCGCCTCCATACAGCCAGACCAGCACAGCCTTGGATCCGGCTGAGGCAGATGCAGGCGTGAAGACATTGAGATTCAGGCAGTCCTCGCCTTCGCCGCCCAACGGAGGAGGGATGCCCATGCCGTCGAACAGCCCCTCGGCCTGGGCGCCAATCTGCTGGATGCAGGCTGTTCCAAATTTGGTGGCATTGTAAATGTTGGACCAGGGCTTGACAGGCTCTGGGGGGCTGAATCTGTTGGGCGGAGCGGCATAGGGAATTCCAAGGTATTTCCTCACTGTGGTAATTGAGGAGAGAGGTGTTGTGGTGGTGCCCACGATGGCCCCAGAATCGATGATGACAGTTGGTGCATCAGATGGTAAACCAGCAACAATGCTGGCCAAGAAAAGAAATAGGACGATCATTGTAAGTTGTGAGAATCAAGTGTAGCTCTGGGGCGGAACTCGTATCCTCGACTTTTATACATTTTGTACTTCTGGCAGGCAACAATCAAAAAGCACTCTGCAGAATGCCGAGATCTCGGTGTCAGCATTTCGGTCGTATTAAGGTTGGCCAAGAGCATCACGATCCTGCAGCGCCCCATTTAACCTAATCGGGCCATATCTTCGTATTGAGACGATCAGGCCAGCCATCTGCCCAAAATAAACCTGGGGGATCAGTTAGATTTAGTTCTAAAATTAAACTAAATATCAATCCAGCGGTCCATCAGACCTGATCAAGCTAAGGGATGTGCTGGCCTGCGTTGTCGATCACTCGATCTATCAGGGCAAAACACGAAAAAGCGCCCCATTGATATGGGTTGAGCAAGCAGGCAGTGTTCTTGGCTTATACTTCTGAATAGATTCTGAGACCTGCTATAGCCTTGCTCGGGTATAAAAGACGCAATCATCTCCACGTCTCTAGAAGATACAAGCTACACAATTCTACATCTGCCTCATCCAACACACTCAATTTACTACAATCCTATCTACTATTCAACCAATCTAGCACCAAAATGCATCTCGCAAAAACCCTCACCTTGTTCGCCCTCACCTCCGGCGCCCTCTCATTCAAGATCCGCGCATTCACCGGCGAAGACTGCTCGGGCGACGCCAAAGAAGTCAACGTCTGGGACAACACCTGCCGCGACAGCAACGTCCCCAAGACCAAGTCGTTCCGCGTCCTGGCCTACGGTGGTCATGCGCAGCGAGCTGTCTTTTGGAAACACAGCCACTGTGGTGACTTTGACAAGGATTTCAAGTCTTGGTGGTCCGATGGTGGCAGCGATGAGTTCAAGAAGGATGCCTGTTTGAACTTGGGATATGAGTCGAATGCCTACGGCTCGCAGATTTCGGTTTAGGTGAGTTGTTTTCTTTCTGCCTTATGGAAGAATTGAGGCTGATGGAGTCTATAGGATGAGGATGAGGATGAGCGTTGACAGAAGTGAAATGGGTGCATTTACTTTTAAATAACTGCCAATGAAATGCCATTTTTACTTATCTACTATTAATTGAGCACAATATAGAGTATGACCAGCCCTGTTCTCCACACGCGTAGTTGTATGTACTAGAATACACCTAATATTTGACCTGGATGAAGTATCAAACATCTTATCTCTCCTAATTGTAGATTCTACAGATTGATGGTATGAACTCTTATTGATAATAATTTATTACTACTAAATAAGCCACATTTGATGATTCAACTCTTAACACTCACGGATATGTCTTGCCCTCTTCACACACCCTCCTAAACACCTCCTCCGTATGCCTCGCCACCTTGTCCACCGCGCCTTCTTCCCTCGTCTTATCCAGCTTCCTGTTCGCAGGAAATACCTCTCCATCCCAGTTTACCCAGTAACAACCACTCCCCTTCACTCCATCACTGCCCACCGCGACATCCCCTCGCATTGCCTCCCCCTCAGCTTTTGGGGGAAACTTTGCACTCGTCGCCGCAAACAAATGTCTCTCTCCGCTCTCTTCAATCGGCACCATGAATGGGCTCAGAAACGGCTTCAGTACAGTCGACAATATACGTCCAGCGGGGAGTTCGCGCAGTACGCCCGAGGCCACGCCGGAGGGGTACGTGTGCAGGAAGGAGGTGTGTAGTTGTTGCTGCGCCATGCCTTCGAGGAAAAAATTTCCCATTAGGCTCGCGTGCGCGCCGCATCTCGCAAGGGTGAAGGAGTGCTTTAGGCTAAGGTCTGAGAAGTCGAGGGTGCCAGAGCCACCGGCGCGGACTGACACGACGGGGTCCAGCACAGAGACAACACGAGAGAGTCTGGTGCCGGCATTGTCCTGCGCAGCTGTGTTCAATAGGGGAAGCAAGTTAGCGATAAACCGCATGCGCGCGTAACAATGCAGCACGAATTTCCTATCCAACCCATCACCCGTTTCCTCTCTGCCTTTCAGCGTTAAATAACCCGGCGTCATGAAGAGCAGATTGAGCCTTCTTTCCCTTGCTGCGATATCGGCGCACACAATGTCGATGTTTTTGAGGAGGGATATATCAGTCTGCAGAAAAGTGGGCTGGGAAGAGGGATTGATGGATTTCAGGGAGGCGATGGCGCTGTCTGCGGCGGATTGGCTGCGGCCGATGAGATAGATTTTGGGGGAGACAGTGTGGCGGGCGAGGGCGAGGGCTGTCGAGAGAGAGATGCCAGAGGTGCCGCCGACTGGGGTTGTTTAGATAGCTTCAAAGAGAATATTATACACAGTGGAATGTTGGGTGACTTACCAAATACCGCGACGAGACCTGGGCCGAGGGATCTGAGGGTTGCATTGTGGGCTTGGACGGTTTGGGGGCTGACCATTTCGATTTCTGGACTGGATATGGAATTGGGGAGAAGCAAATGGGGGGTGAATAGGGAGTTATTTGAATTAACATCCAGATCTATGACGCTAATAAATGTGGCCAATAGTACCTTCAATGTTAGTATGGCTGACATGATCCACAACATGGCTGACGTGAACCATTTTCTATTAATATATATTACCATTCCAGCATCTATTCCAGTTATACAGCTATACTTCCAAATCATCCCCTCTCATCCCACGCCACCACTCACTCTGCCGTACAAGTTCCCCCTCTTCCCCCCCTAGCAACATCCAATACTTCTTCAAAAACCACCCCCTCGCCTCCCAACTCCGGACATCCCACGGCGTACCCGTCGAAACATACCCAGTGGCCTCTTCCCGATCTCTCCTCCCAACACCAGCACCTCCCCAGCATACTAACCCGTTCAGCATATCAAGGAAGAACTCATCCTCGTCAAAATCTTCCTGGTGGATGATGAGATTCTTCCGTAGTGTCGGAAAGGGCAGAATGTCTATGTACGGATGATGCTGGACGGTGATTTGTTCGCTACTCGGCCTCATGTCTGGTTTTAGGGTTTTGAATATCCTCTGCACTGTGTTTATCATGTTGGATTTTACTATATCGTTCGTGGTAGGTCGGAAGAATGGAGAGGGTGATTCGTCGGCGCAGAGCATTTCCTCGGTTATGCCGACGTGCATTCCGAGCGTGTGTAGTGCGGCTGCGATGCAGATTGTTTCGATGCGGAGGTTATTAGAGTAGGGATCTGCTGTGGCTGTATTCGATCCAAATCTGAATATCCTGACTTCGCCGTGGCTGAATGGGTCTGGGGCTTGTGTCCATGTTTTTATGTGTGGGCTGGAGCAGCCGCAGTCGATGGTGGTCGTACAGAATAGATCAAGGCTGACGTATCCACCTCGAGTAAGAAGCGAAGGATCAACATGTGTTGTAGAATCGTATATACTCAAGCTCGATGGGGTGTCATCTAGCTGTGAGAAATCCGTTGGATCCCATATGTGTGCTGAGGGCGTGTCGTCTAACTGTGGAATAAGATGTTGGCATTCTCCCAGAGTCGCTGTAGATGTACTGGCAGATACATCTGAAGAATCATAACTTGGGGGATTCTTTGCAACATCCTCATATAGGCCTGTGCCTGCAGCCGATGTTCTTTCAACCGCGCAACTCTGCGCCGCCAATGCTTCGAGATGATCCAGACGTTCACGACGCTTTTCTCCTAGACAGATAATCAGCATTTGTTTTCCAATATTCCTGGAGCAATTCTAGATAGATTTATGACACGTCAAAATGCCAGACAGATCTACACTTACGATACTTTCTTTGTGCTTGGATGTTCTGTTGTCGTCTCCTTTCCGGATCACGGCGGACAGGTTTCCGCTTCTCCTTTTCCACGCTTCCCCTTTGCTGTACTACTTGTCGAGTCTGTGGTGGCATATTTTAGATAGTTTATTAAATGAGATAGTTACAATGGATAAGTAAGACTAGGAGAAATGCTAGGAACATGTAACGAACGTAAGACGTTAGAATAAGCTGTGGCGGCCCATGGCTGATGTCAGCCATAATTCTAGACCCAAAGGGACTTGGCGCAATACTTGTGCACTACTTTGCTCGAGCTGGAAGTTCAAAGAAAACCCTATTAATCCTTCTCGTTCTTCTGAGGTCCTTTCTATTTCTGAACTTGTTAGTGTCATCTCTTCTGCAGCTGAAACTAGGGTGTAAATAGCTTTGAATGGACCTGGAATCGCCTTTCTTGTCATATTCTGCTTATAGTATCTTTAGAAGTGCTCGACGATATAGAATCCGAAGATCTTTGACGATTAATTCTTGTGGTGATTATGGTGAAAAGCCACAACGAGCAGGCGGATAAGTACGCCGGACTCTCGACAAATCACGTAGGTTGAGATTCTAGCTGGAAGAGGGGAACACGGAAACTGCTTTATTAGGGTCAATCCTAGTCAGTAGTTGTGCTTAGAAGAAGAGGGGAAAGGCGCAGTGCCTCTGGTGTCTGCCATCCTAGCTGGGAGTGTTGACATCGTGATTGTCTGTTGGTGCTGAGGGGACTGACTGCTCAGTCAGAGATGGGCTGGGGGTTGGAATTGCGCCTTTGAGCCGATCGATTCGAATCCCATGATAATTGGGGATGATGACGAAGATCGACGATACGATCGGGGGAGAAGTTGGAGACGTGAAGCCCCGCCTTTTGGGCTCTGAACGAGGTTTGCTTATCCCCCCTTCAGTCCGATTCGTGAGATTAATTTCTCACCTACGCTTCTTTTCCTACAAAACGTCCACGTCTGCCCCCCGTTTCTACTTTACTGGAGATAATGTGCAAGAAAATTGATTTTTTTTTAAAAAAAAAGATATTGTTCATTGAATTCTTGAAAACTGGGATCTATTCTGTTTTACAGTCTTGATTCGTTTTTCGCTTCCATGCCATCGTCATCAAGGTCATACAGTCGTAGGAAATTATTCCAACGCCATCCATCTCAAATCGTTTTATCTCGGATCGATTCGAGGAGGACGACAAGAGGACAAAAAAATGGTCCTCTGACTAACCATCATCTCTCTATGGGGTTTTCCCACATTGAGTAGATGACGAGAGTCATGCCTGGTCGGGGTGCGCCCACGCAACAGCATCTGATAGTCTTGCCATTAAACACTTGTATGGGCTGACTACTGCACGCTCCCTCAGTGTCCCAGCTTTTCGTTTATGCCTTGTTGATTCTTAGTTCTCGAGGTCGATCTTGACTTTCTTCTCCGGAGGAGGAATTACCTGGTCTTCAGCAGCGCCCTTGAGGTTCGGAAGCTCGGTGACGGCCGACTTGATGATCTCAAGTGCCTGTTTGATCTCATCGTCGGTGATCACGAGTGGAGGTGCCAGGCGGATGATGTTCTGGTGAGTGGGTTTGGCCTATCAATGTTAGCGTTGGAGCGCATTTCGTGGATAAGACGCGATGCAACTTACCAAGAGACCCTTGTGCTTCATCAGCATGCAGAGATCCCATGCACTATGTCCGTTGGTCTTGGACTCGTCGATAACAATGGCGTTGAGCAATCCCTTGCCACGCACAGTCTGGATGATAGGGCTCTGGATGGCCTCCAAGCCGTTACGGAAGACGTGACCCAGAGTCTCAGCCCGCTCGACCATGTTCTCCTCGCGCACAACTTCGAGGGCTCGGAGAGCAACAGCACAGGCCAGTGGGTTACCACCGTAAGTAGAGCCGTGCGTGCCAGGCTCGATGGTGAGCATGACTTCCTTGCGACCCAAGACACAGGACACGGGGTACATGCCACCTGAGATAGCCTTGCCCAGCAGAACCATGTCGGGCTTTATTCCACTCCACTCGTGGCACAGCAGCTTTCCTGTACGAGCGATACCTGTCTGGATCTCATCACAGATCAAGAGAACATTGTGCTTGTCACAGAGAGCTCTGGCCTCCTGCAGGTAGTCCTCATCGGGGACGACGATACCCGCCTCACCCTGGATAGGCTCGACCAAGAAGGCAGCCAGGTTGGGGCCAGCCTTCTCAAAAGCCTCGCGCAACGCCGACTTGTCGTTGTATGCGATAGGCTTCTCCGTTCCGGGGATGGTACATCCAATGTTGGGCAGGTAAGGACCATAGTTCTCGCGCGACTCAGCGTCGGACGACAGAGAGATGGCAGCGAACTATGCGCACACTTGATTAGTTTCATTACAGGAGAAAGCAGCAGGACTAAAACCTACAGTACGTCCGTGGAAGTTGTTTTCAGCACTCAAGACCAGAGCCTGATTCTCGGGGATACCCTTGACCTTGTAACCCCACTTGCGAGCGATCTTGATTCCAGTCTCGACAGCCTCCGCGCCAGTGTTCATGGGCAAGACCATGTCGAAGCCAAAGTACTTGGTCACGAACTCGGCGAAACGAGGGAAGACGTCATTGTAAAAGGCACGAGAGCTCAGGGTCAACCGCGAGGCCTGGTCAACAAGGGCAGCCACCAGCTTAGGGTGACAGTGGCCCTGGTTCACAGCCGAGTAGGCGGACAGGAAGTCAAGATAGTGACGACCTTCGGGATCCCAAACGGAGGTGCCCTGGGCTCGGGCAAAGACGATGGGCAGAGGGTGGTAGTTGTGGGCAGCGAAGTCCTTCTCAGCCTGGATGGCCTCCTGGGTAGAGGAGGCGTGGTATGCACTCGCGCCAGAAGACATGGTGACGTTGACGATACTTGCTGAGGGGCAAGAGAAAAAGATCAGAAAAAAAGGGTATGAATGCGGGGAAAAAAGAGTCACGTAGAATTAAGAGACGAGGGAAATTGGTGAATTCGCAGAAAAAGAAAAAGAATGGTGGGATTGCGAGGCGTAGAAATAGGACGCTGGAATGCCCGCCCGCGTGTCACCGCAGGAGGGGAGCAGCAGAGGCAAAAACGAAACTAGACTCCTAAGTGCAAGTCTACCCGCCATGATGATGATGATGTTGGATCGAGCCTCGATGGAGGGACATCCGCTGCTTTTCTACCCGCTCCACTCGTCTAAACCTCCTTTTTACTCTCGCCATTAACGCCTGCACCATTACCCATCGTCGTCTTTTGTTCTCCACCCGGTCCGGACGGATCTTGTCGCTTTCTACCGGCCCGGCCGTCTTGTGTCCGCCCTCACTTGGTGACAGAAACAGCTGTTGCTTTCTCCATGCGATCGCCTAGATTCGCAGATTCAAAAATCCGGGGTTGACTTTTTGATCATGGCCTTACGAGGGAGATCGGATTCTTCCTCCTCTTCGTCTTCCTTCATCGCCAGTCCGTCTCGTCCACCGCGTCGCTCAAAGCCGCGCCCCTCCACCGTCAGAGTATCATCATCAACACCATCACCAGCATCACGATTGTCATCACGATTATCATCATCGCACATTCTACTCTTTCTCATTGCCTACCGTCTCCTTAATGCATCCATAGTTAGAACTTTTTTCCAGCCTGATGAATTCTTTCAATCGCTTGAACCTGCCTGGCAAATTGCCTTTGGAGAGAACCACGGGGCTTGGATAACTTGGGTGGAGATTCCCTTTCTTCCCCCATGGCTCTGAACTGTCGCTAACTGTTCTCGTCTATAGGAATGGAAACACCAACTTCGATCTTCTATACACCCCCTTCTATTTGCTGCCGTCTACTACGCTGTCGATATCCTCGCTCGAGTTCTTCATCTCACTCCCGCAATCCGAGCGGACCTCCTTGTTGCCGCCCCCAAAACAGCGCAGGCCGTTGTCGCGGCCATCGGTGACTATTATACCTGGAAACTAGCTCGTCGCATCCACGGGGAACACAGTCGGGAAGCATGGGCAGCAGTATGTTTGGAATAAAACAAAGACAAGGAAATGGCCGAGGTTAACCGGGTTATAGCTGGCTTTGACCGTTCTCAGCCCTTGGCAATGGTTCTGTTCGACCAGGACCCTGTCCAACTGTCTCGAGACTACGATCACCATCGTCGCTCTTTATCTATGGCCATGGGAATTTTCTTTGGGCTCCGCGCAACAGGGTGAAGTTAAGAAGGCCAGGACTACGCGCAAAACCAGCAGAAGTCGCGATACGGAGGATGGCCCGACTCTGCTCAATAGGTACGACGTCAACTCTTGAAGTGTGTTTTCATCACTAACCAAACGATCAGATTGCGACAATGTCTTTCTCTGGCTGCTCTTGCCTGTATTCTACGCCCGACGAATATCCTCATCTGGGTCACTCTGGCTGGTGTTGCATGGTTTCGGGGGACCTGGGACCAACGTAAGATTCTTGTCCGCGAGATCGTGATTTGCGGGTGAGTCGAAAGCGTCCTAACCTGAGATCTTGCCACTTACAACTCTCCCAGTCCTGCTGCTCTGACCGTGTCAACCGTGGTGGATCGCCTCTTCTACGGAACTTGGACATTTCCGCCGCTCAAGTTCCTCTACTTCAATGTCGCACAATCTCTATCCGTCTTCTATGGAAAAAATGACTGGCATTACTATATTTCCCAGGGATATCCTCTACTCCTAACCACGGCACTCCCTTTCGCACTCCTCGGCTTGTATCGCGCTTTGGCACGCACACCATCGTCGGGAACAGAATCGTCGAGTGTCATACGGACTCAGCTTGCGCTGATTTGTGTGGTGATGCCATTCGTGCTTTCTCTTATCTCACACAAAGAAGTGCGATTTATTTATCCCTTGTTGCCGTCCTTGCACATTCTGGCTGCCCCATGCCTGGTGGATTACTTCCTCCCCGCCGTTTCCCGCTCTTCCCAGGCATACATGCCTCGGAGACTTACTCTTATGTTCTTGGTGTTGGCAAATGTCGTCATTGCTCTATACACCACCATCTACCATGCATCGGGCACCCTAAATGTCCTTACTTATCTCCGGCAGCAGCATGAAGCCCACGCTCCTCTGGCTGAAAGCACAACAGGCACAGGAACGCCCCAGTCTGGAATTACGGCTGGATTCCTAATGCCCTGCCATAGCACTCCGTGGCGCTCCCACTTGGTCTTCCCGGACATTCACACATGGGCACTATCCTGCGACCCGCCGGTCGGGCTGGACGAAACCCAGAAAGCAGCATACGTTGATGAGGCGGACCAATTCTACGAGAACCCAAGCCAATTCCTACAAAAGAACATGGTAGGCGGCCTACGACACGTACCCCGCAAGCCTACCTATCTCTCCAACTCTGCATCCCAATCCACCCGCCAGGACACGAGCACCTCCCACGAATGGCCCGACTACCTCGCCTTCTTCGCGGCCCTCGAACCCACCCTCCAAAGTCTCCTCCGAAGCACTTCCTACGGCGAATGCTGGCGAACATACAACACAGCCTGGCACGACGACTCGCGCCGACGAGGCGACATCATCGTCTGGTGTCTCGACCCAAACGAACAACAAGCCTGGCGCACTCAAACCCGAAAACAACAACAAACCCACCAAACCCAAGAACACCACTTCGACCGCATCATCGAAGCAATCAAGAACGAAGCCCTGGGCAAGCCCAAATCCTCTCCATGGCAGAAATGGAAACCCTTCATCCCCAGTCTCCCGACGTCTTGGCCGTGGGAAAGACGTAAGCCGAAGACTTGGGCGGGGATTCAAATTCCTTCTCTGCGGACGACTCCGTCGTGGACGTGGAAAAAGCCTTCGTGGAGCTGGTCGATGCCTTTTGGGAAGAAAAAGGCTAAGCAGATTTCTGCGCGGGATCTGTGGTCTTGATATCTTATATCTAAAGCTATCATAGCTTAACATATTATATGCATTGTATTATTAGTATTGTTTTATTTCGGTTCTATCTCCCATGTCTTCAACTTCACTTTAGAATTCTGAACAATTTTGAACAAAGCATTTTGACATAGTCTAATCAACTGTGAACATAAACGGCATTTTATAGAAAAGAAGCCCTTGCGTGATAAATCCAGTCTCAATTTTCAAATATTCACAAATGTGATTTCAACTATAAATATCCTATCCATCCCGACGTCTATGTATTTATGTTTGCTTGACTGTACCTATATACCACCCCCAGTAGATGACTAGATACAGAGGTTCATGTTATTTCCAAAGCCCGATGTCTTGACAAAAAACGCCAATCAATGATGCAATAACCAATCAATCAGTTACTATTACAATCGCCAGGGGAGAACGAAAACAAAAAGATACAAAAGGAAAGGGGAAAGAAGGTGGTATGGGAATGACCATCCAAGAAACGAAGGATAAGTAGAGTTTTAAAGCATATAGGGGATATAAAAAAGAAAAAAGAATCAAGTCTATCAAAAAGAATGAAAATCCTTTTCGTTAACCGTAGCGTGCACTCAAACTGGCAAATGCATCCGGACTGTGTCGTCCATTTTGTAATCCGCTGATATCTACACTCTGTTGGCTCATGTGGCTTCGTGAGAAAGGGCCAGTTGTCGGCTGAGGGGCCTTCACGCCCATCCCAATTCCAAGACCAGACTGTGAGGGCTGAGGCTGTGCTGGAAAACCTGGCTGCGGCATTCCTGGCGATGTACTCATGTATGGGTTGCGAGATCCAGCCGCTGCGAAGCCTGCGGATGGTGGTTGGGGCTGTTGTGGTGTGGATGCCGCTTGAGACTGGGGCGTTGAGCCGATTGACGGTGTCAATCCAGGAACCGGGCTGATTGTTTGTGGCTGCTGGGTGGGCACCGACGGTGCGGGAGAGAGCCCATACAAGGAAAGAATGCTTGACTTGTCCACGCGACCAGTTGCCTGAGGAGTCAATTGCTGGGGTTGCTGGAATCCAGGCTGCAATTGGGATTGAAATTGCGTTTGGAATCCTGCACTCTGAGGGGTAGTTGGCGCGGTCATAGACTGGAAAGGATTATTCGGACTCTGGCCCGGGAAAGCTGATTGAGCTTGCTGGAAAGGCTGTGTTTGCTGGGGCTGAATCGGACCAAATGGTGATGTAGACTGAGGTTGGACCTGCTGTTGCTGAACCGGTGCAAATGGCGATGTAGTCTGAGGCTGTTGCTGGACCGGTCCAAACGGCGATGTGGACTGGGGCTGGAGCTGCGGCTGTTGCGGCTTAACTGGTCCAAATGGCGATGTTGACTGAGGCTGGAGCTGCGGCTGTACCGGTCCAAAGGGTGATGTGGACTGAGGTTGGACCTGCTGTTGCTGGACCGGCCCAAATGGCGATGTTGACGGAGGTTGAAGGTGCGACTGTTGGGCCTGTTGGGCCTGTTGCTGCTGCTGGAACGGAGAAGCTGGCCCAAATGGCGATGTCGACGAAAATGCCGGCATGGTATTGGCATGTCGCGGCGGGTTGGGGGCTGCAATCGTTGGAACCGATCCTACTGCCGATAGCTGACTCTGCGGCTGCTGCATGGAGTTTTGAGAACCCTGGTTGAAGAAAGGGTTCGTCTGCGGAACGCCCAGGTTTTGGTTGGAGGGCTGGTTGAAGCCGGCCTGAGCCTGTGTTTGCTGAAAGAAGGGGTTGTTACCAGCATCAAAAGACTGAGGCGATGAGACAAAACTTTGAGAAAATGTCGAAGTAACTGGAGGAGTGGCTGACTGTTGGTAGAGCGGCTGAGGAAGAGAATGCTGCTGGGTAGGATAACCTCCGGTAGAATGAGGGAACAACGGCTGGGACACCTGCAGATTCTGGAAAGATGCTTCGAGATTATGCGCAGAAGAGGGATGTGCGGAGGCCGGTTGTTGGGTTGGCACGTCAAAGGGGTTATATGAGCTCCCAGTTGGCTGGCTTGGAGGCTTGGAATCCAACTGATCAAATGGGTTGAAAGATGTATCTCTCTTGATGGCCCCGTCACTTCCACCAGTCACAGTTGTTGCTGCCGGCACCGGGGTTCTGGCCCGCGACGCAGGCATACCTCCCTCACCCAGTCGTGTCAGAGATTCAACTGCTCTCTCGAGGTCACCATTGAGGCCTCTGAGGACGGTGGCGTTTCGTCGGTCATCGGGGAATCCCATTTCTCTCAAAGCGATCAGCTTCCCCTCGAAGGAAGCGCCAGTCATGTCTCCCACAGCAGCCCCAAAGCCCCGGGACGCAGTATTCATGGGAACCGGAGGCGGCGAGTCATGCCTTTCAGATCGCGGCGAGGAAGCTTTGGCAACCGATTGTCGACGCAAGTTGGAAGTGGAAGAGGCAGTCCGGAGACCAAAGCCAAAGAATTTGCCAGTTTTGGGAGGCAGAGGCGGCGGCGAGCCCTCGGGCGATCTGGTGTAACCGGAATCATGACGGCTAGGGGGCTTCGGCTTCCCATCCTCCAGGGACCGGTGTTGGTACTTCTGCCGGATGTATCGCTCCATGCACGAGTCGGCCTCGTCGATATCAACGGGGATCGGGGGCTTGATGTTCTTAGGGTTAAAGATCTTGTTCATAAGATTGTTTCCGTGCGACTTCATGTTCTGTGTGATTTAACATCCATTAGCTTCGAGTTCCAAAATGTTCTCCTTTTCATTGACCATCTGCACTCACATCGACCTGATCCGACGACCAACTGTCCATGCTCAAGGATTTAACCTTGGAGATGTGAGTGCCCAGCTTGCGATGCAGAGTTGCGCACCGCATGCAAAGGAAAATGCCCATCTGTATTGTTCCACTAATCAGTTTCGTTCTTTTCGTTCTTTTCATGCGGCGCGCTATAACGTACGTTCCAACTTGCCCATCCTAATGGCATATTATTAGCATTGTTGCAATATATTGCAGTCCTTGGTAAGATTTAAAACACACCTGGGTTCAACGCATCACAATCTGCGCATCGGTCATTGCCAGGAACAGACCGGATGAGATCCTGCAATGCTTTCTCATTGCGGAACTGCTGTCGTTTGCTGATGCCGGCCACCATCTTGGCGGATTATGGTGGAAGAGGTTTCTGCGAGGAGATACGAATGAGGGCACGAGAAACGTGATCCAAAAAAGAGGGGAGGTTGAAGAAAGACGGGGGGGTTGAGGCCCAGGAAAAATGTCTCAGCGAGAGAGCCGAGTTTCCGTGGCGAAAGAAGAAGGGGGAGGGAGAAAGAGCTCAGACGACAGTCAGGACCATCATGGAAGCACTGAGAGGATTGAACTGGAGGATGGGACGATGGGCAGGAGGGATGGATTGAAGAGGGAGAGAAAGACAAGTCGGTAGTCGATCTCTCAAGTTCAGGCCCAGGGATGATGATGAATGCTTGTTGGTGTGGGGGAGAACCTATGGTCCTTTTGGGCCCCGATCGGGGAATCCTGACTGACGGATCATACCGTTGATGCTCTATTGTGTGTGTTTATTAAGGATGGATATTAATAGACCGATTGTATATTTATTTTAGATTAAGAAATAATTGTCTTCACGGTTGAGAATTGATAGATATCTTCTAAGAATGATCTCTGGTATGCCGCTGCCCAGAGCTCCTTGAAGCACATAGTTAGAACATCACCATTTACTCCTCCAGCCCCTGACGGATAGTATTAAAAATCCAGAATAGATCAATGGAATGGCAATAGTCCTTGTGTCTTCCAAACAAAGATCCAAATAGAAGCAATAGATCATGGAGGTTATTTGCAATGGACAGTGCAATATATTGATCATCCATACGACGACCGCACTAATGACGGCGAAAAGGGGCTACAGATGGACCAGCGTTACTATCTTAGTCCAACGGCCGGCAGTCAAGCACTGTCTGTCCGTCGAATCCGGATCTCTATCAGAGTTCGCATTCAGACAAGATCGGCAGGCATTACGACTACAAGCTTGGAGGATTATTACCAACAAGGAACGTGGTAAAAGGTGTATGTGTGAACAGCAGGTGACTCGCTAAACCACTGCACTCAGTCCCAACAAGTTGGAACCAGCACGATCAAGAAGCCTTAAATTGCTCGGGGATTCGATCTAGTACGCCAATATGACCTACCATCCTATGGATAGTATAAATACAAGGAATTGGAGGTTGATTATGCGTTCGTAGTTTCATGATTTAGTGTAAGGAAAGAAAGAAGAAAAAGTTCAAAATTGTCGCCGGCCGAATTGTGCTTAAAAGGGATCCAGTCACGTGGTCCGGCGGGGTTAGTGTTTAGGTCATGTGATGTCTTAGCGGCTTTTGATTTTTCTTCTCTTTTTCTTCTTCCTCGAGAATTCCCCTCCATCTCATTCCATCCCATTGCCAACAGCCACCCAGGCTGCTATCGAAGGGTCTCATTTATGATTGAGATTCCTCAGATTGTCACACACAACATGTTGCCTTCATATCACTCGGCATCATTCTACATGTAGAACCACGCAGCACGCGTCTGACTATATCAATGGTCAGGACGTAGGCTTTTTTATTAGTTCGTTCAGTGGAAGATCAAAACCAAACAGTTTTTAGCAGAGCTGCGTCTACTCCACCCTGGTGTTCGCTTTGATCGAACGGCAGGACTTTTTTACGACGGACATTCATATAGACATCAATTCATTTTGAGCTTTCAATGCAATTTTCTTTCAACTACGCGAAGTCCACAATGCTTCAGAGCATGTCATAATCGTATCATAAACCGATAGCTCGGGCTCAAATGCCCCATTTGTGCCTTTTCCTCTTCGCTCAGTTCTCTGCCCCAGCCCTGTGCCGCTCGCCGCCTGTTCTCTCGCCAACAGTATCCGGCATACGAGCTACAGAATACAGCGGCCAAACAGGAAAAGCCAATGCAGATGGCGTACGACAATTGGTACTTTGGAGCGTCCTGCTTGCGAAAGGCATAGGATCCAATGATGCCGCCAACATTGCCAATGCCTACTTGCCATGCGCTCCCAATGGCTCGACGACGATGACCTCCTAAGTTCATTGTGTTCCAGCATATTTCCACTGCGCCCCGTTAGTTGTGTGATACTGATAGCAGAATAATACCTAGTTATACCGGGCATGAGAATCGCCGCCCCTGCAATGGCCATGAACAAGGCCCCGTACCGCACATTCACATTGTCCTCGTGCACGCTGAACAAGATCGAATACCCGACGATGGAAACTGCGGCACAAAAGACAGCCATAGCATATCGATGCCTGATGAGATCCGAAATATAAGCCACAATTAGGGCCAAGCCAAAAGTGACAGCCCAGATAGGAACCGTGTGCAACTGCGTCTCAATCGGTGAAAACACCCCCAAGCTCTCAACAATGACGGGAGCAAAATACGCCCCCATATACCCTGGCACCGAGGTTGAGAGATGGATCATCGCAGCAAAGATGACTTTGGGATCGCATAACGTTTGCCAAACATCAAACGGTCGAATGCTAAGCTCGATGGCCGAACTCCCCTGCTCAGCCTTTAGTCGTGCCTTGACAAACCCCCGTTCCTCCTCCGTGAGCCAGGATACCTGTTCTGGGAAATTGGCTAGGAGGAAGAAGAGCGATAGTGAGATGAGGCAGGTCGCCGCTCCCTCCACAATGAAAATCCATCGCCACCCGGATAGACCGCCTGCTCCGTCCATATTACCGATGGGAGCTGCGATCAATCCACCAAACCCACTGGATAGGTTCATCGCGCTGAGGTAGAATGAAAAGCGCCGTTGAGCCTCCTGCCTCGTGTACCAGGCACTCATGAGATATGCACAGCCAGGCATGATTCCTGCTTCTGTCATTCCCAGAACTGAGCGCAGTCCCAGCAAACCTCCATAGTTTTGAACGAATCCCGTCGCAAGCGTGGCTAGCCCAAACACGAGCATACATATAGAAACTGGTGATTTAGCGCAAGGGCGCGAACGAGGCCAGGGAAGAACGTACGCCAAACACGCGGCGTCCACCTTTTCAGTAAAACATTACACGGGATCTCGAACACAATATATGTGATGCAGAACATGGTCAGGGCCGTGGAGTATTGCACGTCCGAAATGTGAAGGTCTTCGCACAACCCATATACCAGTGCGTTTCCCACATCGGCTCTAATACCCGTCAACGGCCTCTTCTTGTGCCTTACCACTGCAGGCTGTCTCACCGGTCCAGAAAACAGAGCAAGCACAGAACCGACAGGCAAGGCACGAGTCTGCAGTCGATTTTGAACATTAATTTCCGCTCCGTGGTGTAGAGTAACGGTGGCAGTTGGGACACATCTGAATTGGAGGTGCTGGGGCTGGTCAATGCGATGGTCACCTCTGTCTGGGTGTCATCTTTGCCTGCGATTGTCAATGGAGCGACAAAATAATGCTGTGCTCCGGGGTACGTGCCTCGTTTTTCATACTGAATAGGATGCATTGACTCGATGTTACCTCTCCTGTGGAAGCTTGGGTTCAAGAATGGATTCTCTGACGTAGATCGCATTCATCATGCGAATATATAGATCAGTGAACATGATGAATTGACAGTTCAGTGTTGTAACATCTGTGAGACAGTAAGATGATGTTTGAGTGATACAGTGCAACCACAAATACTGTGCAGATACAAAGAGGCAGTCTGCATATTGAGGATTGATTCCCTACACCGTATAATGTCTGCATAACTAATCTATAGAACAATCCCTGAGACTTCGCTATTCATATTCATTTTGATCTAGAATAGAATGCGTAATTATCGTGATGAGTAATGGCAACAGTCTGGCCGGACCCAAGAGGGGATGATGATGTATCCAACACTCTGTCGAGCTCCCCGAGTGGGTCCGGAATCTGCCGCGGCTGCATTCTCAGCCAGTCAACGCGTTGTTGTTAATAATCAGCGGGTCTGTTGCTTCGGCTATGATGTTTTCATTCCTCTCTTTTGCGTTTCCGAGACTCGAGCTGACAGTCTGAATATTATCAATTAATATAGGGGTAGAACAGGGCAATATGTAATAGAGACCCAGATTGGTGGGTAGAGAGAGCCATGGACACCAGCTGGCACCACGAGCCATGGATCCTCCATCCACCGCCACCATGTGCATCCATCGTCACTTGCAGAGCTCCTACTAATCCTCATCGCTAAGCAGAAGAATGCGGAGATGCTGCTGACTCAAACGAAAGGCCCAGAGCCCGTTAATTTGCCCGCTGCTGATTGGTGCACGGTGCCTGTTCGATGGGCTTCGGCGGCTTGAGGGACATATGGGAGCACTGGCGATGGTTCCTGCGATTCGATGAATTGGCAACCCCTGCGCTCGCCTCCTCATTCCGCGGCCTTAAAGCTGTCGTCTTCTCCTCTTTCCCTTTTCCCTGCCCGTTTCTGAATCCCTAATCTTCCAATTCAGACCATCTTCTCTCTGTGTTTCCATCCATCCATCTTATCCCTCTATCCTATCTCGCCCATCCACTTATTTAAGACATCCCCTCCTTCGTATCACCATGGCCTCGGCTGCAAGAACTGCTTCCCGCTTCCTCCGGTCAACCCCAGCAACCTCCTCCTTCAGACCGGCGGCTCGCAGCACCCGGTTTGCCCTTCCTACCCAGGCCTTCCGTGCATCTGCTCGTCGCGGTTATGCCTCTGAATCTGGTGAGGCCAAATCCTCTTCGAACGCCTTCCTCTGGTCTGGTCTCGCCGCTGCTGCTGGTGCGGGTGCATACTTCTACCTGAACGGCAGTGATGCTTCTGTCGGTGTGAAAGGTGTTCCTACCCAGGCCGATTACCAAAAGGTGTACGATGAGATTGCTCGTCGTCTCGCGGACGACACCGATTACGATGATGGCAGCTATGGACCGGTAAGCTCCCCTATAGACTTAGGGTCAGTTTGAGAAGAATTGTAACTAATCTGAATCTTTTTTAGGTTCTCGTTCGATTGGCATGGCACGCAAGTGGCACCTATGACAAGGAAACCGGTACAGGAGGAAGCAACGGCGCCACCATGAGATTCGCCCCCGAGTCGGACCACGGCGCCAACGCTGGTCTCAAGACTGCCCGAGACTTCTTGGAGCCCGTCAAGGCCAAGTTCCCCTGGATCTCCCACTCCGACCTCTGGACTCTGGCTGGTGCCTGTGCCATTCAGGAATTGGGTGGCCCCACCGTTCCCTGGAGACCCGGTCGCCAGGACAAGGATGTCGCTGCCTGCACTCCTGATGGACGTCTGCCCGATGGTGCCAAGGGCCAGGGCCACGTTCGCGATATCTTCTACCGTATGGGATTCAATGACCAGGAGATTGTTGCCCTGATTGGCGCTCACGCTCTGGGCCGTGCCCACGCCGATCGCTCCGGCTTCGATGGACCCTGGGACTTCAGCCCTACTGTCTTCACCAACGAGTTCTTCCGTCTCCTTGTTGAAGAGAAGTGGCAGCAGAAGAAGTGGAACGGACCTGTTCAGTTCACCGACAAGTCCACTCAGACTCTGATGATGCTTCCCTCTGATATTGCCCTGATTAAGGACAAGGGGTTCAAGAAGCACGTCGACCGTTATGCCAAGGACAGTGACGTCTTCTTCAAGGAGTTTTCCGACGTTTTCGTCAAGCTCCTCGAGCTGGGTGTTCCCTTCACCAGCAAGGCTGAAGACCGCTTCGTCTTCAAGACTTCTGAATAAGGATCTCAGCGGTCTCTTAACTTATTCTGTTTTGCTTTGTTTGATTGGCTTTGTAGCACTGCATCTCTTTTGTTTTTGTTTTGATATCCGACATATACTTGTCGCATTTTGGGAGGTCCCTGGTTATTGGGGATGGCGTCATTTTATTAGATCTGTTTTGGATCTCATTCTGGAAAAGAATGGCAAATAGTAGACTATAAAAAGGTCTTGAATATCATTACCCAAAGAATTCTTCGTGTATATCGATAGACTGTAAACATCTCAGGTCATTATTGCTGCCGGATGAGTGGCAGAATTTTTATGTAGAGCCTAACTCCCGAGACTTTTCCAACTCCGCGCAACCCCGCCAACAAGAACCCCTCTTGAATGAGACTGGACTTTTGGGCCTGATGGAAGAAGTGTCGACTAACAGGTCTTGAGATATATATCAGATTCAGATTGAGCAAAAAAAGAAAGAAAAAATCAGCCAAAATGACTCGATCAGATTCAGTCGCACACGATCACTACCAAATCCTCAATCTCCCTTTCACAGGGACACCGACTGCTCTCTCCAAACAGCAGCTCAAAATCGCATACCACAAGGCGCTGTTGAAACATCATCCGGACAAGGCCCCAGGAGCGGACACCCCCTCCGCCTACAATGGCGATGGCAATTCGCAAACCTCTTCCTACACAGTCGACCAAATCACAACCGCTTACAAGACTCTGTCGGATCCCTCCCTACGCGCCGAATACGATCGATCCCTCCGTTTAGATCGGGCGAAGGTTGCTGAGCGGGAGAAGACCGGGACGGTTTTTCATACGGGTTTGGAGGTTGTGGATTTGGAGGATCTTGCGCTCGATGAAAGTGCCGAGGGAGAAAGCGGAGATGCAGAGGCTTACTGGTACCGGGCCTGTCGATGCGGTGATGACAAGGGCTTCCTGGTTACAGAGCAGGACTTGGAGCGAGAGGCGGAACATGGAGAAATTGTCATTGGGTGTCGTGGTTGCAGCTTATGGATGAAGATTCTATTTGCGGTGGAGGATGAAGACGCCGGCGATGATGCTGAGCAGGGCAAGACTTGAGCGCTAGTGCTAGCTGGCTTGCTTTCTTGAAAGTCTTTCATCGACATGCCAACCTGAGATACACCCATCTTCAGATTCGGGCATGTCCGCCCGCTCTCTTGATTGTCCCAAGACATTGTCTGACACGGGACGCTACACCGAGCACGCGCGATTCGTTTCGTCTACAGCATATTGCTACATGGCTATTAGCTTTGTGTCTCACTGTCTGACATAAACCTCCGAGTGGAGATATGGATGGATCGCTGTCGTGGTTGCTCCGAAACTGACTTATTCGCGGGTCACTCGAGACAACTTTCGGTGGTTTGATTGAACGGGGTCGAGCATTGTGAAACATTGGCTATCAAGAGCCAAACATGTGCAGGGAATCTAAGAAAGGTCTTGAATATTCCTGTAGCACGACACATGGCAGGTTAAAGCTTCGTTATTCACTATTCTTCAGTAATAGAGTGGAGGTTTATGAGGATATGAGCTCATGCTTTGTATTTCTTGGGTCTGTAGAGTTAACATGTAAAACATAGTTGAGGATGACAATTAATAGCTTCAATAAAAAGTAATACGAATATCAGTAAAGCTGGTACATAAGATGTCGACAATCAGATCACTCAATAGATGCAGTTGTTAGTTGCTGATTATTGCTGCAGTGATGTCGGAGGGGCTGATGACATATATTTCGACGAGGACAAAACAGCAACAACCACCGCATCCAACCTCACCACCTCATCCTCCATCTCCTCAACCCCCCATCATCCATCGCCACAATGTCGCTGGTCCAGATCTCCTCGAAGGAGCAATTCAGCTCCCTTCTCACCTCCTCCACCATCGTTGTATCAGACTGTGAGTTCCTCGTTCGATTCAAACCCCGCTTCCCTTGTTCCTGGTGACCCCGCTGCGAAGACCCTTGCGATCCCCGACTTTATTCGCGCAGATCTTGACTGACTGATTCTTTTTTGTTTCTTGTAGTCTACGCGGACTGGTGCGGACCATGCAAAGCTATCGCCCCCGTCTACGAACAGCTGGCTAGACAGCTGTCGCGCCCGGGCAGGATCACTTTTACCAAGGTCAACGTGGATCACCAGCAGGATATTGCGAAGACATATGGCGTCACCGCGTAAGACTACGATAATGGGCATATATACAGAAAGAAAGAAAAGCTAACGGATGGACAATAGGATGCCAACCTTTATCGTTTTCGAAAAAGGCCGTCCCACATCGACCGTCCGCGGCGCTGACCCTAAAAAGCTCAACGAAGTCGTCCAGAAACTGGCATCGGAAGCAAGCAAAACAGAACCATCTGGAGGCGAGGCATCCGGGGAGTCCAGCGCAGGGAACTGGATCGGGGCTGCCATCGCCAAGGGATATGGTGACATTACGGACCAGTACGATCCCAAGGGCCTGGAACTGTTGAACCGGGACAGCGAATTCGGCACGGCCAGGACATTGTTCGAGCCATCCAAGCCGTCGGCGTTGAGTAACAATGGCAAGGGCAAGGCGGGAAGCGCAGACTGGGTTGAGAGTGACACCGACGAGCAGTTGATGCTCTTTATTCCCTTCCAGTCCTCGCTCAAGGTGCAGTCGCTACATGTGACTTCTTTGCCTCCCTCGTCCAGCGACGACGACGATGATGAGCTCCCCATGCGACCCAAGACTTTGCACCTTTACACCAACCGCTCCCATGTGCTGGGATTCGACGAGGCAGAGGACATCCCGGCTGTGCAGACGGTGACCATCCAGCCCGAGGACTGGGATTCCAAGACGGGCACAGCCAAGGTTGATCTGCGTTTTGTCAAGTTCCAGAACGTTACGTCGCTGGTTGTGTTCTTTGTGGACGGCGACGGCGACAGTGACAAGTTGCGGGTGGACAGAATTCGCATTCTGGGAGAAGCTGGCGAGAAGAGAGAAATGGGCAAGTTGGAGAAGATTGGTGACGAGCAGGGCGAATAGACAGCTGTACCTTGCAGATAGATATTTGATGAGCACTGATGTGAGTGACTAGAGCAGTAGTTTATTTTATGATTACGACAACACGGACACAGATGACAAAAAAACAAGAATTATATTCATTGAATTATGATTGAGCAAGCATTCTACGTGATAGTCTAAAAAAGCCATATTCTTCACATAAAAAGAGTACAACTCGGGAGTGTTCGGTCCCAAACCAAATGGTCTCATCCTTGGATAAAGATCAGAAAGACCAGTAAAGTACGAACCGATGTGCAATTCCTTCGCTCTGTGACGCAACTGACACCTGATAACACATCATGGAAAATAAAGATGTTCAGGCAACACGGGTGAAAATAATAGTTGCGCCGCCGCACGAAGAAAGAAAAGAAAAAGAAAATCCTAAGATGGCGGCTTGCATCGCGAAGATTTTATAGTGGGATCTTTTCGGAGGGCGGCGAAACTTTTCGGAGGCGCGTTAGGCGAGATGTTAGTGTCGCGGTGTATTATTACGTAATGGAATATGCGAGGGGAAAGAGATTTCTCGCTTGGGTCGCTTCGACTTTTTCCTCTTCTTTTTTCTTTTTTTTCTTTTAACAAACAAAATATTCAAGGCTTATGATGAGTTTGTGATGAAATATATGATAGGAAGAGACTGAGTCTCCTTTTTAGGAGCATGATCTCACTTTTTACCATCCACTGAGGCCTTAATTTTTTCTTACGTTTTGTTTTTCTGATGATCTCTCGCTCCTGTCATACTGTCTATTGGCAGTAGGTCTCATTGCAGGTCTTGATAGTGACTGTTTCAAGGGCTGCAAGTAGACAATGATAGGATGAGAATAATCTTGAAGATTGCCACAGTTTTGGTGTGATGCTGGCGGTTTCGGGTGTGATATTGATCTGTCAATGTTTGCCTCGCACACGACGTCGGAAATGTCAACCCAACAAGGCCGTATGTTTGCTTTTTTGCGTGGGAGATAGTCCCGTGGGTTGACCAGAACTTTCTATCTGGTTTTTTTTATCGTAATGTATTCGCGGATGGATATCCCCGTTCTAGCTGCATTGATTGCATCCCGTATGTAACTATGTATGCGATATTTGAACTCTCGAATAATCTCGAGTCAGATAGAAAGTGGATGCCTGCGCATATCGTTATCAGGGAGGCAATTTGCCAATTTGATATGTCGCAATCGCGCGCCACGGAGAAAGTCATAAATGCAATACTTGATGCTAGTCTTGAGCATCAATTCACGCCTCCACTTCAGGGTACCATCGGAATTCGGAAGACCATACATAATATTATTGCCTCGTGACGGTGCATTCTGCACTGTGCCCATGTCCCAGGTCCCACGAGATCTGTACCAGAGTTGGGAGGCTGGGCAGAGGACCTGAATCTTATCTGGGTTGGAGGAATGGGGAGTCCACATCGCTTCAGCTCCAAAAGGACTCAAGTGGACTCAATTCTCGCCACGCTGCTTCAACACGGCCGCTGGCACGGTGCGAGGTGCAGCTTTGGCACCTCCCGGGAAATGGGCCCCGGGCGTCGATCATGAGGAAAGACACGGTAACAAGGCCCAAAAAGAAGGCAGAAAAGGGTTGGCATCCTGCAGATAATCCATGGCTAAGGCAGGAAGATGGTTGATGACCCACGAGCTCATCGTATCTATTGGAAGGCACAGGTGAGGGAGCGAGCATGCTACTGGACAGGACACGTTTTTGGAGCTGCAGTAGCATGGAGTAGCGCAAATGATAGAGTCAAATCCAAAGCAGATAAAGTTCGCCCGCTAGGTCTATCTGACCCCCAGCTTGGGTGCTGCTGGACCACGGTGGGGTTGGTGCTTTGTATTGGCCATGAGCCATTTGGGACCAAAGATTCGATATCTGCAATCTGCATTTGATGTGTTACTCATGATAGTGCGGTTGCGACATCGGCGTGTATTGTCGTACAGGCTCAGACCGGGGAAAAAGCAAAGAGAGCAGCCACCTGCCGTTCATGGACTGGGAGACCCCATTGTGATGACGTTTGGGAGCCACCATCACCAGAGACAGCGTCACAGCGAGGGAGATAGGTTCGTGGGCTCTTCCAATCAGGGTGGCGGGATTGGTGGCAATCGCACCATAGCGGGTTTGTGTTTAATGAATCGATCCAGAGATTCACAGAGACTGCGAGTCGCGGAGTGAAACATATGATCAATTATATGGAGAAATCGGGTGCATCTCCGCATTTCCCAGATCGATAGTGCTGAGAATCACCGCTGGTTTTAAACTCTCGAACCATTTCGTATTTTGGAGGTTTTGGGGTAGTTATGCTTGGGAGGCAAAAGCGTAAAGAGGTTCATCCCGACATTCCCCCCAAAATCCAGCCATGGACTGTAAGCTTTGGGGGTGGCAACGAGTTTCCAGCAAACCGGGTGACAGAAAGTTCCAACGCTTTGTTTTTTTTGTGCGACGCAATCGAAGTTATCGAACTCAATATAATGCCATTATCCAGAAAAACCTTCTCTGACATGATTCTCTGCAGAAAAGTATTTTAATTTATCCCGCAATCCGTATCGCAGGAGCATTTCCCGCCCAAAGCGGATGAAAAAACAGGTTTTTTGCTTCTGCGCTTGCAAAGGCGAATCCCACGTTCCTCCAAATGATCATCGTGAGAGGGCAAAAAACCACCGAGTTTAGCCTAAGGACGGGCGGGAAAATCGCGTCAGCATTGGAAATACCACGGTGGGAATAGACTCGGAAGCGACAGCCAATGTCGATGATGAACCAGCGCAGGAACAGCTGTTAGTGAGCTAGTTCGGCTGTTAGTTACTGTCGCATCCCAACTGAAGACAGGCGGAGGAGAGACAGGAAGGCCGTCCGCGCACGTGCTGGCCGTCAAGCCTAGGCTGAGACGCGATTCGCTGCAGAATCCAGGAACCCAACTCAATTTGCTTTTGGCTATCCATGGTTCTGAAGAAGCTCTGGCAGCCACGAGGGGACAACTGCCACAAAGGGGAAAAGGGCACGAAGGTAGAGAGCCTTGATGCTGAGATAGCTTGGTGGAAAGCTTTCGAGTGGCATCGGCAGCCGAATCCTGGCCATATCCCGGCCAAGAAATCACGCTTGGCAATGCTATTACTAGCGATCATCAAAAAGCCTCATAGACTTCATAATTCATAAAATGGGTTAACTTAATAAGTCGTATTGTTATTATTATTATTATAATTATTACTCGGACCCCTTTCTCGTGGATTCTTTCATAATTCCAGAACATCATTTAAAATAGTGAAACTAGAGGCCTACTATGTATCACTGCTAAAAGGGTCTGGATGGAGGATAATAATATCCTCAACCCTCATAATATCAAATACTCCTCCACTTGGCTTCAAATAGCCCTGATAGGTCAGTTCTGGACGCGTCGTAGTCTGTTTCAGATTCTGAGCTTCTGTAACTACAACGTCCTGCGGAAACCAAGACCGCAAGACCGGGACTATAGAATCCTCGGACCACGCCTCCACATAGTGGCTGTAACGATCGACTGGATGCTCCCGATACTTGGCAGTCGGTGAATTTCGGTCCAATCAGAAAATGGCTGCCCAAGGCGTATTTGCGTACGGGTCGTCCGTATGAGAAATACGAACGAAGAGCGGACTAGGCGGAGTACCCAGGGCGGATGAGATACATTGGACACGACTCAACTTCTGTTTCTGGAGAAGAGGCAGAAGAATGGATACTAAGCACAGCACTATTTGACCCTGAAGTCTAATCCATCGCTAGGAATTCAGCCATTGGCTCTAGAATCTGGGGGACTGAAGCGTAAGTTTAATAGATTCGTCGTGCATTATTTTCAGTCTTTTATACACGCCTCACACTCTGACTCGATTCACATGATAAGCCACTTATGTACTCCAATGTTCATCCCTACTATCGCGAGATTATTCACCAGTCTAGTGAGAACCTACGCCACCTTCCTTCTTGAGCAGGGAAACGGTCCCCAAGAAAACCCACCCGTAAGGCCGTTGTATGATATGCGGTAGTCGACTTGCACGGGGGGAGGCGAACAACATCTATTTGGAACCGGAACGGCTTCCATGATTCCATCCCCACTGTCACTGCGCATCATACGGTCGAGCTCAAGGTCTCTAGACTCTAGAGTCCTCGGACTCACAGTGGGCTGGCAGGCTGCTCAATTTCCATCAGTTCCGTCTTATGATTGTTAGACATCTGACTCGTAGGCTTTCTTTCTTGCCCGGAGCAACCGGAGCCCATACGTCGACGGAATCCAATTCACCCAACCGAACAGACAAACAAACACCTTGGTCGCCCACAGAGAGAGTTCCCTTGACCACATGAAAAACCTCAAGGTACTCGACTCGATCGGATACAAGCGCCAGCGCCGGCCAAACCGCCGAACCGATTAAACGGGCACCTGCACAACCGTCGAATCCATTCTGATCCAAATACTGCATGCTGATTCGCCGGGAAAACCGCGCTCACCCTTGGCCAGAGTCCAGCCAGAATCGCGCATATTCCAATGGCAAATGCCCAATCGCACGGTCGCTTGTTCTTTATTTCTTTTTCTTCTTTTTTCCCTCGTTAGTCAAGATTGGGGACCTTCCGCGGGTGGCCGTGGACTTGGACTAGGGCTAGGCAGTTACCGCCCGTCCGCCCGGGTGCGCCATCTCCACAACTAACTCCAAGGGCCAAAGCCGTCGGTATCAAACCGATTTTCCAACTGGTACTAATATTATTGCGCCATATACGGGCCAACCAGAATTGCTTGGCACAGATTTCCTTGTTGTTGCTGTTGTCTGGAGACTGGAGTAGAGTGGTACGACTTACGAGTCTCTGGAGTCGGGGACGGGACGAATCAAAGGGTCCGCTATGATCAGACCATATCATCATTTCTCTTATTCACCAGGCTGATAGTAATGTTCTGATTAGTTATCGGCTGGTTGATAAACAGATACTATGTAGTAATAGTATAGTAAACAAAGTAGATAGGATAAGGTTAGGTTCTTGCTTCACTGTTGGCAACTCTAAAATATACTACAGATCACAAAAATCGCACCGATTTCTTTGTCCAACGGTGCAGTAGGCAACCTATGTGGCGGTGACACTTGACAGGGGTTTTCTTCCTCAAGAGGACAACATTCCTTCCAGGATCTCCCCTAGTAAGTAACTACGAGGCGTTTTAATATCGCCTAAACTTCCTGCGGCGTTGTTTAGTGTTGTTTTTTTCCTGCCCAAGTCCTTCTCGAAACCGTCTACAGAGATAGGGAGATTAAAATTAATATCTGCCATTCCCACTAGCATGGACTTGGGCAGACCGGCAGGGGGAGGGGGAAGCATTTCTTTCTCGAAGGTCGATGCCTTCCATGCATATTAAACGAACTCGAGACTAACCCAGAAGGGTAAATATACTGCTTTCTCGGGGGAGGTGGCGGGGGGGTCCTAGCAACGGAGGGTAATATAGCGCCGGTACTGTTATGTAACGCGTAATTATTGAAACGCTTATCATCGAGATTAATTCCAATTTACAGGGAACTAGGCGGACGCTTTGTCCCAGTCGGGTAAGGCGTCTGGCTGCCGAGATGGGTGCTATCTTTAGCGTGGCCAATCGCCTTGTGCGGATGTGCATAACCCTCTCCGTTGGAACTTTAACTGAGAATTTCCCCACCATTTGTCCAGGTACACTTTCCGGTCTGGAAGCTTGCGAATAGTATGGACGAATGATGATGAGTTGGATGATGAATGGGTATGGATTCATGTCCAACACGCCGGTTTGCGTTTCACCATATGTAAGGTGGCATGTACATTATGTAGGTGCGTAAGTTGATGGAAATGCAAATTCCGTTCGGCTGCTTGTCACCGAGTTTAATTGATATGACGTCTCTTGTTGACGGGAATCTCCCTTGCATGGTGGCATATGGCATATGGGTATGGCCTGTCATGTTGGAATGATTTGAGGGTTACCAGAGCTTTGGTCCCCCTCCTCCTCGGTGCTTCAGATGTTGATCATGTCGGTCGTGGCGAAAAATGTCGTGGCCTTGGGGGCTTGGAATAATGGCGTCAGTAAGTCAAGGGATAATCAACGTTGAGACCTGAAACATGATGTACAAACCACAGGATTTGACAAGTACCGTAGATGGAGTCCTGTCTGTCTGCTATAGTAACTACCGAAATATCTGTTGTCACATACTCCCGTCGACTCCATCGAATATGTACATCATCCTGGGGCCAGTTGACTGCATATCCAATTATTGAAACACAGTGCATCATCCAAGACTTGCAGGGGGTACCATCAATCAATGACATACAGGCGATCAAACGCATCCATAGGGCAATTCGGCGTTATGACGATGATTTTTCTGACATCCAAGAAGTATATTTATCGTTGAATTTATTATCTATCAACAAGAAAAATGCATAACAAAGAAGGCTGCATCCGAGATTTGCCATACTTATAAATCAGTCACTAAGCAAGGGCTGTGTGGTGGTACCTCGACGGCTTCTGGCGACGACCGCCCGCATAAATCCCCAGGAATATTAATCCATGCAAGCTTGCTTCAACTCTCCGCATTTGTTCCTGCAGTAGACCGAGTACCTAGGCATATTTGCCATTGAACAGGTCGAATCTAAAATGTGATCGGGAATGCAATTATTCCCAGTTCTCTTTGTTTGACCTCTTGGCCCCCCCCCCCCCCCCCCCAGCACACCTGTCACTTGAATCCTAAAATTGTGAATCAGCGACCTTTTCCCCCCGGTCAGCCTTTCCCCAGAAATGCACCTCGTCGATGATAGTTTTGCCATTAGTGCCAAAACTTGTCTCGTGATAAAGTGCCCAAAAGAATAAAAAAGAAAATAAAAAAAAGACGTTGATTTGGTTCGCATGATGCCTAAAATGATTGCCAGGTTCTCGATTTCCACAGTGTACTGTAGTTTGCCCATATCCCTGCTTTGTATCGAATTAGTGGGACTATCAAGTAGCGACCGTTTTACTATTGATTTTGATCTGAGTGATTTGTTCATGGCTTCTTCTCGAACTTGCCACCGTTGATGATAATATCGAGATGAGCGACTATGGATATTAGGAAAGTACACAGCGACCATAGGGCCAAAGGAAAAAAGCACGGGGAATTGATTGACTGGCCCGTCAAAACCCTCTTCCCTGATTTTCCCACCCAGCCATTCCTTCACTCATGTCGATCGTAGTAAAAGTACCATTCTAAAGGTACACCAAAGCATCATCATTTTGCTAAAGAGCGAAAAAAAGGACACTGGGCAACTTCCCCCAACTGGCGGACGGGATGCACCGGGCCCCGTTCTAGCTTAGCCGGAGAGCCAATCCTTCCCATCACGGGGAAAGTCTATTGGTCTCCAACGCAGCTCACGCTTGCACTTGCAATCGGTTTCGGCTGAATGCGACCCGCTGATAGGCTAGAGGGAAGACGCCAATCAGAATGACCTATCAGGGATGGTGATGTTCTCCCCTCCCACCCCACCCCACCTTCCCATCCGAGTTCCAACAGTGACTGGGACTGCCTTCCCCCACCACCTCACATTCTGACTGGCTCGGCCCTTTTGCTCACCACATCCGTGGGACAATCCGCTGATAAGCTGAACGTGAAAAAAGAAAAAAGGAAAAAAAGAATGGATGGAGGATGCTGATCATGATGCAGGTTCCATATTGGTGATGAGACTAAGTATCGACTTTCACATTCTGCCCAGACACCGCAGGAGCGTTCTGTTACTGATGAGTGGTGGTTTTATACGCGCGTACTTGGGCTGAGACGAGGTCAAAGAAACCACAATGGCAAAAAGAAAACACATCAAATGGACGAGTATCAAAAGTCTCCTCCGTTGCTGTGTCCTCTTTTCGGGAGTCCGCCTCAAGTCCGTGAACTGCAAGTCTGCTAATATTAACTCAATCATCTGGTTTTTCTTTCCTGCGGTATTTACCCATATCATAGAGTCCAGTCCATTCCTCCGCATTTTACCAATACAGACGCCGTACATATGTATGAGGACCAGTTTTAGTCCCATCCACCATTGAATGGGGCTGCAAGCCGCTAATGTTCCCACTCGTGCTCATTTTGGGCCCCACTCACTTTCACCTTTTTGGGTTCCCCGGCCGAAGTGTGGGTCTTTAACTTACCATACAGGATGCGCCGTCTGCCTTTGGACCCAACCAACAGCTGAATGGTGTGCCCTCTTGTCTTGTCTTTTTTTCCCTCCTGATCACTCCATCCAAATTGAGGGAAAATGACCCTAGTAAAGAGGCAAATTGGTTTTCGGTTTAGCTGATGATGAAGATGATGAAGAGTTCCACCTTCCGACTCCGCTTTCCAAAGGACTGAACGCTGGTGATGTGCACTGGTGTTGGGTGGCCACTGGCTACCACTGGGCCAGTCTGGTCTTGAAGAGAATCAAAATTGATGGTAATAAAATACACTCCAAAAATAAAAAATGAAATCAAAAAATAAAAATGAAGAAAAAATTAAAATTAAAATAAAATAAATAAATATTGTTAGAAAAATAAAAAATAAAAAAGACAAATCATGGTCGGTGGTCCATCCATGACACCATACCGTCTAGTATTAATATTACTATTATAATAATAATAAAAATAATAATAATAATAATTAATTTTATTATTATCATAGCGTATCGAAAAAGTACGACCATACAAGCAACAATATTACCTCCATCCTATCATGGCGTAGCACAGGCAGATCAGCAGTCACTCACTTACGCTTCTCTCGTCCTCTTCTTATTCTACTAACTCTTTTATCCACTGCCCATCCGTCTGTAGTCTCTCTCTTTCCCATATCGGCCTTGTCTCTCATTTCCCCGCTGTCTGTCTACGTCTTGGGATCTTTTTTGGTTTTTGGATTTATTTTATCATTATTATTTTTTTGACTATTATTTTTCAATTTTTGGATCCGTCTCGATCTTCTTTCTTTTCTTTTTTCTAAACCTTCCCTTTCCCATCATATTCATTCATTCATTCTTCCCTTTGGTGTCCTTGATCGAGAGCGTTTCCGAATCATATCTCACTCGCATCGAATAGAGGCTCCTGTCCTTCCTTTTATTATTATTATTATTATCACTTCCAGTTCAGCATCATTTGCTATCCGACACATCATCAGACTTGCAACAAAGAACTTCCCAAAGAAGCAAAGTACCTGGTGTTGTTGACTGACCGTTTTGACCGGCAATCACACCATTATCTACCGACACTATTTTCTGAACTATATATACTTATTCGGGGTTTCTCTCTTCCTATCTCTCTCTCTTCTGGAAGCGAACCTCTCTTTTGGGCTATCCATCTCTTGTTGCCCACCACAGTCATTCCTTCAAAATCCATTCACCAAGACAGCATACCATACACATTCATTATTGCTTCCCCCCTCTCCAGCGTCCTCGTTATTTACTCTACACCTAATAATACCTTGTCCTTCCGTTCCCTCGACATCGGTTCGACAAAGCAGACCTGGAGCCTGAAGACACTCGACATATAGTTATAACACACCTAATAATCCAGCTTCGAGCAGAGTAGACCCTCTTTCATCTACTCTCTCGATCTACCTCCCCATCATTTATCCACCTTCTGTGAGTTGCTCTCTCAATCGGTCTGCCCACCGGCAACAACAACTGACTGTTCGCGATAGTTCTAGTCACACCAGCAATGGAAACCACATACACAATGGCACCCACGGTGCAAGGACAACCATCATTTGCATACTATCCCACTGCGGATTCCACAACACAACAAAGACAACCAACCCACTTCACTAGCCATCCATCCGACATGCAACAATTCTATGGACAGATGCCAGCCTACCCTCAACACCAGCAACCACAGCACTGCATGCCCGAGCAGCAACCCATGTACGCTGCCCAGCCCATGCTGAACATGCACCAGATGGCCACTACAAATGCCTTCCGCGGTGCAGTCAACATTGCCTCGCCCCAGCCATCCCACATGAAGCCCACCATCATCGTGCAGCAGGGCTCGCCTGCTCTCATGCCCCTTGACACTCGATTTGTGAGTGCCGACTTCTACGGCTTCCCCTCGACTCCCCCGCTCTCCTCGACCGGAAGCACCATCAGCAGCCCGCCCTCCAGCAGTGGTGCACTCCGAACTCCTGTCAACGACTGCTTTTTCCCGTTCGAGAAGGTTGAGGGTGTGAAGGAGGGATGCGAAAACGATGTCCACGCGGAGATCCTGGCCAACGCCGACTGGGCTAGGGCTGACTCGCCTCCCATGACACCAGGTAAGATACATTGACATGTTTCACCTTAATCGTGAACCACGTGCAAAATGCAGCAAGGGATTGATCAGGAGCTAATTTGACGCGCATAGTGTTCATCCATCCCCCCTCGCTCACCGCCAGCCAAAGCTCGGATCTTCTGTCGGCCAACAGCTCGTGCCCATCCCTTTCCCCTTCTCCTTCCCCTGTCTCTTCTACTTTCCTTGGCTCTCAGGGCTCTCTTGCTGTTGAGCCAGCAAGCCAGCACTTCTGTGACCCCCGCCAGCTCACCGTCGAGTCCTCCGTTGGCGCTGCCACCCCCACTGACCTCCCCCCGTTGCCTACTCTCTCCTGCGAGGAGGAGGAGCCAAAGGTTGTCTTGGGCAGTGCTGCTGTGACTCTTCCCGTCCATGAGAACCCTTCGCCTGCCTACTCTGGTTCTACTGAAGACCCCCTCAGCACTCTGCCCACCTTTGACAGCTTCTCTGACCTCGACTCGGAGGACGAGTTCGTCAACAACCTGGTCGACTTTCACCCCAGTGGAAACACCTACTTCGTGGGCGACAAGCGCCAGCGTGTCGGCACCTACGCTCTCGATGACGACGAGTTCTTGAGCGAGCACAGCCTGGAAGACTCGGACGACCAGGAGGCCGTTCCCCACGGTCTTCCCTTGGAGGCCTCCCACTCCCACTCTCACTGTGCTGACTCCTGCGAGTCCTCGGATGAGATGAGAAGCAAGAAGCGCAGCAACACCCGCAAGTCGCTCAAGCGATCTTGTGAGGACGACTCGGATGCAGGAAAGAAGGCTCAGAGCCCGGCCAACAGCCGTGCCAACAACGCCCAGGCTACCGCTCAGCCCGCGCAGTCGCGCCAGTCTTCTGAGCCCAACTCTGGCTCCGAGTCTACTCCTGCTCCCGTGTCTGTCAACCGCCGTGGTCGCAAGCAGTCTTTGACTGATGACCCTTCCAAGACCTTCGTGTGCACTCTCTGCTCTCGTCGCTTCCGCCGCCAGGAGCACCTCAAGCGTCACTACCGCTCTCTCCACACCCAAGACAAGCCTTTCGAATGCAACGAGTGTGGAAAGAAGTTCTCGCGCAGTGACAACCTCGCTCAGCACGCCCGCACCCACGCTGGTGGATCCATCGTCATGGGCGTCCTGGACCCCAACTCTACCACTCCACCAGCTGGGTTCGAGGATCGCGATCCAAACGGACTGGGCGCTGTGTTGTACGAAGCTGCCAACGCTGCCGCCACCAAGTCGACAAGCGAATCCGATGGCAGTGCCTCGGACAACGTTCCTGTGGACCGACGGGCCGCTAAGAAGCGCAAGCGCGACGAGAACGCCTAAGTGAAAGGCGCTTGAAGCTGAAGCGATGATGATGCTACGTGACCAGGAGCTTCCTATATTTACTTAATACACACTTTTCTTATTCAGCCATCGACAGATTTCACTGAATCTGATTTCGATCTGGCTTGGGTCTTTGCGGTTTGGCGTCCGGGCATTTACACTGGTTGCATCGAAGAGAAGAGAACAAAACTCACTTCAATGGGCCAACAACAACATTAGCGAGGGATCATAGACCGGTTGTCTGGGTTGGGACTTGGAGGCGCACTCGGAGTCCATGGATGGAACAAATCTATTAGAGCACATTATGATGTCTGGTTTTTTGAGGTATAGGTGGTGGCTTGGTTTCTTGTCACATAATTTTTTTTTCCCGAACTCATCCGAGTTCAATCTTCGTGTACCCCTTTTTCACACCTTCTTTCACCTTGTTCATCTTGCATTCTGTGTCTCTATTTGATGTAATACTCCCCATTTTTTTTTTTTTTTTTTTTTTTTTTGGCTCATAATAATCTTGAAAATTTACGGCCCTCAATTATGCCCCCATGAACAAACATTTTTTTTTTTTTTTTTTTTTTTTGCACTTTGCACTTTGCACCTTGCGCACCATCATTATTCCTGTGCTGGCCACATGTGTAATTTAATAACCTCCTCCCAGTCGTTGTTTCATACCCCTGTGCGCATCATTGCGCACCATTTCCTTTTTTCTTTTATCATCTGGATCATTTCTTCATTTGTGTTCAGCGTGTTCAATGGCATAGCTAGTAATAATTTGAAGATTGGTGAAATATCTTTTTTCCATTGTAGAAATCGTAGCTGGTCTTGTAATTTGTAAATTTATTATACATTGAGTAGATGTTGATACTATCATGCTTTGCTTGCACTGAGCTTCGCAGAACCGCCCACCCATGTTGTCTTGGGATATTTGAATGGAACCACCTCGGAACTCGAACCGAGTTCCCTCAACCATCACAGCAACCACCAAGACAAGGTAGATTTACCTTTGATTATCAATTCGAATCAAGAACGATGTCGACTGCTTAATTAACATCCCATTTATCAATCACTTTCACTCGTCATACTACCATCTCCCTGACTCAAGCCAAGTCAACGAGGGGCACAAAAATTTCTCTGCCCCTCAACTAACTATCCACCCAGACCATCCATCCCACCATGTCGTCATCAACAACATGTCCTCCTCCAGCACCGGGACTTAATGTGATTGCGTTAATATCAGGCGGGAAAGACTCGCTTTATTCCATCTTGCACTGCATTCGAAATGGACATAATGTTGTGGCATTAGCGAATTTGTATCCCAACTCAAGCCCCGAGGGCACGGCTGGAGATGATGAAGAGGAAGAAGATATCGATAGTTTCATGTACCAAACTATCGGACACAGTGTGATTCCGTTATATGAATCCGCGCTGGGGATTCCGTTATATCGTGCGCCCATTACAGGGGGCGCGGTGGATACGTCTCGAATCTACCGACAAAATGCGGCGGATCAGATGGCTGAGGCTGGTGATGGTGATGGTGATGGCGATGAAACCGAGTCTCTGATTCCGCTTCTACGACGGATTAAGCGGGAACATCCAGAGGCCAATGCCGTCTCCGCGGGTGCTATCTTGTCTACGTACCAGCGGACGCGGATTGAGAATGTCGCTGGACGCTTGGGTCTTGTGCCGCTGGCTTGGTTGTGGATGTATTCGATTCTGCCTGCGTCTGAGGAGAGAAAGACATCGGGGGCGATGGTCGACGAGGCCGGGTTGTTGGAAGATATGGCTGCGAGTGGGTGTGAGGCGAGGATTATCAAGGTTGCCTCTGGCGGGTTGGATGAGGGGTTTCTGTGGGAGGATGTTTCCGGGGCGGGAGGGGCGGTGCGCAGACGGATGTTGAAGGGGATGAGACGGTTTGCTGGGGAAGAGGAGATTCGGGGTGCGGTTCTTGGAGAGGGAGGGGAGTATGAGAGTTTGGCGTTGGATGGACCGGGGTTTCTGTGGAAGCAGAAGATTGAGATTGGTGATGTGCAGGTTCGGAGGGGGGATGGGGGAGTTGGATACATGAGGTTGAAGGGGGCGAAGTGTGTGCCCAAGACGACTGGGCAGGATGTTACGGCGGAGGCTGTGAGACGGCCGTCGTTGCTGGATGACTCGTTTGCTGGTGCTTTGGAGGGATTGGTGTCTTCTTCGATGGAGGATGAATCTACGCCGGCAACGAGAGTGCAGTCAGAGCAATATGCATGGAAGCATGAACCGAGTCAATCCAAATGCGGGAACACATGGACGATATCCAACATCACTGCCCCCGAGGCTGGTCCTGGGACTGGTGAGCAGATGGAAGAGATTGCGAATAAGACGCAGGCTATCTTGGAATCTTCTGTCTACGAGAGCAATTCTGGTCCCAGATCAACAGACGATATTGTTTTCGCTACAGTGCTGCTTCGTTCGATGACCGACTTCGCATTGATGAATAGCGTCTACGTTTCATTGTTTAAAAAGCCCAATCCCCCGGGGAGAGCCGCAATTGCTTGTGGGGACAGTCTTCCAGACGGAGTGAACATCATGGTTTCATTTGTGGTCGATTTGGGCCCAAGAGATCTACGCCAGGGTCTCCATGTTCAGTCCCGGTCATACTGGGCACCGGCTAATATTGGACCATACTCCCAGGCCATGTCGATTCCGCTTCAAGGAGGTGGAAACATGGTGTATATTGCTGGTCAGATACCCTTAGAGCCAGCATCGATGGAAATAGCCGGAGCAGAGAAGCAGTCTTGGGTTGAGGGTTACGCACTGCGGTCTGTTCTCTCCCTCCAGCACCTGTGGAGGATTGGAACAGCCATGCAGGTTGATTGGTGGTTAGGTGTGGTTGCTTTCATGACGGGACAAGACATCGATACCAAAGCCAGATTGGCATGGCGTCTCTGGGAGAAAATGCACATTCAACCAAAGGATGATGAGGAAGAAGAAGAGTCAGCGCTGGATGCCTGGGATATCAAATGCGGAGGTCGGGGACATGAGCAGTTGCTGAATACTGCTGCTAGTACGTTGCCAAATTTCTCTATCGTGCAGTCTGATCCATCGGTTCCTCCTTTCTTTGCTGTACAAGTCGAGGAATTGCCTCGCGGCAGCGATATTGAATGGCAGGGTCTGGGTTGCCGGTGTGACCAGTTGAAGATGACTCTTGGAGAAATAGACCAGGGATGCAGTACTGAAACCACTGTCAACGATGGGTTGAGGTATACCGGCATCGAAATTGGCATCGAGCAAGCTGGTTCGAATCTGGAGACATGTTTACGGCAAATCTTGGACAAGTATTGTCAGACTCCCACAGCATCCCATGCTGTCGTCTATACAGCACAATCGTTGCCTGGGGATCTCTGGCCTGGCCAGGTTGTTCTCTGCACGTCACTCTGGGGCCAGAAAGGCCGGAAATTGGTGGCGGGCGTTATTGTACAGATGAAATCTCCGGATGGGACGGCCTAGACGGTCTGATGCTACGTTTAACGACAATTTTGAATGTATTATCAGTTTGTGAATCATTTACTGCAATTTGATATCCATACCTATCAGTGCAGGGAATTAAACCCGAGATAGGCTGCTATCTTTGCTTCAATTTGTAGGCCAAGGCTGTCGTGGGAGATCAAAGCGCTGCGTTGGCCACCAACTGACGAGGATTAGAGATAGACACACCTTAAGAACAGCCCAACAGTCCCACTATTCAAAAGGAATCGTTTCAAGGGGCAAATACGTTGGACTTTTCATCGCAGTGGGCGTTAATGCGACGGGCTGACGACGCAAGAGATCATCATCAAAGCATGTGATAAGCGAAAAAACGTTTCCGGCTTTTCAAACGATAATAACAACATCACTGCCACGGACCCTGCCAGTACCACTTCAACAACCACACTGCTTCCTTCCCTTATCCAGCTAATTTAGTGAGTTTTTGGATTTAATATATTGCATATTGCTTTTGCTGACCCGTTTTACCACCCTAGTCTCCCCCTCACACCGTGTCCTCGACATGACGTACTGGTCAACATAAAAGGACCTCCGACCAATAATCTGGGAATGGCGCCATGGCCTCTCCGTTGAGCCAGGAGGAAGAGGGATTGTCGCCAAATAATATTAACACTGCCGACCTTCAGCACCTTCAACGCTTTTCTCGTTCCCCCCATCCGTACCATCGCAAGGGTTCGAAACTCCGCGAGCCGCAGCCGCAATCCGCAGATCACGGCGACCGATCCCAACCTCCCCACTGGTCCAAGACATCCAGCGATAGTGGAACTGAAGCCGATGACGAGAGTACAGGTATTCTGAAAGGCCTTCCGGCTCCTCCTCTACGTCCCCGGAAAGGGTTGCGAGCCGACTGGGGTGGAGTTGAGGACGTTGGCCCGTGGTTTGCGGGGCTGCCGTGGCCATCGCTAGGACGGTCGATATCGCGGAGTCCGCGACGAAGCTCCGGAGAGGGATCGGAGTCTGAGACTATAGAGGCGCGAGAGAAACTGGAACGGAGGAGACGCATTGAAGTGCTGCGGAGGCTGCTCGAGACCGCACTGCTGCTGTCTGTCGGCGGAGTTGTCTTGCGTCAAGCAGATTCTCGCTCTCTGGCCTGGTCTTGGAGAAAAGGTATGTTGGGCGGATGATTAAACTAATCAATCTTGTGGTATGGTCACTAATAGATTTTTTACAGAGCTTTTCGTTTATGGTTCTCTCGTTACTGCGCTTTACGCGGCGTATCCTGTACGGATATCCCGTTTGAGGCATGGCCGTTGGCGTGGTCGGCTTTCAAGACTATTCACCTTTAAGATCCCACTCAGCTTCGACCCAGCTCCTCTCCTATATCCGATATTTATACCAATTTTCGTTTCTTTGTCCTTGTCACGCCACAGCCCTTCTCTAGTACTGCCGAATATTCTCCTCAGTCTTTCAGCTCTACCGACATCAGTTGTTCCCTTACAGGAATGGATCCATGGCCATAGTATATCCCATTGGCTGGTGACATTGGTTCCCATTATTGCTTCGGAGCACTGGTCCTGGGAGAACACACTGCCCAAACCCTTAACACTTCGCGGCCTCGATTCGGAAACTTTGTCTCTTGTTTTTCCTTTGCAGCAAGCATTGATACCCACTCTAGATTTTCTTTTGACTACTAGCATTCTTCCGGCTGAACTGCAGCTCTTGGCGACCGCTTTGATTAATCTGTTTCTTTTCGCGACTTCTCCCCAGGCGGAGATCCTCAAAGCATTATTATGGCTTGGTGGTTTGTGCATCTTCATCTCTTGCCGACAAATCCTTCGCTGGGAAGTGGCCTTGGCTAGGATTCCTAGTTGGAAGTTCCGACGGTCTCCCAGGGACTCACAATCGCCGAAACACCTCCTGAATATGATAGACCACAAGCTCTGTGAAAGGCTAAGCCGTGCGGGTTCTTGCGAGGATCCCATGTCGGACAGTGATGATCCAGACAGCTACCGTGTATTGAAGCCGCGCAAGACGGCGCGTACCTGGCGGGAACCGCAAGTGAAAGCATCGGGCGAACCGGCATCTGCCATCGGAAACATCACTGCCGAAAAAGCCTTTCAACAACATTCTAAAGCCGTCCACCGAAGACGACATACAATCTCAACCTTTGAGGAGGTTGCACGCTCAGATCGGGTCAGGACCACTCCCAGTGGCCGGCGAAAACGTTCAATGGCCCCTGGGCTTGCTTCATTTCTATCGATGACGGTGCCCCAGGCGCAGGTACGCAAATGGCTATATGCCCTATACGTTTATGCTGCGGTGCTGGCGATTATCCTTGGACCCGTTCGGAAATATGTGAGCGAAAGGGCACTACGTGGGGCTGAGCCTTTCGGATGGGCACTAGGCTATCTGCTTGGAAATGTGTCCTGGTTTAGATTCTGGGTCCTCATGTCGAATCTAGACCATTGGATACCGCTTCCCTCTCGCCTGGATACTGAGGGACTTGATGCATCCTGCTTGCTGGGTTGGGTGGAGCGTCTCCGCCAGGGCACCTTTGGTGAAGCCAACACACGTCTCTTGATTAGTGCTTATTGCATTTTGGTGCTCTTGACTGGCATGGGGATTGTTCTTCGGCTGAGTTCTACTACGGAAGTAGACACCCGGCGTAAAGTCTTCCATGGTATGATGGTGTTGATGCTCCTACCGACGATTTTCGTTGACCCGGCCTTTTGCGCACTCGCTCTGGCGCTTGTCCTATCCATCTTCCTTCTGCTGGACCTGTTCCGAGCTTCCCAGTTACCACCAATTTCTCGACCATTAACCTACTTCCTTGCTCCATACGTTGACGGCCGCGATCACCGCGGACCGGTCATCATTTCGCACATTTTTCTCCTGATTGGATGTTCGATCCCTCTTTGGCTTTCCTTGGCCGGTATTCCCCGAGTGGAGGAAATGCCCTGGAGCGGATGGAACATACTCTCACGGGATGTCAGCATGGTCAGCGGCGTAATCTGCGTGGGAATGGGAGACGCAGCAGCGTCATTAATCGGTCGTCGATTCGGACGTCTCAAGTGGTTCTGGGGCGGAGGCAAGTCGCTCGAGGGAAGCGTTGCTTTCGCCGTTGCCGTGTCCAGTGGTTTGCTCTTTGCCCGGGCATGGCTCTTCGTGGGGCAATGGCCGGTGAACGGGACCGATCAAGCTGATTTCTTCTGGCTCTGGACTGTAGTTAAAGCCATGCTTGCTGCAGGAGGAACCAGTGCGACCGAAGCAATTCTTACGGGCTGCAATGACAACGTGGTGGTACCGATTGTGCTCTGGTTATTGGTGAGAGGGCTTGGTGTTTGATCCGATACGTCATAGCATGCATGACCAAGTCAGGCATAAAACCAAGCCTCGAGTATATTTATATGATATGTACAGTATGACAAGACTTTTCTTGTTTCTCTTACTCTTAATTGTTTCTTTTTTTCACTCCTATTTCTATTGAAGATCAAGGTCCGGCGCCATTGGGTTCTTCAAAGTGATGTGAGATGCTGCGATGATTATTGTCTTTTTTTTATTATTATTCGCCACTTAAGGCTGCGATGCGATATCAATAGGATCGATAGTACATAGATACCAAACCGTGATTATTATTTAGGAGTTGAAAGATAGGATGATTATCAGTTGTCAAAGAGGCAGTGTCGTGCGGGGTATTAGGTAGATATCTATGTCTTTGTCTTATCCACTGGTGCCTGGGTATACAGGCTACTAAATACAATCGATAGAAGAACCATGCATGACAGTCGGAATTACTGAGTCATTCTATGTCGCTTATACTGCCATCCAGTCAAAAGTAGGAATTCCACAACATGTTGCATGGGGGATAGATGGATTGGAGGCGATCGCTCTTTAGCGGAAGGGCCAAGGCACAGTCGTACAGTAGTGCATTGTGCAGCTTATCAGTGGATCCTTCCACAAGGTTCTGACGTGAAGTTATTCAGGTTGACATCAGGAGTCAGGGTAGCCTGTTGAACAGAAGAGTAATCAGAGAAAGTATGATGATGAATCTTCATCATGTGTCATTCATGGCTAACAAGGGGATTGAGTCATCGTAGTGTAGAATGAATACTGGCAATACCAAGTATGGTAAGATCAGATGACGCTGCAATCTAATAGATAACAAAGATACGGTATCAGCTGGTATGTATTGAGAGGGAGGATGTATTTTTAGCGATTGTTCCGGCCTCAGGCCATGAGCGATCGCTCTTATCATCCTCACATCTTCAAATCTAGACAATCATCACCATCCTCTTCATCATCGTTTTTATCATCATATTCCATCTCCATCATCATCCCCATCTCCACTATCTGTCTCACTTGTCCCATCCTCATTATCCTTGGTCCGATCATCCCCCAGGTTATCGCCGCCCTTCTGACCGCCTTACCAGTCATCGATCATCGTCAACCACTTGTTATCGCTGGTCACGCCCCCCCAGAAAGACGACATCGTCGAGGTTCCTTGGGTCCAGCTGCTTCCCGCTGTGCCTATCACATCACATCATACTTCTCTTCCATTAGACCAGCTTGATCTTCTAACTCTGGATCTCTCTCACTCTCTCTTTTTTGCCTCCGCCGCCCCCAAAAATCAGCTACTTCCTCCCTTATCAGTTCGTCTCTCCGCAATCTTTCGTTTTCGTCCCGTCATACTGCATACCCTGCATACAACCTCACGCACATCTCGCCTCACCGCTCTAGGACATTGACGCCTGGTGTGTTTTGGACTCGTCCATCCCCCCTCAAGAACTTTTGTTGTCTCCCCCGGTCCGGACTCTGGTTTGCTGCAGCCAGCCCGCCGAATTTCTGAGCTCGTTCCACGGCTCTTCCGTCTTCCAGCTCCTCCCCTTCCCAGGCTTGTCTCCCTACGGTTCCTCTCTCTCTCTCTTGCTCTCCTCGCCCTTCCTGGATTCCCGGCTAGACCTCGTTCTTCTCTGCTCCCCTGATGGGCCTCCACCCTCATCTCTCGTCTTTGTTCCTGCCGCTACTGAGGTAGTTGTGGTTGACGGGGCGTGGGTTGTGAAGCTCCCCAGACACTGAAAGGGTCGTTGATTTTGCCCTACCCCCCCTAATCATGGCATCGTCTCATCATACAAGGAGGTCGAGGGAGACCTCCCATGCCGAGATGCCTGTCGGTCGCTATACAAGGTTGGATGAGATTGGTCGAGGAAGCTTTGCTACAGTCTACCAAGGTGTCCATACGGTGAGTTCCCTCCCATACTTCAGCGACCCCCCTGATGGATGCCCGATAGCTGACAAGCTGGTCCCTGCTAGAAATCACGAACCTATGTGGCCATCAAGTCGGTCAACCTGTCGAAACTCAACAAGAAGTTGAAAGACAATCTCTCTTCTGAGATTCACATTCTCAAGGGCCTATACCATCCTCATATCGTCGCTCTCATCGATTGCCATGAAACAACATCCCATATCCATCTCGTGATGGAGTACTGCGCCCTAGGTGACCTATCCCTCTTCATCAAGCGACGAGATACTCTTGGGGATCATAAGTATACACGGGATATGATTGCCAAGTATCCCAATCCTCGTGGCGGTGCTCTCAATGAGGTTGTTGTCCGCCATTTCCTTAAACAGCTGTCAAGTGCCCTCAAATTCCTTCGAGATCGAAACTTGATCCATCGAGATATCAAACCACAAAATCTACTTCTCTGCCCATCCCCATCGTCTTATCGAAGTGGCGTTGCCCAAGTGGTGCCATTCAAGGGCAGCGACGATTCCTTCAGCCCAGCTACAGGGTTAGAATCGCTACCCATGCTTAAGATTGCGGACTTTGGGTTTGCCCGGTCCCTCCCTGCCACTTCTCTTGCTGAGACACTGTGTGGGTCGCCACTGTATATGGCTCCTGAGATTCTCCGATACGAGAAGTACGATGCCAAAGCAGACCTCTGGTCAGTGGGAACAGTGCTCTATGAGATGGTGGTAGGAAAGCCTCCCTTCCGAGCAACGAACCATGTCGAATTACTGCGGAAGATTGAGAAAGGAGAAGACCGAATCAAGTTTCCTGAAGAGAGTCCGGCATCCGGTGACATCAAGAAACTGATCCGGGCCCTACTCAAGCGAAACCCAGTTGAACGAATGAACTTTGCCGATTTCTTTAATAGCAATGTCATCACAGAAACCATCCCCGGTCTGGTTTCTGACGATGACCCATCGCAACGTCGTCGCTCCTCTACCGATTTGACAACTGCACCACTACGACCCGAGTCCCGAACAGGCCAGTCCATCCCAGCCGAACCAAAGCGGGAGAGGGAAGCTTCCTATTCTGGAAGGCGTGATGAAATAGCCCCTCAGACGGTCCAGCGACCCAATACACCACGCCAGAGGTCAGGGACTCCGCCAACCTCCACGCCCATGCGTAGGCTAGGGAGTGTCGACAGACCTTCATCCGCTGCCAAAGAATTGCCGCGGGTGTCGACTCCCCCACACCGGCCCAGTGCTATATCTCACGCAACCGCCCCCGGACGACAGGAACTTGTGGATCGCAATGCCACTGTCGCTGCTATGGAAAGACAGAGAAGTCGTAAAACCTCATCTGGATCTCCACAAGTCGATAAGGTTGCAGAAACCAGCACGGAAGAGCGGGAACGTGCTGCGCAAGAGGTTGCGTTTGAAAGAGACTATGTCGTAGTCGAGAAGCGTGCCGTTGAAGTCAACGCTTTCGCAGATGAACTGGCACATAGCCCTCGTTTTCAAGGCGGCTTCCCCAGATCCGGTCAAAACGGCTCTGCGCCCCGTCGTACGGCAATGCAAGGCTCACCTACAAACAACACATCGCCGCATGGAACTCCTGCCAAAGCCATGCAAGTAATTTCTGGGAGGTCCCGGGCCGATTCCTCGCATTCTCGCCAGAATTCGTACGAACGTCGATATGGACAAAGCCCTACTTCAGCGACGTCGGCCATTTCGAAGGCACTCAATATGGCTAGTGGACGGTTGTTCGGAGTCGGCTTCTCTCCCCCAATGGCCATTACGAAAGGTGGCCGCTCCCCACCAATGGGTTATAATCCCTTCCCAGCTTATCCCATGGGCCAGGGAGGCCTCATGATTGTCGGGGACGGAGCCAAGACTAATGTGGCGTTGGACGAAGATACCAAGACTGTTCAAGTGATTGAGGAATGTGCTACCCGCAGTGATGTTGTGTACGGGTTTGCTGAGGTCAAGTACAAGCAACTCATTCCGCTGGCGCCTTCAATGCACTCCAATGTGCCTAGTGGCGACTCTGCCGATCCAGCAGATGGTGGGCTAACGGTTGACGCCATTGTGACCCTGTCGGAAGAAGCTTTGGTTTTGTATGTCAAAGCGCTGTCTCTACTAGCGAAGTCGATGGATATCGCGGGTGCATGGTGGTCCCGTAAGAACCGGGGGGAAGTCTTTGGCGATTCGGCAATGGGCAAAAACGATGCTACTAATGCGCTTGTGGGCAATCGGATCAACAACGTCGTGCAATGGGTCCGCAGCCGATTTAACGAGGTGCTCGAAAAGGCGGAATTTGTCCGCCTGAAGTTGATCGAAGGACAGAAGCGATTGCCAGCGGATCATCCTAGCCACCCTAGCAACATTTCAATGGCTTCTGCGGGCTCGACTTCGTCTGCAGACGTGGTGGTAAGCTCTGGTGTGACAGCGGAAAAGCTGATGTATGATCGCGCACTGGAGATGAGCCGTGCGGCAGCCATCAATGAGCTCACGGGCGAAGACCTCCCCGGATGTGAGATTGCATATGTGACTGCCATCCGAATGCTGGAAGCAGTCCTGGAGGACGAGGATCTGCGTCCGGGACAGGGCAGCAATGCCGACAAAGGCGACACTCCACGAGATAACGAAAAAATTGTTCTAGACGGGGTACAAGTGGAGGATCGCCAGGTAGTGGTGAAATGTAAGTCGCTCTCCAATGACTACTTGGATTTTTAATTCTAACATTCTGTCTAGTGGTTTCCAGCATCCGTGGTCGATTAGCAGCCCTTCGCAAGAAGCTTGCTCTAATGACGAAACGTGCCCCAACTCCCTCGGGCAAGCCATCAAATATGGCCCCTGTCGCTCATGCCGTGGGTGCAACGCCGCCCAAATAAACCTATGCTTTTACGTGAATGGGAGGATATACAGTCGGTTCTTTTTTGCGTCTTTCTTTTTTTCTTATTTGACTATTATATTGACTAATGAAGTCCTGTGCGGGCTGTCCATCACGGTGTTCATTTGCTTCTTTTCTTTTCTATTTGCTTTTTTTTTTTTTTTTTTCCTCTTGTCTTCTTCATATATCCAACGGCACTTGGAGAAGGAGTTTCTTTTCTTGAATTATTTTTCCTTCCGATGTTTATTGGCGTTTGATCTGGGCACAAAGGGTATACAGATTGGTACGCGACAATTTTGGAAATGAATCACGAGCGGTGAAGCAATATGGGCGATATGGATTTATGGGAGTCATGGGATAAGAGGATCAGTCAAATATTCAAGCCGGAAATCCAGACCGGTCAGATGAGATGTTTCTGTACATAGACAATTGGACGAAGTTTCTTTTTGACTACATTCTTTTTTTTTTTTTTTTTTTTTGATACGGAGTACACCGTCTCTGCCCGAGTGGCGGCAGTCTGTCAGGATCTGGCTGATGATAAGATCGGCCACCCAAATAACGTTATTTTCTCGGTCCGCCGCCTAGAAGAAGGAAAAAGGAAGAAAAAGTCCTCCGGAGGCAAACGAATTGCGTGATCGGTTTCTGTGTGTCATAACGCAACTCGTGTGCTGCTCTGTTTCGGTGCGGTGGAGATCCCAAGCGTTTCCAAATGCGTCGTTTTCTGGTTTCTGGTTCCGCCGAGGCCAAAAATTTCCTCGCCGTCGACGATGGCGCCATCGCACGGCAAATAATATCTGCTGTGAGACTGTCGACCACATGGCGATGACTCGAGAGAGCTGAGGTCTTTCTTTCGTTTCTTCTGGCTTCATTTGATCTTCCTTCTCTTTTCTTATTCTGTCTAGCATCGTTGTTTCGGTTTGCCGAGTGGAATCAGTGGAGTGCGCGATCTTGACGGCCATAGTCCTTCTAGCTCCGTTCGATACATCTCCGAGCTTTTTTTTTTTCTGTGCCTGTCCAGTCGATATTATTTTACCTAAAGGACAGCTCTTTGCCTCAGTTCCTTCTGTTCATTTCGAGCCCTGAGCTCAATTTAACTTCTGCCTTTGGGGTAGCATTCAGGTATTTACTTGCTCCGTCTGACATTGCATCAAATTTAGTCCCAGCACATCATCATCCTATTCATTTAATCCGCCCCGTTGCTAACCGGGTTAGCTAGTCGTTATTACCTCAGTCTGTCGATACATATAAACGGTCGGATTCCCTTTTTTTTTTCTGGGGAAGCTCTACACAAAGACTCCCCAGACTATTCCCCCAACAGATCACCATGGGTGAACCGACAACGGCTTCGGCCTTAGGCCTTCAAAAGAGCATCACGGTCGATACAAAGCCTGTCGGCGATGGCCCTAAGAGAGCGGATGGCGTGTCCGGATTATGTATGTATATCAGATTGGGAAGCTGGTCAAAATCGATTGTCCGTTATCAAAGCACTTGAACTAATGCGCCTTGTGCTATAGACGAGGGAAATGTCTTCGAAGCTACACCCGACGATCGTCGCCAGATCGGCGTGATTAGTGCTTCGTTCTTGATCTTCAACCGTGTTATTGGAACGGGTATTTTCGCTACACCGAGTACAATCCTTTCTTTGTCTGGAAGTGTTGGTCTATCGTTGATCATGTGGGTCGCGGGAACTTTGATCGCAATGGCTGGTACTGCAGTTTATCTGGAATGGGGTACTGCTATTCCAAAGTATGTGTTGTATGAAAAAAAGAGTAGGAAGCTTGTTGACTAACGGTTCTTAGGAACGGTGGCGAGAAGAACTACCTCGAATATGTCTACAAGAAACCCAGGTTCCTAGTCACCGCCATGTATGCGGCCTATACCGTTTTGCTCGGCTGGGCAGCTAGCAACAGTGTCGTTTTTGGCGAATATATTCTGAATGCTGCCGATATCGAAGTCGGTCGATGGAACCAGCGTGGAATTGGGTTGGCTTGTATCACCGCCGCCTTCCTCATCCATTCCTTTGCTGTGAAATGGGGTCTTCGTCTGCAGAACTTGCTCGGTATCGTCAAATTGGTCGTCATCGTGTTCGTCGTCGTTACCGGATGGGTGGCATTGGCTGGCCATATGAAGATCGAACCGCCGCATAACTTTCGCAACGCCTTTGAAGGAACCACCGACAGTGGATACGGTATCGTTATGGCGTTGTACAACGTCATCTGGTCATTCATTGGTTACTCGAATGCCAACTATGTATGTTATGACTGGATATATTGGGTGCTTTTTTGGTATTCGAAACTAACTCGACATTAGGCTCTGAGTGAGACCAAGAACCCTGTCCGCACGTTGAAGATTGCAGCCCCGCTAGCAATTGGGTCCGTTGGAATCCTCTACATGCTTTGCAACATTGCCTACTTTGCTGCGGTCCCCAGAGAGCAGTTCCTCTCCTCGGGCCAGACTGTCGCGGCTACTTTCTTTGGAAATATGTTTGGTGCACGAGCAGAAAAGGTCATGTCGGTCTTTGTGGCCTTGTCAGCCTTTGGAAATGTCTTGTCTGTGATCTTCTCGCAAGGTCGAAGTATGTCTACCATATCGCTAGGATAAGCCTCAGAAACTAACAATTTGTGCAGTTGTCCAAGAACTCGGTCGTGAAGGTGTTCTGCCTTGGTCTAAGATTTGGGCTAGCAACCGGCCATTCAACTCGCCGGCTGCAGGATTGTTTGAGCACTGGGTTGTCTCAATCATCATCATGCTTGCCCCACCACCGGGTGATGCTTACAACTTTTTGGTCAAGTAAGTTTTTGCCATTGTCTAGTCTGCCTTGGACATGAAACTAACAGAACAAACAGCCTCATTAGTTACCCACTCTCTATTGTCAACGCCTTCGTGTCCGGCGGTCTCATCTACATTTATCTTACCCACGAGAAAAACTTTCCCAACTGGGCGCCCGGAATTCGCGCAACGCTTCCCGTCACCATCTTCTTCTTCCTATCGAACGTGTATCTCGTCGTTGCACCGTATGTGCCGCCGTCCGCAGGCCAGAGCGTGTACAAAGAGCTGCCTTACTACCTGCACTGTGTGGTGGCTATTGGCATCTTTGCGTTCGGCGCATTATACTACCTCGTGTGGGCGGTACTGCTGCCGCGGTTCGGCAATTACATGTTGGTCAAAGAGACCGTGGTCGATGCGGATGGCTGGTCCAGAAGCGTCTTTACCAAGCTGCCATTGGCATCATTGGGAGCAAAAGGGTCAACCGCGTCATAGCGAACGAGTACCCATGGGTGTTTTAAGATGAAGATGATGAACGATTCAACATCACGACATAATCATAATGTGTATAGCATAGCATAGCATATAGCATAGCATCTAGACGGAGTTGAGGGATTGGCTAATTTCAACATTTTTTATTTAATTATTTTAGTCACTAGTTTATATTTTAATTTGCTTCATTAACAAATAACAGCCATAGAGCAGGAGTTGTTTGTTTATTTGCATGTCCCAGCCATCTATGGAAGCCCATCCACAATAATAATACGTCAAACGTAGTCATGGACCCCTCAAACTGGCTGGTGAACGGTCTTGCAAGAACTGCCAACGAGGACAGATCGACAGTCATCTACCATAGAAAACCCTAGAGCTGTGGCATATGCTGTATGGATTAAACTTGCGTGAATGATGAAGAAGAAAGAAAGGAGGAAAGAAGAGAAGAAAAAGTCAACCAGCGGGACATCATGTGACCTGACAGACCCTTAGTCCGGGTTAGGCAGGCTGTGTATTAAAGCCTTGATGCCTGATACACAAGTACCGTATGCTTCTGTACACTATTACCTACCGCCTACCACTTACAGTCATCCGCCTTATTTTTCTGCAATCGATTGTTCTTCTGCTTCTGCTTCTGCTTGTGCTTCTGCTATTGTTCTATCCGTGGTTCTTCGTGTCTTCGTGTCGTTGCATTGCATAGTCGTTTTCTTTGTTCTTGTCATCATTATTATTAGTCCATTTCTAATCACCCCCTCTTTTTCTTTTTTTCCCCTTGTCCCTCTTTTTGGTGGTGTTAATGCGTCGATTCCCTTCCGCCCGGCTACCGCTGGTTCGCAGCGCAGCAAGGCCACCGCTCTCTAGGAGTCCCCTCTTCTCTCTCGCTCGATCGTCTTCTTCCTGCCCCTCATCTTCCTCTTCCCCCGCTTCTACTACGACTTCATCCTCCCGTCCTCTGAATCGACTCCCCCCTCGCCGCTCTCCCCTTTCCCAGACCTCCAAGCGTTACTGCTCCTACCGCAGGATGTGCAGCTCTCGCCGCGCCGATGTGCCCTCGGGCTCGACCAATATTGCCCATGGCCGTGAGGTCTTGCCCACCAACGTCAAGCCGGTGCATTATGACTTGACGCTCGAACCGAACTTCGAGACCTTCAAGTATGACGGAACCGTCGTTATTGAGTATGTTCTCTCTTCCACTTGTCCACTGCTCTCGGAACCAAAGCTCATTGTTTTCAAAGCCTCCAGGTCAGCGAGGACACCACTTCCATCTCCCTCAACTCTAACGAAATCGATATCCACAATGCCACTGTCTCTGCCCAAGGCTCCGTTGTCAACTCTAACCCCGAGATCTCCCACGACAAAGATTCCCAGGTGGCTACCATCAAGTTCCCAGAGACCATCCCCGCGGGATCCTCGGCCCAGTTGAAGTTGGGCTTCACTGGTATTCTCAATGACAATATGGCCGGTTTCTACCGTTCGTCTTACAAGGAGGCCAACGGTGAGACCAAGTACATCGCTTCCACCCAGATGGAACCCACCGATGCCCGCAGAGCTTTCCCTTGCTTCGACGAGCCTGCCCTCAAGGCCGAGTTCACTATCACCTTGGTTGCTGACAAGAGCATGACCTGTTTGAGTAACATGGACGTCGCTTCCGAGACCGAAGTTCAGAACGGTCTCAAGAAGGCCGTCAAGTTCAGCAAGTCGCCCCTCATGTCCACCTACCTGGTCGCTTTCATTGTCGGTCACCTGAACTACATTGAGACTACCAATTTCCGTGTTCCCATCCGTGTTTATGCCACTCCCGACCAGGATATTGAGCATGGCCGCTTCTCCTTGGATCTGGCTGCCCGTACCTTGGCATTTTACGAAAAGGCCTTCGACAACGAATTCCCCTTGCCCAAGATGGACATGGTTGCTGTGCCTGATTTCAGTGCCGGTGCTATGGAGAACTGGGGTCTGATCACATACCGTATTGTCGATGTGCTGTTGGATGAGAAGACCAGCGGTGCTTCGCGAAAGGAACGTATTGCTGAGACTGTCCAGCACGAACTGGCCCACCAGTGGTTTGGTAACCTTGTTACCATGGACTTCTGGGATGGTTTGTGGCTCAACGAGGGCTTTGCTACATGGATGTCGTGGTACTCTTGCAACAGCTTCTACCCCGAGTGGAAGGTCTGGCAGACCTATGTCATCGACAACCTGCAGGGTGCTCTCTCTCTTGACTCGCTTCGCAGCAGTCACCCCATTGAGGTGCCTGTCAAGCGTGCCGACGAGATCAACCAGATCTTTGACGCAATCTCTTACTCTAAGGGTTCGTCTGTGCTCCGCATGATTTCCAAGTACTTGGGCGAGGATGTCTTCCTCCAGGGTGTCAAGAACTACATCAAGAAACATGCTTATGGCAACACCCAAACGGGTGACCTGTGGTCCGCTCTGGCGGATGCTAGTGGAAAGCCTGTGCAGCAAGTCATGGATATCTGGACAAAGAATGTCGGATTCCCCGTGGTATCTGTCTCAGAGAACCCCGAGGCCTCGTCTATCAAACTGAAGCAAAACCGTTTCTTGCGTACGGGCGATGTCCGCCCAGAGGAGGACCAAACCCTGTACCCTATCATGCTGGGTTTGCGTACCAAAGAGGGTATTGACGAGGATACTATGTTGACCGAGCGTGAGAGCGAGTTCAAGGTGCCTGACCTTGACTTTTTCAAGCTTAACGCCGACCACTCCGCCATCTACCGCGCCTGTTACACCCCCGAGCGTCTCACAAAGCTGGGTGAAGCTGCCAAGAAGGGATTGCTTACCGTCGAGGACCGTGCAGGTATGATCGCAGATGCTGGAGCTTTGGCTGCTTCGGGCTACCAGAGCACTTCCGGCCTGCTGTCGCTTCTCAAGGGCTTCGACGATGAGTCTGAGTTCATCGTGTGGAATGAGATTTTGACCCGTGTCGGTACTCTTCGCGCCGCCTGGTTGTTCGAGGACAACCAAACCCGGGACGCTCTCAAGGCGTTCCAGCGCTCTCTGGTCAGCTCCAAGGCGCATGAGCTCGGATGGGAGTTCTCCGAAAATGATGGCCACATCTTGCAGCAGTTCAAGGCCCTCATGTTCGGCAGTGCCGGTATGGCTGAAGACCCAGTTGTCGTCAAGGCCGCTCAGGACATGTTCCAGCGCTTTGCTGCTGGTGACGTGAGTGCCATCCACCCCAACATCCGTGGCAGTGTCTTCTCCATCGTCCTGAAGCACGGCGGTGAGAAGGAGTGGAACGTCGTCTACGACCGATTCCGCAACGCACCCACTTCAGACGAGAAGACCACCGCTCTCCGCTGCTTGGGTGCTACTGAGGACCCGGCCTTGATCCAGCGTACCCTGGCATTGGCAACCAACGACGAGGTCAAGAATCAGGATATCTACATGCCCCTTGGTGGTTTGCGCAGCAGCGCTGTTGGTATTAACGCCAGATGGGAGTGGATGAAGAGCAACTGGGATGCCCTTTACAAGCGTCTTCCTCCTGGACTTGGTATGCTGGGCACAGTTGTGCAGCTCACCACTGCCAGCTTCTGCACTGAGGAGCAGCTCAAGGATGTTCAGCAGTTCTTCGAGGACAAGGACACCAAGGTAAGTCATTTACAGTATATTCCGTTTCATTTCCGAATGCTGATCCAATCTCTCTTAGGGCTTCGACCGTGCTGTTGAGCAGAGTCTCGATGCCATTCGCGCTAAGGTCCAGTGGGTCAAGCGTGACCGCGATGATGTCGTCGGCTGGGTTAAGTCTTCTGGATTCCTTCGCGATGGCAAGTTGTAAATTTGGGTAGACTAGAGATATCTTTAACATTTCCGATAACGTAAAATAAATAATTTGAGAGCCTTCGTGGTTCTAGTGGTGAGATGATTGGCATAGCCAAGTTGTGTATAATAGATTGAAAACATATTTATGACCCTCAATATCATTCTTCTGTTTTGTAATGCAGTTACGGCCGGCCCCTATAATAAAAAGACATGATGGCAATTCAATCAATCAACGCCAGATCGCTCAAGACAAAGTAGTCAAATAGAAGGGATATTCAGAGGCCCCAATCTTCCCTCTAAAATCTTCAAAGGTATGATCATAATTCTCTCTTTTAGATAATAATTCTTTCCAATGCATTCTGTGCAGCTGATGATAGGCAAGGGAAAAGTAGTAAATCTGTATATTAATCTTAATCCTAAGAACTAACTTACCACCCACCCTTACCCCCAAACCCGGAACTTTCTTCAACGGGCTTCTTCGAATAACCGCGGTTGGGTTTGGATTGGGCAGCTTCATGCTTACGCAGTTCTTCGGGAACACGAGAGAGGGGCGATTTGATGAGCATTTGCTTGAGATCATACCTGCAGATTGATTGTTAGTACGGTTTGGTGGGGGGTAAAAGGGGAAGAAGAACATACATGACGTCCGTGTCTTCACTGCCCAAGAATGTGATGGACACACCGCTCTTACCGGCACGACCGGTACGACCGATACGGTGAGTGTAGCTCTCGATAGAGGAGGCCATGTTGAAGTTGATGACCAGACTGACGTCGGGAACATCGATACCTCTTCCTGCCAGGTCAGTGGCAACGAGGACGTTTGTCGCACCGTTCCGCACGGAGGCCAGGGCGGCCTCACGCTGTTCCTGGGTCTTGCTTCCGTGCAAGGTGACCGAGGAGAAGCCCATTTGTTTGATCTCTCGTGCAATGGCATCACAGTTGCGCTTGATGTTGACGAAGACGATAATCGGGGGTCGGAATTCGCCAGAGGACAAAATATCTCCGAGACGCTTCTTGCGCTTGTCTTCACCCGCGACGAACTCGACACGCTGCTCGATGGTGTCGACGGCCTCGCCGGCGCTGCCGATCGTCACAATCGCTGGTCGTCGTAGATACTTCCGGGCTATACGTTCCACGGCCGTCGGCATGGTGGCCGTGTACATCATTGTTTGACGGTATCGGTCTTTGCCGCCGATATGCTGACTCATGACAAGGGAGTTCTCTGCCTCCTCGCTGTCTGGTTTCTCGTTGGACACGGGCAGGGCATCTAGAATCTTATTGACTGGCTCTTCGAATCCAAGGTCGATCATACGATCGGCTTCATCCATAATCACATAACAACATTGACTGAGGACGAGCATCCGACGTTCAATACAATCAACTAGACGACCGGGGGTGGCAATGATGATTTCCGCACCATCCCGCAGACTGTAGGCTTGTTCTTCCAATGAATGACCACCGACAATACTGACGACGTTGAATCCAAGGGGTGTTGTGAACTTCTTGGCTTCGATCTCGATTTGCTGCGCCAATTCACGAGTCGGTGCCAGGACAATAGCGTAAGGCCCATCGTTTTTCCTCCATTCAAATTCATCGATCCGAGGAAGCTCTGAGATGTAAACCAGGAGGGGAAGTAGGAATGCTGCCGTCTTACCCGAACCAGTGACGGCGACACCGATGAGATCCCGAGACTGCATAGCAATCGGGATGGCAGCACGCTGAATAGCGGACGGTTCCTTGTAGCCGACCCGGTCAATGAGTTCCATTAGGCGACTAGGGAGATGAGACTCATCCCACGACCGCATGGGATTCGGTACACTTCCACCTTTGGTACTGATGTTGAAATCTTCCTTGAAGATACGCCAATCTCTCTCCCGCATGTGCTCCAATTTCTTCTCGCTCCAGTGCTTGTCGAGCTGGGTGCGGGTACTCTCCTCTCTCCGTCTCCGCTCCATTTCCAGAATCTCTTTGGCTCGGATGCTACCCGCTTCATGATCACGATCCTCCAGAGCGGTGGCATACTTCTTTGCTACCTCGTCGGCGACATCGTCACCGAAGCCCGCAAGACGACCACGACCGAAGAAATTTGCTTCGTGTCGATGCTGGTAGAGCGGATTGTAGTCACCACTAGTATCCTCTTCCGCATTCCACTCAAAGTTGAATTTCCGGTCCGTCGTCCGCTTTCGCTTCTTTTTCGCTGAGAAATTCGATGTTTGATCGGCTCCCATGTATCTTTGCTTGATCAAGGCAGCTTGTGCCGCTGCCTCTTCTTCCTCATTTGCTACGCGCTTCTCACCCTTCGAATCCTTGGGACCAAACGAAATCGATTTCGGTGGGGGGGGCGGCGACATATCGTTGTTTTTGTTCGGCTTGGTGTTTCGCATGGCTGCTGGCGCAGATGGAGCCTCTGTATTTCGCATCGCTCGAGGGGCAGTCGGGATGAACCCTTTATCACCATTGCGACCCTCCGATGAAGCAGAAGTAGATGGTGTCCCATTACGATCTGCGCCATTGGAAGTTTTTGCTCGTCGGTCTGCTTCTACCTCCTTCGCACGTTTTTCCAAAGCGATTCTCTCACGTTCTGCCTTTGACAAGAACTTCGGCTATAAGGTGAAGAAAATATATGTTAGAAAAGCTCTATTTTCAAGGTACCGCCGCCACAAATCCATGATTGAAATTAATAAAATTGGGGGGTTACCTTTGAAGCTGCTGCATCGGCCTCTCTCTTCTTCCGTACAAGTTCTTCAACACTCAACGGTGTAGCGGCTGGACGCTTCGAACCCCATCCCTTCTTCTTCTTCGTCTCCGGTGGTGGAGCAGGAGGCGCGTCTTCAGGTGGAGGAGGCGGCGCAGATAGGTCTGGGGGCGGCGGAGGAGCGGCGGAATCTTCAGGTGGAGGCGGAGGGGGTGTTGGAGGACGTTCGGAAGGCTCTGGGGGAGGAGCAGGAGCTGGCACCTCTGCAGGGCCGTTTGTTATGATGCCGTCCATCATTTTTGGTCCAGATAGTGGCCAAAAGGATGGAATTGTAAGATCACCGACAGGCAAGCAGAGCGCCGCTTCATCGCGAATTTCTACGGGTGACCAAAAGAGTCAGATACGCAGTCACGTGCCTCCATATAGATATTACATCATAGGCCATTGCGAGATAAAAATTACGATTTAGAAAATATTACAGTATAATCATGATGAATTGCATTGGCACTAGACTACTAGTCACTAAAGTACAATGGAAACAGTATCCAAATTCATAGAGTCCACCCAATCAGTTTGCATGATATCATTTGAAGAGCAGCCTGAACAATGTAGAGAAGCTGCTCAGTAGATGACTTCTCTTCTGCCTCAACGCGCCAGAATCGCTAACGAAGTCGCAAAAATTAGAAAGAAAATAACACTAAGGGAAAAAACCATTGTTCTACACACGGACAAACCACCCAGTGAGAAAAACAAAAAGGAAAAAATGAATCATCCATTTCATTAGGAGTGGATGGTTTGGGAAAAGTGCTGCTGAGGTTCCCGGCCAGCCAACCCCATGCTGAGTTCTGACGAAAATTATGCGCTCACACCACCATTGACTGGGACCTGTTGGTAGTAAGCATACGCATTGGCTTGCGCTTCTGCGGCGACAGGATCCACAGCAGGTACAGCAGGAACAGCAGGACCAGCAGGACCAGCAGGTATAGCGGGTGTTGCCTGGTTGCCATTCTCAGGGGCGTGCTCTGCCTTGGTGGAAGACACAGAAGCAGGGCCATGAACTTCACGGTCGAGAGTCATGTATTCCTTGGCTGCGTCCTTGGTCCCTCGCTCCAGCAAGTAGACCATGTACATCTGCACAAGCTCCCTGACAACATCTGCCGAAAGGACGCTCTTGGACCGGATGTCATCAACAACTTGTTTAATGCGCTCGTACTGGGCAGATTCAGTCGCAGCGCTGGTAGGCTGTTCCAGCTCAAACACTACATAGCTTGTCCAGAATGCTCGGCTGTCTAGGTAGTATTGTTGGTTTTTCTGGAAAACTTGTCTAGCCTCTTCGGGGGATCCCTTGATCTTCCACAAAAGCCGAGCCCATTCGGCAACGAGTGCAGCTTTGGTGGCCAAGTCGCACTCGGGTGAATCCAGCTGGCTCTTGTACACCTCGATTGCTGCTTCGAGGCCGCCATGGCGACGTGACAGATTCGCTAACGATACGATTGTTTCAACGTGGTTAGGAATGTTGACGAGGATGGCACCGTGAATGTCCTTTGCCACATCTATCCGGCCAGACATCTCTTCGAAATAGGCATACTGAAGGCGGGTAGCTGGGTTCGCGATTGGGACATAGAAACAGCTTGCGCGCTGGTAGATGTTGCGAACTTCTTCTTCCTTACCAGGCTGGGCAGCCATCCACCTGGCATAGCGCTGCCAAAATTCATCGTAGTGAGCGCATGTCACGAGGCATCGCTCGTACAAAAATTGGGTTCGGGGATAAGATCCTTCGGATTCCTCGAAGTCGAGATATTTCTTCCAGTTCAACAGCTGACCTTCGTCCAATTCGGTCACATGGAAGTATGGACGCTTAATTTCTGACTCGTAGGTCCAGCGTTTTGTTGTCTCCGTCTGCGTCTTGGCGAAGATTTCAAGGTGGTAGGTATCGACACGTAGTCTGAGATCCCTTTCGACTTCGGCCTCGACTTTCGCGCCCGGGGGTACATGTGAGGAAGCCGCTTCTAGCTCAGTTCGGAATTGAGCCAAAATTTCTGGAGGAGCCAGCTCTGACAATGGCCGTGTTTGTGCGATCTGGCGATAGCGTTCAAAGTACCGAGCATACTGGTGCATGGGGACATGGATGACGCGACCGAGAACAGCAAAAATCTTGTCAAAAGCTTCACAGCGTTCCTCGAACTCGATGTACTTGTCCCAGAACGGGTGCGCCAGGAAGTCTAGCCCGACGCTGCTTGCTCCTCGCTCAAAAAGCCTGCGCAAAGCAATGTTAGCACCATACAAAATGAAACCGCCAACCAGGCAGAAGGGGGGTGGGACAGAGAGAGAGTGACTGGATGAGGTGGGTGAAATAGCAAGGATGGCAAACATGAGCATTAAAATCTTCAGTGCGTGTGAGCCCAAACAACTGAATGACTAAGGTGATCAAAGTGTGCAAAAAGTTTCTTTCTTTGCATCGAGCGCAGAATAGGAGCAGAATCCGAACAGAGTCATTGGTAGTGCTACCCATGCAAGGGAAGTGGTGCTTTTTTTGGATCAAGGAAACAGCCTGAAGAAGCCATGGGTGAGAAGTAAATTCCAGTGGAATCTGGGTAAGGTGACGATCTCACCCATCATCGAGGGAACTGCTGTCAATGACTCTTCACATCATGTGTACTCGGCACCACAATAGCGTCCGCGCTGTGTTGGTAACTGTTACAGGGGAGAAACCAGTTCTAGTCTACTTACTCTCTGATAATGTCGGCATCATGCGAGGTCTCTGCCTTGAAAGTGCAGTAGTTGGTCCATAGGTCGACTGAAGGGGAAATACTGGCGATACCTCGTTCGTAGACCTGGATGGAAAGCCATTAGCAATGACCGTTGGCGCAAAAGGGTACAAGACGTACCATGTCCGCTGCTTCGGTGCCAGTGATCGAGAATTCCAGATCGGCGTACTTCTTCCAGTATCCGAAAAGCAACGGGAACTTGGCCAGAAATCGGTCGTAAACATTTCTCGCGGTGGTGATGGCTTGAGGATTCGAGTTGCGGTTGATTCCCCCCTCGAGCGCTTCTCCGGCACGAACCAGCTTCTCCCAAGTTTCGAAGTTATCGGGGTCATCGGCCTGGATCACAATAATTGAAGAGTTAGATGGGTTTTCTAAATAACGTAGCTATCACTGTCAGTCGAAAAGGGCATCGTACCAGCTCAATCTCGAGCTTTCTCAGCTCCGCGTTCTCCTCCTCAGAACCTCCATAGTTGTAATCCGCCATGATGGCCCGTGAAATCTCAAGGTACAATCAGCGCTCAGATACTTGCAGCGAGAAAGATAATGATGAAAGCTCCTGGGTCTCAAACGGAAGATAAGAAAAAAGCGACAGACAAGGACGACACCGCAAGACGGTAAAGGGTATCAGGAGGGAAGAGACCAGCCACAAGAAGGTTTCCTTTTTTTGCCGAGCCTCATCCCAACGCGGCTTAGCGCCGAGTCTGCAATCAATTTCTCGGCCTTCAAACTTGGAGCAAGCATCTCCACGCCAACTTGAACAACAACACCTTTCTATCTACATCGGGTTTTTTACTGTCTCCATTGGGACGGACCTTCATCATGGCCTCTCCGGTGACCCAACTCCCCAAACGCCTACGCGACTTTTTCGTTCGCTATCCTCCGCAAATCTATTCCGCGGCCGTTGCACCTCGCCCAACACCCCCCGAAACAACAGAAGCTGCTCAAGAAGCTGCGGAAAAGACACTGCCCTCTCCATATACCCCCGACAGAGACGCCAAGGGCCATCCTCGACCAGACCCTAAGGCTTTCTCCTTTTCCAAATCCCTCCTCTACAGTGATCCGAAGAACCCCAACCCATTCCTGCCTCGCAAGAACTTCGGCCAGAAGATTTGGTATAGTCCCACAATTGGGCTGAGAAGACAAGCTGAGCTGGTCAAGCTGGCTATCAAATATGACGTTGAGGCGATGCTTCCGCCGGGACGCAAGTCGACCGAGTTCAAGGAAGCCAAACGGGCCGAGCGCGGATTGCAAATCAAGGGCACTGGTATTGGACAGAAGGTCAAGGGTCACAAGTGGGAACGTACGATGGAAGCTCGCCTGGAGGACAGACGCAAGGCGATGATGGAGATGCCGGAGATGATCCGGTTGTGGAAGCAGGTGAGGAAATCCATCCCCGATATCTACATTCCCACGTTTAATTGGACTAACGTTTTCGTTAAAATTACAGAGAGGTCACGGTCGTGGCTGGAAGAAGTGGCCCAGAAGGTAAAGGGGCATTTCGGATTCGTTTCTTCTATTTTCCTATCGCATGGAAGCTCTTTAATGTGGTGCCTTTGTTACCGGTCCGGGCACACTCGGTGGAAGCTTTTTATATGAATCATTGTAGGGTTTTGGAATGGGAGTTTTCTTTTTGTTCTCATATGTATTGTACAAATAGATAAAAGCGCTATTGGAAGTTTCCAAAGCATGTCATACTACAACATCAGATGAAATACGGGTCAAGCAATTCAGCATCTCATCTTTTACTTGGCTTAATATTCTACCCCATGTACCGTCTCTATTTTCTTGGCTAAGCTTTTTTTGTCTGTTGATGAGGCGAGTCTTTTTGCATAGGTGTATTCAAGAATCTCGTGTGCCTTGTATAAAGGATCCTATGACTACACAACCATGCAGTGACAGGTCTCCGGACGCAATACAACACTCGCATAAAGACGATATTCACTTTATATCCCCAGCTTTGTACATTCACAGTAAGTCCAAAATCCAACTCAAAGAGAGCAACTACAAAATTACGTGTTCGAAAGGATATTCATACTACTTAATTGGGCAAAGCGATTTGAGCTGATGATTGAGTATCTTACTACCTAGTCATCCAATAGCAAACACACGAGATTTATTGGTTCTGGCTAGGGATATCATTTTCGTTATCCCATATCCTCCAGCACTATCATGTCAACACTATCCTTGAAAAAGCATGTGAATTTAAGAAATGCAGCGGAGAAATAGCCCTTGTTTATATACTCAAAACAGAAATGGTATCTTATCAAAAGATGCAACCCAAAAGCACATTGTGAAATGATATATACTAGACATTTATTTGTCCAACAGAGAATATGCAGAATATTATCAAAATAATCACCCACCCACCAAAATGCGAGTTTAACATATATAGAAATCACATCATGCATAAGATTATTCGTTACCATAAGATGGGACAACCGCGTCACCGACCATAACTGTCCTGCCCTCTGGAGATTCATACTTATCCTTTTCGAATTCCACTGCAGAAAGAGCAGTGTGTCTACCAAACAAAATCTTGCCGCCGATCTTCCGGGTCTTGGCCAGTGTCGATAAAGGCTCGTCTCGGCGAACACCAGAATACTGGTTAATGCAAACCATTTGGCATCGTTGGCAGGATCCCATGATGTCGAATTGTAACCGGCCAGGGCCGACGCTGAGTGATGTCCATTCATCTTCGACATATGGCTGTTCGGAAATTATAAGGTGTGACACGTTCTCTGCAACTACTATGTTGCCCCGGAAAACGTCTGCAGCGACGGCCTTGCTAGCACCTTGGCCGCTTTTGCTGTTGGCTTTGATAGCCTCGTTTAACCTATTCACGGACGAGCGAGAGACGAGTAGAATCGGACTTTCGTTAGATAAGAGAAGCGGGCTTGGTTGTGGCGTCGATGGCAATTGGTCTTCGGGGAAAGACCCTGGCATAACAACCCTTTTGAAAAGCTGTCTCCAATTGCCAGAAAAGCGACTAGAACGGGATGTTCGAGTAGAAGATTGTGGTGAAAATCGGGCAAGAGTACACGGTACTCCAAGAAAGTTGGAAAAGAAAGAAGACACATCGGGTGATGAATATACCTGCACAGTCACCCGGTCCCCACAAACGATTGATCTTTTCGATGAACTCTGGCACAACGATGTCGATACCATGTTTGTATCCCCACTGGAAAGTGAAATCTCCAAGCTCTTCTCATCAGATGAAGGATTGGTTCCACGGGTAATCCGTAGAACGCCACGCTCAAGGTCGATAAACGGGTGTATGAGAGCCATGCGAGGGTATTTCTTTTGGCTGAGAGCTTCGCCCGTGCCTTGGTGAATGAGACACCATTCTCGATCCCAGGCCAGTCCTTCCCTCTTGACCTCCCAGCGTACACCATCAGGAACTTTAAAGGCGCCACAGCTCTTGATGGGATAGACGGACAAACTCTCGATGTAGAACCCTGGCTTTCGTGAAGAGGTCACTACAGGCGGCATTGACCCACGGATGTTGATTGCCTTTTCCATGTAGAATTCCTCAACGAAATCGACGAAAGTATCGATATCTTTCATATTGGTCATGGCACCAACACTAACTCTCAAAACCCCAGTCGGACGCCCGTCCATCACATCATGGTCATCTCCACACCGGAGACCTGAGGAATAGTGACGACGTAGTTCACTTCCTGTCCAACCAAGGCTTGACGCCGTACCGCCAGGATTGCAAAGAGATCCAGATCTGATCTGGATGCCTTTCACAGCGGAAAGCTTCTCCGCTTCAGACTTGCCAATCCATTCTCCTTTGCTATTGCGTATATTGAACGCAACAATTCCGCCTTGCGTAGATGGGTCCTCGTAAATTGATCCGGGAGCTTTGTACATCTGGCAGACCTTCATGTTATTGAAATGGGTCAATGAAGCTAGTCTATCGTGTACTCGCTTTGCCAGAAAGCGCGTATGAGATGAGATATTCACCATCGACCCATACAGACGTTCGTGCGTCCTGAAGGCGGAGTCCAGCGCAATAATGTTATGGAATGGGAGAGTCCCATCTTCCAATTTTTCGTGAATCGAGGTTTCCTTCCTTGCATACCACGGCGTGTCCAGAGTTAGAACCATATCCACAGTTCCTCCCCCAAAATACCGCCGTTGTGAAAAGACGTGCCCGGCGCCTTTGCGGACTATCAATGCACCAAGATCCGGAAATCCAAAGATCTTGTAAAAGCTGAGGGCCGTAAAGTCAGGAGCGGCTGACGCATCGCTCAAGTCTAAAGGTGAGGTCGAGACTAGAGATGCAGCGTCGAGGAGAGTCAAGACAGTCCCTTCAGCACCAGCCTTGGAGCGCCGTATCTGTTCACACCAACGAAGTGGCAACCGACGACCATTCATGTTCGACTGTCCCGGGAATGCAAAAAGCCGAGGACCATTCGTCTCAGCTGTGTCCAATTCCGAAATCCATGTCTCAACCTCCTCATCGCTCAAAAAACACTTGTTTCCCTTTTCTGCAAGCTCGCGCACTCCAACAACACTTGTATGAGAATCGATATGGTATCCATACCAGATACCCTGGTCCTGCAGAGTATCCGCTACCAACTTGATCGCGGCCGTTGCATTCGCCACGAAGACCAGATCGAATTCTTCTGGATCAGCGTTGAAGAAGCGCAGAGCCCGCAGGCGAACATCATCGACACGTTGCGTGGAGAGTTGTGACGACGAGGACATCGAATGAGGGTTACCAAATAGGTTCGATGTGAGGTCGTTGGAGAAGGACTCGATCAGCGACTTAGCATACAATGTGGTACCCGCATGGTCCAAGTATGTGGTGTCTACAGTACAATAAAAGCAAATTAGCAAAATGTATCCCCATATCTGAGCACAGTGACAATTGTATTATCCCACCTTTGAGCAACGGGTATTCCCGAGCTCGAATGATGTCCACATCCTCCGAGTATCCCCGGCAATACTCGACCCGGGGGTTGTTATTATTCTCTTGTGCCGTATCCATAGTCGACAGCAGCGAGAAGCATTAAAAGAAGTAATCCCTGTTGATTACTATTGTGTCGTTGATGGGATAGCAGGAAGCGGTGTGTAGGAAGAATGCAAGTGGCAAAGGGACAAGGTACCCGACTACCCCTCACGCACACGCAGACAATAGATGCAATGTAGGAGTATCAACGAACGGCAAATATGCAGCCTGAATGATAATAAAAGGTGGTCAGCGCCATAATATTTGATTCCAGGTAATGATTTAATAGCGAAAGCGTTACGAAATAAGGCCACCGGCAGATAAGAAGACCTATCGGAGCTTACCGATGATGAGGAGAGCTTCTGAGACTCAGCAGAATACCTCGGATGTGTGGCAGAAAAGAAAAGAAAGGCCGTGACTGGTAGAGCAGCCATGGCTGTTAAATAACGCAGTCTGTCTCTGTGGACTGAGATGGTATCCTGTAGCTTGTGAATGTGTGATGATGAAAATGTCTAGAGGCATGCTCCCTCGCCTGATCGACCGATCCGCACCATCGCTTATCGCTCGAAATGCGGGGCGAGGCGGAAACCACCGAGTGGGCACCAAAGGCGATCACCACCAGTGGAAGACGAGCATAAATATCAATACGAGAATTCTACCGTCTGTGTGGGTTTGAGTTACACGGCTAGGATATAGAATACAGGAGAAGGACTAGCATGTGAATGTGAGAGGAAAAAATGCCGGAAAATACCCAGGTAGACAGCTGTCAACGTTGCATACAGGGTGCCGAAGGTTTGGCTTTGCTTTTTTTCACCTGCCAGCTAAAGACGAACTATAGGAATTGGCGATCCATCGCTCGATCCACTAAACCGCACAGATTGGAAGAAACGAAAAGCATTTCGAAGTACAGAAATCTCATTTGCCCGTACGGAGTCGAGAGATGGAGTCAGATCTGCAAAATTTGTCATTAGGCTATTTAGATACATGGCATAACTACACAAAACCAGAAACGAACATCCACAGATGAGGGGAAATGTCTCAAACAAAGAGCCGGGCTTGGAGGCTAATAAAGAAGATAGCAACCATTTGTGATTCATCTTGCATAAGAACCTCGCCTGGACGACAAAAAAGCGCTGAAGGATTCTCAACAGTGGGACTAGAACCGGCCTTCACATGAGCAAACACGGGCTGACTCTGCGATATGTAGCCCAGAAACCAGGTCTACTGGGAGCTGATGTCCACACTCGCCATTCTTATGGCTTCCGTCAATCCGGCGTACATGACTAGTTCGTGCTCTCAAGCCTCGCTTGGTGATCCTGGAATGTTAGACCGAGAACGACGAGTCGGGAAAGAATCCGTTTCTTCCGTTTTCCTGTTGTCCTTTTCCTTTTCCTCTTTCTTACTTGATAACGCCTCGTCAAGATCGTCCTTTCCAATCTTCATTACTTCATATCATCCCAATCATTAATCTTAAATCGTACCCATCCAGAACAAAGGAAAAAATAGCCGAGGATTAAACCACGTAATGGGGCCGTCGGCTCGAGGAACTGCGGTGACGATTCGAATGACCACGTCGACTGCTGTGGCTCCTCCTTCGGACCTTGGTCTCCCTAACGACAACCTTGGACTCTCGCTGATACATAAAGATCGCCCAGAAGGCCGTCCAGGAGAAGAACAGCGTCTCCATGATTCCAAACGCAAAGCAGGTCTTCAGCATCGCACAGCTCTTGTTGATATCCAGGGCCAATGGGTTGCCGGTTCTTTCGCCGTAGAGCCCAAACGGTCCGAGAGAAACGTACACAGCTCCTCCCTCCCAATGCAAGCAGTTGGCGTTGGCGATGAAACGGAGCTCGTAGACGCCCGCGATGAAAGCGCCGCAGAAGAGGAGATCCACGAATGCGACGAAGATGGCGGAGCGCTTGGTAGTCCCATGTCGGATCAGGGTATCGATCGCCCAGAAGACTGCGAGAACGCTAACAATGAACAGGACCAGGATGTATGGTGGCGTGAGTTGGTTTGCTTTGAGATAACCATTGACGAAATAGGACTGTTTGCTACGTCAGACATGATCATATGTGGTGATCGACAACGGGAATGTAAGTACGCACCATCATGCCAATGATGGGTATCAAAAAGACAATCTCCACCAGGCGGTTGAAAATGAAGAACAAGCTTGGAATCATCTTGCTGGTTGTATGCGATCCGATCCAATGAAATCAGGTAACCAAATGCTCAGGAACGTAGGGAGAATGGGGTTAACAGCCGTTTACGACTACAAATTCATCCCGTGGAATGCCGATATAGTCGCAAAGTACGTGCAGAGATCCTCTCTGCAACTTGAAGTCAAGTTTGACGATATCCAAGTACTGCGGGAGCACTGCGTCACACAGGGACAGACGCACGAGGGACTCGGATTTAAAAACAGACAAAATCGACCAGATGCAGATGTCAAGCTGAAAGAGAAGATGAAAGAAGAGAGAAAAGAAGGGAAAAACACGAGCGACGATTATGCGGGTTTGGGCGCTTCATCCTTGAGTCAAGAGGGGAGGCTGGGCGACACAAAAATAAGCGGGGTGGCTGGGCAACCACAGCGGCTTCACTACACACACCGCACGTGTCTTTAGACGTCAGGTTTCCCAACGGCCTGAAATTTCTCCAATCATCGTGAGAATATTGTTTTCGCGATGATGATGGTTGTCTCATGTTGATGGCCAGGATCTTCAATTCTCCAGATCGCCCACTGGCCCAAGCGCCCTGCCACGCGATTTTAGAGCCATGGTTCGCGATTAGGTTATCGACCATCTGGATAGCCAGGACCCTGGTAGTTACACAGTATAATATTGATAGAAGAATAGAAACAACCACTGTACTTGATTCCAGACGCCAGTTATTTATACAAGACTCCCCCAGATCCATGCAGATTAACCAAACTACACAAGACAGGCGAGAAAATAAAACCAGATACAGACAGAGGTAGACAACCGGCTAGATATCACAAACAGCCGTTTCCACCCAACATGCGATCGTTAATCATGGCACTGTCGTGTCCAAACCCAAACAGCACTCTCTAACATCAAGTAAATAAAAAATAATATCATAACATCCTAATTCTCATCGAATTAGACCCAGCCTATTCGTGGATAGGCGTATCAGTCAATGTCCGCCCCCGCGCAGGATGCGGAGTCACTGCCTCCGGCGGCGTATTGAGAGCAGTAACGCCCGGCAGAGTCTGATGCGTCCGAGATGGGTACGAAGTGTCCGATTCATATCTCGGAAGCTGACCACCACTCAAGGCCGGGTTCTGAGTCTGAGAGTACCCATGCATCTCGTACCCGTTCGCAACATCCTCGCTCGAAGACGACCAGTTATCATCCTCGGGCCGGCTGAACGGGTTCGAGACGTACGGGTTCCCTCCGACGTATGCACTTCGAGAAGAGCGATTTCTCAGAATCCCGCTCGGTTCAGCAAGATCGGAGGCAGCCATCTGCTCTTCCTCGTGGTTTCGGAGAGGCGCCATGCTATCGTTTTGGGGTACCATGTGGACGGCTTCGGCCGGGGCGACTGATTCTGAACCCCATGTTCGGATTGGATGGGCGCGTCCTTTCTTCCAGGGTTCGCTGAGAGAGGGGAAGTACTGGCGGTATGAGACCCAGCCGCAGGCGATTCCAAGGAGCGAACCGGTGATGACGTCAAAGGGGTGGTGTCTTGCGTCCATGATCCGAGAAACTGCGATAAGAGTCGCTGCAAGAATGGGAGCCATGACTATTATCGTTTTCCAGGCTTCACCGCGGTTGTCCATGATATGCAGCTTTCCAGATAGCCATAGAGATAGGTAGAACAGTCCAGCAAAAGAAGCTAAACAAAAAACACACACATGTTAGTAAAACGAAACAACCCACTCGCCATTCAGAAGGAAATCTCACAGCTACTATGCCCCGATGGCCACGACCGAAACCCATCCGTAAGAAGCGACTTATCCCCCTCACAAATATCATAAGTCGCCAACGTCAAAGCCGTCGGATCCTGCGAAATCCTCGGCTTACACCGATCAATAATATCCGGTCTCGGCTTCCCACACGCATTCTTCAACGCCTGCGTAATCACAAAAGCCAGACATTGCGAGAGCAAAAGGCCCAGAAAGCCACAATTGAACTCCCACAATCGGTCCTTCCACCGGTACGGGCCCATGATCTTCCTTTTACCCGATACGGGGTCTTGCGGTTTCTTGTGTGAAAATAATCCGTCGATGAAGAGCGTATACACGGCGATCAGTACTAATGGGAAAGCGCCGGAGATGCAGACGGCCAAGACCATTGGCACTCGTTCGTGAACGGCATAGGGGTATTTGAGGGAGATGTTTGATAGCGAGAAGGGCTGATGGTATGGTTCGATGGTATTGAGGATGCTGAAACCAATGATAAAGGCACTGTATAGCAGTTGGAGGGAGCTGTTAGCGATGTCGCCGAAGAGAGAGATTGAAAACAGGCATTGATCGTTGTGTGATTGCCCAGTCTGGGAATAGACAAAACTAACATGATAATAACATAGTCCAAGATATATCTGCACAAGAAGAAAAATAGTAAAGTCAGCAACCAGCTCAAACACCCATCCCAGTCCCAGTCCCAGCACTCACGAAATGACAATGCGCGGCCTAAGGCGCCGCTTAGAGAAGGGCAATTTCTGGGGAATGCGATCCATGGTCAACGCAAAAGATCACCCCAAATCAACAACAGAGACCGCAAGAAAAGACAAAATAGCAAAGAAAAAACCTTGAAAAGTGCAACAACATCTCGGTCAGTTTCAGAAAGAAGAATGAGGTCGCGTTGACGAACTTTGGCTTGTTGCACGTGCCCTGGTGGTTTCGAAAGGCCCAAGACCCTCCTGTAAAAGGGTCCTAGCTGCGTTGCAGTGATCCGTGGGTCCCGCACGGCAGAAGGGGGTACGTAAGGTGTAGTCAGTCAGTTTAGCAGGGAGAATTAATTTCCCCGCAGCGAGACCCAAGGCAATAATCCTGGAGCAGTGGCTGAATCAAAAAAAAAAAAGGACTGGGGTGCGTAAGAAGAAGCAATGCAAACAAAAAATATCCGGATAATATTATGAAAATAGAAGGAAATAAAATAGAAAGATGGGGAAATAACCGGTATAAGACCAGTAAGCCCTAAGCCTTAAGTCCATCACTGCCTAATTGCTGCTGTGCCGCGCGTGTGGCGTGGACGCTTGGCCGCCAAATGGCAGCGCCCGGGAATGACACAGGGACAGGGCCTAGAAACGCCCAGAGTGGATGTAGGGTCTGTGTACTTACACTCTACAGATCTACTGTTTGAGATGGATGCTATTTACTGGTAACTAGTTTTGGTGATCAAACTCGCTTCATCTGGAAGACTTGTCTATTCTTATTCTTATTCAGAAGATCTTCTCTTCTTACTGTGTGCTGGAATCCGTCAGTGGCTTAGGCTGACTGTGTACTTTTTTTTTTCTTATTCCGTGGCTGCAGGTCGCTTATGTCGATCCCTAGGCAGCACCTTTTTTCTGTTGCATACTCTGTGGACAGGATTAAGATTGAAATGATTTTATTCAAAGAGATCTTTTGAAAACTAAAGGAAAGGATGGTATAGTAAAAGTACAGAATGTACAAAGCAATTTTGAAAAATGAAACTCGAATTCCCCCAAGAAGAAATAGCAAACCCAACAAAGAATTCTCCTAAAGGTCTCTGTGCCCGTCACAAAATAGAAGGAAATTCATAATTACTGTCATTACAGTGTCATCAAAATCAGAAGGATGCTCCTGAAAACATCACACTAGATCTGTCACCCGTGTGATCAACGTTGGACTGCTATGCAGTCTGCTAATTTAGCAGACGGTGATGTAGAGACCGAGACTGTGAAATTCGTTAGCCAACCATTCTTTATATGTCTGGATAGATAAATACTTACGGAGAGGGGTTGTAGTCTTCGAAGAAGTCGAGGTAGGTGCTACCGGCGTTCTTCATCTCATAGGCGACAGCTTGACCAGCGGGGCACTCGAAAGTGGCGATGGTGTAGGAGTTGCCGGGCGAGAGAGTCTTGACACCGTAGTCCTCCTTGACGGCGGGGGTGTTCTGGTAGTTGGTCTTGATGGAGACAGAGGAGTCGAGCTGAGAGAAGTCAACCTTGCCATCGCCGCTGAAGGTGAAAGACGAGGTCTCGAGGTCCTCCTTCTTAGGGAAGAGGAAGACGAGGCTGCAAGTCTTGCCAGCGTCCTTGGAGGGGATGTCGAAGTTGTAGAGGGTCGACTCGGTGGTAGAGATGGTACCGTTGAACGAGCTGCCGTAGGCCTTGTCGGGCGACTCGGAGTTAACGGGGATGATCAAGTGAGGAGCCTCGTACTCGCCGTCGAGGTTCGCAGGGCAGCTACCAGAGGGGGTGGCAGATGGCTGAGAGCCAGTGGAGGTTCCAGAGGCAGGGACGCTCTCAGAGGGGCTCGAGGGAGTCTCCGAGGGCTGCGATCCAGTGACAGTCTGAGAGGACTGAGCGGGAACACTCTCGGAAGGAGATCCGGGAACAGTCTCAGAAGGCTGGGCGGGGACGCTCTCAGAAGGCTGAGCAGGAACACTCTCGGTAGGCTGGGCGGGAACGCTTTCAGAGGGAGATCCGGGGGATCCGGGGACGGAAGTCTGAGGACCGGGGATCACACCAGTAGACTCGCTCTCAGGGCAGAAAGTAGTGGTGAGAGTAGTGTGGATGGTGGTGAAGCCCTCACCACCGCCAGGGACAACTGGGGCGGTAGTGCCAGGAACAGGGGGCACGGATTCAGAGCCACCGCCGGGAGCAGTAGAAGAGCCAGCAGCAGGAGGCACGGGGACGCTCGACTCAGAGCCACCGCCAGGGACAGTGGGAACTGGGGTGGGAGGAGAGCCGCCACCGGGGACACTAGATCCGCCAGCGGGAGGACCAGCGGGAGCAGTAGAAGAGCCACCAACAGGGGGGACGGGAACGCTCGACTCAGAGCCACCACCGGGGACAGTGGGCACAGGAGTCGGAGGAGAGCCGCCACCGGGGACACTAGATCCGCCAGCGGGAGGCGAGCCAGCGGGAGGACCAGCAGGAACAGTAGACGAGCCACCAGCGGGAGGCACAGGAACGCTCGACTCAGAACCACCACCAGGGACAGTCGGCACAGGAGTGGGAGGAGAGCCACCGCCAGGAACACTAGATCCGCCAGCGGGAGGAGAGCCAGCAGGAGCAGTAGAGGCGGAAGGAGGAGCGGAGCTGGAGCCCTCGCCAGATCCAGAGCCCTGGCCAGAGCAAGAGTCGGCGCTCAGTGTGATATCCGTGCAACCAGTGACCAGCGATCGGTCAGGGTTGATGTAAAGGTTCATTCCACCATTCAGACCAGTCTGGCAAGCGACGAACTTGGTGTTGCCCTTGTATTCGATCTGGCCCTCGGAGCCGACGGAGAAGCCGTTGGCAGGGGAAGAACCCTCATCGCACTGCCACTGAGTAGTGTCGGCTAGATGGGTGTCAGTGAGATAGATCCATAGCAGCGGGGAGGAAGATACTAACGGGTGATAATGCAACCACGGCCGTGGCCATCGGTGACACCACCTTGGGAGTCGATGCAGAAATCAGCTGGGGAAAGGTTGCCGTAGACACGGCTCTGGCCATCAGAAAGCTGGCCAATGGTACCAGAAGCACCACCAGCGGCAGTCATGTGGAAGCAGCAGCTGTTGCCTCTGCTAACCAGGGCATTGGTCCCAGCAGCGAAAGCTGCGAGGGTGACAAAGGTCTTCATCTTCAAAGAGGTAACGATGGAAATAAACACAGAACAGTAGATCGAAAAGCGAATGGATTGATTGGCTGTGTTGAAAGATATAAAACGACTGTGTTTTGATGTCGACTTGAGTTGTTGATTTAGAATGATGATGGCAGTCAATGGGAACAATATTTAATATTTATAAACGGGGGTGGATACATCCAGGAACGTCAATCGTCATGGATGGGAGTGTGTGTGCCGGGTCCAGCAGGCTGAAGTAAGCCCCCAATCGACTCAGCATCCAACCCCCATTCCTGCTGCACTCCACATGAGGGTCGAAAAAAACAAAATAGAATTAAAAAAAATAGAAACGAGGCGTGGCCGGTTACAACGCATATGCGGATAGAGTTGACCATGGAAGGGGACCAAGAGGGTGGACCATTGAAGCCCTGAGCATGAATTGTCCGAAGAAGACCGGGGCCTGGAAGCATCGGAATCGGTGAACCCAAGACGTCATGCAAGTAAAAATCATTTCCTGTGGTGGAGAGACACATCGAGAAAAGAAGCAATAGATTGGGCTCTAGCAGGCCAATGGAGGATCCACTGGACGAAGAATCTGGATTTCTCATGGGTGGAGAGGCAGCAAAGGCAGCGCTGAATGGCCACCAGAGAAAATAAAAGATGGAGCCGGACAAGACAACAGGTGGAGCAGCAGGAAAAAGGCGTTGTTGGGATCGGCCATAAGCCCTGGCCGGTTGCCCAGTTCAGTACTAATCTCGATTACTGTTGTTTGCTGCTGCTGGTGGCAACGTCAGATGGAGGCCATCCACGGAACCCGATCCAGACCGACCAGGCACACTGCGAAGAGAGCGAGGCATCCATGGATCCTGATGCTATTCATATTTTCTCGCTGTGTCTATTTCTTTTGCCGTATCTTCCGGTCAGATGGAACTGCAGAGAACAGTCAATGGAGTTGGAACCTCGTAACCAGTATTCCGTATCTATCCTTGATCAAGTATTATTCTGTACACCGTATACAGAATTGTTATCTCTGTATCTCCCTACTGAGTACCTGCATCACCTCGCAGCATGCCTTGGACGTCACCACTGGAACGGGATTTAAGCTCCCACCGCCACCTTTTCCCCGATCTCACAAGCAACTCGCATTTTCATGCTTAATATTAGCTGATGCGGGGGAGGATACAATTGCAGGGATATAAATGCATACTCAGCCAACATGGAAGTAGGCAGACAGAAGGATCATGGCTGTTCGTATGTATAATGTAAGACGTTACGACGCAATGAGGCAGAGCCTGAGGCGCAGTGGGAAAGAACGGGGAAGCAGAGCGAGCGAGCCCAAGAAAAAAGTACCCCGCTGGTTGGTGGAGCATGACGAAATGTACAGCCAACGGCACTGCTTGTTATTTTTGATCGGTCTCTCTCTCGATTACTTCGAAGTATTAGCATTATTACTCTTCCCTATTTCAAATACATAATCTATTGCTCATGATCTTCTCTTCAGGTAGGTGGTTGTGTCGATCGAGTCCGCCACGTCACAAATCCTTGTGCATCGATCGCTGGCTTAGTCGGACAACTCGCGATCTGTCTCTTGTGAGAACAAAAAAGAAAAGAAAAGATAAAAAAGGGAAAAAGGGACAAGGCACATACCCACATCCACATGTCTGCGCTGGTACGGAATAATGTTCAATTTCCGGTTGCTCAAGATTCAGTCGTAAATAGCACAACATAAAGTACTGGCCAAAGTGCACATGGAATACTTACGAGATTCATCACCTCAGCACCGGGATATATATCAGGCAATCATGATTCCATCCCGTCCGGGTCACGTAACAATTCACCTGCCATGCATCCGACATACGTACTCCATCTTCTAATTCTCCATTCTGCTAACTGCAAAGTTGGACATCCTCGACCTCCAATTTTGGACGAAAAAGTTGCTCAGATGCAAGTCCCACTTTTTTCTTCCTCTTTTTCCCTGGTTCCGGTTGTTGCAGACCACTTTGAGAGTAAGGTATCTGTGCGACATACGAATCAAATCACTTTTCCCATTTGTACAGTAATCAGGAACCAAAAACCCCTCGTTCCTTTTTTTTAATTGCAATTGTATCAAATGTATCCAGCTTATCCATTTGATTCTAAACCTTCATCCGTGCTAGACATCGCCATTGGGTGTTTACTTATTGGCTTAGACGATGTCAATTTTCAGCCTTTCAACCACCATCTTCAGTCTGTTGATCCCCTCATCAACAACCCCCCATCGGGAAATTGCTCGACAAGTCTGGATCCCTGTAACATAGTCAATGCATCCTGTAGCCAGATATCTTGGTTGCGGGTCTCTTGCGTCCATCGTAGTCATAGTTACATAGTACCCAGATAGGCAGACAACTCCCACTGTCCAAGCGTACAGAACAATCCCTGCCTATAGGCGGTGCAAGATACTCTGCCTTACTACCGTCCAGAAGAGGTAAAAAAAGAAAAGGATCATGGCAATAGGACCAGCCACTTCCAGAAGTTCACCACGGACATCGACTGTCTTGGAAGAAATGCATGTTTTTGAGTTGTTGAGGCTTGTTGCGTGAACCTGTCACTTTTCACCTTCCCATCCGGTCTGCTCTCTCCTCTCTCCTCTCTGTCTCTCGTTCAATGCCGTCGGTGGCTTGCTTTTCTCCTCCGACTGGTTTTGTCTCACTTTTCTTTTCCCACTCTTTCTTCGTGCCCAACTTGGCGGCATCATCCGGGTGGAATGGGAATCTCATGCACGTCATCAGAGTTTTATTTCTTGGTTTCTGCTCATCAGGTGATGGTAGTGTTTGCGGGCATTGAAATTAATAGACACAAGGTTGATCTTGCGAGGGGTTGAATTTGGATGCTTTGCTTGGTCTCGTAGAACACATGATGCTTGCTTGATATCCTTGCTGAGAAATGCTTGGGTTGCTGTTGTACTACAGTATGTCGACTGTCGACCTTGTAGCGGTATGGAGCGGAATGGCAAATATATATAACCGAGAAAGGCAAGTGAAAAACAACAACAGTTCCAAACATCACGCTCAAATAGTAATTCTAAACTGGTACATACTAAAGAGAATGAGAAAATACATGGTGACTAGATTATTCTTGACAATCGATAAAGAACTGCAGTAATGTACAATATCTCAGAGGCTACTTCACAACTTGCCTCCAGTAATCTGCTCTCCAAGCTTCTTGACTCTGCCCTGGATAAGATCCCACCGAGCCGCCTCACTCTTCCTGTGCTCGCTGGAAATCGACATCACAGTTGGTGGAACACCAAGGTTCCAAATGTTCTCACCCTGCTGGTGGTCGTTGCGCCATGCCTCGTTCTCTCCCTCGGGGAACACTCGGTCGATCTCGGCAGCCAGCTGAGCTTCGTTGGTGATGAAGCTCCGGGCGTTGATGTAAAGCGATTGTATGGCGTCTTGTTGGTCCAACTCCTTCTGAGCCTTCTTGGCTTCGACGCGAGCCTGAGACAGGGCAAGGCGCTCCTCTCTGTTAGGGTCCGGCAACACCGGGGTGTGCTTCGGGAGCATCGCCTGAACGATCGATGAACGGGTCAATCGTTCATCTTCTCTCTCGGGCTGCGAGAGAACACGGTCACGTCTCCTCTGCTTCTCCGAGCTCCGGTATGTCATCGATCGGTCTGTCCGCTGTTTCCGGCTGTGCAATTCCAGGAGACCCTCTCGGAGGTTTTGTCGTCTCATCTCTGACATCTGACGCTTCCACTCATTGTATCCGGCGTGGGGATCTTGCGGGTCGACTTTGATTTCTTTCGAGGGAGGAGTGGTGGCAGCAGCAATGTATTCCTCCGTTGGTTTGTCCGCTCGGCGAGCTGGGAAAATCTCTCGGGGGACGGGCAATGTACCCTTAACGCGAGGCTTCGAAGGAAGTTCGGGCTGGATAGTTCGCGGGACATCGACGAAATTGGGAGACTCTGGTCCAACTCGAAGAGAGGAGGACGAGGCGAAGCCACGGGCTTGCACGGTGGCAGCTCTGCAACTGCGGAAGAGAGACATGGCGCTCAACCTCCGTGCACTTCTAGGAAAATTGCAAACAACAATTGATGCGAATGATTATCAAAAAGGCTCAATTGAAACAAATAAGGGATCTCAGCCCACCACCAAGACTCAAGGGAATGGCAAGCTGGCGATTATCGATAGGGACGCGGTGTTGTTAAGTCGGAAAAAGATCGAAGCGATTTTCTGTCGCATGGCCCGTGCACCACGGATGCTTGGCGCCGCTAGCAGAAAAAAAAAAAACTATTTTGTCCCGAAGAACTTTTTTTCTTCCTTTCCTTCTGTTGCGCTCTGCCACATTTTCATCTGTGTCTACACTTGCCATCAGAACTGTTTTAAATTAGGTTCTCTGGCGGACACAAGCCTTATAATTCATCATGGGTTCAGGAAAGAAGGAGGCCAACCGCAAAGAGCGGCAGGGCAAGGTCGGAGATGGTATGGGCAATGTCAGAACGAAAGGTGAAAACTTTTACAGGTAAGCTGCATCGCAATGCCTTGGACACACGTGAACATGGGCTGACTCTACGAAGAGATGCGAAGAAGTTGAAGACTTTGAACATGTTCAAAGATGGTAAAGCTCAACACGATGCCCAGGGAAATGTTACCAAGGCCGCTTCGTATCAATCGCGAGAAGCCCCCACGGCCCGCATCGAGCCCAACCGTAAATGGTTCGGGAACACAAGAGTCATCTCGCAGGAGGCTCTGTCGTCCTTCCGCGAGGCTGTTGCCGAGCGTGCTTCCGACCCTTACCAGGTCTTGCTCAAGACAAACAAGCTTCCCATGAGCCTGATCAGAGACGGTCAAGGCACCAATGGGTTAAAGCAACACCAGGCGAAGATGGCGATCGAGACTGCGCCCTACAATGACACATTTGGCCCCAAGGCTCAAAGAAAGCGAGTCAAGTTGGGAGTATCGTCTCTGGAAGACCTTGCTGGCGAGACCGCAAAGGTGCAAGAGGCGTACATTGAAAAGACAGACTCAGGTACACATGAGGATGGTAGTGCCATCGCTGCTGCGGATGTTGGTGCAGATGACGGCCTCGGCTCAGCGCCTACTGCCAGAGAATCCGTCTTCTCGAAAGGACAAAGTAAGCGAATTTGGAACGAACTTTACAAGGTTATCGACTCTTCCGATGTTGTCATCCATGTCATTGATGCTCGTGACCCCGAGGGCACCCGTTGTCGAAGCGTCGAGAAGTACATTCGCGAGGAGGCTCCCCACAAACACTTGATCTTTGTGCTTAACAAGTGTGATCTGGTACCAACAGGTGTGGCGGTAAGTTTCATCATTTATTTCCTTTTTCTCACGCTATCTGCCTTTCGTTTCATCTATTTATTTCTGCTTTCAATTCTGTGTCTATTTTTAAGGGTTTACCGACCCGGTGCCATCGCTAAGTCAAGGCTTCTTCCTGCGACTTTTATGTTGCGTCACTCTCTATGGAGGCTCGTCTGTTACAGCTTTGGTAGATTGATTCCCGCCCGCGCCGAATTTCATTCTGAAGCTAGGCTAGACATACTTTCGTCTTGAAGGCTTGTCGCAAAGGGCCATGTTGTGATCTGTTGTTGCGCGGAAAACTGATTCCTCCGTTTTCCTTGGGGGTGCTGTAGCAGTTTTCTTAACGACGTTCCACACATTTCTAATTTTTTGCTTATTTTACATTGTTCATTTTTTTTTTTTTTTTTCGTTTTATCTTCATTGTTTCTGATGTTCAATCACTGACTTGCTACATCAGGCCGCTTGGGTGCGACATCTGTCAAAGGACCACCCCACTCTCGCATTCCATGCTTCGATCAACAACTCTTTCGGTAAAGGATCGTTGATTCAGCTTCTCCGACAGTTTTCGTCTCTTCATGCCGATCGGAAGCAAGTGTCCGTCGGATTTATCGGCTACCCCAACACCGGAAAATCGTCGATTATTAACACTCTTCGCAAGAAGAAGGTGTGCACAGTTGCTCCTATTCCTGGAGAGACCAAGGTCTGGCAATACATCACGTTGATGAAGAGAATTTATCTCATCGACTGTCCTGGTGTGGTTCCACCAAACCAGAACGACACCGAGCAAGACATTCTACTCCGTGGCGTTGTGCGAGTAGAGAACGTTGAGAACCCCGAGCAGTACATTCCTGCTGTTCTCAAGAGGGTTCAGCCCAAGCATCTTGAGCGTACCTACGGCGTGAAGAACTGCGAGGATCCTATCGAATTCCTCAGCATTCTCGCTCGCAAGGGTGGTCGTCTCCTCCGAGGAGGTGAGCCTGACCTTGACGGTGTCGCCAAGATGGTCATCAATGATTTCCTCCGCGGCAAGATCCCTTGGTTCACTCCCCCACCCACCGGAGCTGGAGATGGGAGTGAAAAGATCGAAGGCCGTGAGGGTAGACTCGGAGAGATGGGTCGGAAGCGAAAGCTTGATGAAACCGCCCCCGAGCCCGCAGACGGTTCGAAGAACGCGTCGGACGAGCCGGCCTCCAAGTCTGGGGATGAATTTGAAGGATTTGGCGATAGCGATGATGATGATAACGACTCTATTGCTAACCTGGAAGTAAGCGACGAGGAAAGTGAAGAGGATGAGTGAATGCTTTCCGCTGTCTCCGTCCGACTTGAAAGTCGAGAAGAGGATCCAAGCAGTTGCCGTCCGGGTTAACTAGCCGTGACCATGGCATGTAGCCGTTGCTCCTCAGAGAGCGTACTCTTCGCGGGATCATCATGCTCTGCCGTTGAATCGAGAGCTACTCCCAGCGAAAGCACCCCAGCGCCCGCTTTGATGCAGGATCAACAGAGTCCAGAACGCATCGATGAGCGGCGCCAATCCAGTCATGACTTTACACGACACCTGTTGCGTGTTACCTGAATCAGTTTATGAGTCAGTGTACGCAGATCTGCTCGATATCATGATATGGAACCTCCACAATAGATACCCACATAGTCTTTAAAATAAAAGATTTCTGATACGATGAGTTGTTTGCTACTAGACCCTTGACTAAGTTAATCGCATCGGAGTACTTCCGTAGATGTATTTCGTTTTGGACTTTTGTACCTACCAGCTAGTAGCTACCCCCAGCACCTAATCAACGCCAACGAACCAACAAACCAATTGACCAGTCGGAATTCTTCCAAACAAAAAGACAACTTGAGGATACAACTCCAGCCTCATGCAATGATAACGACTTGATATTGAACTTCTAGAACAGAGAGCGATAACAAGTTGTCAAATGCCTGGCTTCACCGCCGAAGCTCACGTGGGGCCATCCCAGCCTCACTTCCACCTGATGCATCGTCATTTGCCCTTTGCGTCATGTCTTAGCTAGCACCAGTGGAGATCTCTACATCTTGGCTACATAAATTCCTGAGGTTCTTACGGCCTTTCATGTCTCGACACCCTCGAGGGCTATGCGACCGTCGCCCAGATATTAAGAAGACGGCATGTCTATAATACCTTATGGATCATCCAACCTTGACGTTGTGCTGTAGGCCTTTCCTCCTGTTGTCCCAGAAACTGCTTTCCAATTGATGGATAGGTGCTAACGAGACTGTCTGGATAGGCGGCACAACGACTCGGTTGTCGTTTTCGATCGGGATTCGCAGCAACTCGTCCTACGGAATACAACCCACGATGACGGGGGCCTCGAGCTAGCCGATTGTCCCTACTGCCATCGTCCGATCCGAGATGATAATTCCGGACGAGACTCTCATCACCCGGGCCCCGGGGCTCAGCCCGAATTCATCAATCCGAATTACTTCCGCATGCTCAACAATAGTTTACCAAGCGCTCCGAGTTCTCAGGCTCCTCCCTCCCCTCGTCGGCGCCTTGTCCAACCAGCGCTTCCCCACGGTTCGGGGGCCGAATCGAGTCCATCCCGAAATATACCTTCCTCGCAAGGGATATCTTCTGCGGCGTTTACCCCGGACTATTTTAAAAAGTTCTTCGTTGAAGAAAGGGAACTAGGAAGAGGTGGAAAGGGCGTGGTCTTACTCGTGAAACATATGCTGGATGGCGTCTCGCTGGGACATTACGCTTGCAAACGGGTTCCGGTTGGAGATGATCACGAATGGCTCGAGAAGGTGTTAGGGGAGGTACAATTGTTGCAGCATCTTTCACATCAGAACCTTGTGTCTTACCGTCACGTCTGGCTCGAGAATGCAAAGATCAGCACATTCGGGCCTAGTGTACCGTGTGCCTTTATTCTCCAGCAGTATTGCAATGCTGGAGATCTTCATAATTATATATGTGGTTCGGTTCAGACTTCAGCCACGCCCCAGCAATTGAAGGATCGTCTCAGGAGAAGGTCCAAGGGAGAGCCAGAGCCCAAATTAAATCTGGGAGGGCCTCGCATACTTCATTTTGATGAGATCTATTCCTTTTTTAAGGACATCACTTCAGGACTTCGCTATTTGCATGTGAATGGCTATATCCATCGCGACCTGAAGCCTAACAACTGCTTGCTTCACCAGACTAGTGACGGTATACGAGTCTTGGTCAGTGACTTTGGCGAGGTTCAAGCTGAGGATGCAACCCGAAGATCTACCGGTGCAACGGGAACGGTCTCGTACTGTGCGCCAGAGGTTCTAAGACAGGACTACCCTGATGGTCCATTTGGGAACTTCACATTCAAGTCCGATATATTCTCATTGGGCATGATTCTTTACTTTTTATGTTTTGCAGAGCTGCCCTACCGCAACGCCGATATTATCAATGAAGAACTGGAGGACCTCGACCAGCTTCGTGCAGAGATCAGCCAATGGTCAGGGTTCGATGACGCGAGAAGAACAAGACCCGATTTACCGGAGAAGCTCTACGCCTTCTTGGAACGTTTGCTGTCCGTGGATCCTAACCGTCGCCCATCGGCCGAAGAGGTACTGAATGGGATACAAACCGGGGGCACTTCAAACGAGACGTATCGATCCAAGAGATCTAACTCGGCAGGACCTGACCTGCTCTCGGGCTCTAGAATCCACCCAGTTGACAGCCCAAGCCCACTATCTTTTCCTCGACCATCTCTTTCACCGACCAAGGCACTTTCTCGGAGCCCGGTGGCTGTAAGACGCACTCCCCTGTACGAGCCGGGTAGCCCTAGAAACAGTCAAGGTTTCTTTGAAGCAAATGAAGTACCAGATAGAAACCTTACTGTCAGTCCGGACCGGGACATGATAATTCGTCCTAGGTACTCTAGCACTCCGTCTTTACCCCCAGATCAGAACGGAGCTCACGAAGAGCAGCACACCCCGGAGCCTGTTCAAACACTGCAGCCACAACTCCTTCCTCCGCCCCCGGGTCGATTTTACGTCTCCCGTCTCCTTCCAATCCATTGGGTATCCATGTCTATTCGACAATTCCCATTGCCGGTGCTACAGCTAGCCTTGTTTCTCTTCAAGGTTATCTCCGCCTTTCAACCATGCAATCCTATCGCCGTGAACCCGTGGGTTTTCTACCCGCTACTCCTTCTCGCAGCCATCAATCTCCGCACACGAAGCATCGCCGTACAGGTTCTTTCTATCATCTTGCATCTTGTAACCGTTGGTCTTAGCATGCGATTGGGTATGTTGTGCGTTTGGCATCCCTCGCGACAAGCATTTCTTGCCTGAGGCACCACCACGTGCCAATAATACTTTGATATTCTGCTGTCTATTGGAAGGGCGAAACGGGGTTGCCTGCCGTGTATCATTTCATCCCGCCAAATTGGCTGGCCGGTGTTTTGTGTATACTCGAAGCTGATGTTTTTTTTCTCATGATTAATGATTGTATGTACATGACTATGGGAGCGAAAATGATAATTAGACATGATACCTGTTTTACCTGTTTCAACTCCATAAGAGAAAAAAA